TCCAGCAACTCTACAACAATATCCAACAATGCATCCATATTCACTCCCAACGGAACCTCTCCATTCGTGGAAGAGCTACCGTTCTCAACACACTCATTTTCTCGAAACTCTGGCATGTCATGCGCAACTTTATTTTCACCAAAGCTCAATTACTCTCCTTACGCAGCCTTGGGTCCTCCTTCATTAACTTTCGTATCTTCCCCAAACTTTCCTTTAGAACCCTTCAACAGCCTCGCCATCATGGCGGCCTCCAAGTTTTAGATCCCATTGTCCAACAACAAGCTCTCCAATGGCGCTGGATTTGCCCCCTCATTTTAGCCGCCTGTCATTCACCACTATTACCGACATACACCACCCCAAGCATTCCACTCCTCCAGTACTCCCTGCAATGGTATTTCCACTCTACCGCTTTCTCTGATTACTTTTACTACTTACTCTTTCCTGCTGCTCGACAAACCATCTGGTTCCAACATCGACCCAGTCCACACCAAGCTTTCCTTAACATACTCACCAATGTCATTACCACCATGGATCGAATACCTCGTTCCTTCACAACCTGTCACTTAGATTTTCATACAGGTTTATCATTACCTTTCCTTGAAATTATCTTACATACCCTCCCTTCTACTCACCCCCATTTCTCTTCTTTCACAGCTCCAGATCAACTGTTTGACCGACATCACGCCGTCCAGAAACTGCTCGCAATAGATGTGTTTACCTTTGACTTCGACTTACAAGTGATCCGTCTTAGAAACTGGACCTTCCTTGAGTTTTGCCATTATCCAAGAATATCTCATCGAGTTGCCCGTTGGATTGAGGAAGGCCAAATCTACCTCCAACCATTCTTTCTCGCTCTCTGCCGTCAGGCCCCTCGCCATTCATTTACCAGTGCCTCCTTTGGTGCCAACCCCCACAACATCCGCCCACTCATTCGCCGTCTTATCAAACCTATAACACCACTACCTTCAACAGTGCCACTCAACAGTATTCAATACTACAAACACTTGGTTTCCACTGACATGCCCACCATCAACACTTCACCTCTTTCCCCCTCCCAATGGCGCCTCTTTTGGAAACTACCTATTCTCCTTCAATCCCGAACTGTATGGTATAGACTTATCCATCGAAAAATTCCCTCCAAATCGATCCTCCACCACTTCATCCCCACAACTCACCCTTCACCTTCGTGTCCTCTCTGTTTGACCCAATGCCCGGAGGATATCCAACATTTCTTCTTTACTTGTCCTCTCAAACTCGCTGTATGGCGGTTCCTCGCCACTACATACCTATCCCACACACCGATGACCGACGACGTCCTTCTCCCATTCCTCCACGGCATTCAAACTCTATCCATAGCTGAACCCACTCGCTCTGCCTCCTTACCTTTTCCAGAGCTTACCGTTTACCAAGTTTTCGCTACCAGTCTACTCTGTATATGGCAAGCCCACTGGCGCTCCATCTTCGACCATGTCCCTTTTGTCACTCTCAACGTTAACACATCTATTGCCCGTTCTCTGTCTCGCTTGGAATCGGAATTACAGTTTGATTTGTAAGTATGTACCCCCACGTATTTTATGGTCGTATTCCACTTCCTTGCTTCCCTTTCATTTCCTTGCCTTTAAAAATATATCCAGTCTTCTTCTTCCCTCATCATGACATTTAGAGGACTTTAAATAAAAAATGGAGTACAACTCCCCTACAAAAAAAAAAAAATGCCCTTTTAATCATGAAGGTGCTTTTGACCCTTTCCTCCGCTCCATTCAACAAAACCATACTTTTGAGGGTTTCCATGTACAACAAGAAGCCCCACCACATCCATCACCTACTGCCGACGTGGACGATCTAACCGAAAGCCTCACCAACTCATCCCCTCCGCCAGACTCCCCTCGCAACACTCCTTCAGTCTCTCCCACCCATCGCAATCCAATTAAGTACAAAATTCTAGCCTATGCAGATGACACATTAGTCTATTTGAAGAACTTTTCGGATTTTCTTCTTCTGCAGGACTCTATCAATACATACAAGAAAGCATCGAATGCACTACTAAATTACAGGAAAACTATAGCCATTTCGCTCTCTGGACAACCACAACCAGATTGGCGCGAGTTTCTTGCTACTCACCAAATCCACCAAATGCATGACCGCACCTCTCCTGATCCAGTAACATATCTTGGCTATCCCATATGCTCCAGTTTATCCCAACGCAACCTCGCTTTCCAGCAACTCTACAACAATATCCAACAATGCATCCATATTCACTCCCAACGGAACCTCTCCATTCGTGGAAGAGCTACCGTTCTCAACACACTCATTTTCTCGAAACTCTGGCATGTCATGCGCAACTTTATTTTCACCAAAGCTCAATTACTCTCCTTACGCAGCCTTGGGTCCTCCTTCATTAACTTTCGTATCTTCCCCAAACTTTCCTTTAGAACCCTTCAACAGCCTCGCCATCATGGCGGCCTCCAAGTTTTAGATCCCATTGTCCAACAACAAGCTCTCCAATGGCGCTGGATTTGCCCCCTCATTTTAGCCGCCTGTCATTCACCACTATTACCGACATACACCACCCCAAGCATTCCACTCCTCCAGTACTCCCTGCAATGGTATTTCCACTCTACCGCTTTCTCTGATTACTTTTACTACTTACTCTTTCCTGCTGCTCGACAAACCATCTGGTTCCAACATCGACCCAGTCCACACCAAGCTTTCCTTAACATACTCACCAATGTCATTACCACCATGGATCGAATACCTCGTTCCTTCACAACCTGTCACTTAGATTTTCATACAGGTTTATCATTACCTTTCCTTGAAATTATCTTACATACCCTCCCTTCTACTCACCCCCATTTCTCTTCTTTCACAGCTCCAGATCAACTGTTTGACCGACATCACGCCGTCCAGAAACTGCTCGCAATAGATGTGTTTACCTTTGACTTCGACTTACAAGTGATCCGTCTTAGAAACTGGACCTTCCTTGAGTTTTGCCATTATCCAAGAATATCTCATCGAGTTGCCCGTTGGATTGAGGAAGGCCAAATCTACCTCCAACCATTCTTTCTCGCTCTCTGCCGTCAGGCCCCTCGCCATTCATTTACCAGTGCCTCCTTTGGTGCCAACCCCCACAACATCCGCCCACTCATTCGCCGTCTTATCAAACCTATAACACCACTACCTTCAACAGTGCCACTCAACAGTATTCAATACTACAAACACTTGGTTTCCACTGACATGCCCACCATCAACACTTCACCTCTTTCCCCCTCCCAATGGCGCCTCTTTTGGAAACTACCTATTCTCCTACAATCCCGAACTGTATGGTATAGACTTATCCATCGAAAAATTCCCTCCAAATCGATCCTCCACCACTTCATCCCCACAACTCACCCTCCACCTTCGTGTCCTCTCTGTTTGACCCAGAGCCCGGAGGATATCCAACATTTCTTCTTTACTTGTCCTCTCAAACTCGCTGTATGGCGGTTCCTTGCCACTACATACCTATCCCACACACCGATGACCGACGACGTCCTTCTCCCATTCCTCCACGGCATTCAAACTCTATCCATAGCTGAACCCACTCGCTCTGCCTCCTTACCTTTTCCAGAGCTTACCGTTTACCAAGTTTTCGCTACCAGTCTACTCTGTATATGGCAAGCCCACTGGCGCTCCATCTTCGACCATGTCCCTTTTGTCACCCTCAACGTTAACACATCTATTGCCCGTTCTCTGTCTCGCTTGGAATCGGAATTACAGTTTGATTTGTAAGTATGTACCCCCACGTATTTTATGGTCGTATTCCACTTCCTTGCTTCCCTTTTTCATTTCCTTGCCTTTAAAAATATATCCAGTCTTCTTCTTCCCTCATCATGACATTTAGAGGACTTTAAATAAAAAATGGAGTACAACTCCCCTACAAAAAAAAAAAAAAATAATCATGAAGGCAAGATCAACATCAGCGGATACTTTACTGATCCAATGCGGTTTCAAACAGGGTAACGCTATCTCTTGTGTATACTATGATTTAGCCTTCGAGTCATTTCAACAAAGTATTCTACAGGGTCAGGATTTCCGTGACGACGAACTGCAAAATCAAATGGACGCGCTTTGCCAATGATGCTCTCCTTTTTATGTCTAAATAACAGAAGTACTGTATATAAAGTGGACTTATTCTGCCGAGTATCCAATGCTCGCTTCAACTATTCCATGGTGGATGCCTTCTCCTTGTCTGGTCGTGATACTAGTAGCTATTGGAGTCGGTCCCTCGCCGATATGAACATTCACCATCTTCATACTGCTTTGGATCCTCTGATTTATCTCGGATTCCCGCTTATTCAAAGCATTCCTCAACATAACAACTTCATGGCTACCCTCATTGTTAAGCTCAGGAAAACTCGACAATCGTATTCTGTAGATCCGTATCAATTCTTGGGAAAGCCACTATTCTCAATACTCTACTGTTGTCCAAATACTGGTACATCCTTCGTATCATGCCGCTGACACAAAAGAACCTTCAACAAATCACTTCTGATGCCATCCAATTTCTTGAAAAAAAGGCATTTTCCTGTCATTTCTTGGTGAATATGGGCTCTCTCCCTCTCCCAAGATGGTCTCGGCACACTCGACGTCAATCTTCAGTATGCTGCATTGTACTTTCACTGGATATCTCCCTTGCTACAACTGGATTCCTCGTCTTCCACCAATAATCCACTACTGGCTATTCTCATTTATCACATCAACAACCACAACCGTTCCTCTTATCACCAACTCCCTCTGCTATTTCCTGTTGCACGGCGACAGTTCACAGAAGCACAAGTACGTGGATAGTGCTTTCAGGGGAGACAAATGTGAGAAATTGCACTCAACTGGTTACATATGGAGAAGGTGTAGAGCGCTTTTGGTCGATCTGCAACAGATTTTCTGGAATGACAAGATCCATGTCAAAATATAACCGCAAAGCCCTCATCACTGACGTTGTTTCCTACTTTATACGAAACACAATGCTTGAATTACGTAAGAACTGTATTCCAACTACATATCTCAAAGAACTCGCCAAATAATCGTGCTATAGCTACCCAGATTGTCAAAAAACACAAGAAGGCGCTAGAAAAAGCGCAAAATCTCAACATTAGCAACAAAAAGTTCACTGAACTTAAGGAAAAGTGGGATGATTACGTCGCAGTGCTATCAACGCCAGTAACAACCAACGGCATCAAGGACATGTTAGCTAATGCTGAAAACCAAACTGAATTAGCCAACAAAACCAATTATATACAGCTTTGTGCTCAATATCTATAGATAACTGAAGAGATGAAAGATAAAAAGTAAGCTCAAAATGTTTTCTTTTGCTCATTTGCTTACGCATCTAGCTAACCATGTTTCTTGCAGTAACAAGAAGAGTACCAACGCTCGGTTGACTTATCAAAGCAACCAGTTATCCAAGCAAATCAACGCGCTTATTAAGAAGTATGCGTTCAAAAAAATTACACCATTGATATGATGTACAAATCCATCGACATGTTACCCAGGAGCTTTGACAACGTCGTGATCAATTTGCCCACTGCCCTCATGCTACCTCTATTCATCGTCATATATTCTGGCCCACTACTTGGTGCCAGATTGCCTCGAAAAATCCACTCAATGACTGGCGCCGACGTCTTTGCTGTGCATACAACAGAGCATTTTCTTCATTGGAAACGTTACTTCGACCCCTCATTTGCAGTATGGCAGCGTGCACCTCGACAACTTATTCTGGGCATTGCAAGAGGAACGTTCAATTTGCAACCCTTCTTCCTCCCTCTGTGTGTTCCTTCTTCCACTGCATCTCCTTTACCGTCCAGTCCTTCATTGCAGCCATTTGCTGATCACCTCACGACTGACAACAACCTTGTAATGACTTCCACTGGCTGTAAATCCAAATCGTTTCGGCAGGCATGCTCTTCTGCTTCCGTCGTTCTTCAAAGATTGGCTGCCATAGAATCTTCTCAATGGCCCTTTTTCTGGTCTTTGTCCTTGACTATGATCCAAAGAAATGTTATCTATCGCTTCATTAGCGAGTGCATTCGCCATCATTCCCTATCGAATTTGAGGTTTCCCACTGTCTACTTGTATCCTTTGTGTGTTGTTTATTCCTTAACGAACCTTTTGTCTGCATTTTGGCGACTTAACGAACCATGTGTCTGCATTTTGGCGACTTAACGAACCATGTGTCTGCATTTTGGCGACTTAACGAACCATGTGTCTGCATTTTGGCGACTTAACGAACCTTTTGTCTGCATTTTGGTGACTTAACGAACCTTTTGTCTGCATTTTGGCGACTTAACGAACCATGTGTCTGCATTTTGGCGACTTAACGAACCTTTTGTCTGCATTTTGGTGACTTAACGAACCATGTGTCTGCATTTTGGCGACTTAACGAACCATGTGTCTGCATTTTGGTGACTTAACCAACCGTGTGTCTGCATATAGTGAGCAAGTGATGAACCTGAAGGTGAAGCCCACCTTTTTTCTTTCTTTCCTCTTCTTAAAAGCTTGTTTTATCAATGTCTAATTGTACCGATTTAAACTTATCTCAGGCAGCTTGCATAGCCCTTGGTTTGCAACAAACAAGACAGCACCAGCTTCAAGCAGTCGCTAGATTACGAGAGTTGGATTTGGTTCCTATACATGTTACTGGCGCCAATCCGCTGTTGCCGTCCCTGGTGTCAAGAACGGTACAAGAGATAAATCCTTTCATGTATATCAAGTATGCAGACGATAGTAAGTGTGCTTGTCGTCTCATTAATAGACTTATGAATGACATTAATGTATTCAGATGACCGAAGTGGTGGCTCTTCATCCTCTTCCTCATCCATTCCATCATCGACTGTTGCTTCAAATGAAAGTCTGGCCACTTCATCTTCGTCCAGTAAATCATTTGCAAATCAATACGAAGGTAAAAGCAGCTTTTTTTCCATGTAGGTTCCGTAATATGTAACGTTTTGTGTAGTTACTATTTCTAAACAGGAAGCCCTGGAGCATTTTAAGCAACTCATGCATGTAGAGCAACCCTTGAATGTTACCCTATTCGAGTATATCTTCGTAACGTCAATTCAGCAAAAATTGATATTGGAAAGACGCTTCGGACCAGCTACGAACACGACGAGGCAGATTGAGGGTTGGGTCAACAGCTGTAGCGTGTGGGGCAAACGTACAGCAATGAAGTCAGATGGCAAAAAATTGGAAGGTCGATGGCTGTGGGTGTTGCTGGACAAACATTTGGATATCAACGTTATCGAGGACCTGGCCAGATATGAGCAACACTGTCGTCACCATCCGATGACAACAATTGGATATGCAAGAAAATCTAAAGGCAAAGAACGTACTAACACTAGATGCAAGCTTCTGAGCGAAATGGTCCATCGTCTGCGCAAGAAAAGCCTATGCACCAAAGTGTACGTATCACCATATTGCGATGCAAATCAGCCGTTGGAATCTCGCGACAGCAAAGGCAATTATAAACATCATTTGGAATTGATCGACGACTGTGATGGGGACATGACAAGTTACTTGAATGACGTTTCTATTCAATGCATAGATACTCACTCTTTTTTTTAATTTTAGCTTTTATGAAATTGCTGAAAACGAAGTTCAAGCCTATCCGTTTGGCAGTTATCGACTTTGCCGGGCTAAGCACAGAGCCCAATGACATTCGTGCATTTGTCAAGTAAAGTAGACGTATGATGAGGCTATCCGTGGATAAATTAACTTATTTGTTACTGAAAAAATAGAAAATTTACACAGATTGAGGAAATCGTGATTGATCACGGATTGACGTTTACAGTACTTTCTCGACATGACCTGCTTACAAATCAAGCAATTATCAACAAGTTTGACTGTCGTACTGGCTGTGTCAAACGCTCAGCATGATCCTCATTCTTAGTTTTATATATATATATATTTGCACTGTTTATTAAAAAAAATAATTATTTTAAGCATTATCAGCAACTAGCCACTTTGGCTTTCAAAAATTTATTTAGCAATAACCTGATATATTCAAGAATCTTAGCTTTCTTTTGAAACAACAGTCGATGATGGAATGGATGAGGAAGAGGATGAAGAGCCACCACTTCGGTCATCTGAATACATTAATGTCATTCATAAGTCTATTAATGAGACGACAAGCACACTTACTATCGTCTGCATACTTGATATACATGAAAGGATTTATCTCTTGTACCGTTCTTGACACCAGGGACGGCAACAGCGGATTGGCGCCAGTAACATGTATAGGAACCAAATCCAACTCTCGTAATCTAGCGACTGCTTGAAGCTGGTGCTGTCTTGTTTTTTGCAAACCAAGGGCTATGCAAGCTGCCTGAGATAAGTTTAAATCGGTACAATTAGACATTGATAAAACAAGCTTTTAAGAAGAGGAAAGAAAGAAAAAAGGTGGGCTTCACCTTCAGGTTCATCACTTGCTCACTATATGCAGACACACGGTTGGTTAAGTCACCAAAATGCAGACAAAAGGTTCGTTAAGTCGCCAAAATGCAGACACATGGTTCGTTAAGTCACCAAAATGCAGACAAAAGGTTCGTTAAGTCACCAAAATGCAGACAAAAGGTTCGTTAAGTCACCAAAATGCAGACAAAAGGTTCGTTAAGTCGCCAAAATGCAGACACATGGTTCGTTAAGTCGCCAAAATGCAGACACATGGTTCGTTAAGTCACCAAAATGCAGACAAAAGGTTCGTTAAGTCACCAAAATGCAGACAAAAGGTTCGTTAAGTCACCAAAATGCAGACAAAAGGTTCGTTAAGTCGCCAAAATGCAGACACATGGTTCGTTAAGTCGCCAAAATGCAGACACATGGTTCGTTAAGTCACCAAAATGCAGACAAAAGGTTCGTTAAGTCGCCAAAATGCAGACACATGGTTCGTTAAGTCGCCAAAATGCAGACAAAAGGTTCGTTAAGTCACCAAAATGCAGACAAAAGGTTCGTTAAGTCGCCAAAATGCAGACACATGGTTCGTTAAGTCGCCAAAATGCAGACACATGGTTCGTTAAGTCACCAAAATGTCATTTCATACCTCTTTTAGGCTTACCACCTATCAACTCAACAATTTCAATGAATCCACAACTTGCGGATGTCTTTCTCTCTCTCTCTCTCTCTCTCTCTCTCTCTCTCTCTCTCTCTCTCTCTCTCTCTCTTTCGAATAAATTACCTTTATTGAGTCTCATAGTTTTTTGACTGTCTCCTACCATCTTATTTCACAGGACCTACACATTTGAAGCATCATCCAAGATTGTGTCCCTTCATTTCGGGATACTTGTCCATTTAATCAAGTTTTGCCTTTAAAAAGATTAAATAATGTCCTGTTACTGTTCCTATGCTGTAACCATCATTTGCACGTCCAAGCTTTCTCTTTTTGATACGCTTTGAAACTCTCAAACTAACATTAATAAAGCCAGTGGCAGATATGGCACCTAAAATCGATGGTGCATTCACTTTTCTTTCCTTTTTGAGGCTTTGAAAGTGTCTAGGGACCATAAATTTATTATGTTACGATGAGCATTTCGACTTTTCGTCAGTTGGTTTCCTGACCTACAGTTCGCTTTGGTGGAAACCAACCTACGTTCAGGTGGCTCGCACTGTCGCGGGCCGTTGGCTAATATCCCAAAATTAACATAGCTAAAATGTTAGAAGAACCTTGATTGCTGATTGATGTAAAATCACTAATCATATGAGTGTTTATGCTTCGGATGGTTCTTTACCTTCTCTTCGCGTCGATGAAAACCAACCTGCGCAGCGACAGCTCGCGCTACTGATTGCTCTTGCGTATCTTATCAAAATACTGCTACTTTCATCTTGACCCTCCACTTACACATAAAAAATTTTCGTGTTATCTGTGTATCTGATTCTTATGTGATGCTCAACATCCATATACACGTAGCTACTTCATATACGGACAAGTATCATACAGACATTATCCCTTTTTAGTCAAGAGTGTGCCTAATACAGCAAAATATGAGTGCATTTGAGCTGCGTTTTCTCGCGTCCAAGGTCGTTTTAGATTGTCAGAATAGCACCAAACAGTTGCTCTCATCTGACAGTTACTTTCTGACACGTTTGCGCAAATTTTTGGGGACCAAAAAAACATGGTGAAAAATCGACCAAAAAGCATGAGGTATCCCTCATGGTTTTCATCAAAAATCAAACGATCGCATTTTTCACCTTGATAACGAAGACTTTTACTATGGTATATCTTGAATCAAAATGTTCCTATCGATCCAACGTAAACCCTGAAACCATCTTTGTGGAACTTTGATATGTAAAATTTCGACATTTTGGCCAGAAACCTCTTTTCATATTTTCGTAAATTGCTCAATAGGTTTATTCAAAACATTTATCTTACTTGGTACCATTGGATGCGCCTTGAAAAGCACTCCAAGAAAGCTTAAAGAAGCGTAAGATGATCATCATACTTCACTTAGTCGAATCTAAAAAAAAAATAGATCAATCAAGTTGATTTTTTTTTTTTTTATTTGTAAGTATGAAGATTTATTAGTTAAGATAAACTCATAAAAGATATTTGGATAAAATATAAAAGGGCAGCAGGTGTAATGTAAAGTGACCTGTCCTGAAAGGCAAAGAAAACAAAATTAGCTTAACAAGTTAAGAGAGGATATTCTACGCAAGTTGGTCATGGCACGGTCCATTACGGACTGATTGTCAAAACCAACGCTATCATAATGATCACGCCATTTGGCGCGCCAAATAGCTGTGATAACACAGGTTACGGCTTCAAACGTGGACACCTTGAGGGATGAATCCAAGAGGCAGTACGAGGAGAGGTCCAGGGAGAGGACATCCGTAGCAACTTGGCTCATATCAAGTGGCCCAAGAGGCACAAAAAGCAGGGCAAAGTAATTTATCCAAATGTCCCAATTGGCAGGGCAAGTAAAGAGCATGTGAGTGGTAGTCTCACGGTAGCCACAATACACGCAAAGATCATCTGGTAGCTTGAAGATCTTGTACACATTGACTTTGGAAGAGACCTTATTATGAATCAACCGGAACCAAAGATTACGAGCTGCACTGGGCATTTTCGTTTGAAGAAAAGAAGCCACGGTGAGTCGGTTTACATCTACCCGAGGGTTGGTTATTGGAGGGTGATCGCGCATGTACATTGCACGAAGCTCGGTATTAGACATGGACAGAATCGTAATACCTTGGTAGGAGAGCTTGTGACAATAGTAGGGCGACAGATCAACACCTCCACCGGTGACAAGTAATGGCTCAGGACCAGCAGGATTGGCAAGAAGAATGGGGCAAAGGGAAGACACAAAGTGGATGGTGTTGAGCGTACGGCCGCGACCATTCTAGAGAGAAGGCCGGGGCTGGAGCAGGCAGCTCTTGCTTTGAACACCAAGGCCTCAGGGAGACGACTTTGTTCGAGAAAGACACGGGCAGGCAACTGACGGAACTGTTTGTGATACAGAAGACTGGGATCGGTAGTTGCCGGATCAAAGAGCTCTGTCATAGGCAACTGTAACAACGTATCCACCGACAAACCACAATCAGACCAAGACGCTTCAACAGCAAAGGCATCCACCGAGCGGAGGATTGGCAGCAAGCAGTGTTGGTGAGGCAATGAGGTTCCAAAACGCAGGTTACGGAACAGCAATGGCAGTTGAGGGTGGGCAGCCCCGTAGGTGACCTGTATGAACGCGCATAGCAGTTGCATGAGGAAAGCAGGAATGGGGCGAGAGACCTGATTATCCAAAAGCAAAGCGCGAACATAGCGTTGTTGCAAGATGTGCTGTTGCACCTTAATATCAATGACGCCTAGACCACCGACATGCTTTGGCAGGTATATGACGGATTTCTTCATGGTGGGTACAATCTTATGACAGACAAATTGGTACACCAAGGAAGAGATCTTTCGCTCAAAAGCGGTGGGCAGGGTAGTGACACGCAGCATGTGCCAAAAGCGAGCTAGGAACAACGAATTTACCATGTTTGCACGACCGTAGACAGAAATGCTTCTTGTACGATGTCTATCCAGGGAGGCTTGAAGCTTGAGGATAGTTCCTTTACAGAAGTCATCTCGCTGGGCTTTGCTGAACCATATAGGATAGCCAAGGTACTTAATGTAAGATGGACTATCCGAGTCGTACCATTGAAACTGGAGCCGACTAGAGAGGCGAAACAAGTCAGGACGCACGCGGGACCTATCTCCAGCCAAAGGGAAGGCGATGGACTTGTGATAGTTGACCCGGGCATTAGACGCTCAACCATAGCATGAGATGTGGTCTTGAATGGCCTGCATTTCTGCACAATTATTGACGAGTACCAGCAGATCATCGGCATAAGCCAGCAATTTGACAGGAGCGGGCGCCACCAATTGCAGGGAAGACGACTTGACAGCAGCAGTGTGGATAGAGTATCCCTTGATTTTCGCATCTTTTAGAATAGCCAGCAGAAGAGGTTCCAGAGCAAAGTTAAAAAGTACAAGGGAGATGGAGTCGCCCTGGCGAAGCCCACGCTTTTGAGACACTGGATCCGTCATAAACCCATTCACATTGATCGCAATCTTGGTCTTAAAGAACAGATTACGAACACTGGTAATGAATGTAGAGGGGAAACCAAACTTCTGGAGCACCTTGCAAATATACTGTTCGTTTACATAATCGTAAGCCTTGGCACTGTCAATTACAACACCAACAGCACGATTAGAATGTAATTGGGCGTCCTCCATGAGGAGTCGCAGAGCAAGACCGTGGTCACCAATAAATCGTGTAGGCATGAAGCCTGCTTGATGTCCAGTAATGACCTTGTTGGCCGCTCCAATGACCCTTGAATTCAAGATCCTGGTGAATATCTTGCAATCAGTGTTGATAAGTGAAATCGGACGCCAGTTTGCCAAGTTCCACAGATCACCCTTCTTAGGTAAGAGCACTATACACGTTTCCTGCCAAGAGGGTGGGAACACACCGAGATTGAGAGCGTCGTTGTATACAGCAAGCACGAGATCCTTGCAGTCAGGGTGCGCCAATATCAGACGAAGAATGGGATAAGGGAGTCCATCTCTGCCTGGGCTACTGACCTTGGGGCAACGGGTAGCAGATTTCAGAATATCATCCATGTCAATAGATGAGATAATGAATTCAGCATCGTCCACGGAAATTGTATTCTGGATACCTCTGAGCAACTTGTCCATAGAGTAACGATGAGTTGGCTCGGGAGAGTACAGCACATCATAGTAAGCATGAACCGCCTCCAGCTTATCCGCAGTGGTAGTACAGGGAACTTCTGTCGTTGGGTGAGTGATAGTGTCCATTGTCCGTTGAGCAAGACGCCTTTCACCCGTCTTCTTCAAGAAGCCGATCGAGTGTTCGTTGTTGTCTAGCCAAAGTCTACCCGCTTTGAGAGTAGCATTGAGGGCAATTTCATGTTCCAACTGAGTAATAGGTTTCTCAACCTTGGGGAGTTCCTGCTGCAATGCTTCCTGATCACCTTTTAACCGACGGATGAGCTGATTCCGAGAGCTTTGAGGATCCTTGAGACGCTGTTTCCTCCAGGAGGCACGGTTACTGCAGTAAGCTTTAGTCAATTTTCGGATGTAGCCCTTCAAATGGTCCCATTTGATCTGATTGCTATCTGAGGAGTTAGCAAGGATGGTCTGCATGAAGTGGCTGATACCAGAGTGGATCTTCTTCACATAGGACTTGTAGTGCACCAGGTTGGGGTTGGCCCGCCATAACCCTTTGCCCGTGTTGTTGAGTTGAAGACGCAGCTTGATGGTCAATAAAGCATGGTCAGTCCACACCGAAGAGACGTGCTCAACGTTATTGTCAAAGTAGAGTTCCTTCAGCTGGCGGCCCACCATGATGTAGTCAAGCGTTTTAATGACCTTGCCCCGTCGAAAGGTTGGAAGAGTTTCAAAGAGGGAGTCACTGTAGTTGTTGTTACAATCATGAAGGAAGGTATCCGTAAACAAGACAAATGCTGCTGGTCGTTTGGTGGGTGCGTTGTTGGGCAAACGAAGGTCGTATTGAAAGTTGAAATCGCCCGCCAAAATCAAACGCTCCAATATGTCACCGTATGAATCAAGAGACTTGATGTAGTTCATAAGGCTGTTGTAGAAAATGGCTCTGTTCTGAGATGAATCCGCAGGCGCATAGATGTTGAGCACATAGATGGGCAACAGGTCTGGTTCCGCGGGTATCGTCAATTTTGCAAATATAATTCTATCATCATCAGAAATGTGTATCTTCTCCATGTGAATATTTCTATTGAAGTTGAAGATGCCGCATTTCGATGTCCAAATACTTTGAACGGATTGAAATTTCAGGTCGAGCATTGCAATCCTGTCGTCAAAGTTGAGAGAGGGTATGTTGGTTTCCTGGCAAGCAAAAACATCTAAATCTTGCCCCCTTAAGTATCGAATGAAGGAATCTGAGGATTGAGGATTGTTGACTTTGAGTAGATATCGACAATTCAGAGATCCAAATTTGATATTTAAGGATTTCCTATAATTATTATGATTACTCATAATAATTATTGACGTGATGAGGGGTTGGTAGAAGCCTTCTTCTTCGAAGCCGTTCCACCGTGACGAGGGCGTGATGCCTTGTCCTTGTTGTCCTTGTGCAATTGCTTGGCCTTGCGATGTTGGAGCCTGAGCTGGCGCCTCATCTTCCGGAGAACCTCATCCAAAGGTATAGAGCTGCTTGCCGCCTCCTTGGCCGCTTCCTCCATGTTGATATCGCTATCATCGACGTCGTCGTCACCATCCATCTCATCATTAAGAGCATCTTCCGGAGTGTCGCCCTGTTGCTCCTGAATAACCGTTGAACTCTCTTGTTCAGAATCACCCGCTTCAACCGCCTTGGTGAGCTCCTCCCCAGTGTCAGCGACGTCCTTTCCATCCTCATCACTAGATGGAATGGGTGCTGTCTCTTCAACAGTGGAAGAGGATTCCGTGGTATTGGAATTGGTGATGGTTGATTCTTGAGAAGATGCTGGGATGATATCTGTAATGAAGGGTTTAGTAACCTTCGACTTGTCAGAAGTACTCACATCTGCCTTAGCAGGTGTAAGTACTGCAGGCGCTGCCTCCTTGTCAGTAGCCTTCGACTGATGTGGTGATGTGTGTGTTGTGTTCGACTTGGCAGCCTTCTTGCGTTGATTCCACCATGCGCCCGGACATGTGGCTTGTAAGTGATTAGGGTTACTGCAGATATGACAGTGCTTCACTCGTTGACTCATGACAGGACAGTTGCCAAAGACATGATCAGTGACATGACAACGACTACAGGTAGGCTTCATACCAGTGTAGGTAATCTTGAGAGTTTCACCAGATTCCCAAGAGTTAATTTGAGGTACCAGAGGTGCATACTCTTTACCAGGAATGAGATTCAAAGTGACGAAACCTCTACCAGTAAAGAAGTGCCCATGCACAGTATGGAGCAGACCCATCTTCAAGATTTCTCCATATTTACCAAAAATTGTTGACATTGCATCCTTCAGCGTCTCCTCGTCTTCATAAGGTAGATTGCTTACACTAACCCGAACAATGGTAGCGTCCTTAGGATAAGTACGGCTGACAATGACTTGCTTTCCTTCATAGGTAAACTCTTTCTTCAGGGCGGCCTCCCTGGCTTCAGCAGTGCGAAAATTGATTTCAAAGTACTTGGTGGTTTGACTGACGTTACGGATGCGAAGACCCAAGGCATCCGGGAACTGACTACGAAGTACTATCGTAAGATCCTTGAAATTAACCTGCAATGCAAGGAATTGCTCGGTCGAGATGATCACAGAGTTCTTGTCCCTGGCGTGGAGGAATAGTTGTCCCCCCCCCCCTCGGTGAGCTGGCCCAGCTCGTCAGAGTTGCGAGATGTCAGATCAAATGTGTCCCTGGTTTGATCCGACTTCAGGATTTGTGCATATGACCGCATAGGATCCTTTTGTTTGGTGGCGTTGTGGCGAGAATCCGTGGCTTTTCCACCTTTAGGATCTCGTCCTTTAGGCAATGTTTGTTTATCGGGAAGAGCCATGAATCAAGTTGAAAAACATTAAAATTGACGAATCTGGAACAAACTATGAGTCTGGATTTCAATTAATTTTGGCGGCTGGTAGGGCTGGCTGGCAAACTCAATGCCCTTTTCATCGCACCAACGAGCTTCCTATGCCACCTCCATCATTTCTAGGCTTCGGACCTACTGTCAACTTCACTCCTCTCGCTGACTCACATACAGAGATAGGGTCACAGCTATCAACTCGCTTTTATTCTCCAAGCTTTGGCATGTTATGCGTCTCTTCACATTTTCTCATGTCCCACCAAACACATTGTATGGTCCACAGCTCTCTCCACATGTATGAATCCATCTCTGCACACCCCAACATTTAAGCAGTATCAAGACTTCATTCATCAAGGCTCTTCAATCACAATTTCAGCATCTTCATCCTATCCCAATCTTACAACGTACCAAGTATTCGCATGCATTCTTCAAACTATTTGGAACTGCCATTACCAATCCATTTTTGATTCCAGTCCTTTTGATCCACCTTATGTTACGACCTGCATTTCGAAAGTATTATTTACACTAGTTTCTCAAGATACCGTCCATTTAACTATGTAGAAAGGCAATCGATAGTTTTGAAATTTACAAGAGGAGAGTTGCAAGCTAAATAACACTATGGCTTGGTCCAAACATTAACTTTTTTTTCTTCATCTTGTTGTTCCCTTTTATATTATGGCTCTGAGAGTGCTTAGCGACTAATACTATTCATTTCTGCTCCACTTGATGGTTGATTAAGTATAATTAGTTTATTATGGTTGAACTTTATTTGTCTGAGGTATATAAGATAGTTTTCATGAGAAACTACTGTTGTTGCTGTAAGAATATTGGTTGTCTTGTATTGTTTTTCTCATTGGGTTCTGCAGCTGTAGCATTAAATTTGATCCAATCTCGGTTATTTTTTGAAATAAAAGAAGGGGATGGTGATCTACTACTGTTATTGCATCCAGCATGGCTACGGCGGCTTGCCGTCTTTCGTTTGTTGCTAATAATCACCTCCTGAGGAATCACAATGGTTGGGTTTTCTTCCTCTCTCGTCTTCCAACTTTGCAACGTTTTCACATATTTGGAAGCTGAACTACTGCTAAGCAGCAATGGTTGGGATTGCTGATAGTCATTATCTTTTCCATGATGGTCTGCTTTGAGCTCAAATTTTTCAAAAGTCTTGATCAAATCATGCGATTCGCTGAATTCTAGCGTACTGAAATCGATCAGCATCTTCTTTTCCTGCTGGTTAAATGGCGATGTCCACAGGGATGCTGGATCTATCTTATGCTGCTTGATATGTGATGGGTCCTACAGAAAAAATTAGCTATCACTGTATCGCATCAAATGTCAAACAAAAAATCACCTTTTTGATTTCGGGATTTGTTGTTGTTGTTGTTGTTGTTGTTGTTGTTGTTGTTGTTGTTGTTGTTGTTGTCGTAGGGGCAGTAGGGGCGCTAGCGTTTGTAGAAAGCATAGGGCGAACATATTTCTGTGATTTGAGAGGGTTTGTCAAGGTAGTGAATACTTCAGGAAAGGTCATCATGAATTCAAAAATTCTGATCCAAGTATTGCTCTCCTTGACCAATTCCAGTTGAAGTAGTTCGTTGGGCTTGTATAGCAATGTTGATGCTGATTTGTTTCCATACAGTAATTGGTTGCGACTGCCTTGTTGCTGTTGTTTCTTACGCAGAACTGCTCCTAACAGGATTTCGCGTGCTCTACGGAACAGCTGTTGCTTATTCAGCATAACTGGAAGTGATGTATACGAGTTTGAACACGATCTGCCATTGTTCAATGAGTACGATATTGATCTATTTTGCTTAGAATCGGGCAAAAGTTGAGATACACCATCGATGCGAACACATGTAGGAGCAAATATGATGGCCAGCGATTCAATTGACATTTGATTCTTATCTTGATGTTGTTGTATCGAGTGAGCCACCTCCAACAGAAATTGTAAGAGATGCAGATGCTCATGGGGCAGAGTTTTACAGATATCTTTCAATCGTCTTTTCAATGTTTCCTTTGAGCACTTTTCTTCATCTATCCGTATGAAAAGCTTAGTTATTTCTGGCTGAATTAACGAAAATACAGGGTTGCTCTTACCAAAAATATCAATGAATAATGGCTGGTAGCTTCTGGGAATTACTGGTTCTGGTAGCTGCTGCAAAAAACGCTTAAATAATGCAGCAAGTGAATGTGTTGAGACGGTTGAAGGAACTTTAACCAGAAATGGATTGTGGTGTTCCTCAAATTGTGCTTGCAATTGATTCACGGCAGCTGCTGAGCCAGACTTGCGAAATATCCCTTCAATGTCCAAGCCTACAGATGATAGACAGCAGTTTGGGATTGATGCCATATTCAAAGCAGGAAATATTTAAATAATACCTTTTTCCTCGATCTCATGAAAACATCTGCCTAATATGCCGGGAATTGATAGACCAGATGGTGTTGTAAAGCTAGAGCGAGCCAATGCGGTGACTAATGGTGAGCCGAATAAGGATAGCGATTGCATTAGAGAACAGTATAATCGAAATATAGAAAGGTAGAAGGAGAAGGAAGAAAGAAAGGGAGATTAAGAGGATTTTGATGTGCTCGCTCAAATGCCTGATAAATATCATGTTTTTCGTCTTTATATTTAGACTATATATCAATCCAGGTTTTTTCTGTCATCTCACAGTGTGAGCCTTCTAACTCGGAAAATTAACCATGGTGTATGCTCTTTAATATGTTCGCCTATTAATAGGCATTTGATGATCTGCCAGCATGAACATAGCAGCCTACGATCAAGGCCGCAAGCCAGGCGGTCACAGTCATCTGTTTTACATGAAATGTAAAACGGACGCTTCTCCTTTATAGCCGTACGTCAACCAATTTACTGATGGAGACCCGACAATACAAAATTATTCAAGCATCTACACAAGCGCTGCTCTTTATTAGATGTGCTTGCAATCTTAACATTACCTTTGTTACCAAGAATGAATTTGTATATGGACAGGAGTCATGCTACTGCGATAAATGCAAGAAAATTATCAACGATAAAAAAGTAACATACAAACTTAGCCTAGCTGTGCTAGACATCGAGACAAACAAGATGGAATCAGTTATTTTATACGATGATGAGGTTGCCAAGGCATTCGGATGTCTACCAGCTCAATATCTAGAGGTAGGATTCGCAATATGATGATCAGCACAACCGAAAACGTGCTAATGGCTCTATTTCAGTGCTTGAAACAAGATAAATGGCTATCCAAAAAGATTGAGGAGCAATTGGTTGGTCTATATTGCTCTGCTAGAGTCGAAAGAAACAAAGAGAATAGGCGAAAGGCCAAAAAATTCCAATTCCTCTACACGGATCAACTCAAAATGGTCGATTTGATCAAGGCTACTACAAATGATATCAACTTTGACGCCTCCGTCTTGTAAGCACCCTATACCCACACAAACGCAAAATAATAAATTTCACGTTTTACTTATCCGATGCCCATTGATTGGCCTACACCAAGCAAGTGCTCGCCTTCCTTCGAAAAATTTTTTTATTATTTGTCGAGAAAAAAAATGCGGAAATGAATTGATCCTTCTCTTTCTCTATCATTATGGCTGGTATCACTGTCAAGGACGTCAACTCCCACGGTAAGCAACGCTTTTCAACATCTATCTAGCATAAGGAAAGGAAGAGAGAGAAAGAGTGATGAAGATGCAAGGAATAGTGTGGGCCTGAAGGTGAGATCTTGAAAGACAATGTTGACATGAAAAATTTTCTGTGTAATTTTTCTTCATGTTGATACTATGTCAAAAGTGAAAGGACTCTCAATGAAAGGCATTCTATGCACATGAGAGGAGTACTGCTCTCACGATAGCCTGCCTTCTACTGTATTGCAATCACAAGATGTACATGGAAAGAAATCACGAAAAGGGCATTTGGGTGGCTTGGCGTCAGCTTTGAATGAGCTTTCAGCTTTTTGATTGTTCATCATGATCTTCGATATTGGCATCAACGACATCAGCAACAACATCGGCAGGACAGCAGCATTGACATCTCTTTCTCTCTCGCCCTTTCGATAAGCACTAAGGATCTTGTATTAATTTACTTCAATAGCTTTCATTAAGGCTTACGCTGCCTACCTCAAGCGTACTGGTAAGCTCGAGGTTCCCAAGTGGGTCGATCTCGTCAAGACCGGTACCTTCAAGGAATTGGCTCCCTATGACCCCGATTGGTACTTTGTCCGTGCTGGTAAGTTAACATCGTCGGTTGAAGTGTTTTGCATCCACTTGACACTGCTCATCCATAGCCTCCGTCGCTCGTCACATCTACATCCGTAAGTCTGTTGGTGTTGGTGCTTTAAACAAGGTTCACGGCGGTACTGTCAACCGTGGTTCTCGTCCCTCCCACCACGTCAACGCCTCCGGCTCCGTTAACCGTAAGGTCCTCCAATCTTTGGAAAAGATTGGTGTCCTCGAAAAGGATAAGAAGGGGTATGTTGCTCTTTAATGATTGACCCAATTCATTTGTTTAACTTTTTGCATGTTTCTGTTATAGTGGCCGTAAGATCACTCAAGATGGTCAACGTGATTTGGATCGTATTGCCATGACCCTCGCTGAGGAATCCGATGAAGAGTAAACTCTACATGTTTGCCCAACTTTTTTTACAATAAAATTTAAAAAAATACAATAATATTCAAAAAGCTTAATTAAATGTACTTTTTCTTGACGCCCGATCGAATTCTGTTGCTGGTGTATGGTATTTCCTCTGCTTTAGTTGATGGTGGATGCGATTTGGTTTGAAATAAATAGGCTTGTCAGTTGAAGACAGAGAGTCTGCCAAAATTGATGGTGGCTTTGGACGATATTACCATTTTAGGATTCCGACCAATCAGATAACTGTTCCTGAACTAAGCTTTAGCATTCGGGTCTGATCCGCCTTGGAAATCTTTGGTTGCTCTCACTATTTTATACTTGACAGGCTAAAGCATTGACTGCAACGATGTACATTCATGGTTACGCTTTTTTTTTTTACTGCGAAAGCTCAGTACTATCAATGCATCAGGAAGGCTAATTATACGATATTCATCAGCCTCAAGGCAGCCGTGTTTTTGATTAACAAAAGTAATTCGCATTGCTTTGGCATGCTGAACAATGATAAACACAAGCAGCATGTCTTCCCAATTGGTTATCCGGCATCTAAATGCAGTACATTATCCCGGGATATTCCATCTTACTGCAGATCTCTCTTTCAAAGCCAATAGTCAAAGATTTCTATGATCTTGATGAATGTATTTTTTAATGGAATAGTAATAAACAAAAGGTATCATTTTGTGTATGTGGTATTATTATATACTTTCTGCTTCTGTTGCTGGCTGTGATAAGTTATAAAAAAAAAAGCAAGATTAAATTTAAGGTAATACTAATAGTAAAGAAAAGAGAAAATAATTTACACAAATAATTAAATAAAAAGGTTTGTTTTGTTTGATCAATTATCGCATGCAGATGAGTGACAAGAAGAGAAGTGAAGTGAGAGGCGGTGGAGGAAGAAACTTTTTAGTCTGATCTATCTTTTTTTCTGTCGAGGAAAGAGATGGAGGAAGAGGAATAAGAGACGGAAGATGCCATCTTGTTCATTGTTGGTATTATGCAAGTGTTGTTTGTTGTTTGTGTGTGTATTTGTAGGCTGTGTTTTGTGTGAGTGTGAGTGTGAGTGTGAGTGTGTGTGTGAGTGTGAGTGTGAGTGTGAGTGCGAGTGCGAGTGTGAGTGTGTGTGTGAGTGTGTGTGCGTTGAATGTGATGTGTTGTGTGCAGTAAATTGTTTGACGAGAATCTTTTAGGCGACAGCATCAGGGAATACTTCACGAACAAGATAAGACAATTCCTTTTGTTTCGTACACTCAAGAGTACCGTTTTTGATGTCACCATGAATTCTCTATATCCCATAGAAATATGAGCAAAAGATACATTGCGACCACTTTATATATTTACCTTCAACACTGCTTTGGCACCAGGACGTGCAAGTCCGTTATGAGTCAGCATCCAGCGCACCAATTCAGTCATTCCTTTTGAAGGAATCGAAAAGTGGAATTTTGGTGGATCGCCGTACAAGATATCAGCGTAAATATCTTGACTGTTCTCAAGATAGTAAAGGGGAGGTACACGGTCCATCATTTCAATCATGGTGATAGCAAGTGACCAGACATCAACATTCTCTTTGTAGGGGCTTTCGGAAACAACTTCAGGTGCCATCCACTGGTTTAGCATGTTGATGAGTAATGAGATTAGACAACATATAGTGTAAAACACGGCTTACCTTGGCTGTTCCTAATCGAGATGTGTTCACCTTATTGATGGGAGTGGCCAAACCAAAATCAGCTACAGTGTAAGAATAATCTGTTAGAATGTTGTTTATATATTTACAAAAAAAGTTTACCTAATTTGACTTGACCGTTTCGACTCAAGAGTATATTCTCACACTTTATGTCACGATGCATGTAATTCTTGGAATGAAGATAGACGAGACCTTCCAAACACTCTTTGGCGATGCGAACTGCATTACCTTCACTTAGGCCAACAGTGGTATTATACAAGAGATTGAATACGGAGCAGGACATAAGTTCCATACACATCCAAAGATGGTCTTCCCAGAGGCAAGCTTCTCTGATTTGAATCAAGTTGGGGTGACTCAAGCATCCCATAATACGTAACTCTCTTAGGATGTAGGCGTGATGAGGTTTGTCTTGATCTTCGATATAGCATCTTTTGATGGCTACATGTGTCTTTGTATGCTTTCTTAATGCTCGTACAACAGCTCCATTGGCACTATGCGTTTACAAGAGCATTAATTTAGGATGGTTCCATATTTCGTATAAGTGTAACCTTACCCACTACCCACTTGACGAAGACCTTCAAATTGCTCTTTAGGATTCAACTCCATGATCTTTGATCCGGGAAGCACTTTCCGAAGTTTAGCGTCAAACTCAGCATGTAATTTGTGTTTGACTTTAACTATTGGTGGTGGTAATGGAATGATGCTGGGTGATTTGCCGACTGGAATCCAACGCTGCTGTGTGTATCTCTCAGTTAGTAAATTGGAAACAACTCGAATGCAGTATCATACCTTTGTTTGCACATTGGGTTTGTTCTCTGCTGGTTTCTTTTTGGGCTGTTGTATCATATTATGATGGATCTTATTTTTATTTTTTTCCCATGCTTCTTTTATAATGTCTGGTATCTCAAAGTTACCAGGTACACGCCATGGTGCCTGAATTTACGGTTTTTATTTATAACATGTATGGGCAAGACAGCGTTGTGGATGCATACCTTTTTATTATTGGCATTGTTGGACTTTTGCTGCTGTTGCGGCTGGTTGCCATGAGAACGCAATTTACGTGGTTTTGTATCCATGATCTTTTGCTGTGGTGAAGCAAGCCGGGTTGCAGCAGAAGAACTCGATGTATCAAACAGTGTGGGGGAAGTACTCATTGTAGAGTAAGCCACTTTTTGATAGATTGAATTATTAGATAGAACTGATATTTTGAAGGAAAAAAAAAATAAGTGGATATATAAAAAGAAAAGGAAATTGCCACCCTCTTGTGCTATGATGTGTATTGAGAAAGAAAGAAGAGAGAAAGAGAAGGGAAAAAAGGGGGCAGATGGACAAGAGAGAAAAAGCCTCGATTTAATCACTGTAATTCACTCTCACTCGCTCGCTCTGCTCTCGCTCTATCTTTGTAGCTTTGTTGTTGATGTTGTGTGTGTGTGTGTGAAGAAAAAAAGCTAAGGGGCCGAAGGGTTACAGAAATAAAATGATAATAAAAACGGGCTTTTCTTTTTCTGTATCATTTGAACTTTATATTCCATCATTTGGTCTTCACTGTTAATAGATTGGGCTGATACACATAGTGGGAACGTGTCATTAAGCACAAGAAACCGTTTCATCTTTCACTATAAACATGTATACAATGAAAAAATAAACATCAAACATGGATCGTCATGTTATAAGCCATATAATAATGAGATGATCGCTAATTTACCAAAACGTATTCTCACTATCACTTTATCGTCGTTTGAATAATAGTAAACGGTTTAACATTGTAACACCTTTTCTCGAGTAGTACTCATCAGTTCGCTCGGGTATCACCTTTTACGATTGTAGGTGTGCTGCAACAGTTGGAGAAGAAGGTAAAAAGTGCTGCAGATTGCATCAAATGGAGTTTTTCTTTATTTCCAGTATTACTCGTAGTCGAAATATCTGTTACTTTTACTTCCAACAAGCGATGGCAGTTGCTGCAAAGAGGAGGATGGCTGTGATAGTGGTGGTACAATAGTGGAGGCAGTGCTTGCTGAAGCTGCTGTAGTAATATTCGATGAGGATCTATTGGCATTATTGTCTTTTTTGAACAAAAAGTCTGTCAATGGACGTATAATGATGGACTCATTAGACATGGCTGCCATTGGTGGCGATGTGGATCGCATTGATGGTTGTGTTTGTGGCTGCTGCTGCTGCTGCTGCTGTTGCGAGGGCTGTTGACGAGGGGAAGGAGGTAATCTATAAGATTGTTGTTGATACCAATCATGCTGTTGTTGTTGCTGCTGCTGATGATGATGATGATGATGATGCATTGTTAGTCCTCCATAGTCACTAGTCGCAATGTCTTCCGTGTGATGATATCTGGAGGGCGTTTGCTGCTGTTGCTGCTGAGTAGTATAGACCGTCTTTGTGGTAGTATGGTTGCTATCAGGTCTCTGTTTTTTTTGCGAACACAATGTGTTACCCTCCCAATATATACATATACACAAGAAGAGGGACCTACCACTCTCTGCTGCTCATGGGCCATGTCTGTATATATCATGTATGTAATATATGCATGCATCGCATTTCGCTTTATACGAGGATTTTGCTTCTATTTCAAGGAAACGGTGAGTTTTTTTTTTTTTATTGCAACTTGGCAACCTCATCTGTGGTCCTACCATCGATAAGTATTGCCACGAAAAGGCATGTGTTCCCTCAGATTGTGACTCATGCTATAAAAGAGAATAGGTGGTAAATATACATGATACAAATTTGTTGTCAATGCATTCTAAATATGCATAAATTCCAATTTTTGTTAACGTACCGTCCCTCTCACTTCCTCGTCTTCTTTTATATGATGATTGCTCGATGGTGTGTTCCACGTGTCTGATGAGAAGACTCCACTATGTCCTGATAACGAGGGCCTTGAGTATCGATGACGTCTTTCGCTGTAGCGACGATGCAGCATAGACGAGGAAGATCGACCATCGCTATCATCATTTGAACCATACGTAAATGACTTTCTTTTCGTTGTACCTTACAAAACACATTATTCTCTGCCGTATATGGAAGCCACACAATGACCCTTCATCTTACCATGTCTACCGTACAACCGTATTTCCCTTCTTTCATAAGATCTACCTTTGTATTTGCCTTCATCATCAATTACAGCTGCTGCTGCAGCCAATAACATGATGGGATCAGGTTGACTCCGTTCTTGATGTAAATGTAGATTGGTATCAGTTTTGATTGGTAAAGACGCCTTAATGTCTCCTATTGTATACAATGTAAAATGTTAGTTTCTGTTATCTTTTTTTTTCCCATGACAAGCGCAAATTGTAATACCTCTGCTAGATACTCTTCGCTTAAAGACGCTCGCTTCGTTTGCTAATGAAATGTTGAGCAAGAGTCCTTTCAATATCGAGTAGGTTTGCTCTCATACCTTTTGGGGATGTCACTTGATTGGCCAAGTCAATCAATATACGGCTTACGTCTGCGTCGACCTCTCTATGATTGCTTGTACTGGAATTCAAGTCTTGCTGTAAATCATCTTGCGCTTCTCCTCTAGTCGAAGATGAGCGTGGCTGAATTTGAGTTGGATGTTCTTGTAGCATTTGCAGTCAGAGAATACAAAAAGTAGAAAAAGATGAAATAGAGAGAAGAAAAGGGGGAAGAAAAAAAGAAAACCAAGCGTGTGTGTCTTTAAACGAATAACATGATAATTTTAGTTTACATGTATTTGTTGGTGTAAATTTGATTGTCTTTGCTCGATTCAGAACCCGAATTTTGAGTAGTAGCCCTTTCACAGCCTCGGATGGACATGATGCGATACATGTCTACAGCGCAGGCTATGACGGACCACACTAAAGATCACAATACTATCTTTCATTCCACTTGAAAACACTTGCTTTGATCCATCATCGACCAAATAGCATTTTCGAATTCATCATGGCTGTTCGTAAGGCGGGACCATCATTCATCCTTGTAGCACAAACAAGCATAACAATCATGGCAGAGGGACGATACAACACCTTAATTTCTGTGGATCTTGGTCATTGCGCCAATTCCCATCTGGAGATTTCTGACATTTGTGCAATCGATATCTTCAAATAGGGCAAACAAGTATGTTAAATATGTCTATGGCAAAGCCGCTGTCGGCTCTATTTATTCTATTTTTGTAAATAAGCTCTACTTTTTCTTGTTGGTCACTGCACAATAAAACTGGGTTAGTACATTTTCGTTTGCTGTGTATGATTGAATCCCTCAGATTACCATTAAACTATAAAGAAAGTCTAGTAGTTAGTAATTCTACTCGCGTTTGTCTGGTGTCAAAGTGAAAGTTACCTTGAAATGTGCAATGTCGCCATCCTCCATGACATATTCTTTGCCCTTCTGCAGGAATTTACCAGCTGCTTTTACTGCGCTTTCTGATCCAAGCTCTTTCAAATCTTGGTATTTTATAATCTCGGCAGAAATGAAGCCTCTTTCGAAATCAGTGCTGTATATACAAAAGGATCAGTGCCTGCAGAATGCGAAAATCATATCAAACTTACTGAATGACGCCAGCTGCTTGAGGGGCTTTTGCATTGTTCTAGCAGTAAATAAGTGTAAGATTCCATTCTCAAGATGTGCTTCATGGGATGCCACTTACTCTAACGGTCCATGCCCTCACTTCTTGCTTGCCGCATGTGAAATAGTGGATCAAATCAAGTGCTTTGTAGCCAGCCAAGATAACTCGAGGCAATTGAGACTGAATGCCGTTGTCGTTCAAATAAGCCTCGGCCTCCTCCTTTGACATGTCAGCCAGTTTGGATTCTACTGATACTGAAAGAGGGATAATCAGATCGCCCTTGTTGTTTTCGTCTACCCATCTCTGGATGTCTGGGAGATGCTTGCTCTGATTGCCATTTATAAAGTCCTCTTCACTGGAATTGCAGAGATAGATCATAGGCTTGGCTGTCAGCAAATGTAGGCTATTGATTGTATTGACTTCATTGTTGTTCCAGTCTCCTTTTCTAACATCTCTACCCTGAGCCATAAATTCAGCTAGTTTCTCCACAATGGTCAATTCCTCCTTCTTCGACATTGTTCCTGGTAATCGCTTTGAATCAGGGAATTTGGCTAATTTTGCCAACTCGATCAATTGACGCTCCAACATTTCCTCGTCCTTTATACGAAGCTCGTTCTGGATAATCTCTAAATCTCGCACAGGATTGATTGTGTTTTCTACATGCGTGACATCGTCGTTTTCAAAGGTTCGGACAAGATGATAGATGGCATCCACTGATGCTACGTTGGATAGAAATGCATTGCCGAGGCCAGCACCTTGCGACGCACCTCGCACAAGGCCAGCGATATCCACAACGGTCAACTACATTTACATGTAAGCGATGTTGTTTCGGGTTTAGTACATGAAGATACTTACATGGGCAGGTGTGATCCTATCTGGTTTATAGGTATCTACTAGCCAATCAAACCTGTCATCAGGCACTTGAACTCGAGCTTCAGATGGATCAATGGTGCAAAATGGGTAGTTTTCTGCAGGAACACTGCTGTTTGTCAAAGCATTGAACAGAGATGATTTACTGGAGAGTTGAACAAAAAAAGAAAAAGAGAATCAGAGCACAACTTGTGTTGGTTCAGCATGCATATCATACCCAATGTTGGGCAAACCAACGACACCCATTGACAGATTATTGGAAGGTCTTCCCAGCAGAACCTTCTCAGTAGGCGCATCTTTTTTACTGGCCTTCTTTTTCGCATAGACGGAACTGCTAGTAGAGAAACTTTTGCAGCGAATGAAGCAAGGGATCTTTCTTGTGATATTTAGCATTTTATTGCAAGAAATATAAAGGGGGCATGAATTCCACCATGGTGAGTAGGTTGTTATTCAAAAAAAAAAGTGACTAGAAAGTGACCTGTAGTCAAGCTGCTTATTCAATGTCGTCCTCATCCTCTTCATCATATTGGCCGTCAGCGCAATCTTCTCCATCAAAATGACCTCGCAGGATTCTCTCAGCATTCAGCAGTAGCTTTCCAATCCTCTCCTCGACCCATTTTGTATGAACAGTATTATCATTGTCAATAGCTTGCGCTAGTCCTGGAAATTCTTTAGTTAGTCCAGTGTTCAGATCAGGGCCGTATATGACGTGCTTGAACCAACTACGGTCGACGCTCATTCCTTCAGGGTCCAAAAAGGCTCTCTCAAATTGTAGAATGCGCTCGTTACTCCTGGCAACGTTTCTCTTGAGCTTCTTGGATATATGCTTCTTGACGGACAATTGTTTGTTCCAATGCGATACTCGCTTGTCGAAATGCAAACTGGTGGCTGCCAGAGAATGCAAGGCAGATGAGATGAATGGGAAAGAAAGGTGGCCTTGTTTTGCTCCAAGACGTCCAATATAACGTGCAATTTCTGTCGAGTAATCTTGAGGGTACATGGGCAAGATGGAATCCGATGAGAGTCTCAGCACCAAAAGGCCCCAGATCTTTGTCAGTGTTTGATGGTACTCAAAAGTGGAATCACCAAATGCCTCCATCCAGTGAATGTCATCAAAAATACTATGATGGACTCCATATGCTTCGCCCCTAAAGCCTATAGAAATACTTGCAATGCCCGAATGATGGAAAAATGCAACATGGTCAGAGTCTACACCGAGCGGATCTGTCAATGGCAGAGGCGCAATGTTATCATGAGGGGATGATTCAAAGTAAAAGTCTTGCTCCTGTAAAGACCGGCCGCGCTCTTGTTTCCAGACTTGATAAACAGAGCGACTAGTCAATGGATCGATAACTTGGTCAGTTACTTGATACAGCAGCCTGTTCAATAAAGGAGATGCTTGTGCGCTAAAGTGTTTTCCAGAGACAGCATAGTCCACATTCAAATATGCAATAGCTTCCTCTTGCAACCACGATTCATGATCCTCCAACCATTCAGTGGATCCAACTGCACCGTATTCTTCTGCATCCCATGATGCAATAATGATCGTACGTTTTGGTCGCCATCCTCTCTCAAGAAGGACACCTAAAGTTCGAACCAATTCCATCTAATGCAAGTATTTAGTACATCTATGCTACTAAAAACAATACGTAGTATTTTACCAATACAGCAGAGCCTGACGAAGGATCGACAGCACCATATCCCCAAGCGTCGCGATGATTGCCAAGGATGATTGCGTGATTGGGCTCTTTTGTGCCTTTGATTTTGCTAATTACATTCCAAATTGGCTTTATCTGATATTGATTGATGTTGACTAAATTAATCTGCGCTTCGCTAGGGCCACTAAAGTAACTGACATTGCAAAGACCACCAAGCCATGTAATATCAGCCTGAATACCAAATCCCTCAGTTGACTTCAGCAAAGGCAATGCGTCTCGCCAGGAGATGGGCAAAGATGGAATTTTTGGTATACCCTTTGCCTCCGAGTATGGAACTCGGGTTGCGTTTTCTGTGGCGGCATATCCAGGAGTAGAAGGATCTCCAACAGCAAAAGATGTATATTGAACAGATCCTTGCTCTACAGATGTACCAGAACGCCTTTGTTGGGTTTTAGTAAGCATGCAAAGAAAATAAATAGTAAACAAAGATACTCACCAGGGGCCTTCAGGATAAGGTTTATTCATAATGAAGCCAGTAGAGGTATTGCTACTTTCATGCTGTCCACCGCCGGCAATAGGTCCATCATCCTCTGGATCAGAGTATAAAAGGACACCAGCACAGCCCATATCTTCCGCAATTTTGACCTTGAGCCCTCTAGCAATCATGCCGTTTCGAATCAATGCTATAGTGCCATTTACTTGTACGCCGCGAGCCATCAGGAACTGAAAGTCGGTGATACGACCATAGTTAACATACACAAGCGATGCTGTCACATTACCGTTACCCGAATAAGCTTGAAACGGCGGCTGTATCGTTTCATTACTCTCTTGCAAGGATGCTTCAAACAACAATTCCTCAGGGCCCTCCACTATGGCAAGTCTTCTTTGTTCAGGATAGTTGAGTAGTGGGTAATAGGTTTCGATATAGGAATCGTAAAGGCCATAATTGATCCATTGTTGACGAGTCCATTCGGCTAAAGTTTTGTCTTGCTCTAAGCCTGCAAGATGGACCTTGGATGCGTAAGTAGTAAAGTGATACTTGATATGATCACTAGATGGGATGGACTTCATGAGATCGATCGCTCTTTCTGGTGGTAACGCTATGCCGAAAATTGATGTTAGATTTTGACACCAATCTTGTTGCCATCCATGTGTCTGCGAGGACTTACTAAACTGAACATAATTGCGAATAAACCGATGTATAAAATACATGGATACTGTGCAAAACACCAGCGTAACCAGCAGCTTTAATCCTCTTGTTCTTGAGCGAAGCACGAGATTTCGACGGGTGCTCTTTTCCTTTTGTCTCGACGACATGAACAACATGTAATGATTCAACTTGTGCCAAGGCTGAAATAGCCATGAGCTAGTGCTTCTCTGCCTTCTTCTCTTGTCGCATAATTCTTCACCATTACCATTAACCATCAAAGGCGTCGTGTAATGAGGATTCTTTTCATCAAAATATTGTGGTTTTTCTGTTGTATATGGTACAACCGATAAGTACCCCTTTTTCATTGTAAATGTTAAAAAAGAGAGAGAAAAAGTATAACATTATTTTTTTTTATTTATATATGCATTTCATATCATGTTGATACTGACAAAATGCGAACTGAACTGTCCATATTGAGCTTTTATAAGAAGAAGGGGCAGTTTGTTACACGACAGTTAGTTCTATTCTGGACCCACTAATGCTAAACTATTAGAATTTGTTTCGTATTATTGTTGTTCTTGTACTCTTGTATCAGAAATTGTAATAAAATAGGGTATTTTCACAAATTTAACGAATGACCATAACTACAACAATATTTTCGTGCTAGGCTTTAAGCTCAAAAGAAGATGGCTATATATATCAGCGTCGTTTAATTACGATGGGTACGTTGGCATTCCGTTATGTTTACGACTATCAAACTCTGAAACTACACAATGCCCGTTCGTAGGCCAGCTTTCCACGATTAAGGTGTATGAATGCTTATCTGACATACTAAAGAGCCTATGATAATTATATTCCACAGATAAATATAGTTACTGTGTAAATGAGAACCAGATATAAATCTAAAGATCCTGGTTTTGAGTCAAAAAATGAAACGTATCTATTTATGTTTTGTGGAGTCAGCTTATAGACTTGTTGCGAGATCTCAAAGCTCTTTATACGTGATAGAGAGCAGCAGGTAATGCCATTGCAGTAGCAACCATATGCTACCGATATTCTTCAACCAAAGACAGGCGTCAAAACACAAGTACTAATCGTGGATGTCTATTGTATGCATGCATGGTTCATTGTGAGGATTTTAACTGTTAGTGTATGCAAACCAGATGTCTATCATTAAGGTTAAATAGCATACAACTAAACTAGGAGTCTGCCAGCCTCCCTTCAATTTTTTCAAACCCTTTTCTTGAATGCACTGAAGCAAACTTAACAGCTAAATTCTCGCTCGTCATAAACGAAGACACTTGCCAAACTTCCAATATCACTTTCGCTTTCCATGCGTAGTTAAAAATTCGAACTCCGATTATCATTTCATGTTCCAATTTGGAACCCCGTTCTTGCCAAGATGACGATGGTGCAAGCCAAATTTGCGTAGGTAGCATGGTTGTTGAGAAAATGGAAATTTTAGAGAATGGTAAATCTTAAATAGATGCTGCTAGTAGAACTTGTTAAATTATTATATAAATGTGGAATATATGTGTAGTGAAAGTTGTAGAGGGTAGGTTTTTTGATTAGGATATGTTTGAGGTGGGGTTATTGAGGGCGATGTCAATGAGTAATGACGGAAAATGTTCCAAATGACCGATTTTCAAAGGGCCATATCTCTGAATTTTACTAAGTGAACGAGAACTTCAAGCTTAATAACTTCTGTTTCTTTTTCAATTTTCTATACGATGATATGGTTATTATACATAAATAAAAAAAAAGTTGAATATCCCCTGCTTGTAGCTCATGAAATATAAGAATTTGAGCGAATTTATGAAGGGAGCGTACATCTGGTACTTAAAACCATTATATTATGATGGATATAACGTAGAGCTATCGAATTGTTTTTGTCTTGTGCAAATCCGGTGAGTATTTGTCGAGATACGGCCAAAAAAGGGTATCGTGCAAAATCATCAATTTTTGCTCAGAATTTACGTGTGATAGCAAGCAAAAAATCTGGTGACGATTTTTTGGTCAGGACAAGATTGTCAGTTTTTCATGATAGAGTTATGCCAGAGCTTCAAGCGATAGCAAATTTGATAGGAAATTTTTTGGTCTACAATGTTTAGTAATGCTTAACAAAATGTTTTGATGATAGATACTGATTAATCTTCTGAAAACAGTCAAAAAATTGCAAAAACAATCGTACCAAATATCAGGTGAGCAATGTATACCAGATACTTGATATGGATGCCATTGTATTCTCCTTTGAATTCTCTACAAGTTTTATATAAGTTTGAAGGGGTGCTTACTATCAAGAAACGCGTAATGTTAAGGTCGATAGATTTTGGAATCCCATGGATCATCATTCAGAATATTAGAGATTGAAGCTCCGTTGACCTTCCGCACATGTACACCACATATGTATGAATTTGACCGGGCATTTTAAAAATCGGAGCGTACGAAAAGAGCCATCAAATTAACTAATACATACATGTCTTTTATATAGTTCTGTAGCTGTTCTGTCTACTTCCCTTTCTTATATTTCACGTTTCTTATTTGTAAGGTCGCTTAGATTCTTTATGAATATATTCCTTATTTTATATCATAACCGATTCATTATCGCATACCCTTTTATATACGTTTCTATGTCGCTTTCTATTTTCTACTTTTTCTCTCTTTAATCTAGTTGGACAACTACTCTCCTGGTGCTCATTTCATAGTGTGGAATTTGAGGCTTGATAGACTAAAATTCACGGAAAAAAAAGAATAAAAAAACAATAATGTCAACTTGATAAAGGTATGTTTTATTATCAAACTGACAGGTGTAAAGTAAACTGAAGTCTCTCTACTGGCCAGGTAGATGATCCTTCTTATATACTATAACAATGGATAAAAGTTCTATTAATTAGATTAACAAATAAGTCAACTAATGTCTAATCATGCTAAAAGACAACTCCAGCAAGCTAATCATGATTTAGCTCTGTCTGGATGAATAATTAGACTCTCATCCGAAGTACCCTGATCTATCCTTTCTATAAGGATAATTAATATCGATCTAGTATCATGTATTATCCGATAGGTACAGTCTTCTTAGTCTATATTAATAGTACATATCTGAGTGTATATCGCTAAGCATACATCTTTAGCATGTATCTGGATATATGGCATGTCTATAGCATATCGTATGCATGTCTATAGCATGTCTCATATATAGTACAAGTCTGTAGTACATAACGTATCTGTAGCTAGTATCACGGATATAAGCATGCACTACGGCCCAACTGATGTTCTCATGAGAACATCGACGTGCTCATATGAGAATCTATTTGATGTTCTCAAATGAGCACATCGATGTTCCCGAAAGGTGAAAAATGCTCTCATATGGGAACATCGGCGTTCCTAAAGATCTATTATAAGTCGGCCGATGTTCTTATGAGAACATCCGAAATGTTCCCATGTGAGCACATCTATATTCTTATACGAGCACGTCGATTTTCAGAAATTTGAAAAGAAGAATTCTTCTACCGGGGTCGAACCCACAACCTATCGGTTGTGGATCTGACGTTCTTCCCACTAAACTACTCGAATATCTTATTGAAATATATTCTTTTACTTTAATAAGTAGTTATTAGGTAATTTTAAATTGTCATTTTCTCGTGCAATTTATAATACGTTTAGTAATTTTATGAATCTTACAGATAATAAAAGTCTCTCTGTTGCCTACAATATTATAGTTTAGCTATTCAAACCATTTTATTCATGTGGAAAACTACACCTTCTCAAATGAGAACATCAATGTGCTCATGAGAACATCGATGTTCCCAAAAGAGCACATCCATGTTCTGTGAGAGCATCAGTTGGGCCGTAGTGATGTGTCTTATAGCGTGGATCATGAAGTGCACATCTGAAGCAACAAGCTCATATTGCATTAATCTTGGTGCCTATCCAGATATGGTAAACATCCGTAGTCAATGTCGGAATACAAGTATAAGTCTATAGTGCCATCCATGTCCGTGGTGCCATCTATAGCCTATATCTTATATAGTATGAATCTTATAGTACTAGCGTATCTGAAGTCCATATCTTCTCATAGTATAAATCGATATCGTACATCTAATCCAGTGTACATACAGTTTATATCTAAATCTGGTAACTGGATGAACTGTCGGAATGCAGATCATAGTGGATGTATTCCACAACACCCATGGTGGTCGTAATAAGTGATGGTATCTTTATCCAAATAGAATTAAATCAATAACAAGCATATTCAAATATGACAACTATGCCCTGCTGCCATAGTTGCACAATATCCCAGATAAAGGATTCCATGCTTCAATAACAAACACCACACTTTAAACCATCAAGGTTACATTAAATCATGCTATGACGATAGCTCACCCAAGCCCATCAAGGTTACTCAAATCGACCCTTATGGCCAGTGCTCTTGCATTGATTACCACTTTAAATCAAACATCAACAACATTTGCCAGATATCGCAATAGCAGAACCTATTGCTCTCTATCATCACTAATCCTACAAGCTAGATGCAATTGTATAAATACTCTTCTTTTTTTACTCAATTCCAGGATCTTCAGTTCATTTTATACACAAAATAAAATACAGTTGATTTCTATTGTATTTTACTATTGCTTTATTTTTTTTGTGAAATCTATTTAAACCTAATTTCACTGCAAGGGGCATTCTTTTTTTCAAATTTCTGAAAATCGATGTGCCCATATAAGAATATGAATGTGCTCACATGGGAACATTTCGGATGTTCTCATAAGAACATCGGCCGACTTATAATAGATCTTTAGGAACGCCGATGTTCCCATATGAGAGCATTTTTCACCTTTCGGGAACATCGATGTGCTCATTTGAGAACATCAGTTGGGCCGTAGTGTTAATTATCCTTATAGAAAGGATATATCAGGGTACTTCGGATGAGAGTCTAATTATTCATCCAGACAAAGCTAAATCATGATTTGCTTGCTGGAGTTGTCTTTTAGCATGATTAGACATTAGTTGATCTGAGTTGACTTATTTGTCAGTCTAATTAATTGAACTTTTATCCATTGTTATAGTATATAAGAAGGATCATCTACCTGGCCAATAGAGATACTTCAGTTTACTTTACACCTGTCAGTTTGATAATAAAACATACCTTTATCAAGTTGACTTTACTGTTTTTTTATTCTTTTTTTTTCCGTGAATTTTAGTCTATAAAGCCTCAAATTCCACAAGCGCATTTCAAAACGAAAGATTTATGCCTCAAAATTACAATTTAAGCATCCACCACTTAAAGCTTGAGCTTCACACAATGCTGACTATCTGGAACGTTAAGTAGAAATGAAACTTACTTACTCGTTTGTCAATACGACCTACAACGCCTTACTTATAGGTCAGATTCAGTCCAAATCTAGCCGTTTTCAAACACAAATAACTCATGCCACAAAGCGTTTTATGCGCTTGGAGTAACACCAAACGGCTCCCCTTGGTTGCGCTTTACTTACTGATGCTTTATCTCAAATTTTTTTAGGTCACTGCAAATCCATGAAAATCATCATTTTAACATGAGTAATAGCAAAGGAAAATTCTTGAAAATCAAACGATCGCGTTTTTCACCACAAAAATGAAGACTTTTTCTATGATACATATGAAATCAAATTGATTGTAAAGATGGAATGCAACATTGGAGACTACTTTATGAGACTTTCATATGCTGAATCTTGACATTTTTGCGGAAAACCAATATTCATATCTTTGAAGGTTGCTCATTATTTTCAGTCTGAGGTCTCAATGCAACCAACATCATTCGATGCGCCTTAATTGACTCTTTATAGACGCATTAGAAAGTAAAGACTGACAACGACAGTTTCTATAGTCGAATTTGACAAAAACGTTTAGAAAATGTAAAATTAAGTCAAGTTGAAATATGAAAATGGCCACTGCACAAATCCATGTTCAAGTGCCGCAACCGCAACTGCCTTGGCAGAAGGCTGAGGTCAAGTCTACTGACGGTGACGTCGGATAAGGCGCTGCCCTTCTATTTTTTTTTCTCCGTTTCCTCCGTTTGCAAAACGCGTTTAGTATCAAACCATAATATTTTCTTTAAAAGCGTTTTGATTGAAGATAGCACTCTTGCTTCTGATAACACTGTCGTGTGCTGCTAGAAGAGCCTGGCATTACCTCTCTGACGTGTAATATAGAAGGTATTATTTGATTATGTACACTGGAAGGTGTAGAACTAACATTAAACGTATATATTTATTAAACTTTGATATTTCTTTTGCCTGTTTTACGTGGGTGCTGCTGCTGGTAATCTGGTCTTTCCTGGTCTACTGTCTTTATTGTATGGTTGTTCTATGGTCTATCTGTGGTCTATCTGTGGTCTATCTGTGGTTTATATCTGGTCTATCTCTGGTGATTGCCTATTTTCTGGTCTATTTACGGTAGTGGTAAGTGGTAAGTATCTTTTTTCTTCTGGCCGCGATGATATAAACCTTCTTTGAACGTTTGTATTATTGCTTCCTTCCTCATGATAATGCATTCATGATATTTTCTTTGTTGCGTCTTTCTTTTTCTTTTGTTGATTGTGTTGCCTCTGTGGCTTCACATGAAACAACATTAGTCATTATGTTCTATTGCAAGCTTATAATACCACCGTTGCTTTTGCAGTTGTGCATGTTTGTGTTGCTTTACATCTGACTATTACCATGCATGTTGCTCATGTATGCATTTTTGTTGCAACAACAATGAGCTGTTCTGAACATCTCTAATGTTTTATTTCTTATGCTTTTCTTTGAATCACTTTGTGTGAGTCTCCCTTTTTTGCCTATGTACTACTATATTCTTATAGTAGTATGTTCTTTTCTTCTTTCTTTTATTCTTACTATGTTTCTTTGAAGCATACCTTTTTTACGTTGTGTGGATGTGCCTATCCCTGAAGCTCAACAAGATCTTATCCGAGGCTAGGAGGTAGATAGGCTGCTTCCACTTGGTTATCACTACTTACTTTAGTGATGATTGAGGGTCTCAACGCCAGAATTTAAAGCTAGGTGGTGTAAGTAAGGCATGCTCTAGCATCTGGGGGAAGTTTGATGATAGCAGCGGCTATATTGCTATTATAGCTGAGCTTAAAATTTTGCCTCACATCAAAACAGGGGGAAACCCTCGCAAATTTTTTTTAGGTCAGCGGAGTTTTCAAGCAATTTGATTGGCTGAAAGGTTCAGGGACCGAAGGTTTCTAGCTAATTGATCTCCTATTGAGCTGTCATTTATAATGAGTTTATATTTGTAATAAAAAGGTAGCAAAATATATTCTACTGTAGGGGAAAAAACTGTCCCGTTCGTTCAAATAATCTTGAATTTTACCCAGTATATTGCCAAAACTCAGAAAACAAAGCTACCCCATACTGCGTTCGATAGAACAGCCTATAGGGATTACAGCAACATAAAAACCTTATGGCTGGACTATATTTTAATCCCAGTATAACCAGCTAAAGTGAGACGTAGCAAAAATATTAGGTGGGTAATTCTAGACGATATAAAGTGGTTGATATCTTTACTTCCAATAAACGTATCGAAGAAATCTAAAAAACTACCCGCGGTATGCTCAGGATATCCAATATCCTAGGAGCATTCTAAAAGTATAAAAGAAGCTAGTTTTTTCATGTTTTTTTCTTTATTTCTTTGCTTTCTTATTTTTTTTCAAAACTTTCATTATGCCTGCTCGTTTAACACAAGATTTGCGCAACACTCTCCAATCTTTGCTCCAACGTGGTCTTTCGTTCTCAAAGATAAGAAATTTGTATCCAGGAGTGGGTAACTCTACTCTTACAAGACTCAGAAAACTATATCGCCCTGACCCAGCTAGACCTCTTGGCGGAAGACCGAAAAAACTTGGTGCTGAAACTATGTCCCTAGTGTCAAGAGGACTTCGATCAGGTGCTTTAGATAATCCCCGAGTAGCACAAGAAAGTTTAAGATCGATGGGCCATGATATATCAATTAATGGCATCCGCAAGTCATTCAGACGAAATGGACTTAAATCTCGTAGAAAAGTAAAGACCAATTTTGTTAGCAAGACAAACAAGCGGCTTCGATTGGCGTGGGCTAAAAAGCATAGGCATCTTACTATTGCTGATTGGCGTCGTTGGGTGTCTTCGGATGAAACAAGAATAAACCTTTGGGGCTCAGATGGTAATTCTTTTTACTGGACGAATGGTGGCCGAATCATGCAGTCGTATCAAGTCAAGTCTCAGTTGCAGGGAAATGACGGTGGGGTCATGTTCTGGAGTTATATAACAGCGGAGGGGCCTGGTTATGATACTACCATTATTGAAGACGCAATAAACTCGGGCTTATATGTCGATATTTCGAAGACATCATTGAACGATACTCTTGAGCACTTTGGGAAGACACCATCTGATGTGCGATTTCAACAAGACAGAGCAACACCGCATACATCGGGCATTACTAAACAATGGTTCGCCGACAATGGGTTTAACCTGGACGAAATCATGGATTGGCCACCCCAAAGTCCCGATCTTAATCCCATTGAACATGTCTGGCATCTCCTAAAGCTTAGGCTTAATAAGTATCCCACTAGGCCCTCTACAAAAGAAGAATTAGAGCGGCGTATTAACATTCAGTGGTAAAAAATAACAGAAAAAGAGTGCCAGAAATATATTGATAGTATGCCTGCCCGAATCAAGGCTGTCATCAAGAGCAAAGGTGGTTCAACTCACTATTAATGATTTTATAATAAAATGTACATTTTTCTATATTTATTTTTTAACCAATAAAATCATTGAATTTTAGTTTTTGAAAAAGTTATAATTATGTATAAATAGCACTACTTTCTCTCATTCAAACGATATCTATTTCGACTTTGTATACAAAGAAATGATCAAAAACTTGTGAAAAAAGACAAAATTTTAAACGAACGGGACAGTTTTTCCCCCTACAGTAGCTTGGTATTCAGGGCAAGAGTGACCGTGGAACCAAGTTTTGCCACACCATTTGCAGAAAGTGTTTCCGCTGGCCTTCTTGGGTACGTTTGCCTTTTCAACTACACGTCTTGATGAAGAACCACCTTTGTTCAGACGACAGTCCTTCTCGTGATGTCTGGCCTGAGAGCCTCCATGGTTTGAGCAGTAGTAACGAGGAGCAGAAGAAGAAGCAGCAGCAGAGGAAGAGAATCCAGATGAACCGGATGAGGATGACGAAGCACGAGAACCACCATGTCGCTTTGCGTTGACAAACGAAACAGGACACTTTTGAGTGTTGAGGACGTTCATGGCACAGGTAACAATCTGACTGGTGGTGAAATTAGAACACCCAGGGAAGTGAACACCGAGAACAGCGTTGATTTGGATCTGCCATTCATTGGGGAAGCCGAGCAAGAATGTATCGCCAAGAGTGGTATCCTCAGATGAGTAGCCTGCCTCCATCATAGCCCGAGCGAAACGGTTGTAGTACTCCTCCGTAGTTTCACCATGTCTCATAGTAGCCGTTTGTACCTCCCGGCGAGCATCTAGACGCAGAGCAGCATTACTGAATTTTGATGTGAACTTTTCCTTGGCGGCAACCCATGTTTCAGCATTCAGTAATTCTTGATTTAACCAAAGATCCAAGTCGTAAGGTATCGTGAGAGGGATATACCGGCGCCAGACATCCTCGATTGCCTTTCCGGAAGACGAAATTACCTTCTCAAAGGAGCGCAGAAAATGGTGAATCGAATCATAGGAGATTTCATTGGGAAAGTACTTGGTGGCATGCGAACGAAGTTGGAATTTAGGTAGGTCTTGCTTGGACAATGAGATGCCCTCATTGTCACCAGTGAGTGAGGCGGTGACATTGGATTCGGACAGCTTGGCTGAGTGTTTGACAGTGGAGATCAGACGATTCAGGTCCTCAATCTTGGATCGCATATCTTCAATATGCTTTTGACCGTGCTCATTGTTCATATCAGTTCCCTCGACCATGTCCAGCAACAGACGTACAAACGAATCCCGACGCCAGACCAATTTCTTGATGGAATTCAACGTGCTAGAACCAGCAGCAGAGGAGGATGCATTACCTGATGAACATGATGTCGACGCAGACAAATGAGAAGTAACTTGAGATGAGGATTTACCACCATCATTGGGAGCATGGTTAGCCAAAGCAGGAACAGGAGAGGATCGCAATGGCATAGCATCCATCATGGCAATATCCTCTTGATGGTTTGAAGGTTGAGGTTGTTGTCCGACATCAGTACCTTGATCCAAGTGGATGGCCTGGACTTGCTGCCTAGTGTGCTCAATGGTATCGTCACCAGGTTGACGTTGAGCAGGAGAACCGTGAGCAGAGGGGACAGAAGGAGAGCCAGAGTTGTTGGTATTGTCAGACATTGTGATAAGGTTTGTTTAATAAAATATAGTTTGAATATTGTAAAAAATGCAGTGAAATCAGGTTTAAATAGATTTCACAAAAAAAATAAAGCAATAGTAAAATACAATAGAAATCAACTGTATTTTATTTTGTGTATAAAATGAACTGAAGATCCTGGAATTGAGTAAAAAAAAGAAGAGTATTTATACATTTGCATCTGGCTTGTAGGATTAGTGATGATAGAGAGCAATAGGTGCTGCTATTGCGATATCTGGCAAATGTTGTTGATGTTTGATTTAAAGTGGTAATCAATGCAGGAGCACTGGCCATAAGGGTCGATTTGAGTAACCTTGATGGGCTTGGGTGAGCTATCGTCATAGCATGATTTAATGTAACCTTGATGGTTTAAAGTGTGATGTTTGTTATTGAAGCATGGAATCTTTTATCTGGGATATTGTGCAACTATGGCAGCAGGGCATAGTTGTCATATTTGAATATGCTTGTTATTGATTTGATTCTATTTGGATAAATATACCATCACCTATTACGACCATCATGGGTGTGATTGAATACACTGTGATCAGGAGTGATTCATTCACACGATGTGCGATATAAGCGTGTATCTTTACTTTAGTATTTTTAAATGGGTTTTTGATGTACATTTGAGCGCTTTCATTAATAGATCCAAATAGCATGAATTTGAATGAGTGCTATTTGATGAACTTTGGTTTTCAATTAAGTTGCGTTTGGGTGGCTATTTCATTACACAGCTTACTAAAACTTAGCTTATGTGAATATCATGGTTATCGTTTACATGTTGATACAGTTTATTTACATATGCTCCATATGTGCATAGTTTATTACTGAATTCAATCTACGATATTGTGATTCAGGAACAGTTAGATGTGTGAATACAACATGTTATAGCAAGGTCTCACACTAAAGGTTTTAGGCTATTCTTAGGTCCTTTGGTTAAATCATGCCAATCATGATTTACAAATCAATTGTTGGATAGATAGTAAACCTATTTGTATTATAGTTCACCATCATGCCGTAAACCCTAGCATAATGAAAAAGTATATAAATGCATCCTTGGGATGCATTCTCAATAAAAGTGTAATTCTTTGGCAGGTTCAATTTTACATTGTATTTTGACATAACATGGTAATCAATGCAAGAGCACTGGCTGTGGAATTTGAGGCTTGATAGACTAAAATTCACGGAAAAAAAAAGAATAAAAAAACAGTAAAGTCAACTTGATAAAGGTATGTTTTATTATCAAACTGACAGGTGTAAAGTAAACTGAAGTATCTCTACTGGCCAGGTAGATGATCCTTCTTATATACTATAACAATGGATAAAAGTTCTATTAATTAGATTAACAAATAAGTCAACTAATGTCTAATCATGCTAAAAGACAACTCCAGCAAGCTAATCATGATTTAGCTTTGTCTGGATGAATAATTAGACTCTCATCCGAAGTACCCTGATCTATCCTTTCCATAAGGATAATTAATATCGATCTAGTAGCATGTATCCGATAGGTACAGTCTTCTTAGTCTATATTAATAGTACATATCTGAGTGTATATCGCTAAGCATACATCTTTAGCATGTATCTGGATATATGGCATGTCTATAGCATATCGTATGCATGTCTATAGCATGTCTCATATATAGTACAAGTCTGTAGTACATAAAGTATCTGTAGCTAGTATCACGGATACAAGCATGTGTCTTATAGCGTGGATCATGAAGTACACATCTGAAGCAACAAGCTCATATTGCATTAATCTTGGTGCCTATCCAGATATGGTAAACATCCGTAGTCAATGTCGGAATACAAGTATAAGTCTATAGTGCCATCCATGTCCGTGGTGCCATCCATAGCCTATATCTTATATAGTATGAATCTTATAGTACTAGCGTATCTGAAGTCCATATCTTCTTATAGTATAAATCGATATCGTACATCTAATCCAGTGTACATACAGTTTATATCTAAATCTGGTAACTGGATGAACTGTCGGAATGCAGATCATAGTGGATGTATTCCACAATCTCTCTTTCCTAATAGAAGCACACAAATGGGAAGCAACTCCACATTACCCATCCTTTCACCCTCTAGTAACATTATCAATATCATCATTCACCATCTTTCAGCAACAAATATAGCTTTCCAGCTATAAAAACTGTTCAAGCTTTTAGGATTATTAAGGGTATCAAAATCAATCATAGAAGGGTCAACCCTTCATTACAAATTATAGCATATAGAAACAGAATTCAGGACACATAATTCATAGAATCAATTTAATATAAATATTCAAATGATATCAAACAATAAAATATTATCTTATTCCTACCTGAAAATTATATCTATATAGCTCTATAGCTCCGATCCTTAACTTTGTTATTTCATTGAACTTATCAAATATAAGATCCCTTGAATCCTTTGTATACATTAACGTATTGATTCATTGTACTTTATCTACTATTATCACTTTATTTACACATCTCTTTCTTTGCTTTTATATTCTTTACTAGTTGGACAACTATAAACCTGGTGCTCATTTCTATAGACGAATCTGCTTTGGCTATTTATCTCTATACTTACTCTATTATCACTCTTACATTATTTCCAGAAGTTATTGGTGCACTAATAAAAAGCAGTTTGGTGCACTTAGAAAAATCAATTTGGAGCACCGCCAAAAATCATTTTGGTGCACTCATTAAAATACGATTGGTGCATTTGCAAAATAAATTTCGTGCAAAAATTAAAACGTATTTGGTGCATTATGCACCAAATGTGTTTATTATATACTTTTTCTCTCTAAACAGTCAGCCCATCTGGCAGCAGAGTATCTGCAAAATCCTTGTAAGTCGATGATCATAACCTTGTTACAAGAGTCAGAAATTCTAGTGGATAGCGTTTCTTCTTCCAAAAGCGCTACTCTCTTGAGCTTGCGTTTCACTATGGACCAAAACTGCTCGATTGGATTAAGTTCCGGAGAGTAAGGTGGGAGATAAACGCATCTATACCCTCTGCCTTCAATGTACAGTTGCATGTCTTTGTTTTTGTGGATAGGGGCATTGTCCATAATCAAATAGTGATCCTTGAACTGTTCGTACTTATCCATCACATCCAAAGTGCTGGCGACAAAATTGAAATAATGCCCAGTAACGGTTCCTCCCTTACCTGCTTGAACAGGGCCACTTGTAGCTTTTCTTTTTTTCGAGGGTGCCGTAACTTTTGGAAGCTTCACCTTCACGTTAACAATGCCAAAGGAAGATATGGCCCCAATGATTGTCGTGGTTTTTGCTCGAGTTTTGGGAACATTTACAACAGCTCGCTTTCCTTTACCTGACCATGCATAGTTGCGCTTCATGTTGATATGAAATGCAGCCTCATCAATAAATACGCAATTGCTTGTAAAATCCATGTCAGTTTCTTGCCACTGCTTGACCCAATTGTATCTTTCTTCAATCTTCTCGGGACTATTTCGCTCTACAGAGTGGAAATGAGCCCTTTTAAGAGAAAAATGACGCTTTTCATAAAGAAATGTGTGCAAGGCAGATTGGTGAATATCAAGGCCAACAAACTGAGCATTCAGTTGTTCCATCATTTCTTCCAAAACTGAGTCCACTACGGCCCAACTGATGTTCTCATGAGAACATCGACGTGCTCATATGAGAATCTATTTGATGTTCTCAAATGAGCACATCGATGTTCCCGAAAGGTGAAAAATGCTCTCATATGGGAACATCGGCGTTCCTAAAGATCTATTATAAGTCGGCCGATGTTCTTATGAGAACATCCGAAATGTTCCCATGTGAGCACATCCATATTCTTTTATAAGCACATCGATTTTCAGAAATTTGAAAAAAAGAATGCTCCTACCGCGGTCGAACCCACAACCTATCGGTTGTGGATCTGACGTTCTTCCCACTAAACTACTCGAATATCTTATTGAAATATATTCTTTTACTTTAATAAGTAGTTATTAGGTAATTTTAAATTGCCATTTTCTCGTGCAATTTATAATACGTTTAGTAATTTTATGAATCTTACAGATAATAAAAGTCTCTCTGTTGCCTACAATATTATAGTTTAGCTATTCAAACCATTTTATTCCAGTGGAAAACTACACCTTCTCAAATGAGAACATCAATGTGCTCATGAGAACATCGATGTTCCCAAAAGAGCACATCCATGTTCTGTGAGAGCATCAGTTGGGCCGTAGTGGTCTGGTTTTTCATCTACTATGCTGATCAAATCCATTTTGTGCTCTTCTCGAAGTTTTGCTGGCCTTCCAAACTTGCTGCTCTCTTTTTTGTGTGGTAGGTTCTCGTCTTTTGCCAAACTCTCCGCACCTTTCTTGTACCAGTTTTGACCAGTACTGGGAGGGATATTTACCATTTTACATGCTGCGCGGATGCTCAGTTGTTTCTCGTAAACGTAAAAGAAAAACTTGTCTTTATCTTCAGGTTTGTATGAACGATACCTTTTTCTTTTAATTTCTCTTGAATCCACTTTTTCATCATCATCTTCTTCTACACTATCTGCCTCACTCGTCTTGCTTGGCTTTTCTGGTGGCTTCAGATACGTATACTCACCAAAGTTGGTTATGTTAGCCAAAGGGTATTGTTCATTGTCTATCTCCATGGAGATGACAACAGCAACTGATTCACCCTGCTCATTGCAGAGATTGCCGTTTCCATCTTCGAAAATAAATTGATCCATTGAATGAAGTAATACTTGTGATAAGAAAAGAACTAAAAGTGCATCAAATACACTTTAATTTTTGCACGAAATTTATTTTGCAGGTGCACCAATCGTATTTTAATGAGTGCTCCAAATTGATTTTTCTAAGTGCACCAATAATTTCCGGAAATAGTGTACTATTTATACTACATTTAATCACTTTGTAACACTATATGCCGTAGTTCTGATTATCGAAAAGAGCAGATTGTTAAAAGACAAAAACTATAGCAATCACAGCTGCCTCTCTTGTTGGTCCTGCCATTGTAACGTCTACATACACTACATTTCGCAAAATGTAGAAAAATATGTCCGGCTTACCTGATTCGAACAGGTGACCTAAAGATGACAGATTCACTACAGTCTTCCGCTCTACCAACTGAGCTAAAGCCGGATGGATGCTTGAATGTCAGATGCTAATACGTAGAGATAGTATATGCAATCTGAGATCTGATCGAGATATAAATGGAAGTAGATATAGAGAGTGTGCAGGAAGATGTTATAGCCTTTTAGTTGAATGGATAAAAAGGTGCTTTATTAATATTAGATTTGAACATTGATTTTATCCAATATAGTTTGTGTAATGTTGTGCGCTATCCAGGTTAATCGCTGTTTAATGTTCCTGGTAGCTGGCGCTCTAGGTTTAAACCTGCGCTTCTTATTCTTGTTTGTGTTTAGTCTGTCAATGATATCCTGCAGATCTAAATCACTGTCAGAATACCCTTCAACCCTGACATGAATGGCTCACTTGGTTAGAGCTTCATGCGGAAGCAGTGAGTATGCCGAGAGGTCGTGGGTTCGAATCCCACCTTCGCATCCATATTTTCCGCCTTTCTAACCTGGCATGTTACTCGGTATTTGTGCTTGCACGTTTAGGTGTGCTGCGGTGCGTCTGGCCGGTTTCTACCTTGAGTCCTGTTCGTCTCCCCCGTCTTGCGGCGCGGCCATTGCCATTCTTCCTTCTGTTTCTCCTCTTCTCTGGTGGGTTTTGATGCCGTTTTCATTACTGGTCCCCTCCCTTTAGCAGCTTCCCTCAACCTTTAATTTAAAACATGCTTTTTCCCGCCGAATCACTGTTAGTCTTGCAACATATGATCATACCGATTCCGCAGTTGACTACAATTGTAAATAAATAAAATCCAATATTAAACTGAGCTAAAGCCGGATCTCTTCCCGTTTTTCGACACTTTTTGCCACCCTCTTCGGAAAAAGTATCCTGAAAACCACAAAAAACGTAATATCTCATCATCCAGTACTCCAATCCACTCGAAATTGTACCAGTATACTTGCATCCATCAACAGTTTATTGTGTTATAATTTCAGAATTGTCGTACACCTGTTTCATATTTTTTCGAATTGTTGGAATTTCAAAAAATATTCAACGCCATGGACACCAATCTACAAGCTCTGGATATGAGTCACTTTCCAGCGATACTGCAACAAATCCAGCAACAACTTACTTTGGTAACAGAGAAAGTTAACAGGCATGAGGACCTCCTTACACGTCTGGCTGCTTTGGAACAAGAAAACAAGGATCTGAAAAAAATTTTACAAGACAAGGACCTGGTTATTCAAAAATTACAACAAGGTCCAGTTACTAGTCACACCACTTCTCCTGGTTCGGGTCGACCCAAGGGGGGCGAAAGTTCCTCTATCCCAGTGTCTCCAAAGCCTCTCAAGGAAGCTCCTAATTTCGCCCAAATCGCTACTGCTGCTGCTCACAAGCCTGATCCTAAGAAAAAAGACAAAAAACGTCTTGCTGCTGGTCGTGCCTTTACCACTGCTGCTACCAAAGGTGTCCAGGGCTATCAATATGTATATATTGGTAGATCCCGAAAGATCCAACGTTCTGAAGTGCGTAAGCATCTAGCTAATGCTAGTGTTGATCTGGGTCGTGTCTTGGATATCTGCTTTCCTGCCTCCCATATTATTGGTGTTCTGTTGCACGTTCAATACGTTGAGGAATTTACTGCTTTATTGACCAAGGCTAAGGGTGAACTGTTTCCTGCTTTTGATCCATTGGACCCCAGCAATATTGCTGATCCCAAGTACGCCAGCCTCTCTGATGATGATCGTCATGCTCTGATCCACCAATTTACTGAAGCTCGCTGCCTGCAAACTTTGTCCTTCCTCCGCCCACTTAATGTTAGTGGTGTCGGTAAGTACTTTATACAGAAAGGTTGGATCTGCGATGAAAGTCTCTCTGTTGCCGTTGCTCAGGCCGTTGAACGCTTTGCTAAGAAGGAGCCCAAAAAGGCTGATTTCCTGTTCCGTCGCAAGCTGAACTCTGATTCCCAGGACAAGGCTGGATCTGGTAGTGATATGTCTGATGTGGATCAATAATGAGTTCCTTCTCTGCCCCATCTATACTGCCTAATAATGTTAATGTGCCTGTCTCCCCGGTTTTCGTCTCTCTTTCACTCTGGAATGCCAATGGTCTTCGCCAATCAACAGTCCATGATGTTCTCTCTCATGTACTGGATACTCAGGTTCTGCTGGTTACTGAAACTTGGCTTACATCTGGCTCTTTTCCAACAAACTGGTCTCAATTCCATCTCTATGGTTCAAAAGTACCTGGTGCTTTCAATCGTGGTTCTGGTGGTGTCACTGCCTTTGTCTCTCCTTCCTGTCCCTTCACTGTCTCCCAACTACCTTCTTATAATCCGCACACTCTGTCTCTAAAGGTTGGCACCCTTACGGTTCATTGTGTTTACTTTCCTCCACCCTAATCATCTGATAAGGTGCTCTCGGCCCTTAGTTCACTACCTATGACTAGGGATACTATCCTCTGTGGCGATTTCAATGCTCGGTTGGGTTCTCTCACTGGTGATGCTATCTCCAATGCTCGTGGTAATGCTCTCAAACCTTGGTTTGATGAACATTGCTTGTCTGTGCTCAATGCGTCTTTGGCTTTTGGCGTTACGACGTACTCTTCTTTTCGGCAGCAGCAAGAATTGAGTAGTGTCATTGATTTGTTTTTGACAAATATTGGTGATGTTGCGTTGGTGAATCCTCAACTGGTGCTTGAGTCTGATCTGTCTCTTGGTTCTGACCATCGATTGATGTCACTTACTTTCGGGTATGTGCCACCTCTCGATGACACTGTGGCTCCTGGTGATTCTGTTCTGGCTCCTCGGCGTCAATGGAAGCTCTCGAAATTGACGAAAGAGAAGCCTTTGGGCTTACTCCGTGAATCCTTTCGATCTTCTGTTGCTCCTCTGGTTGGTACTCTTTCTGGTTTGGTGTCTGCTCCTCCTGGTGTTCGTCCGGATATTGATGCACTCAACGATTCTTAGAATCAATGTTTGTATGAATCTCTGGATAGTTCTATTGGTGTAAAATCTGGTCGTCCTGGCCATTGGAAGAAGTACTGGACACAAGAAATTCAGGATGCTGCTACTGCACGCGATCGCTCATATAGTCAATGGAGGCATGCCTTTGGTATTGCCAAAACTGAAAAATGGTTCTTATACAAAGTTGCTCATCGCAAGTTTCGTTCCCTGGTACAAGCTGCAAAGCGAAGGTCCTGGCAACAATTTTGTACTGCCCTGGAGTGTGATTTCTCAAAAGCTACTGCTGCTATTAAGCGCATCAAGCGTAATAAAGAATCCTCTCCTACGTACAGCCACCCTGATGGTCCTGCTGCTTCTGTCTCTGCTATGGGTTCTCATCTCGCCTCGGTGTATGATGGCTCTCTGCTTGCCAATGCTACTCATCCTGCTGCTCCTCCCACCTTTGACTCTGTTCTGCCTTTCTGTGTGCCTGTGGACATGTCACTGTTTGATGTAGATACTTTAGTATCTCATATTCGACGGCTCCCAACACATAAAGCTCCTGGTCCAGATCATATCAAGGCTGAGATGCTCAAGTCCTTGGTCTCTGAGATTGCTCCTGTCTTGTCGTTGCTCTTCAAGTTGTGCTATCAATGGTCGTATACTCCTGCTCTCTGGCGCCAAGCCCAAGTCTTTCCCATTTTCAAGAAAGGTGATGCTTCTGATCCCGCCAACTATAGGCCTATTTCTCTGACTTCTGTTGTGCGCAAACTGTTTGAGTTCTCTCTCATGCCTGAACTGGATGCCCATTCTCCTGCTCTTGACATTGCCCAAGGTGGTTTCCGCCCTCAACGTAGTCCTCTGGATCAAGCCCTCTGCTTGCATGACTTGATGCATGATTACTTTGTTGCGCACCGTCGTCGTCCTGTTGTCTCTTTCTTGGATATCAAGTCAGCATATGACACAGTCGATCGTCGTGTTATCTGGTCTGCTTTGGCTGGTTCTAGTCTTCCTCGTGCTGTTCTGGGTCTGTTGATCAACATGTTTGATGATGTGTCTGTTTCTGTCTTGATTGCTAATCACAACTCGGTTGCTTTCTCTCCTGTCACTGGTGTTCTGCAAGGCTCAGTGCTCAGTCCTCACTTGTACTCGTTGTATATCAATTCTTTACCGAGTCTTTTGCGTTCTGGTGCTACTGGTGCTACTATGCTGCCTGTGCCTGGTACTGATGCTCCTATTGCTATCAATAGTCTCCTGTTCGCTGACGATGTGGTTGTCTTTGGTTCAAAGTCTGAGGTTCAGCGTATGTTGGATCTTGCTGCTGGTCATTCTGTCTCTCTTGGATATAGGTGGAAGCCTTCCAAATGTGCTGTGCTTGGTACTGCTGCTGCTCTTGCTGGCTCTCCTCTGGTACTATACAATGAAGCTCTGCCTGTCGTTGACGAATTTACATACCTTGGTATGCCATTCCGATACAAAGGCCTGCATGCTCCTGGTATTCTGTCTCTGCGTTCTGCTGGTGCTGTCAAGACCATGGCTCTGTTAAACTCTGTTGGTGTCAACCGCAATGGTTTCTCTTTGCTGCTCTCCTCTCGCCTGTACAGGACATTTATTCGTCCTAAGCTTGAATATGGTCTGGCTATCTCCCATCTCTCTGCTCGTGATTTTACTGCTATGGATACTTTGCAAAACCGACTTGTTGGCATGTTTGTGGGTAGTACTTGGGTCAATGTCGCCAAGCACATTACCTGTCTTCCCAGTATCAAACATCGCTACAATGTCCTGGCTACCCGTTTTGCTCTGCGTGCTGATACTCTGCCTGACGATTGTCTGCTGGTTCTACTTCGTGCCCATTTGCACTATACAAGGTTGGATCGTTTTATATGTGAAAACCCTCTGTATCAGTCGCTGCATGACCCTGTTCCTTCTTCTGCTGGCTTGCGTACTACCTTTGCTGCCTATTGGCAAGATCAGGTTGATCTCCAACTCTCTGCTGCTACTGTCACTGGTCGTCATACTTTGCTTCGTGCTTGTCGTCCTGATACCACAAGGCCTGATCCCATACTCTATCTGCCTCTTGGTCGTATTGCCCGTAGTCGTTTGGTCCGCTGGCGTCTTGGCCGCTTTACTAACATGCGTGAGGAGTGTCCCTGTATGTCACCTGCAGGTGTCTACATCTCTCGTGATCACTTTATGTACTGTCGTGCTCTTGATCCTGCCTTGATCGATGCCTTGCCGCCTGCTCCACCTGGTGTGCACCGTATTGACCATGCTCTTAATTGCTTGCCCACTAATGCCTCTGCCGGTCCTCCTGATTTCTGGCCTGCTCTACTGAACCTCCTGTATGCTATCGATTGCCTTGTGCATCCTCTGGCTGTCATTGCTCCGGATCCAGATCCAGCGTCTCTTTGGTACTCTCGTACTGGTTGATCTGACAGGGATGAACATGTTCCATTGTTGTTTTCTACGTGCGGCTCCTCGGTGGTAAGTCATTATCAAAGTTCCCATCCGTTGGTTGTCCCTCGAGATCCTCAATGTGAGCACCACTAGTCTCCATGTCCTGCACTCTTGTCACTGCATTTTTTGTCCTTTTGAAAGTGCTCTGGAGGATTTTTTTAGTTACTTGTTCTATATTTATTCTTGAAATTAGGCTATGCTCCCATCGAGTGCCCACTAAATTTCATATAAATAAAAACCAATCTTAAACTGAGCTAAAGCCGGGACCTTTCTTTCCGCTAACCAATTTTTTTAATACATTGAAGCCCAGTAATATTAAAAAATTGCTCCAACTCTACAAATCCATACAATACATAGCCAGAACACCATTCCAGACGACACCAAAGTAAACCAGGCATTAAGCTCTGCGTCCTCTCTTTCTCCAGGTCAAAAACGGCCAAGTTCCTCAAGATCTCCACCTTTTTTCGCTGTAGATTTCACTCAACAGTTGAAAACAAAGAAAATGACACTCTCTCCAACCTCTCAGCACCATCATCCACAAACATCAGTTGATATCATCAACATTTCAACTGGTTTTGGAACAACAACTCCTCCATCTGCCTCTCCAGCGAGTGAACAGCAACTTTCAACCTTTATGATTGAGGTTCGAAATCGCTTAGCTCGTCTGGAAACCGCCCATGTCGAAATTGAGCGGTTAAAAACAGCCCTGGCAGAGTCTGAGGCTGCTCGTCACGCTCTCGAAGCCCAACTTGCAGCTGCTACTGGTACTACAACTAGCCTGGCTCCCAAACCATCATCATCTTGCCCACCTCCTGCCACTACTACAACCACAACAGCATCAGCATCAACTACATGCACCAATGCTACCTCTGCCACCATTTTGTCTCCAGGAAATCAACCATCTTTTGCTGCCGTCGTTGCATCTAATACAGGTGCAAAGCGTAAGAAGAAGCCTGCTGCTCGTCCTCCTCCATCTGCCACCAAGGCATCCGCTACTCTTGCTCGTCTTTTTGCTCCTCAAAGTGATATACCTGTTTAGAATAACGAAATATAGACAGAGTAAATACAATTAGAACTGAATATATTTATTATGTTATTCCAAGATTGAATAGGGATCAAAACTAGTGTAGATATCAAAGGTATTTATAGTTATTTGACAGTGCCGCAGCAATAGGACCTTGATCTTGAATGCGGGATAATTGTATAAGCCTTGAACCAGTAACGAGGATGTGCTGCATCAGAACTCATGAACCGCCAGTCAAGGATAAACAACAAAGATGATCCAGGATAGAATGTTCTTCCTAATAGCTTTGACGGAAGAACATTTGTCGGAATTGAAACCCACTTCCAGGGACGAAAGGCCATAGGCTACCACTCTCTAGGAACCAGGATATAGATTAGCCATTTGATGGCACCACTCATGTTCCTTCGTGCTGCTTGAATAAAGACCTCTCACTTCTACTATGCATCTCAGCTCATTCTCAGATCCTCTTATGTAATATACGACGCCTAATACATTTGCCTCTCAGAGATGATCTATATCCTCAACATTCGTCCCCACCAGAATCGATAATACTGCAAGAATTGTCGATTCGATAAACACTACACCACAGGAGATAGATCACACAAGCTTGGCTCGTTGAAATACTTCCTATGTGTTATCATGAATTCGGAACAATGGCCATTAAAACATCCCAATCAATGTAAAACCCAATGGGAAAAAAAAACAATGATCAGGTAAAAAGGTACACTGCTACCACAACACATGACAACACCCTCTCGATCACCACTCTTACCTCGTCCCCACTGTCGCTCACCTTCCCACTTATCCTGTCTTCTTCCTAACATAAGTGGCCCGACGCCGCTTCGCTGGGGATTGAGGAGCCCCCGCCTGATCTGCTTCCCCAGTGGCAGCACGTTTCCTCTGTTGCTTACTCGGCATTTGAGCCACTCGCTCTCGGATGCGCCCTTCTTCTTGCTTCTGCAGCTGCACATGCTTTTGCCAATATCTTTGCAAAATATGGGGATCCGATACATCTTCTGCAGTTATCCACGAACACATGCGTTCACCATAGCCCTTCCATTTGATGAGATACTCACGATTCGCTGCTTTGCCCCTATGATCTCGAATCGCCTCAATTTCGAAATACTCATCATCAATGGCCTTTTCATCTATGTTCACCACCTTTAGCTCGGATGGTACATAGTTGCGATGAAGAATCTCATTCATTTCATCCTTCAACTCGTATGACCCGCCTTGATTTCTACGAATGACCGTATATGGACCATCATAAATGGGACTCAACTTGCTTGGTCGTTGACGTATCTTTACCATCACATGAGCACCCACTGGAATGTCCACGAGCATATGCTTGTCATTAAACCTCTTCTGCATAATCGCATTCATCTTGGCCTCTCGTTCATTGATCGCTGGAAATACCACCTTGTGCATGTAGTCAATACGCTCTTCAAGCTCTTTTACTGACATGATATCCTTAGGGATCGGGTATTTGTCTTTGTTGGCATAATCCTCTGGCAGTGTAACTCGCCTGGCAAACATCAGCGAGAACGGCGAAGTCATCGATTTACTCTTGATGTAACGATTACAACAAAGCTGCACAATTGGAAGGTAATCGCTCCATTCTCGCGCATTAGAGTTACACATTTTCCTCAGCGTATTCATCACAATTTTCACACTCGCCTCCGCACTCCCATTACCTCTGGCTGCGTATGGGGTAGAATAGTTGCGCTGCAAACCTAGGTTCTCACTGATTGCCTGAAGCAAGTGATTCTCGAATTCCCCACCATGATCGCTCTGCATAATAATAGGAAATGAGTAATCCCCAAACACCTTAATCAATTCTCTAGCAATGCTCGTTGCTTCCTTCGACTTTAATGGGCGCAAAATCACATACTTGGTACACAGATCTGTGACAACCATTATATACACATATCCATCAAAGGTCATCGTCATTGGGCCACCCAAATCCACTGACACATGCGACATCGGCTGAAGCGAAACTACATTCTTGAGCGGATGCCACCCTCTCTTTGCAATATTGTGCTTCTGACATTCTGGACAGCTACTGACCAACCTCTTAGCATCTTCATACACATTAGCCCAATGCAACCCTTGCGAGTGCAATTCTCTCACAATCGCCTGTGCGCCATAATGCCCAAACATGTGAATCTCTTGTAAAATCTCATCTCGCTCTTCCTCAGGAGGTGTCATGTAATCAAGATCTTCCTTCGCATTTTCAATCACTTGTGTAGCAAAGATATTTACTGCTTGATCTTTGCTATACCGCTTCTTCTTAATCATATTTTTTGCACCACGATTCTTGCGATTTTGCTCATGTCTCTCCCGACTACGCTCTTCACTTTCCTCCACTATTAACTGCGTACTCTCATTCTCCACAGGTGGATATAGTCTGCTCAATAAATCCGGAAAAATGTTCATTGCTCCTGGTAAATGCACGACTTCAAATGTAAAATCTAGGATAGTCTCAATCCATCCAGCCATCATAGGGTTTACCACTTTCTGAGAATGCAAATACACTAATGCTCGATGATCTGTCAGTACCCGGAACGCACGCCCATAAATGTACGTTTGAAACTTCCGCAACGCCAACACAATCGCATACAATTCTCGCTTCGTTGTGGACCAACGACGCTGCGCTGGACTCAGTGTGCTTGAAATAAAACCCACATACTTATGACGCCCCTTGTCATCTTCTTGGTAAATCACAGCCGCTACTCCATACAAACTGGCATCACACGCAATAATAAATTCCTTGTCGAAATCTGGGTAATTGATCAACAAATCCGCTTGCAATATCTTCTTAATTGCCTCAAAACACTCTGTATGTTGATTCGTCCAGTGCTTCATCACATTCTTGTTGTCTTTAATGAGGTCCGTGATCGGAGCCGCCACTCTATAGATCATTGGAATATGTGAACGCAAATAATTCACTAATCCCATGAACTGCTGCACTTGTTTCTTGGTTGAGGGTACAGGCCAATTCGCCACATTTGTACATTTGGATTTGTCTACTCGGATACCCTTTTCATCGACCACAAAGCCTAACAACCGCACCTTTCTCTGCATAAAATGGCACTTGCTCGGCTGTAAAATCAATTTTGCCTCTGTAAGCCGATCAATCACCGTTTTTACGGCTACCTTGTAATGCTCAAAATCCACGCCAGCGATAATGATATCGTCTAGAAAATTCTGCGTAGTAGATACCACTCGTCCTGACTCGTCACGCACTTGTTGCAATCCTGCTAGCAACGTAGATAGTGTAAATTGATACTGGCTTGGCAGCTGGCATAATCCAAAACAAGCCTTCAAGAAATAATATCCTTGGCCGTTAAAACTAAAGCTACATTTAAATTGGCTCTCTTTTTCAATGGGAAATCTGTGGTAAGCATCCTTCAAATCCGTGGTCCCAAAATACTTCATACCACTCAAGTTCTCAAAGATGTCTTTTACTAAAGGAATTGGGAAATTGTAGGGAGGTGGCAAAATACTATTCAACAAACGCACATCCAGACACACACGGTGATCCACTACATTTCCCAACTTGTCACGCTTTGGTACCACCAGCAAAGGGCTATTAAAGGACGAATTGATTCTCGAACGTCCGATCGTCTTGGTATCTAACCACTTTTGAATTTGTCTCTCTACTACAGGCTTCAACGACTCAGCAATCGGATAGGGACGACGATGCGCCGTCGCTCCTTCTTTTGTAGGTAATTTCACTATAGCTTCTGGCAATGGACAACACGACTCGATAGGTATCTCTTCATTTCTCTTTAAGGCTTCGCTCATATATGTCTTAAACTCCTGACGCTCTTCCTCAGTACCCGCAGGTGAGTTATCCGCCTCTAAATGTTTGCCCTCAAAGTCCAAATTGATATTCTCAAACATTCTTTCATTATGTTCTGTAGCATCTGAATGCTGATGCTCACTGTCGATGCGAAACGCCACACCAGTAAGCCCAATATTCATCTTTGGCAACACATCCACTCCCAACAGGACATCAAAGTCCAACCCTTGCTCAAACGGAACCACTTCTAATGCATGTTCAAATACAATGCCATTAGCATATTTAAATTTCAATGGAAATGTCATTGCCACTCGCTTCACAGACTTGGATAAAAATTTCAGGTACCCATCAACTTTTCTCACTTTTTTGATCTTAAGCACATTTATTAGAAACTTCAAACTAATACAACTAATTTGGGACCCGGTGTCCACCTTGCCAATGACCTTGATATTCTTAGATTCTACACATATCAACAACGGGGTCAACAACGCAAAGTAATTAGTTTCTGCTTTGTTCACATTCACACTAGGCAACTTACATTGGAAAGCCAACTCACTCATCAGCTGATCTTGATCAGCGACACTATTGGCATCGTCTGCATTGGCATCCCTCGAAGATGATGCCCCTAACGAGGACGAAGACTCATTGTCCTTGGTGACCACACTTGCCGCGAAGACCTCATGATTCAGAGCCGTGTTGGACGGACCAACCCCAGGAGGACGACGAGTGCTGCAATCATGTCCCCTTTCAAATGGCTTCCAACACTTCACGCATTTGCCTTCACTCCTGGCCTTCTCGAACTTCAAAAACTGACACTCCTTAGACCCATGGGAATCATTCGGACCATGCTGCTTACAATGATACCTCTTGGTTCCACCACTGCTCTCCACTCGCTTGAACCCTCCATGGTTACGTCTTCCACTTGACGACATCCCTCTTGACGATCCTTGGTACCCACGACGCTCTTGACGATCCTCAAACGCAGCACCTGGCAGCAAAGCTGTTGCATGCGCATAGAAACGGTTGTCATCTCCCAACACATCGCGCGCCACTTGGGTAATTCGATCCACTGTCCACGACTCAGTGCCTTGTTCTCTCACCAAGGTAATGCGCACAGCCGTTTGCACCGGCAAGATTAACGACGCCATGAAGCGATCAGCCACTCTTGGATCATCCAACTGGAGGCCCGCATTGTACACTGCTTGCTGGAATCGACACGAGTAATCCATAATGGATTCAGACGCACTCATCACCATCGTAAATACTAAATCCGTATTGCGACGAGTAATCACTGCAGACCCAAAGCGTCTAGAGAACACTTGCTTCGCTTCCCACCACGAGCTGCACTTCAACAAAGTCTTGTCGACCCACGCACGATCCCCATTGGGCATACACAACGGAAGTAACTTGGCCCACTGCGCTTCCAAGTCCAACGATGATGAATTCAAGATGCTCTCAAAAGTACGCAAGTAATGATCTACGCTCTCAAACACTTCTTCGTTGGGAAAAGCCTTCACCGCTGCAGAAGCCAACTGGAATTTGGGTAAATCGCGACGATTCAGAGCCAAATTTTCACTACGCATCATTCCACGACTCATCGCACTTGTCTTGGGCTTGACCACATCCCGATAGCTACGCAATTCCACAATCGCATCCTTATTGCTGCTAATCACTCGCAGAGCCTCATGACGCTCTCTCGCAGTAGGTGCCGTTACTACCACCTTCAACAATTTCGCATTTTCTTCACGTAATGCCTTCAACGCATGCTCTAATGAAGCTTCTTCACTTGCTTCCATCGCCTCACTCAATGGCTCAGCTGCGGACTTCCCCCCAGATCCAACCTCTCCACTCACGCTCTCCAGAGGCTCAAACGCAGACAAAGCCGAAGAACCACCACCAAGTTCAGCCATCAATTCGTCTTCATCAAGCACTTGACCGTCTTGAGACAGAACCTCGGTAAGACCATCCATAGAAGGATTGAGATCGAAATCTTCCAGCGTAACAGGAAGACCAGCCGCAGTAGCCCCAGGGACTTGAATCGAACCATTTGCTGAACCAGCAGTAGAATTAGAGGACACAGAACCAGCAGACATTCTTGATTTAGGATTGGGATAATATAATGCAATATATAGAGGTACAGTAATTAATTGTAAAAAATGTTTAGAATAACGAAATATAGACAGAGTAAATACAATTAGAACTGAATATATTTATTATGTTATTCCAAGATTGAATAGGGATCAAAACTAGTGTAGATATCAAAGGTATTTATAGTTATTTGACAGTGCCGCAGCAATAGGACCTTGATCTTGAATGCGGGATAATTGTATAAGCCTTGAACCAGTAACGAGGATGTGCTGCATCAGAACTCATGAACCGCCAGTCAAGGATAAACAACAAAGATGATCCAGGATAGAATGTTCTTCCTAATAGCTTTGACGGAAGAACATTTGTCGGAATTGAAACCCACTTCCAGGGACGAAAGGCCATAGGCTACCACTCTCTAGGAACCAGGATATAGATTAGCCATTTGATGGCACCACTCATGTTCCTTCGTGCTGCTTGAATAAAGACCTCTCACTTCTACTATGCATCTCAGCTCATTCTCAGATCCTCTTATGTAATATACGACGCCTAATACATTTGCCTCTCAGAGATGATCTATATCCTCAACAATACCATCTGGTTATCAATTTGTGTACTATGCTACTCCTGTCCGCCGTCGTCTTTCTTAGCTGCGTCGCCTTGTTCAAGGCGTAGGATTGAATAACTCTCGTGTGCTGGATATTCAATATCCTGTACAGAATGTGATTTCTTTCCTTGTTCATAATGACTATGTACTCACCCTCACCAAAGCCATGCATCTCCATGGTCGTGGCTGCTCTCCGTTGATTGACTTTGATCCATGTGATCCAGTCAATCTCAAAGATCCCAAATTTGCTTCTCTCTCTCGTGATCTGCGTGTCCAAAAGGCCATTGAGGTCGAAAACCTTCGCTGCCTTCGTTCGCTGTCTTTTGTCCGTCGCTCTGTCCGTATTTCTGTTGCTCGTTCTTTTCTTTTGTATGATCGCATCAATCAAGCCCAATTTGATGCCATTTTGAAAGAAGAAATGCTTGCTCGTTCCTCCTCCTCTGCTGCTACTAAACCACCATCCCGATCCTCTGATCAAGAGCGTTTAGCCAAGAAACAACGTTTGAGTTATCTTGGCTACCTCTTGCATCATGATGCTGAAACTGCCTCTCTCTTGGCTTATGCTGTCTCCCCCACTCTCTCTGCTACCAAGGATCTTGAAATGTCAGAGCCTTCTGATAACTGATTGACACCTTGTTGTTAAAATCGTTTTGCTCTCTCATTCCCACTCTCATTGTTTCTGTTTCTGCTGCCTTTGTGGTAGTGTCCGTATTCACTTTGTCCTCCTTCTCTGCTTCTTTCTCGTTTGGTCTTTGTCTCTCTGCTCATTTTGCTATATGCAAATGCCTCGTTTTCTCCTTTTTTTCTTGCTTATTTTGTGCCACTGAGGTCTGTGGGTTTATTTTGTCTGTGCTGCTGTCTGAACATCGAGGTATCCTCAATTGCATGTCTCATACACCATAGCTTCTTATTCTCTACCCTTTTATCTCACTTGTTTTACTCCTTTTTCCTGCCTGTACTTCTTTTTTACCAGTTTAATTTTTAGTTTAGGACCTTTTTTCCCTTTTCTGGACACTTGCATGTTGTTCCTGCATGGAGATCAAACTATTAATTTAAGCTTTTTTGCTGTACGTCGCTTCTCAGGACTTGCAACTAATGATCCAAAGATCGCATGCATATAAGTCTATATTTTTACATTGCTAATTCATTGTAATCAATAAACAACCATAAATTTTCGCCTGAGCTAAAGCCGGATGGATGCTTGAATGGCTCACTTGGTTAGAGCTTCATGCGGAAGCAGTAAGTATGCCGAGAGGTCGTGGGTTCGAATCCCACCTTCGCATCCATATTTTCCGCCTTTCTAACCTGGCATGTTACTCGGTTTTTGTGCTTGCACGCTTAGGTGTGCTGCGGTGCGTCTGGCCGGTTTCTACCTTGAGTCCTGTTCGTCTCCCCCGTCTTGCGGCGCGGCCATTGCCATTCTTCCTTCTGTTTCTCCTCTTCTCTGGTGGGTTTTGATGCCGTTTACTTTATTGGTCCCCTCCCTTTTAGCAGCTCCCCTAACCTTTAATTTAAAAACATGCTTTTTCCCGCCGAATCACTGTTAGTCTTGCAACATATGATCATACCGATTCCGCAGTTGACTACATTTGTAAATAAATAAAAACCAGTATTAAACTGAGCTAAAGCCGGTACTTTATATTTGTCGTCTTGATAGATAGATCTAATGGTAGAAGCTAACAAATAACTTAGAGTGTAACTAATACTCAGTGATTATGTTGAAAGATGCTGTTTATTGAATGCATTTACAACTTATATTTATACTATTTCTACGATCGATAATTACTTAATCGATATAACTTTCGAGTAGATATAGTACTTGATATAGCAACTGATAATCAGATCAATGCCTGCTATCAGTTTCCAGAACCTTCGAGTATACGCTGGCGCCTTTTAGTCGCTTTCTTCAAATCTGGCTTAAACCTAAATTTAGGCACGACAATTTTGATAAGCGTGTTGCTCTCGATGTATTGTTGGTTTTACGTGCTTTCTGGTCACGTGCATAGCTAGGTTCACTGCAAGAGTGTGTATAGGCACCATTTTAACGGTGTTGAGTTACAGTAATTCAAGATGAGGGAGGATAATCAATACAAGGCAAATAGCTGGTGCAGGCAAATCAATGAAGGTTATTCAAGTATGGATGTGGGATCATCAAGGACATACGAAATGATTGCATCAGTATTTGGGGAACGTATCTGGATTATCAAGCTATCTTTAATTAGAAGGGATTCAGGTGAAATGCGTGGGGACAGTTTAGGTCCACGCATGGAGATTACCATCATACACATTTTATGACACCAACAGCATCACTTAAGAAAACAATGTAGAACCACCAACTCATAATTAGCAACACATTTACAAAGCTTTCATCTTCTCAACATTTGGCCTTATCTATCAAACGTCAGTATTTATGCAAATCGAACAAGCAATCACTCTAAAATCAATACTCACACCCAACAAAGTCAAACACTACTAAAAGAAAACAAGATAAGCAACGCATGTCAAGATAAATCATTATTCCCACACCAACATCAGCACTGGAATAAACAACATGCGAAGAGATTTCATGGGTAACATTTGAATTGAACAAGCAATGAAGTTACAAACGATATAGAAATTGGAAAGCTATAAATAATCTTGAAGTTTTGAATAAATGAACAGCATATTATCCTTACTAAGAAATACTTTATTTCGAACACCCTTCAAAGTCTTTTCTCTAGTCTACATGTGTCATCTCAATTTTTGGTACCTGTTATTGTAAGTTGGTTTTTCAGTCGGCCAAGGTGCTACAATTGAACAGAGATTAATTGGTTGCCATCTCCCAGATTTATTGACCTGAACCTCCTCACTTGCTCCCTCATTTCTGCTACCTCGTTAATGTACTGGTGTATCAATCTTAGCTGTTTATAAAACATAAATATAGGTAAAAAAAATCAAAATTCTTAAGATATGGTGTGTAACGTACTTCAAATCTTCTGCTTTTCTTTGGATAGACACGAAATTCTGTTCATCCGCCCAGTGCAAAACTTACAAAACAGCTTAAACGTTATATATAACGATCTACATAAGATCAACATGTTTTGAGTTTCTATCAATGTTATAAGCTTTTTTGCACACATTATTCGGCTATCGCCACACTTTTACTAGAAACTATCGGTTTTGATTCATGAGAGCTTCTATTGCTTGAATTGTCTGCTTTCCAGTGCATCAGCAGCAGGTTTGTTGTGACCCCAAGTTGCAGCGGCATCACCTATCCATGCAATTAATGTACACCTTGTGTGAGATAAGTTTATCATAATAAGAGTAGTAGTTGCAACATTATCTCGAAATGGAGGCTTTCAAGCAACTCCATACTACAGCTATTTCTTCATTGTCTTTTTTTGGTCATTGTGTGTTATTCAGGTTTCTTCTACATTATTAAAAACATGCATGTCTAATTGGCAACTGTTTCAACACATGGAATTATCGCAAAAGTGCATCTTCTCATACTTATAGAGCTTCGCTTCATCCGATGATTTCGTTGCTCTGGTAATATTCGAAAAAGCAAAGCCTTTCCCTTCAAAGGATATCCATTCATTTAAGCACTAGTATTCAAATAGGCATATTGACATAAAGATGGAGTTGTTTCTTTAAAGAGCAGCATGTATTTGTAATCATGCTGATCAGAACACATGCATGAAAAAAGCAGGAGGGCTGTAAAAATCCATGAGCCAATACTAGCTACTAAATGCAAGCTAAAAGGAATTACAATTCGATACAGCTCTTTTTACTACAGTCTCTAATATACAACTTTTGACGAGCAATTTGATAAAAGGACATGCGTAATGTGTATTCCAACATCATAAGAAAGGTCGCAAATTATACAAACGATCAGCAAGGAGAAAGAAAGGGGGTATTATATATATTTATTTTGCGCTTGAATCATTTTCGATGCTTTACCAATGTTTTGATTTTTCGGTAGATGTCTTTAGGTTTTTTGTATGTTCCTAAAGGCTTAAACACAGGCATTCCGCTTCCTCCGTGTATCGAGGCAGGCTTGGGGTAGATCTTTGTAACTGCTCTTCCTAATGCCATGCTGCTCAAAAATGTAATGGGAAATGAGATAATGCCGATCATAGATTTAAGAAAAGCAACTTACTGAAGACTTTGACGTCTGTTGTGATTCAATGCAGGAGGAGAGATTTCGCCTTCTTCCTGTTGCTGCTGCTGCTGCTGCTGCTGCTCCATTATCTTTTGCGGGTAGAAATCTTCACGTCGCTTATAATAGACTAGCTTCACGGGAGGAGTAAGTGTGTCATCATCTGTTAAAAGACTATAGTTTTCCTTGAAATCGATGCTTCCAATACATGACGGAATGGGGCTCTCTAGAAGAAGGCTGCTCACTGGCATCTTGGATAGTATGCCATGATATGAAGTCAAGTTGTCGCTATGCAGGCTATCGCTATCTGTTTGTGGCTGTAGCGAGGAAACTGTAGAAGAAGTAGAGCATGTCATGTCTTGTTGTGCAATCTTGTTGTCTGTAACATTTGGTTCTAATGCAATCTTGCACTGAGTTTCAGCGGTAGACTCAACACCATGGGGTGAGGTGTCCTGTTGATTATCGTTGTGGATAATAATAGTGCCGTAGTCGCCATGATTGCTATTTGCCGACTTTGCCGTCATTTCGGGAATTGCTATGTGAGCACAATTAGCGATTCTGTACAGATGGAGCAGAGCAAAAGACGGATTCCTACCTTCCTGTTCAGAATGAGGGTATAGCTGATCCTCAACAGTAGCGTCTTGATCATTGTGCAATGAGGTTGGTGTATCATTTGCTGGAAATGAAATGAAGCGTACTTGATTAATAATGAGATTAGCCCTAACTAACATTTGAGGAATGAATGAAAATATGAAAGAGGATAAAAGAAGGATGTACTACAAGATATTGAGACAGAGAGGGCATTTTATATGTATGAAAATGAAGGGGGGGGCCATCCATCTAGGAGTTGAATTCAATATCATCAAATATATACAGTAGAGAGCACTGATAAAATCTGACGCTTGATTGGATTGTCAATTCAAGGTGAAAAAAAGGGCCCTTCAAAGAGGGTCTTTTTCTTATCTAATCCATTGGTCAACTGGAAACTGAGTTCATGTTCTTGTTTGAAACCAGAAAAAGAAAGATTTACCCAGAATCTTTTTATCTCCCCTTTTCCCTTTCTTCTTTTCCCTCTCTATTTGCTTGATTATAACAACATGAATGAAATTTTAAAAGAATCGGCATTTCTGATTACAAATGCATCAGGCCGTCATATTAACCTGTTGAACGACACTGGCCCAATAGCAATGACTGTGCCTAGCCCTCCCTCATCTGATAACTCGGATGAAAATATCAGCACTGCGGATACTGTGTTCACACCCGCATCATCATCTACTCCTGTGGAGTCGTCTTCATCAAAGAGAAAGTACCACTGCACAGAGCCAGGATGTGCGAAAAGCTTTACTACAAGGTACTATCTGCTCGCAAATGCTTGTAAATAAGTAAAACTCATGTTTTCTAATTATAGTGGTCATTTGGCAAGACATAACCGTATTCACACTGGCGAGAAGAACTTTCCATGCTTGTTTCCGGGCTGTTTGTCTCGCTTCTCTCGTCAGGACAATATGATGCAGCATTACCGTACACACATGTCTCCAAAATCTAAAAGAACGCAAAAGAAAGTGATAACCGAGGATTTACACCCTAGACCACGACTTCATGCTCACCAGAGAATTCGATCAGACCCCTATCGTGTCGAAAGACCTCTTACCATTGATCAGCATTTGAACAATTACAGAAGATCTCTACTGTCTCATCCTTCCACAGTGGAGCGCAGTAGCTTTTCATCAGTCAAATACAACATGCCAACACCACTTGGAGCTGTAGCTGCATCTCACATGCAGAAGCAGCAATTACAACAAAGCGAAGGTACCACTGCCGGATCGTCAACGCCCACAAGCAGAAGAAATAGCAATGGAACATGGTCGATAGAGCCTGTTGGACACGAGTCTTCATCATCATACACTCGCAGAGAGATGGAAGAATCCCTGGCAGCCTCCAATTGCTCAACGCCACCGCCGACTTCATCGTCTTTAGCGACAGAATCCTCTACAGAACACATGTTTTATCAACACAGACCTCTTACATACTCAAGGCCTGTAAAAAAGAGAAAAATATTCCCATTCACTTTATTACATCCAACCGGTTCTAGTGAAACAATACTACAAAAAGAACCAGGCATCACAACACCGCCGCTCGCATCGACTTCGCCTACATCCTCCATGTCGGCCTCTTTGTCTTCTGCTACTGGTAATAGCAACACGAATGCTGGCAGTGATGGAAAGGGATCGTCTCAAGCAGGCTTGTTACAGCTTGCACACATTGTAAGCACATTTGGTTGATCCCATTTTAAAAAAAAAAAAAAAAAAAAAAAAAAGACCCTATTTATCCCTTTCTTATTCCTTGTGTGATGGGCTGTATCACAACGCGCGCTTTATCTTTTCATAATCATCATCAAAGCTAACCAGGTTTGAACAAGGCAAAAATCATACTATTCTATTACACTTGTCTATCATGTACTTCTTTCTCCTCTTTCTTTTTTGTATTGCTCTTTTTTAAACGTAATAAAAAATCTATTTAAAAAAAAATCACCTTTTTCTTTTGCCATTGTACAAAGCCCCAATATCAAACTTTAAATAGCATGGATGCTCAATTCAATAAATGAAAAACATCTCGCCAAGATGCAATACATCCAATATTTGGTTTGTTGATAGAACCCTGATAACCCTGATCAAACACAAAAGGCAAATCTAACTATAAACAATCAACTGTCCAACATTCAAGTTGATTGGTTGGTATAATGCTTGCTTGCTGGATATGGAAAAGAGAAACATTCTCTGGCTTTGTTGGTTACTCAGAAATGAATTTCTTGTTGAAAACTTGACAAATAGAAAGGCCCTCAACCGTCTAGAGCTCTCCATCAAATCGTCATGAAGGCTCCACTAGAGAAACAAGGCCAAGCAAGTGCTTGTTTTCAAATGAATATAATTATAAGATTTTCCTAAATCGATTATGTCAGCTTGGGCTTATTAGCGGAGCCACCAAGACGAGGTCCCTTCCCGCCTACTCTTCCGCGGAGGGATGAGGGTCTGCTATAGGGTTGTCAGGGAACTCCTTTCCAGATACGATCTATCATAGTTTGCAGGAGTTAGTCGAATGAAAACATCATCATCATCATCATCAATGGGTTCTATACTTGGGAGAAATTACACATTTCCATGGAGGTTTATATTACGAAAAAAGTGCACACATGACTAATGAACTCAAAATAGCAGTTTTATTACCTGATTCCATGCATTTGTTCTTGTGCACATCAATTTCATCTACAGTGGTGTAACAGCTGGCCTACAAAATTGCAGTTTTTAGATCATCTACGAGACGGATGTGGACGTAATGCATGCTCATTTTTATAGCCAATCATCTTCAAAACAACAGAATATTGGAGAATGGGGGGGGGGTTTTTTTAGGTACGAGCTCAAATATAGGAGATGGCGACATTATTGTTGCACTCCAGTACAGATCAATGCTTCTAGTCGAGACTACGCTCTCATTTTTCTCAGGATGTTATGACAAGAAAGTAAGGGTCTTTATTCAATGGTGTATATACATGTAGAAGGGCAAGGGATATTTAGTATATTTTACATATTAGGGAGACAGGTTATAGTTTTTTACAGTAATTGATAGGAACCCAACCTGATCTAAAATCATCGGCTGTAGTTGCATACCACCAATCTTGGTCCAGGTAGTCTTTGTCTTGGCTCACTCGAAGAATAGTGCCTCTTTTTACATCAAGTCTGTCGTCTTCATTCATTTCAAAATCATAGAGAACGATGCAGTCAAAATCTTGGGGTGTAGGAACAGGTCCATCATCCTGCTCTAGATCAATTAGATTGCCAACCATGGGGCTGGGTGAGGTGGTTGTTGTGGCCGTGGATGCAGATAAGAACTGCGGTGAAGGGCTACTCGTGCCTCCTAGATCTTGGGCATGTGTTAGCTACATCCAACAATAAGAGCACGTTCAGTAACTTACCACTATCAGATGCCATTCTCGGTGAGTAGAGGTCTTTTGATCTCTGCTTCAGCATCATGGAGGAAGTAGAGGAATTGCTTCTTGTACTGCTGGCATATCTGTTTCTGTGCAAGATGGTGATTCTATTGGCAACATCCTCCACTTTATCCAATTCATCCATATGACGAGCAATGATGGCCTCGAAAGACTTGGCCGCTTTCATGCCCAAGTTCTGTTCCACCAGTTTAATCCATTCTCTCTGCATCAAGCCATAGAATTTTAGTTGCACCAGAGCCAATCCACCCGTCAGGATATCAAAATACTTTGCTGTCAAGCTAAAGAACTTTGGCAATTCATCCACAAGTTGTCCATTGATGGAGACATAAGCATCTGCTGATTCTTGCAGCGCTTTATCTGGTGCGTCTCCTTTTGATTTCATGTCTCGCACTCTGTCGTAGTCAATCATCTTGAGGGCTCTCTTGTGAATGACTTGTGTTGGGTTTTCAAACACTTTGAGGAAATCGTCAATGCGACTGTACACGAATCCTCTCACATCGTTGTCCAGTTCGCGAGACAAGTTGGTAGACATGTACGAAGCCATCCTGCTGAAATCGCTGATGCCATTCAGGCTCTTGACACGCACGCCTCCCCAGGAGCCATACAGTGATTCCATGCTGCACGCTAGTTGCTGTAGGTTCTCAAATCCAATCTTGACATGTCGAACCCAGCCCTGTACATCTCTTGCTAGTTGGCGCACCAATTCCTGCTGCTCTTCAAACTTCATGAGCAATGCTTCAAACACAATGTCATGTGTTGGCTCCATTGCCAATCCTGTCACTTGCTTGAATTTCTGAGCTCTTCGAGTGAGCCGCTTATTGATACCATGTCTATTTTCCACATTGTTAGCTGCGGGTTCTCTATACATATACGCTACATCCATCTTACACAACCTATGATAGGCAACTGTTAACATCCCTCTTTGTATCTCATTATGCTTCAACTTACACTTATATCCGTCTTCTTTTTATCGCCAACAATCTTCTCCACAATGTCTTTTCGTCTCTTGATTTCATTGATATTGTCTGCCACCTCTTGAATCTCTTTGACGGCGGCTGATAGGTCGTCATGATCGCTGTGTGTTGGCGGCGTCAAAGACAAGATCTCTCTCAGTAGAAGAGGATATTTGAGTACTCGCTGCACGGGTTTGATCAATAAACTACCCAAATCCCAACTTGTCGTCTTTCCCTGGATCTTCTCTTTGCACTCCTGTATAGACACATCATATTAGATCATACACTGTCAAATATTCATATCTTACATTCAGAAAGGCCTGGATCTCGGGCTGCACTTCTAGCTCCTGCAGCTTCAAAACGGCGTCCTCATGTCGCTTACAATATTCACTGTATATACTATCGATCGCACGCATCTCAATCCGCCCAAATTAGCCAGTTATCACATGAACATCCATATATTGCCAACTTACTGTTTCTCTAAACGAGGTTCCCACCGAGTCCTGCTCACAGGAGTGTTCCAGTAAAGTAACAAACGTCTTTTCAAATTCTACAATTTCAGTCAAATTCGAGAATAAATGCCGAACATCAGCCTTGGACAATCCTGCATTCATTGCGCCATCGTAGTAGATTGACTTGAGCAACGACATGTCCTTTTGATATGCTTTCTCCGTCTCCAGTAGTTCGTCAATGACTTTGATTCGTTTTGATGTTGCGTTCGAAGAAAATCCAGTGACTTCAGGCGATAGCGGATCCAAGGTGTCCATGTCTGCCATGACATTCGAATCAGATCTGCGTATAGAGTTTTTCAGTTGTTCATGTTGCTCTTGTTGCTGTTGTTGTTGATTCGTAAACCAAGAACTAATATGCCATCCTCGTTTCGAACTGGTAGATGTAGAGTTTTGCGAAGACGTGGATGTGCTGCTGATAATGCTGCTATTTCCTGTCGCTGTTCGGGATATCACACTAGGTATATGAAGCATGGACGACGCGGGCGATGCTACAGGCAAATGAGGCAAACTCTTGTAGTCGTCAGAAGGAGAAGCGGCGGGTGTTGAGGTATCTATGGATAAATGGGATTGTGTTGGCTGTTGATAATGGTATGTTCGGAAAGACGGTAATTGTTGGTGTAGTTGCTCTGGATATCTATTTGCATTGATGCTATTCATTTTTGGTTTGACTGGAAGAGCTGGAGGTCCTGTCTTTGCTGCAATGATTACTTTCTCGGGAAGATTGGGCGGACCCGTTTTTGAAGGCATTAATGGTATGGGAGTTCGGTATTTGGTCTATTGAGATAATGCATATTAATATCTCGGAAACAAACAGAGGCCTCTACAAGAAAACTTGCCTGTTGGTTTCGAATAGGTAGCGCATCATCCTGTTGAAATCTTGCTCGAATATCTTTGAATGCGAGAGGCGTTTGATCAATCTCGGCCTCTGGCTTGAGCTGCTGTTGTGAGGGTCTGTGCTGTTGCTGTTGCATAGGTGGAGGTGGAGGCTGCCTTGGGGATGATTTGATGGCAATGGAGGGCTTGCTTAACGACGGAGGTTTTGAGGGTGGCAGAGGCCTCAGCTGTCTATCTACTAGCTGATTTGTCTCAAAGACACGCGAAAGTCTATTTACAGTCGAACCACCACCCTCCAAGCTTTCATTGCCATCTTGCGCATAGTGTTGCTTTAGTTGATGAATGTGCGAATGTCGAGGTTTACTCTCTAATGTTTTCGAAAAGGCGTCTGGTGGTTGAGACCTGTCCATTTATTAAACAGTGTATGTATTCAAGAAGGAAAAAGAAAAAAGAACAAGAGAAAAAGGGAAAAAAAAAGTGGTAACCAAGCAATTATACATTTGCACCCGCAAAAACCATCACACATGTACAAGAAATTCATGAATTTTTATTGGGAATGCTTGTTAGAAAGACGCTTCAGCGGGTGTATTATTTAGAAATGCAATGGGTGATGAGAATATAATGCTAATTTTTGTCTGTGGTTGTCGCTAGACTTTGAGGAAGATTTTGCCTCTAGACATGATCATTCGAAGTACAAGCATGAACAAGGCGGATATGACTGACATTGAACCTGCAAACTGAATGGCTGCAGTCCAGCCAAACGTGTTGAACAATAGCCCAATGATGGGAGTGCCCAGCAAGTTGCCGATAACAGTGGTCATGTATGCCATGCCAAGCCCTCTTTGAATGTTTTCTACGCCAACAATGTCTGCGGTAATCACTGGCAGCAGGGAGACGAAACCGCCAGCTGTTAAACCGTACAATACACAATAGGCTACAAATGCACCATAATTGGTGGCGAATTGCCAAATCACCATGGTAAAGACGCCTATACATGTCTCAGTCAGTACACTATTCAAAAGAGCCAGTCATTTGTGGTTACCTGCAAGGAATGTACAGCAAAACATGGTGTTGAATCTTCCAGAGCGATCGGCAAGGTAACCCAAGGTGATTCGACACACTGCATTAGCAGCCGACATTACGGAGATCATGGCTGCACCAGTAGAAGTATCCAGACCAATACTTTGTACGTACTGCGGAGCTAAGAAGAATGGTGCAACATAACCAAAAGGAACAAAAAAACTAAACCCAAGCAACAACAAGAATCGACGGGAGATCAAGCTACTATCGTAAATATGGTACCATCGGTTTTTAGAGTTCAAAGATGGAGGTGGTCGATAGCGACTTGTGGCCAAGGCAGTAGAAATGCAGAGCAATCCAAATCCGAATGCGCCTTGCACTCGCAGAGCATTTCGATATCCAATGGACACCATGAGTCTCTGTGTCATTGGGGACAGGCACACACCTCCAATACCGGATCCACTAACAGCAATACCAGTGGCAAGCGCTCTTTTTGCTGTAAACCATTGTGATGGCAATGTGACAGAGGGTGAAAACACAAAGGCTGCTCCAATACCAAACAAAATGCCTTGTGAGAGATATACATGCCAAAGTTCGGTGGCAAAACTGGCCAAAATCAGCGCCAAAGGAGCGACAATGGTGCCAATGCACATGGTACCTCTGAAGCCGATCTTTTGAATGACGGGAGTGATAAACATGCCTAAAGCAAGCATGAGAGCAGAAGCAGATGTGCCCACAAATGCAATTTTGAGCAAATTTGTCTTTCCCACAAACACCTCGTCTATGTATCTTATCATCGCATTAGTGCCAATTGTTTGATAAGGATGAAAACGCACAACTCACAATTTCTGATAATTTCCCCATGCAAATGTTGTGCCAAATACAAAGAAATTGACAAGAAAACACGATAGCACAGTGAGCCAGCCTGGATTCCTTATCCCGTCTGTATGGTAAGGTGTCTGTTTAAATGGAAGCTGCTCATCTTGATCTAGTTCGCCCAAGATTGATTTTTCATTCTTTTGTGTTTGATTCGATTTCACCCTAGAAAGCGTTTGAGTGATCTCTTCTAATGAGCCTAATGCAGGAAATGGAGCTGATTCAAGCACTGCTGGGTAATCTTGTTGCTGTTGCTGTGGGCAAGTAGACGTAATATCTTCTGTGCATTGGACGGTCTTTACATCTTCTTCGTCAAAGGTGGTGTTTTGAGATTCCTCATCAAGGGATGGGCTCTGATCTTTTGATTTTGTCATGCTGTATATTGTATGGATGGACGAAATAGAGGAGTCTCTTTTTCAGATCAAACCATCCTTTATATATATATATATCGTTTTCGAATAAAAAAAAAAAATATTGACGTTACATTGAGAAGAGGGTAAAAGAAATCCCCCTTCTCTCAAACCTACCCGAATCAAATATTGCCTCATAGGCGATTCTTTTAACTGATGCTCTTGAGCTGCATGTCAATTGATGTAAATCTTGCGGAACCCTTCAGAAGAATCTCTGCTGTCTAATGTTGTTGATTTGTAATGCGAATTGCCTCTTCAAGGCCTTTATCCAGCACTCCTACAGATTGCTTTATACTACAAACAGTTTCACAAAAGGAAGGATGGACTGTGTGCAACATGAATCTTTTAGATTCTGTGATCCGCACTTTCTTTTTATAACTTTAACATTGAGATGCACTTATTAATCAACAATAGCATCATCAATGCCTGGTAGAATGTTCATTGTAGCTTGCTTTTATATAGCAGCATGGCCTTGCACGCATCGATGCATTATGAAAAGTAAGGCTAAACCATTCGACCGCATCGCTAGAGATTTATGCAGTCTATTGTGTTCACGAGTTGATGTTTGTACCATGTTTTATATTTTTGAGAAGAATATTTACCAAATAAGTTTGTGTTTGTAGATTGTTTGGTGTCCTACTTTTCATTCGTAGGCTAAGATTCAAAAGGTGCCATGCATTGTACATCATATTTGAATGATGGGTGAATGTTTTATAAGTATCCATGCACTCACGTCATTGAAGATCAAGACTCTTACTAGACACATGATAAAACTCAAGCTTAATAATCAAATCGGATATGACTCATTTTGGTTTAACTCCTGTCAAGCTTATGTTATAAGCCGAACCCTTTATTTTAAGACTTGTGGCATCGTGTGAGTATAGGAAACTGGTAGTCTACGGGTAATTTTGTTTAGAAAACACAACGGGAACCAAAAGTTGTCTCATGTATAAGGCATATATGCATACAAATATAAGCATGGGCATAAAACATCCCCAGTGTCATAAAGGCTGGTAGATAACCCAGGATTTCGGGTGGATTTCACATCAAAACAGTGATTAGGAGAACGGTAGCTCTTCTATAAGGGTTTCTATATGCCCGCAACAAATGGTGGAGAAAGGTATATATGCATGATATTTAGATATTAATGCACTGACCTACTCTAATGCTCATCAAGAGCTTTGTTTCATCCTGGAGTTTGATAAGGCATTGATTCATAGATAAAATTTAGTAACACACGGTAGCAGTGGTCATTACAATCTGATGAAATGGCCTTAGAAAAGTGGCTCCTGTATTAGGTAAAATACAATGACTGCCGTAGAGACCAACAATTTCTATGTAGGATTCACTCTCAAATATCATCATTTACAATTCTGAGCAGGATGTCAGATCTGCATTTCATATTGGGCTTCACATTTGGATGAGCAATTTGTAGCTATCTAGTCTCTCAGATATTAAAGTGCGTAACAAAAGCAAAAAAAAAATCAGTAGCAAAGGTAATCAGTAGCAGTTTTCATGTCGCAATACCTTTCTTGTGAGCTTTCAACAGCATCAATCACCTCGTTAATGGTCTTGCCAACCGCCAAATTCTATTTAAACCCAGACATTTTTTTTTCGTTTCAATTCGTTGATTTCTGATCAATTCGCGACTTGATTGATCTATTTTGATGCATTCGACTATGTCAAATGTATTGATCATCCTATGCTTCTTTAAGCTTTCTTGGAGTGCTTTTCAAGGCGCATCCAATGGTACCAAGTAATATAGATGTTTTGAATAGACTTATTGAATAATTTACGAAAATATGAAAAGAGGTTTCTGGCCAAAAAGTCGAGATTTTACATACCAAAGTTCCACAAAAATGACTTCAGAGGCTACGTTGGATCGAAAGAAACATTTTGATTCAATACATACCATAGTAAAATTCTTTGTTATCAAGGCAAAAAATGCGATCGTTTAATTTCTGAGGAAAACCATGAGGGGTACCTCATGCTTTTTGGTCGAATTCTGTCCATGTTTTTTTGGTCCCCAAAAAGTTGAGCAAAGGTGCCGGTAAGTAACTGCCAGACGAGAGCAATTGTTTGGTGTTATTATGGCCATCTAAAGCTACTTTTAACACGAAAAAAACGCGACTCAAACTCACGCAGATTTCGCTGTGTTTTGCCTACTTTTGAGTAGTAAGATGTAATGCAAACATCCTGTCTCTCCCTGTACAAGTTGTTTTCATGGATACAAATGTGGAGTATTACAGAAGAGCTAGATCCAGAGTGTCAGATAGGTTATGGGAGGTTACCGTGCGATAGTAGAGATTTGAACAGTAAAATTTTAATATATATATTGATATAACTCTCCATCTGCTTCTGAAGGGTCGTTGTTTGATCTATGGAAAATGCCATTATTATCTTGCCATTCATTATGGTAACAAGCCTTTCGACACTTTGGGTGGTTTCCTGACCTACGCTTCGCTTCGGTAGAAACCAACGTACGTTCAAACGGTTTGCGCTGCCGCGAGCCTTTGGCTAATATCGCAAATTTAATATAGCTAAAATGTTAGAAGAGCCCTGATTGTTGATTGATATAAAATCATTATTCATATGAGTGTTTATGCTTCGGTCAGAACCAACCTGCGCAGCGGCAGCTCGTGCTACTGGTTGCTCCTGCGTATCTTATCAAAGTACTGCTACTTTTATTTTGACCCTCCACTTACATAAAAAACCCTTCGTATTATCTATGGATCTGATTCTTATGTGATGCTCCACATCCATATACACGTAGCTACTTCATATACGAGCAGGCAGCATACTAATATTTCCCCTTTTTAGTTCTTAGTGTCCCTGATACAGCAAAATCTGAGTGCATTGGAGCCGCGTTTTCTCACGTTTAAGACCATTTTAGATGGTCAGAATAGCACCAAACAATTGCTCTCGTCTGGCAGTTACTTACCGGCACCTTTGCTCAACTTTTTGGGGACCAAAAAAACATGGACAGAATTCGACCAAAAAGCATGAGGTACCCCTCATGGTTTTCCTCAGAAATTAAACGATCGCATTTTTTGCCTTGATAACAAAGAATTTTACTATGGTATGTATTGAATCAAAATGTTTCTTTCGATCCAACGTAGCCTCTGAAGTCATTTTTGTGGAACTTTGGTATGTAAAATCTCGACTTTTTGGCCAGAAACCTCTTTTCATATTTTCGTAAATTATTCAATAAGTCTATTCAAAACATCTATATTACTTGGTACCATTGGATGCGCCTTGAAAAGCACTCCAAGAAAGCTTAAAGAAGCATTTTTTTTTGTAGGGGAGTCGAGCTCCAGGTTTTATTTAAAGTCCTTAAAATGTCATACTGAGGGAAAGAAAAGACTGTTGGTGGACCCAATGTCTGCAAAGAAGGGGAATAAGATATTTTTGAACTAAGTTGGGAAAGAAATCTACTACTAATAAGGTGCGACTCCTAGAGCCAGTACAGTCTTGCGGAAATCGTCAAAATATAGATCATGGATAAGAGTACAAAACACCAAACGAGGACATCAGTACTACGTCAAAAAATCAGACAACTTGCGTTCACCAGGATTTGAACCGGGGATCCTCCCGTTGGCATACGGGAGTTCTACCACTTCGCCCTACCACCAGGGACAGCTTAAAGAAGCATAGGATGATCATTACATTTGACATAGTCAAATTCATCAAAATAGATCAATCAAGTCGAAACTTATCAAAATTTGGCCAATCTGGAAACAACCTATGATTCTGGGTTTGAATTAATTTTGGCTGGTGGAGCTGGTTAATCATATATGAGCCAGGCCTGATAGATGCCAGGCAACTCAGTTTCCATGTCAGGGCTGTAAAAGTGTCTAGGGGCTGAACATTTATTATCTTATGATACATGATCTCGAGAGTACATAAGGAAGGTAATATGCTATTGCTGTCGTCAAGGTTCGATGAACAAGAGCTATGCAAAAGACTTTCATCCTCATTGTTTGCATGCAAGATGACAATCATTTTCATCGAATTCATGACTGGTATGATGCCAAATGCAACTTTGGTTTCGCATCTACTGTAATTGCGCTCAAACATATACCAATAAAAAATGTCGACGAACCTTGAATATTGTCATCCGAAAATGGAATGTGCTGTTTATAGTAGAGCAAAGGGTAGCACGAAGGCAGGCTGACAAAAGAACGTAGTTTTCCATTTATCTCAACGGCTGTGGTCAAGGTCAACCAAGGTTTAGCACTCCATATACCGCAATAAGTCTCATGGCTTTACACTATCTGACATGTTCAACATTGCTCAAGAAGTGCAAGGAGTAGCAGAGCATCGGGTTGCTGAAGAGTAGCCCCTTGTCGATTTGCTTTGGTATTGAATCGGTCAACAATCAAGCGATTATGAAAAAGGCAATCTTCTGCCAGGAGAGCTGTGAATTGCAAGACAAGTTTTCATTTGTGTTGCAAAAATGGTCATTACCCGAGTTTAGAACGGAAATTGCAGAACACAGATACTGATCTATTGGTGCCCATTAGTAGAAGGAGCTAAACATTTGTTCGAAATAGGCACAGCTCCGAATTCTATGATTTGTGGCAGCTGGGCGGTAGGCATGTCTATCCGATATATACAACGTCCCAAATGTAAGGTACATAGGCATTTTGACATCTTGTGCCAAGTTCCGCTGCATTTCATGTCTGCTTACCGAAAGCGTCTGTTGTGAGATGTACCCAACAATGCCTCTACGCCCCGCATGGTTAATAATAACCATATATATATTACAGTGTGTCAACTCTAAAGGCAGATCCAAAACGCGAAGATAAAAAAGAACGCCCGTCTTATTGTTCTCTCAAAGAAAGATCAAAAATGCAAAATGTTCATGTCTTATGCCTGCTTTTAAACCAAAAAACTTGGGATGAATCAAGTAGAGATGTTATTCTCCTCGCTCACTACTAGATCATGATCGAGTGCAAATCGAAAGCTTGCTTTGATCAAAGCCATCTCTTTTTTTTTTTTTTTTTTTTTTTTTTTTTTTTTTTTTCTCGAGAAGGAGCCTAATCAAAGGACTGGTTTCCTTTAGATAACCCAATTAAAGGTTAGAAAGTTGTATTTCGTTCAAACTCATACTGCACAGAGGATGATATTCCAACCCCCACGTCCGAGCTATAAAAATTTTTTTCACATTAATTAACCACACACCCCCGCGCGATAATAAAAAAGCTATAAAATAGGGTATCGCGTGGCTTTTTTGCTGATTTTCTTTTTGTTTTCCTTCTTCTTCATCTATTTTCTCTCTTGTTAAAGTAAGTGTATACACTGATACGTGCTGGCATCTGTTTCTGATATTGATTCGTCTTTTTAATAGTATGGCTGATCACGATAACGACCACACCTTCGAGTCCGCTGATGCTGGTGCTTCCAAGACCTACCCCATGCAATGTTCTGCCTTGAGAAAGAACGGCCACGTTGTCATCAAGGGAAGACCCTGTAAGATCATTGAAATGACCACCTCCAAGACTGGTAAGCACGGTCACGCCAAGGTCCACTTGGTTGCTACTGATATCTTCACCAACAAGTAAATATCTCAAATCATGTTGAGGAAGAGAAATGTATCCATCTTGTACAATGTGTGTGCCTGTTTCCTGCCAAGGCGGCAGAATGCAGCTAGGGAAAAAAAAAAGAGAGCAAGCCAGACATTGTATGAGATGGAAAAGTTTTTCTTGTGTATCATCAGAATCGTTTTACTAATCTGATTTCTACCGCCATTATAGGAAGTTGGAAGATCTCTCTCCCTCTACTCACAACATGGATGTCCCCAACGTTACCCGTATGGATTACAACCTTATTGACATTGATGAGGATGGTTTCCTCTCTTTGATGACTGCTGATGGTGGCACCAAGGAAGATGTCAAGCTCCCCGAAGGTGAGCTCGGTGAGAAGTTGCAAGAAGATTTCGATGAGGGTAAGGATCTCATGGTCTCTGTCGTTTCCGCTATGGGTGAGGAGCACTGTTTGGCCTACAAGGAAGCTCCTAAATAAATCATTTAGACTTTCTATCCGTTTCTTATTTATCAAAAAACTTTTTTTATTTTATAAATAACTTACAAAAAATTTTTTTCTCATTAAAAAAAGAAGATGATCTATTCTTCCTCCACATTTCCCTCTCATAATTTGGTGCAAAATAAAGCTACATGAAATACCACCACTACATCTACATGTTTGTCTTTTGCCATTGTTGTATTATCACAAGTTGCTGTATGTGGGGGAGACACATTTCCAAACGAAATGTGGCGTCTGAAATGGAGGAAAAAAAAAAAAAAAAAAAGTTTCACTTTTTCGTGTTTGTCTGTAAACATGTCCAATAGTTATACATAGCATGCAGTAATTTTGTCACGCCAATAAACTTCTTATGCAAGACAGTGGCCACATTTGATCCGAGTGCCATTGCTATAAGCAAAGCCCTTGTATAGACCCTCCAAACACTCGGATGTGAGCAATGCATCCAGTCGAGACGATTATTCAGACAACGATCATTTAGCTAGTACGATGGATGAAGCATTGCATAGATCAATTATTCTTGATTTATTAATGTACATGTTTATTGTATATGTGGCTATTGTATATATGGCTATTGTATATGTGGCTATTGTATAGGGCTGTTATTTGTATTAATAGTTGTAGTATTATGGAAATTTGGTATGCTGGATGGTGTCTTCAAGACGGCTGGACGTCTAGTGATGGTTGATTTTCTGCCTACAACTCCAACTGAAAAAGGCAAACTCAATACGCTAGCACTGGGAGATGCATTCATTGGCTGCTGTTGGTGCTGCTGCTGCTCCATTTGCAGCTGTTGTTTTTCTGCATTTTCAAACAATGTGTCATGCTGCAAAATGAGATCTTCCAGAACCTTATCAGAATACCATTCACCACTATTTTCTGCTTGATTATGATCGTGAAATAAAGCAGGTGTGAATATAACAGATAGATTCTTCATCGTCATTTTGTTGACATGCGAACAGCCTTCGACCCTATTGACACATGTTAGTGATGCACATGTAGTTCGAATGGATGGAATGTCTTACTTTGCCAGATGTGCTATTACTGCTTCGAGTGTATCTCTTTGAGGCTTTGATAGCTCTGATAGTTTAGTCTGTAGCATCGCTTTTCTTTGCACATCATCCTTGATTTCTAATGATTTGTCTAAGCATTTGAGTTATTCGACCACACTGTGGACTTACTTGAATATTCAATGCGATCCTCCATGCTCAAATTGAACAGAGGCTGCTTCAGCTCTCTCAAATAGACCTTCAGCACGGCTGCAATGATAAACACATCTTTTGATTCCAATTTCACGGCTTCCTCATCTCGTTCAAATTCATTCTTGAGTTGATCTATACTGCTTTGTCTGCCAGATATTCTGTAGATACCCTCCTTTTCCAATCCGCCTTGTATTTCAACAGCCTCTATGCATTTTGTCACCAATAAAGGCACAGTGCGTTGATGCTCTGTAGCGTATTCATTCAGATTGGATCCAAACAAAATCTCTTTACAAGGCCCATAGTAATAATTGTCGTAATAAATTGGCTTTGGTTTGATGAATGCCAATTTCTCGTATTCCGATAGAAATTGGTCAGTGTCCTTTTTGCCATCCATATGATGAACGACATCCAACGAGCGTTTTACCAGCTAAAACAGTAGTCGTTAGTGATGTGCATGGACACTATACGGTTCGCAATTGACTTACATCGACTTGTTTCAGCAGAGTATCTTCTTCATGCTTGCAGAGTGTCACCATCACAGCCTTCACAGCATCTGATTTGCCCAAAAGTATTGCTTCCACATGCTATAGATGAATAATTCAATAAATGCAATGGCTTCTCCCTTCTCTGGTACTACTAACCCTCATTGCATGGACTGCAGTTTCCACCTGCTTCTTGCGCAAAAACTCCAAGATGCGAATGCCTTGTCTATATTCGTGGTCTAAAACCTTTCAGTCAAGTTGCACATGTACACCCATTTGTTCACATACCAGTATCTGAAATGTCCTTTTTCAACTTTGCTGATCTTGCAGTCTGCTTTGATGGATCTCCAGCAGCAGCAGCGTTGGCAAGCTGCGATCTCATTTGGGTGATAAATCCAGCCATGCTGTTCTTTTTGTTGGGATTGAGCGAGGAGTCTTGGTAAGAGGAAGATGCTATCGAGTGATTGTCGTCTCCTTTGATAGTGGAACCACTGTCGTTGGATAACCTTGGTTCGTCTGTCGAAATTCTAGCCATTTGGGGGCTTGAATGGTGGTCCACAGAGTTACTGTCCTCATGAGATGATATCAAAATTTGCTGCTGCAGACTAGCGTATTCCATACATTTGTTGACATACGATTTATGCAACTGGCCATGATATTAATACATGTTGTTCACTGGTGGTATAGGATACTGCGTATATACATATACCTTGACAATGTCTCGAGTACGGAATGTAATGTAATTTGTATTCTTCTCTCCAAGCACAGCCTTTACTTTTTTTCTTCTTTGTTCATGCGATTCCTGTCATGTTGTATTCGTGTTGGCCCTCTGATACACACATATTCACACACATGTACACATACTTTTACTTTGCTCAAAAGCTCTATTTGGCTTTTTAAACAGGCTATAAAATCACGTCTCAGCTCGATTGTCTTTTCTATCGAGTTTTCGTACTGCATTGTGGTTTGCTGAAATGTCGTTGTGTAGTCGCCAAAGTAATTATGCTTCTCTGTGGGTGTACTATTTGCTGTATTCAGTGGATTCTCAGGGTTGTAGCTGGTTTTTGTTATTTTGATCAGTGCTTGCATGTACGCATCCTCTGCGGTTAACCTACGGATGGCATGAATTACTGCTGTCTTTGGTCATCCCATGTGAATGGTACCTGGCTTTGAGAGAATAAATGAATCTGTCCAGGTCAACTATACTCCATTTCAGCACTTTGTTCACATAATCTAGCTGTGCATCAATGCTGGAAACCTGTTGTTATCATGAGTGACATTGACAGATGTCGCATACGCAAATGAGTCTCGTCGTACCTCATCTTCTTGGCCTGGACTTAAACTTTTCGTTGACCTGTGCATGGCGGCGAGAAACGTGTGCTGGAAATGTCAAAAAAAAAAGAGAGGAAAAGGCCCAAGTGGTGCACTGTTGTGTTGTTTGTTTGCACTATATATATATATATATTGGTTTGAGAAAATAAAATCCGTTCTTTGCGTTTGGTGTGGTATCTTCGGCAATTCAACCCTCCAAAAAGCTATTTATATACTTCAGGTGTTGTTGAACAAGTGCAAAAAAAGTGTAAAGAGAAATAGCCAAAGTGGCGAAAAAAAAAGGAAAAATGAAAGAAAGAAAGGGAAAAAGAAAGAGAGCAAAAGTTCAACTATACATGCTTTTGCCAGCAATTAAAAATAGCTTCCATCATGATGGTTTAGCGAGCTTTTCTTTTTTCGTCACCCGAATTCATTGGGTGATTTATTGCTTCGACACTCATCACTTGGAAATCATAGATGTAGAGCAGATTGCAAGTTTATTTTTACTCCTGAATCTCTCAGAAAGGGCTTGTTTATTCTTGATCTTGTTCATCATCATCTTCTAATTTGGCTTGGGGCTTGGATTTGCCATGACCAAAGCCAAAGGCGGATGTCAAATCCTCAGGATCCATTCTATCATGATATTCATCAGTCTTTCTGATATTCACATTAAATCTCGCTCTCCTTACTCTCTAAATTCATAATGGCCTTCCCCATCGAATCTTAGTAAATATTCATGATGACGAATCAAAGAAGTTCTATTGAAATTAAGGTTAAATTACTATTCTTTCTCCCCCTCCCTTTTTTTTTTTTTTTTTTTTTTTTTTTTTTTTTTTTTTTTTTTTGCTCTCATTACCTGTGAGACACGGTGAATAAAGTAATGCCCACTTTACGAGCATGTTCGTACATGATGGCTTCAATATCAACACTAACTGCACTTGTACATTCATCAAGAATGGCCTATAATTCGTGTTATAACAAATGTAGAAACAATCAACCTCAAACAACTTACAAATTGGGGTTTGTGATAGAATAATCTGGCCATGGCAACACGCTGCTTTTCACCGCCTGATAAGACATCAGCCCAATCTTGGACGGCATCCCAACCGCCTTCACGCTCAACCAAGTAGCCCAAATGTACAGTATCCAAGAGCTTCATAAGAGCCTCATCATCACATCCTTTGGTCAATGCTTCGGCATGGGTGTCTGGATAGATAATCTGATCTCTGAAGCTACCCAATGGAAGGTAAGGTTTTTGAGGCACGTAAAAGAGCTTGTTGGCTGCAGGCTTGGTGAGATTACCACCGAACAAAGGCCACAAATCGCCTAATATACGGAACAATGAACTCTTGCCACAGCCATTGGGACCAGAGATCAGACAATTCATGCCTGTGCTGACCTTGAATGAAAGGTCTTTCAACTATTACGTCCACATGTTAGTCCCACTGTGCTCAACATTTGCATTGAATACAATTACCAAAACATCGCTATTGGGTGTAACAATGGGCACCTTGTCAAAAATGATAACACCGTCTCGGATCAACACTTTGCCCTTGGTGTTGTTTGTGTCCACCAGCTTGTTTTTGCCCGGACCGGATGCACCTTCCTCATTGTTCATCATGGTGCGCTTGTATTTGCCATTACGCACATCAGACAGGACATCAAACAAATCAGCTACTCGTGACTAGTATAAGAACATTGTTAGTTGTTGTTGCACGAATCATCAGTCATTCACGTACTGTATAACCAGCGAATCGAGTTAAATCACGGCCAGTGAGAATAAGTCTGCCAACAGCTTGAGACAAATTGATCAGATAGCTCGCTAATCGTTGCATTGTCAGTATGCAGAGAACATTTTCTAGTCATGCAAACACTTACAGTTTCTAGAATAATCTTCCATCAACTTGGTAGGGTCACTATCAATACCCATGTGCTTTGTAGCATATCTTGGATCAAAGACAGGTCTTGCCAACAAGCTAAATTGCGTGTTAATCATCGATGGCTCCCCCCCTTAACGAGCATTACAAAAACTTACTAATATGCAGTCATTGTAGCACAATATTTGACAAGAACTGAATCAAAGATACCATTCAAGAATCGAAGTGTATACACTTTGCGAACATGGTTGGAAATCTTTTCAAAAGTGTTGTTGACAACCTCCTTTTCACGCTCACCACCACGATAAAAGGCGATTTCTTCTGAATGAGTGATGATACGAGACTACCATCGAATGGTTAATGCATTGTCCTTGCAAGGTTGCAACCCACTTACATGTGTAAATCTGAAATCACCTTCCAGTTTTTGCTCAATAGCAGTGTCTACGAGAAAAAAAAAAGGGCATCAGCTAGCCATCCTACACTACAAGATAGTAAACACACTTACAACGACCAAATGGAGGCGAGAATGCACGGAGCAACACACCAGACATGACAAAATAAGCAATCATAAAGAAAGGAGCTTCATTACCACTGCAAATGCTGCATTAGATTTGCGATCCACAACACTCATTTGCAATACTTACATGGCTTCACCCAACTTATAGGCAAACAAAAAGATATCGACCACTGGTTTAGCGATATCAGAGTATAAATGAGACAAATTATCCGAAAACTTGTCAATGTCTTGTGTCAACAGCTGATCTGCGTTTTGAAGTCTGTTATCCAGATTTGAAACCTTGTAAAAAGTGATGCCGTCTAAATATTGATTGTGTGCATGCTATGCCACTATGGTTAAATCATCATGCGTTTAATCGTTAGGGAGTTATATTGCATTTACCTTTGTTAAACGTTCACGGAAGCTCAGGGCAAGGGCATTGATGGTCAGTTTGAGTGAATTATTTACAATACTCATTGGCCACTAATAGATAAATCAATACACACATACAACCCTCTATGCCTCTTCTCTTTCAACATTACCATCATCAAACCAAACTCTACAATAGCTTTCGCAATAAATTGCTTTCTGTCTCTAGAAACAATGGCCTTGACTACGGAACTGCATATTGGGGTCATGTTAGATCTCGCTATCTCCAGCGTGCCTTGCCACCTTACCCATTAAAACCGGAAAACCAAATGTCCAACCATGTTCTAGCAATGAGAACTGTTGCAAGTATGACCAGCAGGCCAGATTCCTTTGAAAACACACCTTTTCATCGAATGTGAATATTAGGTAAGCTTGTGATAACGATTCAATCATACCTGGTACACAGATGGGCAATAGTTTCTTCATCTGTTCAATGAATTCAGCATTAACGCCTACTTTCTTATGCTTCTTTTTGGCTTGCTGTGATGGTTGTTTCTTGTTGGTATTGTCTCCAGCGATATTCTTGCTGAATTGTTTCTTGGCCTTGTAGATGGCATATATTAATGAAACTACAAGTACACCTGATAAGGGCTTCTTTGAATTATGTCCTAATGTCGAAAATACATTGGCCATGTTGTATGTAAATGTGTATATAAATAAATAAGTATATGTGAAAAAAGAGAAAAGAAAGAGAGATGAATAATGTTTAATGCCACCTAAATATAATTCTGGTGTGGGGAAAAAAGGTACACACACCCACTGTGTGGTTCTCGGTTAAAGTTTCCGTCTTGCGGGCCACCAATCCTGTCAATTTCCCATTACAAATCTAAAATGACATGCCTGGTAATTGCTATTAATCTGGATGGACACCACCAGCTATCTCTTTCTTTCGTATTATCAAGAGGTTATTGTTGCGCATTGATTTTCATATCGAAACAAGACTCGAGTGATACCAGAATTTGCCAGTACACGGAAGAATATCCAACTGGCAAGTGTTGTGCAATGTGAGAAATTGATGCTGTCGGGCTGAAATTTTAACTGCCAGCCAAAGCAATATGTGTATTTTGATTTGTAATGGTCAATATCGATGCTCACTATGTCCAAGCATAGCTTTGATGTTTATATCAAGAGGATTAGTAGATGACATAGCAAGATTACAAGCTTCATCGCCAGCTGGTATTTGGGCATTTGTGCGAGTACCCAAACACGGGCAATTCGATTGGATTGAAACCAAAGTACTATACCTGTCATGGCGATGAAGTATCCTACTGAATGCCCTAAATTTTCACTTCTAAACCGATCTTCATGCGTGAAAATCCTTCAAGAACAACCTGTAACTACGGGTCTGACTCTTCTATGATGCTGCACGCCTATAGCAATGGGTACAATGCACAAACAGGCAAATAGCATACTTCAAATGCGCTTTACTACTCAAATGTATGCAAATCACAGCCAAATTTGGATGGATTTAAGCCGTGTTTTCTCGCGTTATACGTCTTTTTGGACTGCCAGAGTAGCACCCAACAATTGCTCTCATCCAGCAGCTACTTTCTGACACCTTTGCTCAACTTTTTTGGGATCATCAAAAATCGACTCCAAACTATGAGTGATACCTCATGATTTTCATCGAAAATCAAACGATCGCGTTTTTCACCTCAAAAATGAAGACTTTTACCAAGGTATATATTGAACCAAAATGATTGTATGGATCCAAAGCAACCCCTGAAGCTTTGTTTGTGCAACCTTTATATGAAAAATTTTGACATTTCCACCTAAAACGTCATTTCATATTTCCCAATATTACTCGATAAGTTTGTTATAAACATGCCTTTTAATGAGCACCATTAGATGCGGCTTGAAAAGTACTTGAAAAAAGCTTAAGGAAGTATGGGATGACCATTACGACTTTCATAATCGAATCTAACAAAATAGATCAATCGAGTCGAAAATCAATTAAAAATCAACGAATTGGAACGAAAGCGTTGGATTGGGTTTAAAATTATTTTGGCTGGCAAGATGAATGCCATGCTTATAATGATGGCAATTGATATTGTACGAAGCCCATAAAAAAGGCATTACGAATAAAAAAAAAAAAAAAAAAAAAAAAGTACTATAGACTAGAGTGTCTACTAGTTTCTTTGTTTTTACTATGCACTTTTATATTTGATAGGTTAAATAGCTGCAAACTGCCCATCCAGCTGCTAAGCCTAATTTGAAATGCAAGATTGCCACTCTGCTCGGAAATTCATCCATTGCCTCGAGCGCGAAGCTTATATAATAAGAGTATTGCGGTAAACTAACTCCATGTGTATCGAGTTATTGGAATGCTAATATAAAGCAAAGCTATTTCTGAGCATAAACGAGGAAAAATGCCTGGTAATGTATGAAGCCACATGTACACTAGCGTCAGACCATTCAATCAAACCAACAGCCATCAGAGTGGTGCACCCAGAACACAGCTACAGCTACAATCACCCCATATGTAAAGATCACACATCAACCACGCATTATTATTTCTTTTTTTTTTTTTTTACCTCTTGTTAACCTTTCAAGCAGCCAACAAAGATGAACGAAACCAATTTAAGCTTGTCAACTAACCAAAAGCTTCAACCATTTCTGTTGTTATCAAAGTCAGTAAAAGGTGTTGCCAATTCCAAATTGATCATGGACGCTTTAAATGCGCCTGGTGTCTATGTCTTTACAGAATTATACGAGTCTCCCAACTTGGTAGAGGTATTTCACATGCACTGATTGCAGTCGGTCCATTCATTCAACACACTCCAATGTAGGCATCTACGACACCAGAGGTAGCACCTTATTACAAACTATTGGAAATCTTTCTATACGGCACCTACAAAGATTACCAAGGTTAGATACGATACGAGGGAACACGTCAAATGTGTACTGACAAATGATATGTTTGCTAGAAAATAGCACACAGTTACCTACTTTAAACGACAATCAAATCAAGAAATTAAAGCTTCTCTCCATTGCAACACTGTCCGAAACACAACAAGTAAATTAGCAAACTCGATAACGTAGATATGTAACTGACATGGTGCGATAGACACTCTCTTATGATTTATTACAATCCTATCTCGATATACCCACCGTAAGAGAGCTGGAAGATTTAATCATCGATGCATTTTATCAAGGCATTTTAACTGGTAAACTCGATCAACGCCAACGACAATTGCAAGTAATGTACAGCATGGGCCGTGATTTGAGGCCTCAGCAATTGAACGAAACAATGAACGCACTTGCTGTTTGGTCATCCAGTACAACACGTTTGTTGGGTGCTTTGGATGCTAAGATTGCCAGCTTACAAGAGACAGTTCAAGCCAACCAACAGGCGAACGAAGAATACAATAATCAAATTGAGCAATTGCGTCGTGATATTCGTGCAAACAGCAACCTCAAAAAAATGGATATCTCACCGGTGGATGACACATTGGCTAAAAAGAAGGGATATACTGGAGAGTATGCTTCACCAGATTACAATAACGAGCGAGTCAAGAAAAGGTAACAGTGTTGCTTGTCATATTTTGAAATGATGGATCTTAATTCTGTGTGTATTCATAGTAGGGGTTCAAAACGATTCATGGTTGGTAGACCATAGAGAGGAGGTTTATTGTAAGAATTAAGCATTAAGATATTAAAAGTACATGTTGTGTCTATGATGAATAAAACAAAGGAGTGAAGTAGTTACATCTATTATATACAGTATCTGATTTGATTTGATCTGCTCTCACGCAGCAGTAAGTATGGTAGATTCAGAGGCGGCAGCAAGTGGCTTTCGTGCAATCCAAACATTGAAACGAGAAAAGCTTTTAAATTGCTCAAATTCATCGAGGACCTCAGACACGGCTAAATCATAATCAGCAGGCGAGATGCCCCACTTGGGAACATAGGTTGCCTTTTTGTTCTTGAGCAATGCTTTTTGGATTTCCTTGTTGATGAATCCATATTGCTTCAATTCTAAACTAGCAATCAGAATGACACATTCAGCAGACAATTACTTGTATGTACATACCAGGGTCAGTAGCCCACTCGCCAATGGGAATATCCAAGGCTCGTTTTTCCACTAGTTCAAATCCATTCTCGACAATAGTAGCATCCAAAGTGTCCGCAATCTCCAGATCAAGGTCTAATAGTTGGCATTGATCTTTGTAAAAGTTCTGGAACGCAATTTGGACAGGGCCTGGGTTGTGATGCCACATGTCTGCTTCAATCAATTCAATGTATCCACCTGGCTTCAATACACGAAACATCTCATACACTACTTTGGGCCATTGATCTTTTTGAATATGCAAATACATGTTGCGCTGGAATACACTATACAAATAGAAAGTGAGTTACACTATGCTAAATGTGAGTTTCAAATGTAAAACCTACAAATCAACAGTAGCATCTGCCATTGGCCATGGTTCATTTATATTAGTTCGGTTGTAGTGTAAATTAGTTGGATTTCCATGCTGAAAGGCTGGTGGTTTTAAATCTAAACCGAGTACCTGACAATCCTTATATTGTGCTGCCATTTCCAACGCCCAAATGCCATTTGCAGTACCCGCCTCCACAATGACTTTGGGCGAATCAATAGGTGCCCACGTATTTCCCTTTCGAGTGCTCTTTAACAAGTAATGTTGTCGCTGTAATCTGTCGTACTCCTTTGCGTCTTCCTCTACAATGGTCGGATGCAAGCTTACTAGACTCTGCTTTCTTCTGGCAAAGAATTCTGAGATGGATTTGCGTCTCGTGTTGTTGACAATGGCTGGTGCAGATGAGCTCTGCTGCTGTTGCTGCTGCTGCTGCTGTTGTTGTTGTTTCTGTTGTTGCTTCTTTTGCTGGATGGCTACAGCAGCAGAGACAGCAGCATTCAGTGATGGATTCTCTTTCGAAGCATGAGGGTCGTGGTCCAACCAATCGTAGTTGCCCTGTGAATGCGATGATTTCTGCGATGCAATGTCGCTTTTCTTCTTTTTGTTGGCGGCAAGTACTTTGCTCGCTTGATTTCCCATTTGAAGTGAATGTTGTATATGATGTCAAGAAAGGAAAAGAGCAAGTAGAAGAATCGACTCTAATATAGATTTATATTGCAATATTTCTGACACTTTCCAGAGCACCAATCCAATGATGTGTTTGTATATAAGAGGCAAGTGACACAGCTGTTGCGGCCTAAATGATGCCTTACAGCAAACAGTAGCCTTAATGAAGCAGTTTTTTTTTTCAACGATGACTGGGGACCACTCTGAGCTTATAAAAAATGCTAAAAGTGGAGCGAAATGCGCGAAGTAGGCCGAAATCAAATTGCAGCAAAAAATTCATTTATTAAAGATCATGAAATTAACAAAAGAAACCTTAAACTTGTCTCACGTAGTTGGCTGTCATTTTGAATCCAAAAACATGAGATTGTTTGTGTTAGTCATGGATCACTTGTGCTACTCTTGCTGACAACTTACCAGGAAACATGCCTGTTTGATCACCTAAACGGCCCTTCCACCAATCATGAGTTTTGTCTGATTTCTCAAGCACCTCGATCAAATCACCCACATGAAACGAAAGATCACCGTCTTGTGGAGCATTTAGTTCGTAGAGTGCTTCGACTATCTCCTTTCTATTTGCTACTTTTTTGCTGGGTGGCGGTGGAGGTGGAGCACGTTTCTTTTTTACTGACTGTGTAGCAGCATCGTCTGAGAAGGGTGAGGAGACTGTGTTACGGCGGCGGTAACCATCATTTGTGGCGGGTGGTGTGCTTGGTGAAGATGTAGATGTAGATGTTGGTGGTGACAACTCTGAGCGATAAGATGGCACTCTAGACGATGCTGTAGATGAAGATGTGCTGGAAAATGTCTTGTTCAACTCTTCCGTTAAATTTAACTGTAACCCTTTCACAATACTTCCATTGGCTCCATCTTGTCTCCTACTATTGCTGTTGCTGTTGCTATAGTTTGATTGCAGCATATGGGTGGAGGGGCTTTTGATTGGTGGAGGCGCATTGGATGTGGACAATGATCTGTTTCTTGCAGTAAAAGACGGACGAGGTGACAATGCTGGTGGTTGTCTTGGATTGTTAATAGATGGTCTCTCAGAGATAGGTGGCCTTTCGGATACAGAGGACCGTCTGTTGGCAAAAGAAGGTCGTTCAGAGATGGAAGGTCTTTTGTCAGAGAAAGAGGGTTTCTCTGCAAGTGGGGGCTTCCTGTCAGATGAATAGGACGAGACGGATGATTTTCTGTCAGAAATGGATGGTCTTCTATCATTATACGAAGGTCTATCGGAAACAAATGGCGCCTTTCTATCTGGCACAGATGTCTTTCTTTCTGTGATCGAGGGTCTTCTTTCGGAATAAGCAGGCAATCTGTCATTGCTGCATTGTTCGTTGTAAGTATGAGTCATTGAGGAACGTCGACCACCGCCAAGAGAGGAACTGCTGCTGCGATTTGACAATGTTCTATTCATAGAATACCCCTGTGTAGTAGACAGATACTCATCATCCTCTTCGTCTTCAGAATAGTAAGCATCTCGTTGTGGTTGCTGCTGCTTAGCATATCTCGAATGCGTGCTGCCTCGTTGCCATGGCTTGATACCATCCTTGAACAGCTCAGATCGATCAAGCTCTTCTCTGGCATTGAATTCCTTCAACCTCGACCTGAAGCCATCCTCAATCGGCATATTCAATGTTGGGAATACGGCACCGTTATGCTGAATCACTTCGTATATTCTGCTGTAGAATCCACCCACAATTCTGCTCTGGATGTTGTAAAATTGCTGAAATACGGGCTCTATAAACTCTTGCGACATATCCAAAAATCGAACCAGTTCGTCCTTGAGCATATTATTAAAGTAATCATAGTCTGCAGCAGCATTGTCGAATTGAGTCTGCAGTTTAAACATGTTCTTCTCTTCACTAGGGCTTGGCTCTGAAATAGCCGAATACTTCATGTACGCAATACGGTGTCGGTCAAAATCAATCAGTTTATGCTCTCGCTTGGTAATGGTTTTGTCGATGGTTTTGGTGATCATATGAAAGCGATTAGCTGGTCTCACCACCAAGGCATCTAAATCGTCCAATATGGAGAAAGACTCTTCTCTGCAGTAGGCCATTGCAGTAGCATAATCTTCCAACGCTTGTCTCATTTCGGGAGCAATGTCTTCTGCCTCTCGTTTGGGTAATCTCACCACTCGTTCATCCAACGGGTCCTCCTCTTCCATGACTAAACCGCATACCCCGGCTAGGTAATTGGCACAGTGAAATTGATGGTTCAGCATATCTACCAGTGTGGTTAGCTATGCACCGCTGCCTACTCGAGTACGTTTGATCATCTTACTAGCAATGTGATCGCGGTAAGCCATTGTCTCCAAGCGAAGTTCGTCAGCGAACGCAACAATCTCTTTGTATCTCTTTTCAAGTTCAAGGTATTCTAAATCACGGGTAACATCTGGTTGCGAGCCCATTTTATCAGCACTTGTTGTAGCAGCCATTTGGCGCCATTACTACATACCTTCACCACCATTTCTGGTTTTAAATTGATGCGGAAGTCGAGAGATTGACTTTTTGACACCTCTCCTATAACAGCCTTTACTTTAGCAATGCTATCTTTTGACAGAAGCTACAGCACACTTACCAACTCATTATCGTGGACAGAAAATCAGGTGGAAGAGAAAAGAAAAAGGGGAGAAAAGAAAAACCAAACTGTCGTTGGGGGGGGGGGTTTCATGTCAGATATTTTTAGTGAGTGGGATTTGAAAGCATTTTACCAAGCTCGCGGAATACACGACAGATGCTACTATACCGTCGCACAATATGAAAGTAACATGCATCTTGAGAGGGTGCTTGACAGGTAAGTAATATATATAGAATTTCATAAGTAGCACTGTATAGACTATTTGGGCCCGCATGAATAGGTTCAAGTGTAGAATGTGAGTAGTGCCTTTTTTTCAAGATCATCGAGACATCTGATATCTATACAAGAACATCAGGCATCACAAATTGAATAACATTTATGAAATATCTTTGGTTAAGATCAAACCGAATTGTCATGCCTCCTGTTCAAGCTGGAAACTGCGTAATCTGTAGAGTTGCTCTACCTGAAGATGTCGATTTTCGAAAATGTGGTTTATGTCGAGTAAATAGAGAAATTTGATTAATAAATCAAAAGAAATGAAAAACAAACATTCGAACAAACCTTTATATTTTTTGTTTCAGGAACGTGCCCAAAACCACGCCAGACAAAAAGCTACATTGAGACCATCAAGAGCAGCAAAACCGCCGAGAGCACCTGCCGCTTTCATTTCAGAGCCAAGAAAAATGCGACCTCATTATCTTCAAGAACATAATAATGCATCTAATCCAACACTTGATAGCATTGGTTTATAGGGAGGGTTTACTGTATCGAAGCAAAGGTGGAGAAACTATGACAACTAAGCATTTAATCCAAAATTTGGTAATATTGATTTCAATGAGAGTTTTACCATAGCGAAGCGAAGGTGCAAAACCATAGTATTCAAACAGCAAAATCTGGTTTTCATGTCCATTGTTAATAAGCTTACCAGCAACATACCGCATCAAAATTTGCATGAATCAGCTTTACCGAAATCAATATGCCTTCTGTTCAAATAAGGAATTGCACAGGCTGCAGAATTACTCTTCTAGAAGATTACAGCTACCAAAGATGTGATTCATGCCGTGTAAATAAAAGCTACACAGCAAAAAACATAACCAAATTTGACAACTTTCAAGCCTTCATATCTTGACATGTAGACCTTTCTGAGCTACCGGAATAACGCCGAACAATTGTACTCGAGTAGTATCAACTTCCTGACGCCTTTGCTCAACTTTTTGAAGACCCAAAAAACATGGCCAAAAATCGACCAAAAAGCATGAGGGGTACCTCATGGTTTTCATCGAAAATCAAACGATCGCATTTTTTACCTTGAAAACGAAGACTTTTGCTATGGTATATATCAAATCAAAATGTTTCTCTCGATCCAAAGCAACCTCGGAAACCACGTTTATGAGGCTTTCATATGCAAAATATGGCTATTTTCGCTAAAAACCTCATTTCATATTTTACCAAATTGCTCAATAATTTCAGTCAAAACATCTATTACAATTAGCACCATTGGAAGCGCCTTGAAAAATACTTCAAGAATGCATTAGGGAAGCGTAGGGTGATCATAACAGCTTATATAGTCGAATATCATAAAATAGAAGAAAAAAGTCGAAAAAGACAACATCTGTCCAATGTTGAACAGAAAAAAATAACTGAGCTTGAATCAATTTTGGCGGCGGCATTGCTGCTGGCTGACCTAAATGCCTTTCTGTTGATGGCAATGATGATTGCGATACTGATTAAATGGGGATCATGGAAGTGAAAAGACAATTGCCCAGCCCAAATACTTTTTTTTGGGAGCTTTGCCTCACAGTGGTGTCTTTTGCAATAACAATATCTTAAAAAAGTCGCTGTAGATCTTACACAAGTCCTGTATTTACTTATGGCTAGCTTTATGTCGCCATCTCATTAAGAGCATCAGCAACAGCGAACGTCTCAATAATAGGTTTTGCTTGATATCGGTGTAAGCAAAAAGGATGCCGAAGGAGATATTTCCTCTCCTACTGGCTCTGTAATTACCTTTCTTTTACTAATAATTGATTGTCTAACATCTGCTTGATATACCAAAAATTTATTTTACTGATTTATAATGTCTTTGGCGAGAGCTTGCAGGACGACGCCGACATCGAGTGTAGCAATATAGATTGGCTAGTGTGTATATATTTCCAAGCACACACTGTTACCCCAGTGACAGCCAAGGTAAGATACATTTGCCGGTAGGATATCAATGCATGATTTGAAATAAAGGAGTCTATTTGTTACAGAAATACCAAACTGACATGCTGTACCTTAATGGATGTGTATGTAAGAGTGGCAATACCACATAACAGATGGCCTGCATAAACAAGACGTGCGACCATTGTTCGATCCAGTCTATAAGGGGTTTCTTTATTCGAATGCGGATTAAGTATATATGGTGGATAATAAACAAAATAAACAAATGGTGGAATGATGGTATGCGATATATAAGTTAAACTTTCAGTACTTGGTTCAGGAAATGGGCCAATTCAATGGGTGAAGAACAAGGAAGCAAGTGTCTCTGAATGTGTGTATCAATCTCCAGCAAGACATCTTTAGCCACAGGTCTCGTGTTGGCATCCTCGTCTAAAAGCCAAGCGACGAGACCTCGCATATACATGCTTGGGTAGCTGTAGGTAAATGTGGGGCTCGGTTCAGAGGTAATGACACTAAACAGCTCTGTTTCATCCTTAATCAAGTAATGAGGAGGTACACGATCCATCATTTCAATGACGGCTATACCCAATGACCACATATCAATCTTCTCACTGTAGTAGTCTTCTCGAATGACTTCAGGCGCCATCCTATATAAAAGGAAATAGAAGGAGAAGCAGAATAAAATTAGAATACATGTGTATACAGACAAAGGAGGTAAATCCAGGGGTATGTAGTGCACTTTACCATTTGCTTGTACCAAGGCGATCACGATGCTTGCGACTGGTCTTTGCAGACAGGCCGAAATCAGCTAGTTTGACCTCACCATGCCAACCCAGCAGTAGATTTTCACATTTGATGTCTCGGTGAAGATAGCCCTTTGAGTGGAGATAAATCAGACCCTTGAGCGTTTCCCTGGTAATGAAGATGGTATGCGCCTCCGGGATTCCACGTTGACAGAGAACGGCAAACACTGAGCAGCGCATCAGGTCCATGCTGATCCAGATATCTTCACGCCAGAGCAAGATTTCTCTCAGTTTGATCAGATTGGCATGTCCAGTGGCCATGATGCGAAGCTCTCTCAGGATGGCAGCACGATACTCTACATCAGGATCTAATTTACATCGTTTGATGGCGCATTGCTGACCTTGCTTTTTGCGGTAGTTGGCACGTATCACTGCTCCATTGACACTTTAGAAAAAAGAGAGATAAATAAGGTATATTCTGTATAAGCTTTTTGTTTATTGTTTACCCTGTGCCTATCTCTTTAAACTGTGCATATCGTGTCCGAGGATCTGAAGAGCGAATGGATATTTTTGGAAGCATCTTGCGGATCTTTGCTTCTAATTTGTTTCCTGACCGAGTCAAGGGTGGCAAAGGAGGTACTTCGTAGTACGGATTAGGGGGGTACCATGGTTTCTATAGAGCATAGGATTAGTGCTGAATGATGTCCAAGACAGTAGACTTACTTTGGATATCTGCTTGGATAGGTTGAGAGGACGAAGATCAAAGGCAACAGGTGGGCCAGGCTTCAAATATGCATGACCCAGGATATTTGGGATTTCGTAGCAGCCAGGCGATCTCCATACATTCTATGAAATCTGTTAGCGCCATTGATTTCATGTCATAAAGTAGGCTGATGCTAAGTTTACTTTGCTCAAGGATTGCGATGTTAATTTGGTAGACTGACTGAGACTGGATACAGCTCTTTTTATAACGCCAGTCGATTGTCTTCTCTTTGATTCATTCAGCAGTATGAAAGGATTTCCAAGTCGATTATTAGGCTCTGATCTCGATTTTTGCATTATAAAAGTCTAATTTTTTTATTTGTTACAAAATGATAGAAAAGTAATAAAAAAAAGAAAGCAAAACAAAAGGCAAATATATACATATAAATTGTATAAATTTAGAGTGAAAAAAGGAGAGTCTTGTTACTACATACAAGTTTGTTGGTAAAAGGAGATGAGAGGCAACGACAACAACGAGGGGCCAGCAATAGGGTAAAAAAAAAAAAAAAATGAGGGATGAATCAGATCAAATAAAAAATCCTCAGTGTGCTTATGGTTTTCTATATCATTTTCATATCAGAAGTACCTGAACAAAAGTATCATCATTTTCATGTCATTTTTCTCAAAGGTATTGCAAAATTATCACGTAAAAAATCATTGCAAATGTTTAATATCACCATCAATGCTTCATTCAACAGACTATAGATATACAGACACATTTGAGCTTCTCCTTGGTAGACACGCTTTTCCCCTGTGTCTCTCTGTTCTGATACCGTTCTCCCTCCTGGAAATACACACTGATAAAACTTGGCATTTTCGAGATGCTATCTCTTTCTCTTCTCTCTGTCATGAGCCAAAAAACACTGTATATACACAGTATATCGGTTATTTGCCTCATCAGAGAGCAAGAGATCAGCCAATAAAACAACATGGTTTCAACGAGGAATACAGACATAGGACGAAATCAGGATCCAATGTGCTACGAGATAGCGCAAATGATAAGGATATTATAGCATGTATAAAAAATAAAAGACATTTGATTCAACCTAAGATCATTTGTGTTTGAAATAGAAAGAAAAAAGAGAAAAATAGATCTCGCAGTGATGAGTAATAGGGTCATTACATGATTTTTAGTCACATCAATCATGGATGATTCAGAAATTTCAATCTAATAAGCCACTCTCCAACAAGTATAAATAAGGCACTGATTTTGTTTTTTTAAAAGAGGGGGATTATTATCCCCCCACAAATTTTTATTAAAATAAAGCCCTTCTTACATCTATAAAAAAAATGACTTCTTACCTTGATGCTTCTACTGCTAATGCCGTTCTGAAAGAGTACGGTCGTCGTGATGGTCTTTCTGTTGAAGCCCTCATGGATGAACAATTGAGTGGTGGTTTGACCTACAATGATTTCTTGGTCTTGCCTGGCTTCATTGACTTTGCCGCCGAAAAGACTTCTTTGGAATCCAAGATTACCAAGAAGATCTCTCTCAAGACTCCCTTCTTGTCCTCTCCTATGGACACCGTCACTGAGGCTGAGATGGCTATCTCCATGGCAGTAAGTACATACAATGCATAGTAAGTGTGTGATTGGGGTTATTAAGTGCTGTTTTCTATCATGAAAAGCTCTTGGGTGGTATTGGTATTATCCATCACAACTGTACTGCTGAGGATCAAGCCAACATGGTTCGTTCCGTCAAGAAGTTTGAGAACGGTTTCATCAACGACCCTGTTGTTTTGTCTCCCGAGAACACTGTTGCTGATGTCAAGGAGATCAAGGCTACTTCAGGTTTCTGTGGTGTCCCTGTTACTGGTAAGTCTTTGGGTTCATGCATTGATGGTGTTCATGTGTGTGTGTGTGTGTGTGTGTGTGTGTGTGTGTGGGTGGGAAGAAGGGATCGAGTAGTATCAAGTGTTGAATTTACTCACGCTCTGTACCTCTCTCCTTGATTTCAATAGAGAACGGCAAGTTGCATAGCAAGTTGGTTGGTATCGTAACTGCTCGTGATATCCAATTCCACGCTCAGGATGAAACTCCTCTCAAGGACATCATGACCACTGAGCTCGTTGTTGGTCAAGAAGGCATCACCTTGAGTGAAGCCAATGATATCTTGTGCTCCTCCAAGAAGGGTAAACTTCCTATTGTCAATGCTGAGGGTGCTCTTGTTGCTCTCTTGTCTCGCTCTGATCTCCTCAAGAACCAATCTTACCCCAACGCCTCCAAGGGTTCCAAGTCCAAGCAATTGTTGGTCGGTGCTGCTATTGGTACTCGTCCTGATGACAAGGATCGTCTTACCTTGTTGGTTGAAGCTGGTCTTGATGTTGTTGTCCTCGATTCCTCTCAAGGTAACTCTGTCTATCAACTCGAAATGATCTCTTGGATCAAGAAGACCTTCCCCAACTTGGAAGTCATTGCTGGTAACGTGGTTACTCGTGAACAAGCTGCCAACTTGATCGAAGCTGGTGCTGATGGTATCCGTATTGGTATGGGCTCTGGTTCTATCTGTATCACTCAAGAAGTCATGGCTTGTGGTCGTCCTCAAGCTACCGCCGTCTACCGCGTCTCTGAATTCTGTCGTCGCTTTGGTGTCCCTACCATTGCTGACGGTGGTGTTGGTAACGTCGGTCATATTGTCAAGGCTTTGGCTTTGGGTGCTAGTGCTGTCATGATGGGTGGTCTCCTTGCTGGTACCACTGAGACTCCTGGTGAGTACTTTTACCACGAAGGTCAACGTCTCAAGCGCTACCGTGGTATGGGTTCCATTGATGCCATGAACAACAAGTCTGGCGGTAAGGAAGGTAATGCCGCTACCAAGCGTTATTTCTCTGAAGGTGATGCTGTCAAGGTTGCCCAAGGTGTTGTTGGTAATGTTGTTGACAAGGGCTCCGTTCGTAAGTTCATTCAGTACCTTGTCACTGGTGTTCAACACTCTCTCCAAGATATTGGTTACAGCAGTGTTGCTTCCATGAAGCAAGCTGTCTATGATGGTGAAGTGCGTTTCGAAAAGAGAACTGCCGCTGCTCAAATGGAAGGTGGTGTTCACGGTCTCCACTCTTTCGAGAAGAAGCTCTTCTCTGCTTAATTGCATTCTGTTTCTTTTTTCATTTTAAACAATCATTTATATATCATATTCCGTATTTCTTTCTCTGTTTTATATGTAAACCGCCATTTTATTTCACTCTTTATTGTCCACATTCCAATTGTCACTAGAAATTTTCAATAAATTTTTATCACTAGAAATCATTTGAGGTGCAGAGATGGTTGCTTGAGGTCTACATGGCTTCGAGACAAGTGGCATTGTGTTTGATGGCATCCACTCAAAGTGTACCAACCAATTGTCATTGGAAATGTACTGTGTCCAGGCTACTAGATTGACTTGACAACTGTCGTGCGTATTTTGAACCTGTCAAGCATGAATAAAAGTGCATGCTAACCAGCATATGTCAGCTTTTCGTATCTGAAATTAATAGTGACATGTCAATCAGTTATCGATCTATTCATGCAAGCCAAATTGCCCTGATTTGCAATGTAGGGAGTTCATTTTACAACAGTCATATTGCACATATCCTAGCGCAGCAAAATAGATGTTTGTCCAACCTTTGGTTTACTTTTTCGTTCAACATAGAATCATGGGCGTTCATGGATTGACAGCTATTCTCAAAAAGTATGCACCCAACTCTGTGCGCACCGTGAGTTGCAATGCATTTTCTCAACAAACAATAGCCATTGACGCAAGTTGTCATTTGAATAAATTCATCTATGGCAGTGAATCACACCCGCAGCGTCATATATATGGATTTTACCAACTAGCTCAGTTTTGCAGCTTGAATGCAATTACGCCTCTATTTGTATTTGATGGACCTCAGCGGTTAGAAGCCAAGCAATTGGAGCATGCCAAACGTGCACGCTCAAGAAAAAAAGTAAAGCACTCGCTGTTATTTGAAAGAGAACAATCTTTGCGATTAGACAATTGGCTTCAAGTATCTGACCAGTATGATCAAGCGCAGATGTCAAAAGAAAGTGCATTGGCCATCTTGGGTGAGTTGGGAGAAACGCTCAAGGAGATGGAGGCGGATCCTACCATATTGGAAGATGGTACTATGCCTGTGGACATTCAAGAACAAGAGTTACAAAGCAAACTTAGATCCATTGCTCAAGAATTGCAACAGGCGATCGCCACAGCAGAAGATACAGAGAAATATACCAGAACTGTGAGGAATTTAGCGAATAGAGAAAGGGATCTCATGGCAGATATGATTATTCATCGCTACAAAGATATTAAATCAGCATTGCAGCAGCTAAAGAAGGAGAATCAAGCCATGCTCTCATCATTGGGTATGTTGATACACGCACACACACACACACACACAGAAACGAACTTCCATTAAGCGAATATACAGAGAAAAGATCCTTTCGAATCACGCAACATACAAGAGATGAATGTCAAGATTTCCTCAAAACACTAGGTTACGTTTGCCTCTCATGCGACAATCATGAAGCCGAAGCCATGTGTGCTAATTTAGCTAAATCTGGAAGAACAACAGCAACGGTTTCCGAAGGTACCTACAGACATTTATGATTCCATTGAAACAAATCAATGAGACTAGTTTTACTGCATAGACTTGGATACCATTGTCTTTGGAGATGTGCCTATTTTACGTCACTTCTTTTCAAAAGGTCGGCCTATTCTATCCATTGACCCAGTGATAGCCAGACAAGATCTTGGATTCACTAGAGAATCGTTTATTGATCTATGCATTCTTTGTGGAACAGATTTTTCTGGCACTATTCAGGGAATAGGCCCACACAAAGCTCTTCAAGCGATACAAAGGTATGGCTCCATTGAGCGAGTGCTGAACAACCTGGATTCGAGATATGTTCCGCAAGAGACATTTGATTACTCATTAGCAAGACATGCAAGTAGATGGCAATTCAATTTTTGTAGTTGGGTTCACTGACATGTTGATGCTTGTTTAGGTGTTTAATGATTTGCCCGATATACCCACACATGAATTATCTTATGAGCCACCGGCAACAGACAAATTAGCCATCAGCAATATACTTCAACATTACCAGATCGATCCCTTGGAAGCAGATTTGGCTGTGAGACAGGCAATAATACAACAAAGTATCATAGATGTCAAGAATTGGGGCAGTGATCCATTCTCATCTGCGTTTGCAGCCAACAAGACCGTCGATCCAAAGTTGCTACAGGTTGCTTCCAGTTAGTATTTTCTACATAAATTTACATTATATACCACGAATGAGACAATCAAACGAAATCGAGTAGCATAAATAAAATAGATTTTTATCAGGCCATATATAAACAATGGGGTAATTTTGTATATGTAAATATATATAAATGGTACATAGTTGAGTATGGTAAAAGGCATACAACACAGGGCGTTCTATTCACATATCATGCGCAACAAGTCGCTTGTCAACTTAGCACTCACAACAGTGCTGGTATTCATGGATCCAAAGTTGACCTCGCCCAATGCACTAAAGCCAATGCGTTCCAATAGCATGTGCTGATGACTCTTTCTATCGGTTGTGCTGAATGCTGGTTCAGAGCAAGCAGTAATTAGAATATCCTTGACGGCATCAATTAGAGTGGCATTGTCGCTGGATACAACAATCGCATTCATCTTTGGTATCAGGGAATCATATCTAAAAAAAAAAAAAAAAAATAGCATTTAGTATATCAAATTCCACTTGCTCACAACGCAATACTTACACCAAGGCAAAGACTTCTGGCGTGGATATCGCAGCTCTCGAAAGGAAACCGTACAAGAACAAACGCTCTGCTTCGTTTTCCGCAAGACTAAGCATACCTACCAGGAATGACACAAGGAGGATGCCAGTTGTATTATTGGGTATATCGATGGCTCTCCAAATCATGGAATAAAGATTGGCAGATGAAGAAGTCGAAGCCGAAGAAGAAGCAGAAGGCTCGTTCATTTCATCCACATCGATGTCATTGACACCAGCTAAACGCAGCAATTCTTTCAGGGCATCGTTTTTAGCTGCAAACGGTAGTAAACCACACAGATAGCCCAAGCAATTGGCGTCAATCATGTTTGGCTTCAGGCCTGATTTAGTTTCAATCTCCAAAAAGGTGGTGAGACATGTGAATACCGTGTCTCGAGCATCTGAATGACTGAATCCCTTGAGCAACACACCAGCGATAGCAAAGGAGAATTGCGTGGTAAAGCTTAGACCAACAGCAGAATCAATGTCTTGCGATATTTCACTAAAGGGTGCACGCGCTTCCATCAGCGTGTCTTCCACGGACCGCGTGTCAAAGCATTTGTGGCTGTCCAACGTGCGTAGCACACCATGAAGTAGCTTGACAGCATACGAAAAGATGCTGTTGTGGTTCATCTGGATCATGGCAATAGCAAGCCAGAACAGGGATTTGAGGTAGCGAGAATTTACCGACAGGTTGTCAATGATGTTGGTTAAACACATTAATATGCTAATCACCAAGTAAGGGTTGCTTTCATCAAAGCGACCCAATTCATTGCGCAATACAATTAGGATTTGGAACAGCAAGTCGTCGTCAATCTCTTCTTGAGCCAAGCAGCCTAGAATAACAAATGAACGTGGCTGTAGTGCTGGATTGAACTGAAAGGTCATGCTTGTAACCAGACTCATCCAACGAGCTTGCCATGTATTCGCAGTATCTACAAGTATGGATATACAGTTTCTGTTAGCATAGTGCTGTGTTATCGAAGGGAGACACCTTACCAATATTTGGAGCAGCGTACTTTGTAGCATCCAGCATCAGCCGCACAATCACTTCGAGCGAGGCAAGGCTCATGTGCTCCACATGATCTGTCATGGTGTCTTCAGTGATTGTAAACGCATTGGCGTAGGATTTGCTCAGACAAAAATGAACACGGTATTTGCCATCACAGACATCATCCAATACGTACTTGAGCTTTTTGCGGTTGCCAGTGCTGATGTTCTTGTTGGTCACCAAAGAATGGATGACGTTGACGACGAGTTCATGGACAGACGAACGGATGAACGTAGGGCCTGTCGAGACAACCAGCGCAATGATATGGAACACCTCAGCGACATAGGGTTTCTGCACGCTATCCGAGTAAAAGGACAGCATGAGCATAAAGCGCACCAGACAGCCTATTTCGTGCCATGCTTGATGCTTGACCAGCGAATGTCTGCAATTCTGAGCTGTGCTGGACAGAACACGACGCATGCGATGAATCAGTTTACCACGGATAGCGTTGCAGTTCATAGTAACAAGTGTATCTGCCATGGCTTCCGCTTGGAAAGAGCCAATACCGTTCTCAACAGAATACTGGACCAGCGAGTCAATGACAATAGTATGCAATTCCTCAATGTTCTTCATGGTCTGCCAGATCTTCTTCTGAATATGTTGATAGACCTAGCAAAACAGCAATGTTAATACATTATGACAGGGCTCTGTATCGTATGCTAGCTACCTCTGATTTCTCTGCAGTAATCATGATCAATGAGCGAATGACATCCTTCACCTTGGAGGGCTCTTTTCCGTAAGGAACCAAGGTAAACAGCACCAAATTCCTGAGCCACGGCACCATGTAATCCAAAGTGATTAGTTGTCTCGTTGGCTCTGTGCTGGATCGATTGAAGCCCAATATGCACTCGTTCAAGAACTCCAAAGTCAAGTGCGTTTCACTGTTGGCTAGATTCTCACTCATGCTCACAATGAAATCCACACTGTTGGCAGGAATGCAGAGATCTATAGAGTTACGTCGTCAGTATACTATACGGTTGCAGCGACCAATTTTTTTTTTTTTTTTTTTTACCTCTGGCATTCATCAGTTTGTGATCAATGCCAAATCGAAAGGATATGCACAATGAACAAAGTAGACTATAAGCAGCAGAACGTAGCGAGGGATCTTCTGAGCTAATGTTGAGTAATGCCATGTTCAGGATACGACCAGGCACATCTGTGGGGCGAATACCGTGATGCACTTCAGTGAGATTGGACTCAAAATTCTTCTTTCTATCAACCAGATACTAGACAACATGTGAGTCGTGTGGATATAGCTTGTCATGTCGCTTTTATTACCTTGTACACCTCCTCTCGATTGGGCACTACCAGCACCATGGTCGATTTTCCTGCATCATGTGTGATGTGGATTTCTCCTTCTGTTGACACCTTTTTTGAGGGTGGAATAGCTGGTAGGAAGACATCAGTAATATCAGTCATACTAAACACATTGTTCAGAATAGTATTGAGACTCCAGAATATCTCTTGTTCACGAAGCTATTTCATCCGCCGTTAGGTTCTGCCGTCTATCACACATACATACTAGTCCACTTACCGTAGTAACAATTATGTATTCAGGGCCAATCTTGATTTTGATGGGGATCATGGCCTTGAAACTAGTCACTAGGAACGCATTGGTGATGGACATGCCAATCTCCTTTTCAATTTCATCTAACAAAGACGCATCATTAGCAGTAGACAAACGGTGATGGAGTGTCACTTACAGGTCTCTTTAGGCAGTCTAATTTCAGACAGGGCAACAAAGTTGGAAAGCTCGTTGATGGTGATGGCAAAACGGGTGCGTTTTACCAGCTTGTTTGTCAAGACACGCGGCAGCTTGCGAATGTAGTGCTGCATGTGAAAATTGGGGTTGAACAAGTGAAGCATGACAAGGTAGTCGTTCATTTCACTAAAGACAAGTTGAAAGAACTGATTCAGCCAATGGATAGGCACTTCAACGTCTTCAGAGAATCTAGACAGATCAAACAGCAGCTCAAAAGGGTGGTTGAGATAGGGCTCCATGACCTAGTGCAGAAAGCATGTTAGTGTAAGAACAAGGTGTGATGGTGAAGCAGCACTTGTTACCCGAAGCATATAATAGATGAGCAACTCATAGTCAAAGTTTTCACCAAGCACATTGCGAGCAATCATGTAAAACACAGGCCTTCCGCCCTTGGAGACACCTCCTTGATAAAACACATTGAGGGAGCTGATATGGCTCAAATCTCTGTGCTTGTTGCGACGCATGAATTCGCTGTAAAAGTTGTTTCCATTGACGAGTGCATAATTGCGGGTGGTGTTGAGCTCGCTGTTGGCCAGTTCACTGGGAGGGCCCAGTTGTGCTAGCAGATTCGAGAGCTTGTCCATGGTGCGCTTCCATTCCAACAGTTTCTGTGTGTCTGTGCTGCTGCGGGCACGTCGAACAGAGAGATCCCTTGAGATCTTGTCCAGATTGTCAGACATGTAACGATGCAGTCTCACAAATGAAATGTTGTCCATGCGCACACCTCGTGATTCCATTTTGGTGTTGCTGTTGCCTTTGCCATTATCGGGCACCACCGAGATGTCTCGTAAGAAGCTAGCTACTCGGTACAGATTACCAGTGATAAAATCGTTGAGCGAGATCAAATGCGTTTCCTTGGCCCCAAACATCATGTTGTTGGCTAAATTCTGCATCATACGCGTTGCCTGTAGCAGCAGTCTGCGGACCGCTTTGGACTTGGGCAGGGCAGCTTTGGAGAAGCCCGAGTTTTCTGGTGTCAAGATGGCAGGATTGAAGAGTCGCAAAAAGACGAAACCACCCACAGCCGTCTTGGATGCATCTGGAAATCGCTTGTTGACAGCTTCCACGATCAATGCCAGTTCTTGACGGAACAATCTAACATGGTGTGTGAGTTGATTTACATACATCTTGGATCGATTGACATGCTTACCTTGGTGCGCTGGATGTGGAGTTGCAAATAGCCTCCAAGAAGATCTCTGTTGCACGACATACGTTCTGCTTGTTGACTAACACGCTTTCGTTGGGGTTCAGTTTCTGAGGATCCATTTCCCAGGTCAGACTCTCTTCAGGCAGCGCGTTGATGAGCTCCATCGCGGGTTGCAGTGTCAGTCGAATGTAGTCTACGCAGGTTTCGCGGGCAAAGATAGACAGAATGCGAGTCGCCATGTTGGTGCCTCTGAACAAGGTAGCTTCCTGCTCGGTAGAAAAGACCTCCCTCTCAATGACCGCCTTTAACAGCACCAATACCTTGCTGCGAGATTCAAAGCAGCTCAGCAAAACTTCTGCTACACCGGATGCTTCTGAGGAAGGACACACATCACACAGAGCCAATGCAACATCAATGTCAGACCCAACTATAATCTATTAATACTAACCGGTCAATTTCTGAAGCATTGCATGCTACCATAAACCTTACTTCTACCAGTTTCTCATATCGATCTGCTATAATGTTCTCCGCCAGCGTATCAAACTGTGCGCCCTGATTCAAAATGTTGGAAAGCACCTGCATAAATGCTGTTCTGGTGCGTGCATCTTCATGGTAGCCCATCGCCAGCGTCGACTTGAGGCCGGCATCTACGTTGGCGCTCAGCAGGTTCGACACAGCATTGACCGCAGACTCTTTCAAAGGGCCCCAGTACTGATACGAGTCTGAGGGCTTGATCGAGAGATTATGTAAATCACGATGTGTCTTGACTAAAATATTAGAGCCTGGTCGCACAACTGTATTTGCCTCCGCTTCGTATCGATGGCACCTGTCCAAGAGCTGAGTAAAGAAGGTAAAGTACTTTTGAAATAGTCGATTCTTGTTCATGGTGCGATCTGCGTCCCTGGTCTGATCTGTAGTCTGTAGGGGGAGCTTATGAAGAATGGCAACAATGGCCTTCAGACACACTTGATCCAAATCGTGCTGGACTTCTCTGTTTTGTGAGTTCATTGACATGGTGGCTGCTCTGTTCATCACTCGCTAAAAGAAGCACAATATAAGAGCAAGCAGGCACGCGCTCAAAAGCACTGTACTTACCAAGGTAAAATCGCTTGTCCACTCGACGATAATCTCCAGTAATTTGTTGCGCACACGCACATCGTCTCGTATAATCACTTGTTCCTTTTTCAGCATCAACACCTCGGTAAGATGGCACATCATGATCATGATACGCATGGTGGTGTAGTTTTCATGCGGTAGTCGGTTGATGTAATTTGCCAGCTGCAGAATCAATGTGCTGAAATCAGTGCTCAGCAAACAGTCGTTGGGGTCTATCAGTCGATCTAAAATCATCTTGAGCACCAGCACTGCTTGCTCAACAAACAAGGTATTGGTGTTGTCGCACACAACCTCACCGGTGGCTGTAAAGCAGTTGGCCATGGTCATTTCCAAGTGGCGAAATAGAATAGCGTACAGACTGGATGACAGGTCACCGCCCAATGTGTCCTTTGCTCCTTCTCTTACCACAACGTTGTCTGATGTGAGCAAATCAATCATGTCCATGATAAACTTTTCAACCATAATCGTGGGTCGGCTTGGCGAAGCGATGCGATCATTGCTGTTCTTGGGTCGCTTGTCGTCATAGTCGTCGTCAATCATATCAGCGGCTAATCGACTGCCACCCAGAGCAGCCAAAAATCCAGTGTAGTTTTGCCATTCCGTCTGCTTTTCATCGTCTGTCTCGATTCTGCCCACTGGAACAGGCGCTGTACGCACAGATGAAGAGCGCAACTTGTCGTGTCGCACCAGACCGCCAATCTTCTTGACACCCGAAGCAGATGATATTGTGGTGTTTACCATGGTGTCGTTAACATCGCGCAATGAGTCCATGCCAAATCGACTCACTACCTGCGTCAATAGCTTCCATCGTTTCCAGACCTCTTCCCAAGCTGTCAGTACGCCTGCAGTGGGTGCTGTCATCATGCGCAGGTATTTACGCACTCGCTTTTGCTGTGCCTTTCTGCCTACAAAAGGCTGTTTGCGTCCCTGCGCTACTGGTTCCTCGTAGGATAAATCTTCGTAAATCTCTATATTGTGGCTAAATCCAATCATGCTCTGGCTGCTGCGAGAAGCTGTATCCACCAGCACATCTTCTTCCAACAGCTTGGCCTCTGTGCACATGTAGCCCAGGCATTTCACTGCCATTGAACAAATATCGGGTATAGGGGAGCACAGCGATACCAGCAGTGCAATTTCGAGGGTGACACCAGCTTGGAGACGCTCATTCGCCTCTGTGTTCTCGTAAGACGTATCCTGTATGAAGAATGTGTATGCGCTTAATTTGCATGTGCTTTTTTTCTGTGCCTAAACCTTATTGTTTCCTTACCACAGCACTACCGAGAAACGTGTTCCTGGAAATCAAAATCTTGGAGAGTATGTCCAGCAGTGATTTTAGATAATCTTCGTTGGTGCGATTATCTAGGATTTGGCGAGCAATGCTGAGGATGGTCTGCGAGGAGATTTTCCAGAAATTGTTCATGACTGTGGAGGATGGGCCCCAATGCTTGATGATGGAGGAACCATGCAATTGTGTGAGGCAGTCCACAGCACATCGTCGTACTCGTCTATCCACATGTCGCAGTAGGCTGATCATCGATGTCATGATGGCAGCGTTGCCGTCTACTCGGCCTTGATCTTGATCGTGGCCCTGTGTTGCATGTGTGTCAGCGATAGTATCTATGGTTGTAAGCAGCACTTACCAGCAGAGCACTCAACGGATCTAGCCTAAATAACTTGAGCATACTTTGTAACAATGTTGCCACCTGCTGTTGATTCATCTTCTTCTCTGCCGCACTGCTCATGACACCATTTACCTTTTTAGGCCCCAAGGTGGAGAGAACAGATGGGGAAGCGCTGCTGAGTTCTGCCTTTACAGTTTGGATGAATATGCGTCTCAAGGGCGTACAAATAGAATCGTACATTGAATTGATTGTTGGGTTCCAGGGCAATGTCTTTTCCTCTAACGTCACGCTAAGACAGGCATTGATGAAAGCCTGCTTAAAGACAATAGGAACATCCTCCTCCAACAGTGTAGGCACAAGGCTGGACAGTGTCTTTTTGTGATCCAGTCGCAGTCTGGCAAGAAAGTAGTCTGTCACCAGTGCTTGATGGCTGATGGTGTATCCCAAGCTGGAGGAGAGCGTGTCTACTGCTGATGAGCGGGTGAAATCCCACACCTTTTCTTTCAAAACGTCCTCCACGTCAGCTGCAATGTGGCGAAGGATGCTGTCTTCTTCAGGCGATATGAAGGTAGCTGCTTTGCATAGATCGACATAGCAAATGGCTGCAATTTCTTGGGTGCGAGTGGAATGCAATGCCTTTTTCAATTGACGTGGAAATGCAGTCTAAATAAAAGGCCATTGTGTTACATTACACTCGATACACATTGTGCCATGCACCACTAGTACTTACTCTTCTGTTTTGCAATCCTCTGTCATCCAAGAACGCTTGCACTAAGAGGTCGGGTGACAGTGCCAACAAGATGGTCTGCAGTGGCCACAAGACGGATTTCTTGCGAGAGCTATCAGCAGCGACATTGCACATATCAAAGAGGATCTCTGAACCAGCCAAAGGTCTGTTAGTGCTACTAGCGCAAATCTCTCCAAATTGATAGGGCTTCATCTCCATCCACTTCCAGATAGCCATGCGTATCATCTTTGCAAACAACAGCTTGCCCTGAATCTTCATGTTGAGGAAATACGGACTCAAATCTATTAGATAATAAAACAACATGAGTACACAAGGTATCACCCTGTTACAATACACCATACCAGACAAAATCATATGCAATTTAGGTATATTTAGGCATGCAAAAGCAAGGATTCTGACCTCTGGAGGATTCAGATCCGAGCTCTCACTCACAGCACCAAGGATATTTACAGCGTTCTTGATTTTTGCATAATAGGAATTCCAATTGCTTGCACTGATGTAATACAGAACTTTGCCAGATGTTGAATACACTTCTCGGATGTACTCCATGGACTGCGAGTCGACTTTGGAGGCGGCGGCTAATGCTTCGTTGGTGTGCTCTGATGATAGCAGTGAGAGTTGGTCGTTGCGCTCTTCAATGACATGCATTTGGCCCAGGAATCGACTCATCAATGATAGCAGAAATGTCACTAACGATTCGTCCAGTGGCGGAGGATCGATAAAGACATCAGGCTTCAGCTGTGCGTACGATGATTTAGCGGATAGCGTCGAGGACGAGGATGAAGTCGTGGCAATCGTGCTCTCGTGAAACGTGCCTGTAGCTGCTGCTGCTGTTTTGGCTTCCTCTGTGATGTTGGTTTCTCGGGATATCTGCATCGATTGCTTTTTGTACCATGACCAATGGTGCTGTAGACATGCTGATAACAATCGAATCACAAACAGCTGAGACTGTAATACATCTATAGGAATATTGGCATCTTCGGGAGATGGCTGGGTGTTCTGTTTTCATGTCAGTAGCAGGATCAAGCCATCCAAGCGCTCACGTACCTTGGAGATCGACTCTAATACAAGACCGAGCTGATTGACAATGATGGGCAGTGTGTGGATCGATAATTCAATAATGGCAGCGACTGTGGATATGGATCAGCAAACACTTGATTTAGAGCATATATACATGCTTCCAACTTGCCTGTCTGTTGAGTGATTGGATCTTGCTCTAGAACCTCGATTGTTCGCCCAGCATTGTTAATTGGTAACTAGCACAAGAAGCAGTAGATCAGAAAATCAACATCCATCATCACGTATCATGTGTGTGAGAGAGAAGGGGGGGGGGGGTTTACATACTCGAACTTCGACTCGTTTGATCAAGCTAACAATCAGTTTAGCGTTGGCCCTCATAGCTGTGAAATAAAGTGATGGTGATGGTATATCGTATGTCTAAAGGTCTCTGACTCTCTCGCTTGGTTATTCGCTCAGTCGAAATCTACTCGTATGTCCAAGTGCCAAAATGGATGAAACAAAGCAAAAGAACAAAACGAGGGGAAAGAAAGAGAAAAAAAAGGCACTTAATAAATTAAAAAAGAGAAAATAGATAAACTAGCTGTACAACAGAACCCACCCATTCTGATCAGTGTTTATATGGATCTCTATTTTTCTCTCACTCAAATTATCGCCTTTTTAACCTTCTTTCTTGCTCATAAGCCAATCGCGATATTTGTACTACTGCTGTATCAAAGAGTTTATTTCAACAGAGAGAAAATAAACGGGTGATAATATTTTCTCTCTCGTCTCCTGGAACGTGCTCTGGTTTGATGGACAAAGAGGGGGGGCAGCATCGTGTAGTATAGTGTCATGATGAAATTGGAATTGTATAAGGATTGTTTGATCTTTTGCAACGTCTACCAGTCATATCACAAGGTTATACAGCTCTAAACCTAATACATTTTGAAGGCACATCACTAATGAAAATGATTCATACGGGTGTATGCAGGCAGAAGTGGATATATCTGTTTATGGTAAGCAAGAGCTTGTTGTTTTGTGAGTTTATCACATCGACAAGGTGGTGTAGCACTGATTTACCAATAGGACGGTCGTCTTAATTGCTCGCCATCGCTCGGCTTTTTCGTTGTTCTTGATGGAGATGGTAGTGTATCATAGGCCTAGGCTTGATAATCAAGGTTTTCTTAAGCAATTAGCGTATGCTTCATATGCTCGAGAGAGAATGTATGTCCCTGTTGACATGTGAGAGTGTGCCTGCTGCTGGGATGAAGCAACATTTTGACACCAAACGCTTTTCATTAGCAGAGCACTAAAAATCAACTCTTGTGTAAGCATTCGACCATCTTGACAAAAATAGACACATGTGTCGACTGTCTCAATCAGTCATTAGAACCAACATGCAAAGGAGATGGCTCAAATGCCATGACTGGGTACCGTATCTGTTCGGCCATGTCTTGGATGAGCATAGCAAACATCAGAGCCATCTTCATTTGGTGCGATCCGGCGGTTGATGAATGTCGCACATCTCCACCTGGCGCCATTCATGTCAAGGAAAAAAAAAAAAAAAAAAAAAAAAAAAAAAAAAAAAAAGAGCCATGTAAGTTTATGTTTACTTTAAGCATCTACCATGTTCTCTAAATTGACAGCATCCAAGAAGCATGGATTGAGATTCTTTGCTAGTGCGTCCACAAAAGGGTTTATAAAAGAGGGATGGGAAGCTGTGATTGGCATTGAAGTCCACGCTCAAATCAACACAAAGACAAAGCTATTCTCTGGTACCCTTACTATCATATCACACTCGTTTGATGCAACTTTGCTGACACAGAATAACAGATTCATCCACCTCGTATAACGAACAAGTCAACACACATGTATCGACAATCGATGCTGCATTTCCCGGTGTCCAGCCAGTAAGTTGTGCTTGTCATTTCGAAAGTAGCTTTACTCATGGCATCGAATATCTAGCGACTCAATAGGAAAGCTGTCGAAATGGCAGTGAAAACAGCACTTGCTCTACAGGGCCAAGTGCAGAATCGATCGACCTTTGACCGCAAACACTACTTTTACCCTGATCTACCGCAAGGATACCAAATCACACAACAGAGAGGTACAGTAACCATTTACATCAGGCGAGGACCCTCTTAACACATGCTGAATATCACTAGAGCCCATTTCAAGGGGTGGATTCATCATGCTGACGGAAAACGATGGAGCATCTACACCCATCAAAGTTGGCATTCATCAGCTGCAGATTGAGCAGGATACAGGCAAAAGTTTGCATGACATGCGCCCTGGAGAGACATTGCTTGATCTCAACAGAGCAGGCACTGGGCTCATGGAAATCGTGACAAAGCCTGATTTGAGGTAATTGCGAAAGGCTGGTTGCCTTGTTTGGGCCTGGTTTTCATGCATTGTGTGTATATAGATCATCGTATGAAGCTGGCTTATTAGTGAAAAAGCTGCAAAACATATTGCAATGGGTAGGATCATCCAAAGCCAATTTAGAGGAGGGTTCCATGCGCTGTGATGTAAATGTATCGGTGCGTAGAAAGGGAGAGGAGTTTGGCACGCGCTGCGAACTGAAAAACCTCAACAGAATCCGTATCTTATCCATGGCTATCGATGCAGAGATCAAGCGGCAAATTGAGGTGATTGAGAACGGTGGAGAGATCCAAGTAGAGACTCGACGCTATGATGAGGAAAAGGACGTTACATTCAGATTGAGAGATAAAGAATCAGCACCAGATTACAGATATATGCCTGAGCCAGATTTGCCGCCCCTTTTGTTATCTCAAGTGAGTATCTATTTCGGATTGCTGTGTGTTCATCTACTGAGCCGAGGCATTAGGACTACATTGATAGCATTGCTGGAACACTGTCTGAGCTACCAGATGCTTGTTTGGAGAGAATCATGAAGCAATACGATCTCAACTTGCTCAGTGCTAATCTGCTGTTGCACGAATACAAGTGTGTCGACTACTTTGAAAAGGTGTGTAATGGTCGCAATGCTAAAACTGTTTCCAACTGGTAAGCGAGTCTTCGGCCTTCCTCCATGACTTCAAGCAATGTAATGCCTTTTATCCTTCTTGTAGGACGTTAAACGAGCTCTCTGGCGCATTATCATCCAAGGGAATCTCGTTCCAAGAGAACCCCATTTCTGTGAAACGCTTTGGAGATTTGATTGACCTGGTCCAAATGGGCACCATTACAGGTACTATCTCATTTCAGAACTCTAATTCGCTCTGGCTCACCATTCATTCATAGGAAACACCGGCAAAGATGTCATTAAACTCATGATATCCAATCCATCTGACCCAATTGACATTGTAAAGGAAAAGGGATGGCTCAAGATCAATAATGTCGACCAATTAAGTGCTCTTTGTAAAGAGCTGATTGAGAAGAATGCGGAAAAAGTGAGTTGCGCTTGTGTCTAAACAAACTTGACTTATTCATCTTGTATTTTATTTTAACTCTGCTAGGCCAAGTCTGTGCAAAATGGAGATTCAAGGCTGTTCAAATGGTTTATTGGACAAGCAATGGGCCGTACAAGAGGGATGGCTGATCCTACTGCACTGAACCAAGCTTTGAGCACTTGCTTGGGTTGGAACTCTTATGAGGACATGATGGCTACTTCTGTGCCTGTGAATACTAAACCAAAGGGCAAGAAAAAGAAGAAGGACGCTTGAGTAAAACCATACCCTTTAGCATAGATTTAATTGCAGCTACTTTGTTTGTCCTTGTACTTGAGAAACAAGTAGGCTGTTAGAAATAAAATTACCTTTATGGACATGATGAAAGATTCTGTGACATGGAGCACAGAGGTAGCAATTGAACTTTTAGCACGGTAATGAAAAGCATCGTATCAAAAGAGCACTGCCATACACAAAAAAAAAAGTCAGGTATACCATCGTGGTTGTTGGCTTAAGAGCTCAATCAATATGTCGATAGCTAATGCATCAAGATAAAGCTTAATCCACACCTTTAAAATTATATGGAGTCTTAAATAATTGATAATTAGCAGTAGGATATGTACATCACATCCATATTGCACTTACCTTTGTGTATCCTTTGGACAAAGAGCAGTAGCCTTTGAGGCTGAATTAGATTATTTCTTCTTGATGGTGTCTGGGAATCGTTCTTGTAGCTTGCTGATCCACTGTTTGTCTGCTCGATATCAGTTGAACTCGGCAGATAACATGAGTTTTCGGTGCAAAGTGCACTGATTCTTGTTAGTATCTATCATTGCTGAAGTGTAATGGTTTCTTAGGATGTCATGGACAGCGCTTCTTTCTCTGAGGAATCGAGTAAACTTGGCCATGCTGTAAAATCTGGAATTCACTCATCGCTGCTTCGCTTCTCATGAGCCTTTAATCGTTGTCTGACTCGCCTGTGATTGATCAAAGACTATAGCAAGACAATAGTAGGCCATGAGGTGGCGTGCAAAATTACTTTTGCAGTCGTAATAGATGCTGTTCTGCTGAAAGATATAGTCTTCAGGGTAAGGCTCGAGAAAGGGACAAAGGTAAAAAAAAAGCACTCTATTCAAAAAGGGGATCAATAGGCATAAATCTTTCGCTGAGATTACTTACAGTTGTGCTAGCAGCAATAGTAAGCTTGAGGGCTGTAGCAGGACCAGTTACTTGCTCTCTGATTCTTGCATCGACATCGATGTCATTGTCAGTTCTTGGTTGTTCTATTATGGTTCTCAATCGAATTCACATGCTTCCAGGTTTGCTCTGTACTCTTCACGAAAACTAATCATGTTCAAGCTGTATTATGAGAAAAAGAGAAGGGAAAAAAGAGAAAGAGAGAGAAACAGGGTAAAAAAAAATGCATCCTTGCTGTTTATATAGGACTAGAAGCTCCCGAATGATTCATGTCTAAAGCCTCAACTACAAACGATTTCACTGACTGCAAATTTTGGATCACTCTACCAAGAGCTAGATTGAGTGCTGAAGCAATACAATTAGGGCGACTTTATTTGGTAGAAATACAAAGATGGCTGTTGAAAAACTTTACAAAAGTAACATCGCTATGTATACGAGTGTGTTTATACTTCGGATGGCTCTCTACTTGCGCTTCGCTTCGGCGTGAAACAACTTGCACTGCCGACATTCCTTACTCGTCTTATCAAAAATACGGCTACTTCATTTTAACCCTCCACTTATACTTGGAAACCCTTCATATTCTCTGTGGATCTGACTCTTATGTGATGTTCCGCATCCGTAAAAACGTAGATATTTCATATACAGGCAACCAGCATACTGGTATTTTCCCTTTCTAGTCTAGAGTGTGCCTAATACAGCAAAATATGGGTGCATTGAAGTCGTGTTTTCTGGCGTTCAAGGCCGTTTTAGATCGTCAGAATAGCACCAAATAATTGCTCTCATCTAGGAGTTACTTTCTGACACCTTTGCTCAACTTTTTAGGGATCAAAAAAAAAATGGACAAAAATCGACCAAAAAGCATGAGGTATCCCTCATGGTTTTCATTGAAAATCAAACGATCACGCTTTTCGCCTTGAAAATAAAGACTTTTACTATGGTAAACGAGCCTTTCAGCACTTCGGGTGGTTTCCTGACCTACGCTTCGCTTCGGTGGAAACCAACCTACGTTCAAACGGCTCGCGCTGCCGCGGGCCTTTGGCTAATATCCCAAAATTAATATAGCTAAAATGTTAGAAGAGGAACCCTGATTGTTGATTGATATATAATCACTAATCATATGAGTGTTTATGCTTCGGATGGTTCTCACCGAAGCGTAGCGAAGGTAGAGAACCAACCTGCGCAGCGGCAGCTCGTGCTACTGATTGCTCTTGCGTATTTTATCAAAATACTGCTACTTTCATTTTGACCCTCCACTTACACATAGTAACCCTTCATATTATCTGTGGATCTGATTCTTATGTGATGTTCTACATCCATATACACGTAGCTACTTCATATACGGGCAAGCAGCATACTGGTATTCCCACTTTTTAGTCCTTAGTGTCCCTAATACAGCAAAGTATGAGTGCATTTGAGCTGAATTTTCTTGCGTTCAAGGCCGTTTTAGATCGTCAGAATAGCCCCAAATGGTTGCTTTCATCTGGCAGTTCCTTTCTGACACTTTTGCTCGACTTTTTGGGGACCAAAAAAACATGGTCAAAAATCGACCAAAAAGCATGAGGTATCCCTCATGGTTTTCATCGAAAATCAAACGATCGCATTTTTCATCTTGAAAATGAAGACTTTTACTATAGTATATCTTGAATCAAAATGTTTCTATCAATCCAAAGCAACCTCTGAAATTATCTTTGTGGGACTTTGATATGTAAAATTTCGACATTTTGGCCATAAATCTCTTTTCATATTTTTACAAATCATTCAATAAGTGATTTCAAAACATCTATTTTACTTAGTACCATTGGAAGCGCCTTGAAAAGTACTCCAGGAAAGCTTAAGGAAGCATGGGGTGATTATCATACTTCACTTAGTCGAATCTGCAAAAATAGCTCGATCGAGTCCAGGATCATCAAAATTTGTCCAATCTGGAACAGACTATGATTCTGGGTTTGAATTAATTTTGGCTGGTAGGGCCAGCTGGAAAACTCATGCCCTTTTCATAAGGCAATACAGTAGTAAATGCCCTCGAAGCGTATAGAAAGTAGGTGGAAGGTCATAGCACTATCGTTTATAATGATATTTTATTGCCTTCTATATCGTTCATAATGATATTTTATTGCATTCTATATTTAATAACGTTAGTCTGGACATTGACAATGCATGGGTTGCATAAAATGTCTGCAGTAAGTAATGAAATCTCTGAGGCTCTGAGACGTCGCTCAAATAAAACATTGACAGCACTGAGCAGAGGAAAGAGGGTAGAAATTACAGTGGTTTTTGTTGATTGATTGTAAAATCATTATTCTCATATGAGCCAGGTCTGATAGATGCCTTGAAACTCAGGTTCCATATTAGGATTGTAAAGTGCAAAAGTACTGAACATTTATTATGTTATGATATTGAGTCAAAATGTTTCTATCGATCCAACGTAGCCCTTGAAATCATCTTTGTGGGACCTTAATATGTAAAATTTCGACTTTCCGGCCAGAAACCTCTTTTCATATTTTCATAAATCGCTTGATAAGTTTATTCAAAACATCTATATTACTTGGTACCATTGGATGCGCCTTGAAAAGCATTCCAAGAAAGCTTAAAGAAGCATAGGATGATAATCATATTTTGCTTAGTCGAATTTGCAAAAATGGTTCGATCGAGTCGAAAATCGTCAGAATTTGGCCAATCTGGAACACACTACGAGTCTTGATTTGAATTAATTTTGGCTGGTGGGGTGGGCTGGCAAACTCAATGCCCTTCTAACCATAGCCCGCTAGAAGTCGACAATGTCATCCCATAATCCACAGTACCATCCAACCCTTTCATCACTCTGTATTTAATCCTTCCAAATTCAACCCTTTCATCACTCTGCATTTAATCCTTCCAAATTCAACTCTATCCACAATGTTTATTGATGATATAATATGCCACAATTTTCAATAAATGTACACTTTTTTTGTCGTCTAATGTCTTTTCTACACTCCAATGCATCTCTCTAATCCTTCTTGGGAGGCTTTCCTAACAAAGCGTGGTTAATGTCGATCGAAGGCAACTTTGAGAAAGCAGTACGGCGAGATTCTTGTTGCAAAGCAGCGCTATAAATATAATGATTAGTACGCTCAAAGCAGAATTCGGTTAATCCATCTACTCACTCCATGATAACAAGGGCAGCCATCGCTTCCACAATAGGCACAGCACGAGACACAACACAAGGATCATGACGACCTTTTGCAGCCAGAGTACCTGTGATACCATCATAATTTGCAGTAGTTTGATCTTGAGAAATAGTAGCAGCAGGCTTGAAAGCGACACGGAAGTAGATGTTTTCACCATTACTGATACCACCCTGCACACCGCCAGAGTTGTTGGTTGTTGTGCCAATAGTACCATCTTCTCTTTGATAGAAAGGATCGTTGTGATCGTGACCAGCCATCTTGGTTCCATTGAAGCCTGAACCAAACTCGAAGCCCTTTGTAGCAGGAATGGATAGCATGGCATGAGCCAAGATAGCCTCCAATTTATCGAAACAAGGTTCGCCCAAGCCAACAGGACACTTACGAATAACACAAGTAACAGTACCACCAACTGAATCTCTCTCATGAGACTTCTCGGCAATGACCTTCTTCATGGCTTCAGCAGTAGGAGGATGAGGACAGCGAGAGATATCAGCATCCACATCTTCACGAGTGATAGTATTCATGAACTCAATCAATTCTGGCTCGGCAGTATCGGCATTTTCGAGCTCACGGATAAAGGGCATAGCCACCTTACCCACACTTGAAGCAAATGCAACAATTTCAACACCATAAGCTAAACGCAAGTACTTTTCAGCAATGGCACCAGCAGCTACACGGCCAATGGTTTCACGGGCAGAGGCTCTTCCACCACCACTGGATGCTTTGAGTCCATATTTTTGAAGGTAGGTGTAATCGGCATGAGATGGACGAGGGTAAATGTCGGTATCGCTGTAATCATGAGGACGTTGATCCAAGTTGGGCACTTGAATGCCAATGGGAGTGCCTAATGTAACGCCAAACTCTGTACCAGACATGATGGTGACCTTGTCCTTTTCATCACGCTGCATTGGATACTATCAGATCAAGGCATTGCTATATTATGAGAGAGATCAACTTACAGGAGTTGTCAACTTATTTTGACCTGGTCTTCTGCGAGTAAGTTGAGGTTGAATATCAGCTTCTGTCAACTCCATGCCAGGAGGAACACCGTCAATGATGGCACCAACACCTTTACAGTGAGATTCACCGAATGTTGTGACACGGAACAGTTTACCAAAGGAGCTCATGTTGGAGAGGATATATATATATATATATATGAAAAAGGATGAAGAAAAGGGGAAAATCTTTTTGGGATACCAGAGGTCTTCATTCAACCTGAAGCCCAACCATCAGTCACTCAAATGTTGACTCATTCTGCGCTGTATTTTCCGGGCAGCTTAATGTAAAGACATGATGCTGTCATTGGCTAAATGTTGGATAGTTTGATCGGCTTAGGTATTATGGAGAAGACAGATTTTTATTTTTTGTATATATACTAGAAGGAGGGGGGGATATTTATGTGCAGTATGATAATGAGAAAAAAATGTAATTTTGATTGTGATTGATGTTTTGTTTAAGCCTTGACATTGACGAAACCAAATGTTGATTTCACATCACGGACAACCTTGGAGTTGTTGGCATAAGCACCGTATTGACGAACTTGATCCTCAACACCATGAATCGATTTTTGGATCAAAGGCAATACATATCCCTGAGTCATATGCAAGATGTTTGTAGCCTTTTGAAAGGGAGCCAAGTCAGGTTTTAAAACTTCAGTACGCACAATTTCATATTCATTGCTAGCAAATGTTACGAGGGGATCCACCACGATATGGACTGAGCTAGGCAGATTGTTGATAACTTGACGATCCTTTACATAAGCAGCAGCAGCATCAAGACGATGAATCAAGTCAGCAGTGAGTTCATTAATACGTTGGTTTGCCTTGGTTTGAGTAGTATCCTTGTAGCCCTTCACAGAGAGAACAAAGTCATGGAGACGAGTATTGGCCTTTTGAATAGATTGGAATGCTTCGTGGAGTAATTGATTTGTTTCAGCCAAACGGGAGATGTCGGCCTTGGTGTGAGGAATGGATTGCCATTGTGTGGTAACACGATAAGCTAATCTATCCTTAACTTCATTGGCTAATGACAATAGTTTGACCTCTTTGTAATTGCTATCATTCACATTTCTTTCCTTTGTTTGTTGTGGTGTTGATGCTGAGTTTTGTTCGTCATTTGTAGCAGGCAGATACTTATCAACAAGTTGCTGGAGACCATGTGTTGTGCGAGTAACAGGAATCGAAGCAGCATAGCTGATCTTACCCTTTACATCTTCAAATACCTTTTGAGGAGATTCCTTCACAGTAGTCAAGATTTCTTTGGGATGTTGAGTAACAACAGGAAATTTAGTCTCGACTAAATCAAGAGATTGGCAACCCATTTGATCGGCTTTTAAAAGGTGTGGTTTATACTTTTCGGCATAAGGAGATGCAATGGAAGCAGCCAACTTGATTGTGGATTCAGCCTTGTTTAGGGCAAAACGACTGATTGAGTTTTGGTTGGCATAATGTTGCACCATAGAGGAACCATCGCGGATAAGAGGAATAGAGAGAACGCGATTGAAGAAGGAGAATTCCAAGGGCTTCTTGTTGGCCTCATCAGCTTCAATGATAGTGCTATCAGGCACCTCTACTTCTCTTGCAAGCACGTCATTGGGATTAGATGTAGGAATAGGCTTGGGTTCTTCTAGCACAGGTAGCTTGTTGTTTGCATTGTTGCTACTACGACGCGTAGTTTTCTTGGACATTTTGTTATATGAAAAAAATAAGTAAGTAGTAAATGAAAGAAGATGCATTTGTATTTGAATTCAACCATCCTTTTTATCCATTTCTGTTTTACGCCTAATGAAAGACCACTATTACATTTTTGGTCTCCGTGGTAATAGGTCATTGACATGTGAAAATCTTGGTAATCTTGACATTTATTTGTCTCTTCCTTATCCTAGCAAGATGACACTCTTCTTTTTACAAAAGCAAACCAAGAAACAATTCTCCGTTGGATACATCAGATTAAGAGTTGCCATGACAACAGATTATTTGATTCAGAAAGTGGTGGATCAAACAGTGGCATCATCCATCATCAAGCCCTCGGGTGGTATTAGCTGCAAAGCGGAGCAAAAGCCAACCTCAACAACAATAGCTCCAAAATGCAGCATGACAAACGTCAGACAATCGTCTATCTTCGGAAATCAAATACAAGGTTCCTTTTGAATGTTCGAATCAACGCTTACTACATGCCACTCATTTCTTAACGTAAAACAGCTGCGAAATGCAAGGGATTCCACAAGGAATTTACTAAACAACACACATGTTTGAAATGCAATTCAGAAGCAATTAACAACTATTGCTTTATTTGCGATAGGTAAGAAAAAATAGATATTCGTCTTGCTGCATGCTAATACAACGTGGCTGGATAGACATGTTACACCACAAAAGAAAAAACAGGTTTAGATAATGTAAGAAAAAAGAACAGCTCTTTTTTTCTTTCTTTTCTTTTTGGCTCTGGCTTGTGATGATGATGATACTGATATTCAGGTTGGATTCTGAAACCAATGCTTAATCACATGGAATTAAATAAATACATTCAATCAACCAATCAAACCGTTGGCTCGGCTTCTACATTAAGGCATTCCGTTGCCTTGTATCCCAATTGTTTTGTGAAATGCATTTGTATTCCATCGGTAGACGAGTTCATATTTGGACTATGTACTACATATGTCTTTCATGGTTGAGAAAGTAACTCTAAACCACTTGGAGATCATGTTGGATACACACATCAAAAGTGGGTAATCAGACTTTGATCTAGATCAATACAAGCAGCGACCTCAATACACAGTGATGCTGGCGATTTTTAATCGACCATTAGGGTTTGGTACATGTGCCATATTTAGAGACAGGAAGATGGTAATAGTGTGAATATATTCAGATAGCAAGGACGCTGATGGCTCTTTGATGCTACTATAGCAGTCTACTTGATCGACTGATGATTAGGTTAGATATTAATCTACTTGGCCGGAAACCTGGTTATAACAAGGTACAACAAAGAAGACGCTGTTACTGCAGAATCTTCCAGCAAATCATCAATGAAATCAACATACCAGATCAATTACTGAAAATAAGTCGCCAAATGCGTCATAACTTGCTATTGAGTTACTCAAACGATGAAAAATGCAACATAACAGCGCGCTGGCTTGAAATCTCTATTGGTGTACCTCCTTCTTTGTTGGAACGCTCAAGACAACATTGTACTTATTCTGATATAGAGCAGCGCTGTTGGGCACTTGAAGACTCCAAACGCCACGGTGATTGTTTTGTTAATTTCGGCAATAATAGAGCCTTGGTAAACATCCACTATGTAACAATCCTCCATTCACGATCTATGATTGTGGAGTTAAGTATTCTACAATGCTCCACGTCTATAGCAATGGGTATAATCTACACATAGATAGATAGTATACCTCTAATAGGTCCTACTACTCAAATATATGCAAATCACAGCCAAAGTTGAATGGATTTAAGCCGTATTTTTTCGTGTTATACGCCTTTTTGGACTGCCAGAATAGCACTAAACAATTGCTCTCATCTGGCAGTTACTTTCTGACACCTTTGCTCAACTTTTTGGGGATCAAAAAAACATGGTCAAAATTCGACCCAAAAGCATGAGGTACCCCTCATGGTCTTCACCGAAAATCAAACGATCGCATTTTCGACATTGATAATGAAGACTTTTGCTATGGTATATATCAAATCAAAATGTTTCTGTCGATCCCAAGCAACTCCTGAAACTTTATTTTTGAGACTTTCATATGACTTTTTGGTCAGAAACCTCTTTTCATATTTTCATAAATTACTAAATAAGTTTATTCAAAACATCTATATTACTGGGTACCATTGGATGCGCCTTGAAAAGCACTCCGAGATGGATTAACGAAGCATTTTTTTTTGTAGGGGAGACGAGCTCCAGGTTTTATTTAAAGTCCTTTAAATGTCATACTGAGGGATAGAAAAGACTGTTGGTGGACCCAGTGTCTGCAATGAAGGGGAATAAGATATTTTTGAATTAAGTTGGGAAAGAAATCTACTACTAATAAGGTGCGACACCTAGAGCCAATACAGTCTTGCGGAAATCGTCAAAATATAGATCATGGATAAGAGTACAAAACACCAAACGAGGACATCAGTACTACGTCAAAAAAACCAAAACAACTTGCGTTCACCAGGATTTGAATCGGGATCCTCCCGTTGGCATACGGGAGTTCTACCACTTCGCCCTACCACCAGGGACAATTAACGAAGCATGGTTGATTATCCCATTTTATATAGTCGAATCTGGCAAAATAGTTCAATCGAGTCGAAAAATATTAAGATTTGGCCAATCTAAAGCAGACTATGAATCTAGGGTTGAATTAATTTTGGCTGGTGGGGCAGGCAGGCAAACTCAATGCCCTTTTCATAAGGCAATACAGTAATAATGGCCCTTGAAGCGTATAGAAAGTAAGTGGCAAGTCATAGTACTATCATTCATTATTCTGTTTTCTTGCATTCTATATTCAATAACGTTAGTCTGGACATTGACGATTCATGGGCTGCATATGATGGAAACTGAGTCTCTAGGCATCTGTCAGGCCTGGCTACTGTATAATTAATGATTTTACAATCAATCAACAAAAACCACTGTTATATCTGCCCTCTTTCCTCTGCTCAATGCTGCCAACATTTTCTTTGAACGACGACCTAAAGCCTCAGAGATTTCCCTATTTACTTCAGACATGTTAGGGTTATTAAAAGTGTCGAGGGACTGAACATTTGATGTAGATACAATTAAAGATAACCTTTGATAGATAATGTGTAAAATGCTGTTATATATGCACTGATTTGTACAAGAGTTCATTTAGTCCTTTCATGGAGTCGCGATGTAGCAACATTTATATTTTTGATAAGAGAGTATACGGTATATAGCATGCTGTAGAAATTTAGCTTCAAATGCATGCATGTGAACAAATCGTTTCGAAATCACATATAGTGGTTTACACTCGGGTAGCTAGCCCAAATAATTTACGCATCAAGGCAACCCATAACGCACTGTGAAAGCAAAAAAATGCGCTTTCATTTATATCGTAAATCTGGCTTGCATTCTAGGTGTAATATGAAGAGCTATAAAAGGTATGACGATCAAGTGCACAAATTTGACATTGGCATGCCTAGCAACATGCGTACACAATCGCATAAGGCCCGTCAATGTTTAGGATAGGATGTTTCCAAAAAAAAAGACTTTTTTCAACTTGAATACATGGGAGATACAGCTTATTTTCAAATCCTGGATTCAATTCATGCATGTTCTCTTGCACATCTTGAGATAAACTGCAATACTTGATCAACAAAGCATGCACTCTAGCTTTAGTCTGATAGAACCACAGTCTGAGCTGTGGCAAATCCATTTATTTATATTAGTGAGGAATAGTCATGGAGCTTTAGGAAAAAAAAATACAAGGTGAACATATAACATGGAAGATCATTTCAGACTTAGTTTTGGGCTTCAAAGTATTCCTTGGATTGCTTGACATCAGGCTTGATGGTCTTGTCACCCTTGTTCCAGTTGGCAGGGCATACCTCACCGTGCTCATCAGTGAACTTGAAAGCTTCGACAAGACGAAGGACTTCATCGACAGATCTTCCCACTGGGAGATCGTTGATGGTGATCTGACGAACAGTACCCTTGGGGTCAATGATGAAGAGACCACGGAGAGCGATACCAGCTTCTTCAATGAGAACACCATAGTCCTTGGCAATAGACTTGGTCTTATCAGCCAAGAGAGGAATGTTCATCTCACCAAGACCACCTTGCTTACGGGGAGTGTTAATCCAGGCAAGATGAGAGAATTCTGTGGAAAGATATGGATTAATAACGCGTTCTCTTCCAACTCACGCAACACCCCCCCCCCCAGCGATATAAGAAAAAAAAAAAAACTTACCAGAATCAGTGGAGGCACCGATAACGACAGTGTCCAAAGCTTCAAATTCCTTGATACGCTCAGAGAAAGCGAGAATTTCAGTGGGGCAAACAAAGGTGAAATCCATAGGGTACCAGAAGAAGACAACATACTTGCCCTTGTAGTCAGAGAGGGAGATATCCTTGAATTCACCATCAACGACAGCGGGAGCAGTGAAAGCGGGAGCTTGCTTTTGAACTTGAGCGACTATAAGATAGTGTTAGCATGTTTTCAATTAGGTATTGACTATGTACGTACCCATTTTAGATAAGACTTATTTTTTAAAGAAGATGATGTGAATTAAAAAGAGAAAACATGTTAAGAGTTTGATGGGGGTACCCTTTTTATAGGAAAGTGGAGTGCACATTTGAAACTCTAGTACTAAAAGATGATTTGCTCGATGAATCCTTACTAAAAGCAGGCCCTTGAAAGTTGAGAAATCAGGCTTACTAAAGCTCTAGTCTGCCAATCGTAATGGATTTGTTACAAATCTTCGAGAAATTTCATTACCACTTTACCCCGTCCTGGAAGTTGTGTTTTCTGTCAAATCATAGGGCGCTTACTAAGATATGTATCTGAATCATGAAAAATATAGATAAACCTTAATATTTACTATAACGTGGATGCTGTAGCACGAATTTATTCAAAACGGTGTATCTGGTAGTGTGTCCATCGGTTGAAATGATAAGCCAAATGTTGATCTTATGTTTGATTGTGAATCAGTCGTATCGTTCTGTAATTTCATAGCATTAGGCAAGGTCGTGTAGTAGCAAATAAACAATATACAGTACCTTGTTGTTATTGCTGGCATTTGCGCCATCATCCAGTTTCACAAGGCAAGTAAACGATCGCTGATATTCGCCCTCTTTCATCACGAATTTTGGATTTTTTGTAGCATCCAACTGTTTGAGGTGATTTGTCCACTGTAATACATGATCAACGATAGCAATTGTAATGCCACAATCAGAGATATCTAAAATGTCTATTTTGGATTGCTTAATAGCTCCATTTAAAAGTATCATTCCTATCAACTTGCATGAATATGCTTTGTCAACAATCACTCTAGAGAACCTCATTGCGTTTACCTGCATCCCCAATGTCAGGATTTGAATTGAGTGTCAATTTTCTTAGTTTTGAGGCATCTTGCAGGTTATTAGCCAAGATCATGATATCTATTACCACTCTAGTTATAATCGAACCTCTTAAGTTTTAGATTTGTGGACTTGCCTTGCTTTCCGAGACCACAGCCCGTGAAATCTATATGATTCAGTAACCTCTTGTATTTGAAAAAGTCTTTAAAGTTATAGCTGAGGGTTGAGGCTAGTGTGAAATTGAAATTCAAATCTGATAATCTAGGCCATTCCTGTGTTAGTAAATAGTGGTTACTAATGCCGTGATTCATTGGCTTAAACTTACTTTGGTAAATCTGATAACAGGTCAAAGTTGAGCCATTTTGCCTCAGTTGATAAGCTTGATAACTCCAGCTTGTATATTCTTTTCAGACAAGTCCACAATGGCGTCCATAGTGTAAGCATGTTGCAGTCAAAGTAGTTGTTGGAGATGTCTAGTGATAGATTTGCCCCTTGAGATCCTAGTTTGCTTCTGATCAGGCAAATGTCTTTCACTCTAGTGCAATAATTACCTTTGCGTCCATGATTTGAATATAATGCCTTTACCGCCTCATCAATTTCTGTAAATCTTCCAATTCCTGTATTCTGTATGGACAACTGTTTCAAGGCGGGTATCTTTTCCAGCAATCTGGGAAGCTGTCTCATCAAAGCAGGTCCCATTGAGTTGTGAGAAAGATCTAGTGTACGAAGGCGGAATCTACTGAGTGTATCTAGGCATTTCGCTGTCAACTGGTTGTTACAAACATGCAGCTCACTCAATCCCTTATTGGCATGCTCCAAGAGATAACTCAAATTGTCATCATCTAACAAGTAGAGTTTAGCCTATATACACATTGGATACACAGATCAACATACTCAGCGTGGTGGATGACAAATTCAGAGTTTGTAGTAATGGAGAATGTTGCAATACTTGTTGAATTGCTGCTAATTGTTCTTTTGTGATACCTATAAGAGCAATATTGCATGTGAGTAAAGTATCACGGATGGGTGAGTATGAGCTTGCTATTTACACAATTCAGCCAAGGAGATGTGCTTGTAGCCCTCTTTTGCTAGTTTGAGTCGAATCTCTTTGGATAATTCAATATGGAGTCTTTCGCATGCGTTCAGATAGATCTGCAATGGCGATTTCTTGGCATTTCCTGTAACAATAGCCTCCATGTACTGATTTTCTTGGACGATAATGTTGCGAACGTAATCTTGAGGGTATATATCATGATCCATTGTGCGCATATGGCTCATGATGGGCTGACCAGAAACATAAGTATCAGGCAGAAATGACACCATTGCTCCTTACCTCAACACCATAATGACTCCAACATCGACTTGCGATATCTTCCATTAGCTTTTGCACAGTTTCAGGGACAGGATCATATTGGATGATCAACTCTTTTGGTGTTGAGAATAGGATCTTGACTCGGATTTTCTATCAAGCTATATAAGCAACTCACTCTGCACTCTTCAAAGGGATAATTCACCTTTTTCGTGTCTTTATTAAGGACAGGAGTAATACGGCTATGTCCCGGAAAGGTAACATCCATGGTATAGTTATTCTGTAGTTTTTGGGTCTACCAAAAGTTGCTTAGTATGCCATTGAGAAGCCAAATTATCAACCGTACCATCATTCTTTCCTCCTTGATAGCCTCAGTTAGCATCTTCTTGCATGACTCCATCTGGAAATCCTGATCAAAGTATTCATGTATCTTGACACGAATTTTGAAGACACCAATGGTCAATTGCAGCTGATTCAAAGGACTATCCATAAAGTACGCTTCCACATAGTCAAAGGTCTCATTGCATGATTTGAGATATTCCTCCTTGCGCTGGTTAAGCAGGTTAGTAGACAATGTCATGCAAAACCACACGGGATATCCTTACACTTTCTCTCAGCTCCCATTGTGCCTCTGTCTTGTATTGCAGTAGTTGAGCGTAGATCAAATGTGAGAAATCTCTTGTATTCAGTAATGCGATTAGGTTGTCATCGACGAATTTGATAAGCATTCGATAAAGATCAAACTTTTGAAGCAGCTCAATAAACTCCAGGAATAAGGCTGATGTGGATGCATTCATATTGTTTGTTGTAATGAGTGATTCCAGCTGCTCTTTTGCTGATTTCACTTTTTTGACAATATTAAACAAGCTTTCCTGCAATTAACGTGGGTGAGCATTATGTATATCCATCACAAAAAAAAAGCAAATCATTACATAGGCATGGATTGAGTCCGTCTCTGTTTCCTCTGCTTCTTTGTACAAATAAGCGCATTCGTTGTATTCACCCAGAAACAAATGGATTTTCACTGTGTACATCCCATCAGTCTTTGCTCCCCCAATGCACACAAAAAAAAACCCCCCTTACTTCTCTCTTCAAAACACAAACGCTGGTCTTCGGTGAACTCATGCTGAGTCACGAGTTGATACTCTCTTCTCTGGCATTCCTTCACCAGATCGTATTGCTGAGTACGCTTGTACAAGTTACCCAACTCCCACCACGCTGATTTCTCACTCGCATAATCTTTCAGTTCCTGAGCCAACGTAATCGCTCTTTTGAGATTGGCTTCTCCTTCGTTGTATGTCGTATGCACCTTACTCTCCATGACACCCAGATTGAAATAGGATGACTGGACCAATCGCTTCATATCATCTTCCTGTGGGTCTTCGATATCATCCAATGTCATTGTGTCAATCATATTTCTTTCCAATCCATAGTATTTCTGTGCGTGCTCGTAATCTGCGTATCGAGATGCTGAGGTGTCATTGCTCTTCATAAAGTAAATGTCGCCCAACATGCGATAGGTGCTCTGAAATAGGGATTTCATCTTTGGTAGACTCTGATGCATTGACTGTAACTCCTCCAAGAGACCAATTGCTTTCAACCCATGCTTCACTGCAGACTCGTATTCACATAACCTAGTGCAATGCGTATCAGTAATGAATCCAATGTCGATCCAGGAAATGGTTACACTAAGTAGCTTTGGCCTATGCTTTTATGTGCTCTACAAAATGATACTGTCAAAAAAACTTTCTTTGCTTGCAATGTCAACTGTATACCTAGGTAAGAGAGATTTGTAATTGATGTCTTCCAAGATACGAACTGCCTTTCTGCTGAGATCAATGGATTTCCTCATTACAGCCGTGAATTTATACTCGTCTTCCTCTGCGAGCTTATTGCTGTCTGCTTCAAGCCATTCTATCAGTTCAAGAGCTGTTTCTGCTGCTTTGATTCTATTGTTGCCTGCTAGATACGAGTTATATTTCGAGACATGAAACTTGTATCCTTCCGTCAAGTTGTCTGCCTGCTTATATTGGATCCCATAAGTCACTGTCTTTCCCATTGTATGATCTTGAAGGCTTTCAAAGAAACAGCAAAAATTGAGAAAATCGCATCCCCCTTTTTCTTCCAACTGTCTCATTTATAACGGGCTTTTCAAGTTCAGTCAAATGTAAATTTAGCTTTGTGGTGGTCTAGGTAAAGAGACATTTTCTCCATCTTTAATTTACAAATTGCGATGGACGAGCATGGATTTGAAGCAAGATTAAGACATCTGGAGCATGTTCTCCTAGGACAGAACATCACACAACCGAAAGGAAGTAACGAACCACTGGTCAAAAGAGTAATAGCGTTACAAAAAGAACTAGATGCCGTATACAAGAACAACAAGCCTATACGAGACTTTGTTACAAAGTGTAAAATAATACAGCAAACATATTGAATATATTGCTCACTGAATAATCAAACATTAGACGATACTCATGCCAAGCTTCTCAATCCCAACACGTCGACATATACCATGGAAAGAGAGATTCTTGCACCCGACGTGAAATTGGAGCTCTTACTCACAGCAAATGATGATCTCGAGAAGTTTGCTCAGGAGGTCAAGCAAGTCAAGGATTTAGAATACGTTGTGAGTGGATCCGAGTTTGAAGGTACACGCAGATGCGTTTAGATAATTCGGCTTGTGTATTAAAAGGACCTGCAGTAATAGAGACATTGGGCCCTGAATTGGCATCGTTGGAGGTGACACACACAGATCAGATCTCTGAACTGAACCAAATTACAAAGCAAGTGTCTGATTTTATGGAACGATACAATCATACTGTAAGTTGCCTAGAAGTCGACATTACGAAGAGGGCATGCTGACATGTTGTGATAGGTCAACACGTTGTCCGAGATTTTTATTCAATGGGACCATATTCTTACGAACATGGAGTCGCATGTGGGCGCACTCGAACGCCAGAAGACTGCTGCTTAATGCCACTCATACCTTGATCTTTGATTGTACTCAAGAAAATAAATACCATACCTTGAATTTAAAATGCAATTTCGAGTGTAAGTGAGCAATGATATAAACATGCTTTTTATTATAAAGTACGAAGGTTGATGCTTCGGATGGCTCTCTACCTTCGCTTTGCTTAGGTGAGAACCAACCTGCACAGCGGTAGCTCACGTTATCAATTGCCCTTGCTCATCTTGACAAAATACTGCTACTTTTATTTCGACCCTCCACCTACACATGAAAACCCTTTATATTATCTGTGGATCTGATTCGTATGTGATGCCCTACAACCATATACACGTAGCTACTTCATATACGGGCAAGTAGAATACAGGTATTTCCACTTTTTAGTCCTTAGTGTGCCTAATACAGCAAAATCTGAGTGCATTTGAGTTGCGTTTTCTTGCGTTCAAGGCCGTGTTAGATGGTCAGAATAGCACCAAACAATTGCTCTCATCTAGCAGTTACTTTCTGACACCTTTGCTCAACTTTTTGGGGATCAAAAAAAAACATGACCAAAAATCGACCCAAAAGCATGAGGTACCCCTCATGGTTTTCATCGACAATCAAACGATCACGGTTTTCACCTTGATAACGAAGACTTTTACTATGGTATATCTTGAATCAAAATTTTTCTATCGATCCAACGTAACGACTAAAGTCATCTTTGTGGAACTTTGATATTTAAAATTTCGTCTTTTTGGCCAGAAACCTCTTTTCATATTTTCATAAATTGCTCAATAAGTTTATTCAAAGCATTTATATTACTTGGTACCATTGGATGCGCCTTGAAATGTACTTTAAGAATGTATTAGGAAGCATGGGATGATTATCACACTTCATATAGTCGGATCATACAAAATAGTTCAATCAAGTCGAAAAAAGGCAAAATCTGGCCAATCTTGAGCGGATAGAATTTTCTGGGTTTGAATTAATTTTGGCTTGTGGGACTAGCTGGAAAATTCAATGCCTTTTTCATAAGGCAATATATCCTCAACGATTGGCTGCCATAGCATTTCCCCAACGGTTGTTATTCTGGTCTTTGTCCCTGACCATGATCCAAAGAAATGTCGTATATCGATTCATCAACAATTGTATTCCCCATCAGTCTCTATTGAATCTGAGGTTTCCCTCTGTTTACTTGTCCCCCTTGTGCTTTGTCTGTTCCTCAGTTGAAGATTCCACTGACCACTTCCTTTTTGAATGTCCACCCAAGGCAGCGGTCTGGCAGGGTATTATCTTTGAGTTCCTCTGGCCCACGGTAACCATTGATGATATCCGCCATTCCCTCCTCACTCTCGACTTTTACAATATTCGATATAGTCAGCGGCCTCGTGCTTCCTCCCATCATATAGTCATCATTGCGATGTCTAACATTTGGAAAGCTCACTATCGTCTAATCTTCGATCAAACTTCCTTCGCTCCCGCCGCTGTGCTGAATAGTATCCGACTCGACATCCAAAAAATGATCGACGAAGATCTCATTCATGCCAGCCTATAATAGTCCCTCTTTTATATCGTTCTCATATTTTGTCTAAACATATATAATATTATCACAGAAAATTGCGCCCGCCGCTTGTTTATAATCCTGCTACTATTGTCTACGCGGAGCAAGTAATAAAAACCTTTAAAAATAAGGCAATACAGTAGTAAATGCCCTTGAAGCGTATGAAAAGTAGGTGGCAGGTCATAAAACTATCGTTTATAATAATATTTTATTGCATTTTATATCGTTCATAATGATATTTTCTTGCATTCTATATTTAATAACGTTAGTCTGGACATTGACAATTCATGGGCTGCATAACATGTCTGCAGTAAGTAATGAAATCTCTGAGGCTCCGAGCCGTCGTTCAAAGAAAATGCTGACAGCATTGAGCAGAGGAAAGAGGGTAGAAATAGCAGTGGTTTTTGTTGATTGATTGTAAAATCATTATTCACATATGAGCCAAGCCTGAAAGATGCCTTGAAACTTAGGTTCCATATTAGGGCTGTAAAGTGTCTAAGGACTGAACATTTATTATAATATGATTATACAGTAGTATTTGTGCTTGCTATTCTTATTGCTCGATATCAAAGCGCATACACAGCCAGCTACCATATTCTGTGAACGAAACATTGTGTGTTTCTCAGAGCATATGGAAAAAAGCTGGTAGTTGCGCGTCTACAAAATGCCAAGACGCTCATTTACAAATTTTTAGTATAGAAAGATGCCATACTAAGGGGCTTACAATTGCCTAATTTGATGTTTCTGTCCTTCTTCAGACCGACTCCATGATCAGTGTTGTTTATATCATATTAAAAAAGAGGAGAAAAGAAGATTACAGACATACATGGGGAAATGGGCCCAACAACTACTTTGGCTAGTGTATTTCATGCAAAGTCGATCTTTTTCATCACTTAGTGCGACCTGAAGAAACGTGTTTATGTATTCCCAAGAATAGACTGAATCGAAGTGATTTGTCTGCATAGATGTACATGAAACTATTGTTTGCAAAGTAGCAACAGGAAAATGACGTTTAATTCTTATCAACATCTGTTGATCAACCCATCTAAACACTGGCATACCTCCACTCAAAGTCAGGAGACACCTTGGCTAGAGATGAACGCAGAAAATCAGAATTGTGCATACAAACTTGACGAAAAGATAGGGTCATACTTACTCTATTTGTTTATAATGAAAAACTCTTTCATTCACTCCTTGAGGGATTCCCATTCAGCAAATAAAAATTTGGAGCTGAGGTGGTCTATTCGAGAAGAAAACCAAAGAATATAGCATTAAGTTGCTGCATATCGCAAGCACTTATGAACCCAGGGTTATAAATACTCGAAATGCCTTCCATTTGATCCCATTTTCTTCATCTTGATTATACAAAAACATTAAGCAATATGCGTTCGACTATTATTTCTCTTGCCATCCTTATGACAATTGCGTCCAGCTATTCAGTCGAGGCATCTTTAGGAGACGCTGCACATCACACTGGAGGCTCTGTTTCTGGCGCTGTTAGTCGTTTTGGTGGTCGCGACAATGCTGCGCCCGCAGTAGCAAGCAAACTGGAAAGAAGATCCTTTACTTCTCGCAGTAGAGCCATCACTCGCGCTAAGCTTCAACGCCGTAATAGCTCTCTATTGCCTGATATTGTTCTACCATCTATCACATCTGCTCAACCATCTTCTCCTGCTGTTGCTCGCCCAATCCCTCAAGCCGTATCTTACCCTGCTGCTGCTGCCGCTGCTCCTGTTTCTCAAAGTTATTACATACCTCAGCCAGAAGCACAAGGCTACACAACCCCACAACAAGCTGCTGCCTCTCCAAATTACACGCCTCAAAAACAACAGCAAGCAGCACCAGCACTAGCACCACCACCCTATTATTACACACCTCAAGTGCAACAGCCAGCAGCTACTGTACCTGCCACTCCTAAGCTCACACTGCCTACCCTTATACAGCCAGCCAAAGAAAAGGAAAATGACAACGATGATAGTGACGATGAAGAAGAGGAAGATGAGGATGAAGAAGACGAGGAAGATTATGATGCAGATGACCTTGTCACTCGTCGTTAAAAATGGTTTCCTTTAAAAAGAATGCAGATTGTGTATAGTAATTAATAAAGAAACATTTTACGTCTGTCTATTTAAACGTGTTTGTTATAAGCTTTTCTGTCCATTATAATTCATTGCATTTTGATATGGAAAATGGACAGAGCATAACCCCTTGTCAAAGGAGCTTATCTTGAAATAACTCAAGAGCAAGGCTAGTTAGCATTTCATGCACACGCATAACTTGTTTGATGCCTCCTTCTTCAAGCTTTGTATATCAGGGAATTGAGCAGAGTACATGGGCGAACCAGAAGTAAGTGCATGAATTAATATGTAAAATTGTCATTGTACCACGCTATAGTCGAAAAGGCAGCCTTGTACTGTTTTTCTCAAAGAATTATATATCTCAAATTCCACTCCTTTGTCATTTCTGGGTCATCCACCCACAGTTACAAAGTCACTTGACACTAAGAAGTTTGGTTGATCTTTGTATACATATTGTTGCAGACAGAATTTTTGATCTTAACAATATTTGCATGCATAATTGCCATCTAAAAAAAAAGCATGAAGACTTTTGCGCTCGAGAATGCTGGTCATAATACATGCCGTAGCTATATCATGCTAGTAAATCAGCATTAAATGATAATCACAAGAGGAGACATAGTGCGAGCTAATTCAGCCATTTGCCTTCGCTCAAGTCTTTGTAGATTGCTGCAACAGCTATCCCTTCTTTTGCTCCTCTGTGCTATCGATATGTTTCTCCTGGAAGTATCTTTCTGTAGCCTTACAACCTAGTCTGACAACTGTAATAGTAGACCAAAAGGGCCCAATACCTGTCATATAGAAACAGAATACAGAGTAATTTCATTTCTACTCAACGAAAGTGATGATGAAGACATAAATAGAACAGCAGGCTACGAATTATACATGTGTTTTCCTTTCAACTTATCATAATTCTCAATGCGATGCACTCTATTCTCTGTTGGTATTCTTGCCACACAATAGCTCTCGCTGTCTCTGCTGACATATCTGATCTCTTTGAAGACACTCTTGAGAAAAATAAAGGTGTGTTAGACACAGTTGCCAGTAACCAGTTGGTTGGAAGTGTGGTTCAAGCTATTCCTGCTTCTATCCCTCAGCAAGCACAACCAGCATCTAATCGACTGACTGATGCTCAAATTGCAGCTATAAATCAACAGCTGGTCAGTGTTCTTGGTACCTCTTTGGCCAAACAAAGCAGTATGCAGGTAATCAATGTGTCTGCTCTGGAAAAGATTCCTTGATACCGTTGCAAAAAGCCGTAGGCTGCAAGGCATTAGAGAGTAATGGAGGAGCAGAGGTAATGACATTAGTTTTCATATTGTAGCCTGCTGGGAGTATGCCTTGTATTTGGAAACCACGAGCTTACTTCAGCTGAATATTACCACTATGAGCTACGAGCTGCGAGGACTTCATTGAGAGCATCAATGTGTATACCACCAATTGCAAGTCCATAACATAGTCAGATACATCATGCAATGCAGTATTTAGCTTCTGCAAAAACGACTCGACAAGATCGAAAGGCACGCCCTCTCGTAAAAGGCTCTTGAAAGACACGGTACAAGTGCGGTATCCTACATTGTCTGGGGGAGCTTCAACCATGGATATATCAGAGTGATTATGCGAGATTGAAGACATTGCTGCATGTGAAGGGGCGCCAGACACAGAAGACATGTCGGATGCCATGTCCAAGCCAGAGAGGTCGCGGCGAAGAAACGCTACAGAGTCAGAAAGAGCAATAACCGGTGTTGCTGGGATGGATGCACTTTCACCAGTGGATGTAGGCGTAGAGGCCTGAGGCTATAAAGATACCACAATAGCATCGAAATGATCCTTGACGTACTCTTGAAAGTACTGAAAGTTTTGCTTAGTACCATGGTGTTCAAGATGATTTTTCAACTCATCTCTAGCACATTGACAGATCTTTTCAGCAGTAGTAATGATACCTAGGGGGTGCCTCTTCACCGAGAGTAATGCTTTCTTGAGTACATCCAATTTACTAGGCTTGTCAATGATGGGCCTTGCTTTGTTTTCGATGATTTCCCTCATTGCTTGAAAAAAGCTATCCATCAATCGCTGCGGCGAGACACCAAATGTCTTGGGCCATTTGACAACAGACTGATAATTTGGTGTGGACGTAGCACTTGTGGATGTTACAGCTTCATATTCTCTTTTCTTCCCTTTAGCAACGACTCTTCTTTGGGGAGGATGACTGGTTTGAGTGCCAGTAAACGGATCTTTTTGCTCTACTTTTGTTCGCACACTAGACATTTGACATAAAAAAATAACTAGACAAGAAAAATGTGAGCATTTGTAATGGTACATCGATTGACCAGATCAATACATACTGTAACAAGAGTAGCGCTTTGTAGATTTGGTTATAAATATGAGCTGTCAAGACACAAAAATATGACAACTAAGAAATGGTTTTAGACAGTGTTGATGCTACGCAAACAAAGAGTGTAAAGGAACGAGAAAGGGTAGAGAGAAGAGAAATACATGCTGAGAATGGCTGCAGCTTTCATGAAGGAATACTTCAAGTGGTTTTACAGGTCAGGCATCAATATATCAGATCTAGAACAAGTTTGGGGTGCCTTAAATAATGTTGTCAATAACTGTTTGACAGATGAAGAGACATACCGCCGCATATTAGACAACAGTTATCTTTACATTATTCAAATGTTACCTATCATGTCCTGAAGACAAGATACACAAGCTTGATCAATAAAAAGTTGTATAAAAAGTAAACAAAGCATTGTGCAATTCAATAAGTACAAATACATCCGCTAACGTTACATTGAAATATTGGAAAAGCGTACACTTGCTTTACCACTGCTCCACAACTGACACCGAGTATCTGCCTCTGAAGCAAGTATTTAATTGCGCCAGAGCTCTGTAAGCTAAGCTGTGCGTTCGTTTGATATTCAGTATATAATAGACTAGCCCATCAATCTCGCTACACTCGATGACGATGTCGCCCTGCGGGCTCTCGCCAAAGACATTTTATATCAGATATAATAAAATTTTGATATATCAAGTAGATTTTAAACAATCAATTATTAGTAAAAGGTTATATAAAAGCCAGGAGGAGGAGAGGAGATATTTCCCTCGGCATCTTTTTGCTTATACACTGATATTAAACAAAGTCTATTATTGAGACGACGTAAAAGAGAATTCAAGTTTTATGCAGCATTTATACACCACAATCTCCATATTCTGATAGTAGAATTGTTATACCATTTGCTGCTGCTGATGCTCTTAAGATGGCGCATAATGCTGGTTATGCGCAAATACAGGACTTGTGTAAGATCTACAGCGCTTTTTTTGAAATATTGTCATTGCAAAAGACGCCTTTATGAGGCAAAACTCCCCAAAAAAAGTCTTCAAGCCAAACAATTGTTCATTCAACTTCATTGTCCCCATTTAATCAGCATCACAATCGTCATTAACATCATCAGAAAGGCATTTGGATAAGCCAGTAGCAGCGCCGCCGCCAAAATCAATTCAAACTCAGTTTATCTTTTTCTATTGAAGATTGGACAGATTTCGTCTTTTTTCGACTTGACAGAGCAATTCTGTGATGTTCGACTATATAAACTGTGATAATCATCCGATGCTTCCTAATACATTCTTGGAGTACTTTTCAAGACGCTTCCAATGGTGCCAAGTAAAATAGATGTTTTGACCGAACTTATTGAGCAATTTAGTAGATTTTGAAATGAGGTTTTTAGCGAAAATAGGCATATTTTGCATATGAAAACTTCATAAAAGTAATTTCAGAAGTTGCTTTGAATCAAGAGAAAAATTTTGATTTAAGATATACCATAGTAAAAGTCTTCACTTTCAAGGTGAAAAACGCGATTGTTTGACTTTCAATAAAAGCCATGAGGGGTACCTCATGCTTTTTGGTCGATTTTTGGCCATTTTTTTTTGGTTCCTAAAAAGTTGAGCAAAGGTGTCAGGAAGTTACTGCTACTCAAGTACATTTGTTTGACGTCATTCGGATGGCTCAGAAAGATCTACATGTCAAGATATGAAGGCTTGAAAGCTGTCAAATTTGGTTATGTTTTGCTTTATTGCTTTTATTTACACGGCATGAAGCGCATCCTTGGTAGCTGGAATCTTCTGGAGGAAGGGCATTTCTGCGGCCTGTGCAATTTCTAGTTCAGATAGAACGAATATTGATTTTGGTAAAGCCAATTCATACAAATTTTGATGCGTTATGTTGTTGATAAGTCTATTAATAATGGAAATGAAAACCTGAATTTGCTGCTTGAATACTATGGTTTTGCACCTTCGTTTCGCTGAGGTATAACCCCCTTATAGGTCAGCGTTACCAAATGTTGAATTAGATACCAAGTCTCCCTCCCCAGTGCCAGCTTCGCCAGTGGTTTTTTCGAACCTTGTACGGTATTCAGTGCTTTAAGTTTTTTACGTCTCTGATCTCTAATCGGTCATTCCGACGTTTTTTATATAGTTTTCTGGTAAATATATTAGAGACTTTAAGTAAAACCAGAAAAGATCTCTTCCTTACAGTATATATATATTAGAGATGATGGTGGGTGGCAGGTGTCAGACATTTTGCTCGCAAGATTCAAGGCATGCATATATGAAATCGTCGGAGTTATAATCATATATGGCGGCTGGCTGTTGGCTGCTTGGATGGCAAAGCAATGACACCTTTTTTGTGAAGACAATCACTGTTTATGAAGCTGATAAGAAATGAAATGCGAATCAAAAAGTACGCTATTATAGCGTGTATTTTTAGCTTACTATTGCTTCGCGTTTTCATATCAGAAAAGCAAAAATTTTACCAAAATGCTAATTCAGGTGCAAGACTCAGAATTGCCACCTCATTCATCATTACACAAGATGCTTCTACTGCAGACTCTTTCAGATAGGTGTCAAAAGATTCATGTGTGATTAAACGTTACTTTAAAATATCCACCATGACCCATTTTATTTTAATTGCTATACCAATTCTATTTCTAATGTATACTTTGAGACATACGTACACACATGATATCATTTATATACCAGATCGGTTCCTGGATTGGATTTTTTGGGTGCTTAACTTGTCAATAATGACAGTAGCTTCCATTCTGCTTATCATAGCATTTTTATTCATTATTTAAACAGCAACTACAGAGTGCACCTTATGAGCAATTACACTCTGCTACTTCGTCATGGATCTTGCATGAATTCAAACTTGTCCACTACACTCCGCTCTACCACATGTGTCTGCAATGTTCCTACATGATAAGTTTTCGAAACACAATACCATATTCGATGGGGCTCAAACAACAATTGCGACCCTTCTGAAGCTGCTGGCAACCTTGGATTGACACTTTTCAAATGAAAATAGACTTTTCTGAGCAACATCTGTTGTTAAACTCAAATTTATTAGCAAAAAAGACAGTACAAAAAAAAAACTTTTTCTGAGGTATTTCTCTCGTCACAAAAGGATGCCATGATATAGACATTGCTCTTTCATCGTTTCATCCTAGTTTGCTATACAGATATGTTAAGGTAGTGTCGTGTGACCAAGTAAAAATTGCATCTTGAAATCCATCAGAGCACCATTTTAATTATTGTTATTTCTTACACAAAAAAAAAGAGACGCTGTTCAATCCTGGACACATGAAAATTGGTCTCTGCTAGACAGCAGTAGCGCCCCTACCATGGACACTGCATTCAATCCAGCTATATTTTTGAATGACAACCAAGCAGCCATGCTGCAGTTGCAAGATTTGTTCGGTCAAGACGAATTGGATCTTGGAGGAGGAGGAGGAGGAGGAGGAGATCCATCATTGTATTATGATGAATTAACATTTGGTGTGTACAGTAACCAATCTGTAGTTTGGAACCAAAATTAACCAAAAAATTATAAATAGTCTCAGATCATACATCCACCATGGTTGATACTATTGAGCCTTCTCATTTAATCAGCCAAAACTACGTCGACAACATCATGAACACCATTGTAACAGAAGCACCATTATCAAAACGACGACGCAGTAGCACTTGCAGCTCAAGCTCATCCTTGTCCTCCTATTCATCTTCATCCTCATCATCCGAAGAAGAAGGCGATGAGGAGACATTTTCATCGCTGGCTTCTCGCAGATCAAGTCTCAGCAGCGATTCTGAAGAAGAGCAAGAGGAGATCATCACACCTTTTATGCATCGTCGCCAAATGGAAGAAATGATTTTGGACAAGATCACGAATCAGTTGGATGCTGAAAAGCTGCCTGGCATTTTGACCATTATATCAAAGCAGCAGCAAGAAGAGGAAGAGGAGGTGGAGATTGATTTGGCTCGCTTGGACAGAGATCAATTAACGAGAATACTATCATACATTGATGCTTGTTTGAAGGAGAAGCAGGGCGGACCCAAGGTCAAGCTTTCAAACTACACGTTAAAACCAAACCCTATAGCTTCTACATTGCCAACAGAGAAAGCACAACCTCCATTACCCAAAAAACAACCGCACACAAAGAACCGCAGCAAAAACAATCGGAACCGTCGAAAATCGATTATTGAGACGGGCCACACTGTTCGTGGATCATCACATTCGCAACTATCGGCTTCACATGGACCTATATCCATGTCGGCACTGACAGAGATGGAAGCGAGCAGCAAAAAGAAGCAAGCCAATAGTAATAAACGCAAGAGAAGAGCAGCAAAAAAGAGAAAATCAGAAGACGACCTGACAGTGCAAATGTCCAGCAAAGACTGTGCGTTCAATGACAGCATTGCCTCAACAAAACCAAAACGAAAATCGGCAGTTCACAAGCGCAAATTACTAGAAGAGATGCTGCAACCATCAAGCGATAGTGAAGATGATCAACTTGATGGAGATGCAGACGGCGGAAGCGGCATCATCATTTTTGGCAATGAGCAAATGGATTTGGCTGTTACCCACAACGAAACCATTGTGCATCGGGAAAGAAGGTTATCCATCATACAGAGATCGAATAGTGTCGCAGCGTTCAAGGCAGTAGAGCAAAATAGTCATATTGTCAACAACCTCGTTGAAGATGATGATGATGATGATGATGATGATGATGAACTAATTGATATCATGATGTAAATCTTACTGCATTTTCTCTTCTTGTACATTATATCTCTCGATTCTCGAGTTGCTTTTTTATATTCCCCCCCCCCCCCCTCTCTGAAAAAAATTGTAATTTTAATTTTTGTTTAATAAAACGCTTTGAATAAAGCTGGTTTTCTCCAAATTTTGGTTGACGATTCGATTTGGGACACCCTTTGCATTGTCGTATTTGCGCGTTCTGTTTTTTTTTGCTTGCGGTGATAGGTAGCCACGTTTTCCCCGAGCTTAAACTTCTGCAATGTTAATATTTGGGAATCTAGGATGCACAACGCCATTGAATGGTGTGGTACACTTGTCAACCGAACCAGATTTGGAAAAATCTAAATCCACCTCAACCAAAGCAATCCGTTCCCTTTTGCCTGCAATATTGTTCCATAATACTGCATTAACATATACGAAGAAGCCTTTGATCGCTATTAGCCACTGAGTCATTGTATCCAGATCATTGATGGCCTCCTTGCTATAAGTTCATCGATACAAGTATCTACAGCATGCTCAATAAAGAAACAATACAGCAAGCTTCATTCAAAGCTGACAAAGACGACAAGAAATAGCACACCGATAGCGTATCTTAGCTTGACGCTAATGCTAACTACACGTAGTTGATTCTCTTGGATAACCTCGTTTTTTTTAATGCCACTGCTGCTGAGGCAGATTGTACATGTTAGGATAGTATATTACAAGTTTGCGTTTGCTTTTATAGATTGAATAATAATACATAAAAAGGAATCTATTTCGAACTATTTTTTTGTCATGTAAAATGAGTCGTATGGTTTGTGTTTGTATGAAATGTCAAGGAAGCATTAAGCTGAAGCGACGTTCTTCTTGATGAGATTCAGTGCTGAGCCTTCGCGGATCCATTGCAATTGATCCTCGCTTAGAGTATGAACAGCATCAATAGAAATCTTGGAGCCATCAGGCTTGGTAACAATCAGCTTGACAGGAGAACCAGGAGCCAGAGTTTTCAAGCCTTGTGTCTCAATCACATCACCACCATTGATCTTTTCATAATCAGCGTCGTTCTTGAATGTCAATGGCAAAACGCCTTGCTTCTTCAAATTGGTTTCGTGAATACGAGCAAATGATCTTGAGATGATCATAGGGCTACCCAAATAACGCACTTGCAAAGCAGCATGTTCACGAGCAGAGCCCTCACCATAGTTGTGATCAGCAATGACGGTCCATTCGATATTTTGGCTCTTGTAGGACTTGGCTACTTCAGGGATGGTATCTTCAGTGTCGTTGGTAACATTCTTGACCAAGTTGACCTTGCCATTGTCCGCATTTTGAGCACCAATCAAGGTGTTTTCAGCAATGTTTTGTAAGTGACCCTTGTACTTTAACCAGGGACCAGCAGCAGAGATGTGGTCAGTGGTACACTTTCCCTTGACTTTAACAAGAACACGGATGTCCTTGAATTCCTCGCCATTCCAGGGCTCGAAGGCATCCAAGGCTTGAAGACGAGATGATTTAGGATCAATGCTGATTTCGACAGAGGCATCGGGAGTTGGGGTAGGAGAAGGAGGCTCATAAGTGGCACGGCCAGCTTCGAAGCCATTGATAGGAAGATCATCACCAGTGGGAGGTTGGAACTTGAAGTCGTTACCATCCTTGTCCTTCAAGCTATCGGTCATGGGGTTGAATGACAGTTTACCGGAAAATGCCATGGCGGTGACAATCTCAGGAGCGGCCAAAAAGTTCATAGTTTGAGCATTGCCATCATTACGACTACGGAAGTTGCGATTGAACGAGGTTAAAATGGCATTCTCTTCGCCCTTCTTTTCAGAACGCTTCCACTAATGATGTAAGCGTTAATATAAAACTCGTGATCTACTGATTCCCTCAATATATATATATATATATATATATAGTTACCTGACCGATACAAGGACCACATGCATTGGCCAAGACTTGACCACCCACGCTTTCAAACACTTGTTGCTGTCCATCACGCTCAATGGTAGCACGAATTTGCTCGGAACCTGGAGTGACCAAGAATTGGGATTGAATGCTGACACCAGCATCTGAGGCTTGCTTAGCGATAGAAGCAGCACGAGACATATCTTGGTAAGATGAGTTGGTACAGCTGCCAATCAATGAAGAAGTCAGATCATCCTTCCAGCCATTCTCAGCAATAAAGTCCTTGAATTTACTCAGAGGAGTGCTCAAATCGGGAGTGAAAGGACCGTTGATATGGGGCTCCACTTCAGAGAGGTTGATTTCAATGACCTTGTCATAGTGAGCACCAGCATCAGCACGCAAGAATTCAAGGTTGGCATCAGCAGCTTGGCCAACAGCACGACGGCCAGTAGAGTTCAAGTAGGAACGCATGCTGTCGGTGTAAGGGAAGAGAGAGGTAGTAGCACCAACTTCGGCACCCATATTACACATGGTAGCCATACCAGTACAAGACAATGTCTTGACACCCTCACCAAAGTATTCAATGATATGGCCAGTGCCACCGCGAACAGTCAAAAGGCCAGCCATCTTCAAGATGACATCTTTAGGGCTAGCCCAGGGACTTAACTGACCGGTCAGCTTGACACCAATGACATTGGGAGCCTTCAATTCCCAAGGAATGTTGGCCATAGCATCTACAGCATCAGCACCGCCAACACCAATAGCAACAATACCCAAACCACCTTTGACAATAACACTAGTGTGAGTCGCACATCCCATCAACACTTTAGCATCCCACCTTACCTGCATTAGGGGTATGGCTATCGGTACCGAGCATCAAGCCACCGGGAGCAGCATAGTTCTCCAACACGATTTGATGGATAATACCGCTTCCAGGCTTCCAAAAAGCAATACCGTACTTTTTAGCACCACTTTCCAAAAAGTCGAAAATCTCCTTGTTGGCAATGATGGACTGAGCGACATCCTTATCAGCACCTTCGTTGGCAGCAATTAAGTGATCACAATGGATACTACTGGGAACAGCAGTAGTAGGCATGCCAGAGAGCATGAATTGAAGAAGAGCCATTTGAGCAGAGGCATCTTGCATAGCAACACGATCTACATCCCCATACTGTCAGTATCAAACCAACACAGCTGTACATTGCCAACTTACCAGGAGACAGCTTCAAGTAGGTTTCACCTCTGACAGGCACAGTTTCTTCAGGATTTGTCAAGTGAGAATAAACAACCTTCTCAGCCAAGGTGAGAGGGCGGTTATCCAAAATACGCTTGACGAGATCAAGATTCTTGGTTAACTTGGCATAAGGAGGAGTGATGGAGGAACAGTCTTTTTCAACCACGGGGTTGTGTTGAGTGGCTAATGAGCGAGACGTGATTCTACGAAAGGCCTGTTGAGTAGTCTATGCCACACATGTTAGATTTCGTCTGTATATACAACAATTCATGCGCAAGCGCACAAGCTTACCCTACGAGTCTGTTGACTTAAATAGGCAGTGATCATCTTTTTACAATTATAAGAGGGATAAAAAGAAAGAAAGAGAGGGGGGCTTTGATTGTAGAGACACAGAAAAAGAAAAAAGAAAAAACAAACGCTACATCTAAAGAGACATTCTTTTTAAGCATTTCATCAAGAATCGAAGGGAGGGGTGAGATGATCTTTTATCTATTACCTGATTAAGAAACTATGCGGAGATTTGCCTCATCATCTAAACCGAAATCAAAGCTTTTTAGGTTTGTGCATTTGAAGTGCGAGTGTGGAGTGTAATCCAATCAATCGTCCCAGATTAAGCAAATTGAGCTTTATGGCTGGAATAGCATACCATGTACAGAATCTCGGTTGAATTGTAGACATCCAGACAAGGTGGCATTTGCCATTGAAGCATCTATGCACTGCTTGAAGGTCTTGCACGTGCTGTGATTCCACATCATACGTCTATTTGAGCAAGATGATAGAAGCTGATCTGCGCCACCAGTCAACACAAGTTCCCGAATTTTGACAGGACCATGGCTTGGATTATACATTTGAAGGATCTTTTTATTTGTATTTGCTTTAATGTGGACGAGTAGACGGTAATGCAGATGAAGGTGTTGCTTTTGCTCTATTGTTATTATTATTGCTTTTGGAATTCGGGTTTGGCTTGCTGGTGGATGCATTGGATGGTGGAGGCGGTGGTGGTGCTTTCAGCTTTTTACGCTGTTTAGATTCGAATTCATGCCAATCGCCATTGATATCCAAAAGACTACAAGCAAGCAAGCAAAATGATTAGCAGATGTCTACCACACTCTCTATACAACTTACTTAGCAGGCATGACGGGCTCTGGTAATTCTTGCTTGAAATAACTAAATTCCAATGCTTGTGTTGCTGTTGGTCGTTTTAGCGGATCCATGGACAGTAATGCCTCTGACAGCTCTAAAGCGCCAGGTGATAGTAACCTAATCCAACTGTCAGGCGAGGGATGTGTTATGACAGCATGTTGAGACTTACGATTGATACGATTCTCGGAATTTAGATACGTAATTCTCTGCAGGACGCACCATTTCATACCACGGCAGCTCTTTGACGGTAGGCCATGTCTCCACAGAAGGTGTTCCCATGATTTTATAAATACTGTCAATCTGACTGACCTCATCTTGGCCATTGAACACGGCTTTTCCAGTGAAGAATTCCAGCATGATGCAACCTACACCCCAAATATCTACAGCAGGCCCATAGGCAGTGGCACCAAGTAATAGCTCTGGTGGTCTGTACCAAAGCGTAATCACTCGATTGGTATAATCATGTGCTCTGTTCTTTTCAAACACTCTTGCCAGGCCGAAATCAGCAATCTTTAGTTCGCCCTTGTTGTTGATTAGCAAGTTGGAGCCTACAGTCTATCTGTAAGAGTTTGATTCTACCTTGACCGTAACACCAGCTTTACCTTTGATGTCTCTATGTAATATGCCCATATGGTGCAGGTAAGCGAGACCTTCCAACATTTGCTTCACCAGTGATTTGGCATGAGCCGGCTCAAAATTGAAATTAGGGTGTCCCAGTATACCCGATAAATCATGATCCATGTACTCCAATACCATATAAACAGATCCCTTGGCCACCATAATTTCCTGTAGCTCGACAATGCGATCATGCTTTAACTTTTGTAGCAGCTTAATCTCTCTCATGGCTGTAATTGGAAACTGGGAAGGCTCTTTCGTTAGTCATGTTGGCCCCAACCATTACCGTTTGGAGTTATCTTACCCCGTCCTTTTCTGTCTTCATTCGAATACGCTTCAATGCCATCAATTTGCCTGTCTTGCCATTACGAGCCTTATACACCTTACTACAAACAAAGCGCAGTGTGAGCTCATAGAGTCATTTCTATATAAACTTGCAACATACCCGTATGTTCCCTCGCCCACTTGTCCAATCTTTTCAAACAGGGTTGAGGGGTCCTCCGAAGTCTGGCATGGATAGCCCACATCATCCAGCACGTTCTCAGGGACGCCACCCATGTAGGAAACCTTCTGATCCAGCTGATTTGTCTGTGTATGTGTTGGTGGGTGTGACGAAACATTTGAGCTCGTATTGTTCACATTGACTGTTGGCGGTGGTGGAGGAGGAGGCACGCTTTGCTGCTGCTGTTGGGGTATTTCTTGCGATTGCTGCTGTTGATAATACGATGCATCGTAATAACCATAGTAAGTATTGGGATCTTGTGATTGGTAATAGTGTTGAATATACTGCTGATATTGTTCAGCTGTGTAATTTGTAGAGTATGCATTGTTGTAATCTTGCACTGTCCACCCGTAATAATTACCCCATGCTGCCGATTCTGCCGCCTGCTGCTGCTGTGGGTCCAATTGAACTGGCTGATATTGAGTATATGAATGTTGTTGCTGTTGCTGCTGATGTTGCTGTTGATGCGAGTGATGTTGCTGTGGTTGCGGTGGATGGTGTTGATAGTAAGCAGCTGGTGCCGTAGGAGGCTGGTCATTCGTAGTAGACGCTGTATTTATCATATCTGCTTTGGGTCCTAATGGCAGAGCTTCATCTTCCGCAGGTTTGGGAGGATCACGTCGATACTTTCGATTGCTACTACTGCTGCTACTGCTGGATTTTGGGTCTCTGTCTTTGCTGGATCTTCTATTCGACGACGACCATCTATCGCGGCTCCTATCTCTATGGCGACTACTACTACCTCTATCTCGTTCATATCGACTACTCGAGCGATCATCTCCATAATTTCTTCGCTTTTCTCGATGGCTATTACTGCTGCTGCTGCCATGATGGTGGTGATGATGGCGATCACTGCTACTTCCATTGTAATGATCCTCTCGGCTTCGTTTTTCGGAGGTGCTCTTTCTCTCTGACTCCATGGACTTGTCTTTAGATTTGTGATAGCTGCGATCGTCCATGTCGTTCGAGTCGGCTTTACAGTGAGGAGGAGGAGGCAATGGGAAGGAAGGTAGAAGAAGGGTATGAAATGTGCCAACAAGGTTGAGAATTAGATGGATACAAGTGACGGTTCAATTCTGCTTGGATTTCAGTCCTCAAAGTGTTGATTTAGTTTGACAAAAGCAAAAAGACACAAATTATGACAGAAAATGTGAATTGTATGTAGGAGAGAGGGTTGAGGATGATTGTCAGCGAAAAGGGATTCACGCGTGGTTGTAAAATAGCTAGGAAAAAAAAGTGACCGGGTATTGGGTGCTATCAACACTGAATCAATGCTAATGGTGAGGTACAATGCTTGAACGAAATGCCATAGAAAAATGTCAGTCATGTCATTGTCTCTAATTACAACAAAGACAACGCTGAGATAGATCATTTAGGCATGTATTTTGTTGCCAAATGTTGAAGCAATCAATGGTGCCAACTGACATATAAATATGAGCATCCAATGTTGGAACATTTGAAATTGAAATCACAAAATATACGTTTAAGCACTATAATCTCTGATGGGCTGCTGCTTCTCTCGTAATGCTGAAAGTGGTACTTCAAGCGCAGGCTCGAGTGCCATAAGACGTAAGACTGAAAATCAAGAATCAATCTCGAGCTATAATAACATTTGTGCAAAAGCTGGTCGCAATGGACTTCGTGCAGGTAGTGTTGGATCCAGCACTATTAGACGTAAGTAAGAGCTTTGATTGACATGCAGCTGTGTCGCTATAAAATTGTAATTTGTTGAATAACTCAAGTTTATATATACATGGTGATTCTACTGCTTGCTTTAGCTGGGAGAAATGGTTATCGTGCAGGGTAGAATTTGTCAAATGCTACATCATATTTACATATTGGTTGCTCTACCTTGCTGCTCATCAGTGATTGTCTCCATCATCTTACAGTGTTATTTCAATAAAATGACATTTAGCTATGCGCAAGATGCTTTGAAAACTTGTATAAGATCATTTCTATCTATCTATCACTTGTTATCCAGTCGAATAGAAAGCTTGAAGGACGCTGAAGAACAGTAGATTTCTTCCTATACTTCAGTCGCTGAAAGCTGGTGACCAATGCAGTGTGTGGAAGCTTTTTTTATGCCAAATAAATTTGATAACATTTGCAATAACTCAACGCAGGCATTATGGAATTATCGTCATCACGTAATATATATACTGTAAAACATTCAAAAAAAAAGTAGGCAATCAAATCATGTCCTTTCAAAAGTTTAAAGAATTGAGTACAATACAAGGTGAATAAATCACCGGCATTGGGGAGAGACAGAACTGCCCTTCCAGTAAATTACAACTATCAAATATGTGATTTATGCCGTTTAAATAAACTATGAAGCAATACATAACCAAGTTTGACAGCTTTCAAGCCTTCATATCTTGACATGTAGACCTTTCTCAGCTACTTGAATAACGCCAAACAATTGCACACGAGTAGTAGTAACTTTCTGGCACCTTTGCTCAACTTTTTGGCGATCGAAAAAACATGGCCAAAAATCGACCAAAAAGCATGGGGTACCCCTCATGGTTTTCATCGAATTTCAAACGATCGCATTTTCCACCTTAAAAAAGACGACTTTTACTGTGGTATATATTAAATGAAAATGTTTCTCTCGATCAAAGGCAACTTCTGAAACCATGTTTATGAGACCTTCATATGCAAAATTTCGACATTTTGGCCAAAAACGTTATTTCATATTTTCTGAAATTGCTCAATAAGCTTAGAAAAGACATCTATTTTTCTTGGCATCATTAGAAGCGCCTTGAAAAGTACTTCAAAGGTGTATTAGGAAGCATCGTACGATTATCACAATTTGTATAGTCGAATATCACAGAATAGTTTAAAGAAGTCGACAAAAGACAAAATTCGTCCAATCTTGAGTAGAAAAGATAAACTGAGTTTCAATCAGTTTTTTAGCGGGTGGCGTTGCTGCTGGCTGGCCCAAATGCCTTTCTGATGATGACAATGATGATAATAGGGGATAGTTGCGATGCTGATCAAATGGGGATCATAACGTTGAAAGGACAGTTGTTTGTTAGCCCAAATAATGTTTTTCTTGGGAGTTTTTCCTTATAAAAGTGTCTTTTGCAATGACAATATCTCAAAAAAGTCGCCTGTAGATCTTACACAAGCCTTGTATTTACACATGGCCAGCTTTATTTCGCCATCTCAATAGCAATACGAGCGAATCGATACCTCCCCTTCCTGACTCTGGCATAGTCTTTTTCTTTTTTTTACTATCAAGTGATTGTTTAAAATCTACTTTTATGCCAGATTTTTATTATCTCTGATTTGGAATGTGTTTGGCGAGTGCCTGCAGGGCGACGTCGTCATTGAGCGTAGTGAGATTGATCGGTTAGTAGATCAGCTACACTAAGCGGTAAGCATCGCTAAAAAAAATGTCATGAGCTTTGGCCATTAGGCTTCATTTTGTATATATCTTTCCTCAAATGTATGTAAACCGCAGTAAACCATACAGCAGCTCTCCAGAACCATTGATTCGAAATTAGAATTTCAGTTTGCTGGGACCGTTGAATTGCTCCCTTTTGGTTCGCAATCTAGGATATAGTGCTAGCCTAAGCAATACATTTCACAGGCTCATTAAATTCAAAAACTAAAGCATTTCGTAAAATAGCTGGTAATGAATCCAAATCTCTCACTTGCCATGCTGCCATCTTCAAACAAGAATATCAGCCCTATCTTGATAACACAACTGTCCATCCCGTCTCCTATTCACACATCAACAGCATCATCCCACCCATTCACAATAACAACGCAGTTTAGAGCTGGATCAAAATGTTTAATTTGTGTCTGTATGTAGCTGTAACCAATTGAACTACTATAGACATGGTAAGCATGAATCATCAACAGTCATTTCTCGTGGTTACTTACAAGTTAATTTACTTCTTCTTGGAGACACCAACGGTACGTCCACGACGACCAGTGGTCTTGGTGTGTTGACCACGAACACGGACACCCCAGTAGTGACGGAGACCACGATGATTACGGATCTTCTTCAAACGTTCAAGATCATCACGGTACTTGGTATCAAGGACGTTAGAAATAACTTGAGAGGACTTGCCATCGACAATATCCTTTTGTCTGTTGAGGAACCAGGTAGGGATCTTGTATTGAGCAGGGTTTTGGAGAATGGTGACAATACGTTCCAATTCTTCAGAAGAAAGCTCACCAGCTCTCTTGGTCAAATCGATATCGGCCTTCTTACAGGCAATGTTGGCGAAACGACGACCAACACCCTTGACAGAGGTCAAAGCAATTTGGATCTTGACACGGCCGTCGACGTTGGTGTTAAGAAGACGGATAATGTGCTGGAAATGATTCCTCTCAGGAACTACGAGCGACTAGGAGAGGATCAATAGGGTTAGACAACTTGTTTGCATCAAATGTAGGGTCGAATAGAGTCAAGATGTGATGTGTCTGTGTGCTGTCAGTCTGATGTTCAAAAAAAAACCATTGGAGATGGTGTTGTATCATGTATCCATCCATCCATCCATCCATCCATCCATCCACATCAATTTATCCATCGCACGTTGATTCAGTCCAAGCGACACTCTCTGCATCGTTTCTTTTTCTCCATTCGACACTACATGTTACTATGGATAGTTACCATCTTTACAAAAAGGGAGGGTTTAAAAGTCCTTTGCAAACAACGGAAAGTTTTATTCGAAATTATCAACTCAATGGGCGGCTGTGGTAGCCAGCAGCACCACCGAACAAATCCATATAGATACATCGGCCGTTTAATTGTCAACAACCTTACAGAAACCACTGGGAGATTTCTCTAGTATAGCTTTTCCATCTACCAGTTTTCTAACAACAGATTCTACCTCTGCAAAGGTATTGAATGGAATATAAGGAATGTCTTCTCTCTTGCAGTAAAACTCTAAATCTCTGTCTTTACGGGCAAACAAGACATCAGCATGCTTGGCGGCAGAAATGTCAGAGACACCATCTCCACAGAATACAAAGATAGTATCCTTGTCGGCCAACTCACGAGCCTTGGCTAGAGCTAAACACATGTCAGCAAACAAGGTGGCATTTCTGCACGCACATACAACACTTACTCTTGGACTTGTCATTGCCATAAATGCTATCATCTCTCCAAATGATCTTCCAATTCCTGCCCTCGACCTTACCATTGTTGGATACAATTTCAATGTCTTTAGCCTTGTCACCAAGGAAATTAGTCATGATCTTGGACAGCAATGGCAGTAAACCGCTGCTTATAATGGTGACGGGAAATTTGTTCTCACGGCAGTAGTCATTGAAGGATGGGAATCCAGGATCGATGGTGCACTCTTTCAAATTAGATTGACATGAGTCATGTATTGAACTTTATATCTTTCTTGTGTATCATCGCTCTCACTTACTATCGAGGTATTCAGTCCACGCTTCCTCCCAGCTGATATGAACAGAGTCCCACATTTCTTGAAGGGCATCTCTACGAAACAGACATGCATTGCGTTGGTAATTTGATCTATTATCCAATGTCCCAATGTTTACCTGTAGGTTTTGGTGCCATCCAAGATTTCGTGTTCCAAAACCCTTCTACGTTCAGGGCCCATTGAACGACGGTCATCGATCAACAAAAGACCAGTATCTAGCTCAGATGTTGGGTGGTGAGATGATGTTTTTGACAGCTACGATGCTGCTTACCATCCAATGACAGAGTTCCATCGAAATCAGTGAATACTTGAACATTAGTTTTGGTCATCCTGGAAATAAAATTGAATAAGAGATAAAGCGCTTTATTTTTGTTGGCAAATGAAATGAGATATTTATATAAACGCTTGCTGTATTACTATACTATACAGACGCTTTTTTTTTTCGATTTATACAGAGTATGTGCGTGTGCCCCTTGAAAATATTCAACGTTTCGATAAGACCATACCGCATATATTAATGGGCTTGTGGTGGTATACCTTTAGTGACATCATTTCAGTCTTTTTTGAACTCTATATTGCCAATGCACACTATCAAATCTTGATCATCTTCTTCAGGGCTGCTGCTATTGTTATTGTTGACAAAGTATTTGTTTTTGAATGCCATTGCTTGCTGACCAGATAAGAATTGACTCGTTTCAAATGTGAATTGATAGCCATTGTTGGTTTCTTCTTCGTGCTCGTGTGTGGATAATCCTGCTGCATCGTTGTTCTTAGGTCTTCGTAGTAGGAGTGAGATGATTTCGTCGTCCTTGTTGTTGTATGGTTGAATCAAAACACTGTAAAAGTCGTCTGGCTCCATGCAATCATTGTGTTTTGGGTCAGTGTGATCGATCAGTTTGCCAGCAAGACTGTATGGTGATTCGTTGTTTATTGTGCTTAAACAGTGGCCTTGGAAGAGCCCGTTGGAATAAAAACAGAGGATAGCAATACCTTTAAAAGATGACATTTTGGATATATAGGAATAGAATAGGAGGGGTAGTAAATTCAAAGAGAAGAAGAGGAATAAGGGAAAAAAAATTGTTTATGGCTTTTTTCTTTTCGATGTCATTGCATGAAAATCCGCTTCAATGTCTTCTTCTACTCTATGTGATAAAACACCTATTAGATGGCTAGGACTTTCTTTAGCACGTAAGAGAAAGAGTTAAGGTTATATAGAACAAACAGCATGATAGAGGTCAGTAATACACATTATAGAATGATGGCAAAAAAAAAAGGATATGATCTTGTTTTCTCTTTTGACTTATCACCGGCGACGATAAGGATTGCTGTTGTGCCGTCAAATATCCATCCAGTATCTCGCCTCGTTTTCTCAGTAATCGCTGCTTATTTCGTGTATGATGTGTAGATAGCCCTAATTCGCCTTCCCCATCCTTATCTTCTTTTAGCTTCTTACGCTTCTCCTCTATCACGGTAAACATGGCATTCTGCAACTCTCTTCTTTCCGCCAGACACTCCTCCTGAACAAGCTTGTTGTTCATGTCAAATTCTTGATCCACGCTTGAGATTTGATAAATCATCATTAATCGAGCATCGTGAATCATCTTTCGTCTCTTCTCCTCTAGATCTGCTAGATGTTCATCGTACATTTCGTGGCTGCCTAAATTTACAATGCATCATCCGTTCGCAACAGTGTCAGTGATTTGTAAAGCAAAAAGTACTCACCCTTCTCTATAGCAACTAATTCATCCTGTAACTGCTTCAATTTCTCTTCGTACAAACTAAATTCAACAGTATCAGCAAAGCGCCCCATCGCAAGACACATCATACAAACATTTCTCGATTCTCAATGAATTCACGATTAATGCCCGCCATCCTCTCATTCATGTCATTCTTCTTTTTTAGCTTGGGGTGATCTATTGTTGGAGGTAAATCTTTTCACAGAAGCCTCATGTTAGTTCTGGGCTTTCTTTTTCTGTTTCTCTCTTCATGGAGCTCTTTACCTTCTGACCAGGCAGAGTTACTATTGCTTGTTATGTTATTATAAATTGGATAGTAATACTCTTCGTGTTGCTGCATGACAATATGATCATTACTCTCTAGATAGGGTGAATACGAATATGTCGATTTCTTTGTATGGTGTTTTTGATGTTGTGGATGAGACACTTGGCGTTGTGTTTGTTGCTGCTGCTGTTGCTGCTGCTGTTGCTGTTGCTGTTGCTGTTGCTGTTGTTGATAAGGAAAGAATGCTGTTGGTTCATGCCTCTTTGGTAATGGCGGCAATGGCGTAGAAACGTGAGTCGTCGAGCTAATTGGGGGTAATGTGAAGCGAGAGGGTGATCCTCCTCTCTTTGTTGATGCGTCTTGTTGTTTATTGTTGTAATACATTTATCAAGCTTGTGGAAGAAAATAAAAGAAAGAGAGAAATATCCCTTTTATGCTATTTACCTGAGGAACATGCATTCAAATTGCTACTCTTCTAATTGGAAACAGTGTCACGTCACTCTCGTGCAAAAAAATAGTTAGTAATGGGATGCCAAATTGTAATCAAGGTATGAATGTAGATAGAATTAATGAAAAGCCTTTAGCTTTTACTTTCAATAAAAGAGTTTCCAATGCTTCAATAATTTTAAATGGGAGGAATACATATTATTATGTTATTTATTGCGCGTGTGTCTACGCTTCGGATGGCTCTCTACTTTCGTTTCGCTTCAGTGAGAACTAACCTTTGCAGCGGCAGCACTCGCTACCAATTGCCTTTGCTGATCGCACCAAAAATCAAACGATCGCGTTTTTGACCTTGATAATGAAGACTTTTACTATGGTATGTATTACATCAAATTGTTTCTATCGATCAATCGTAACCTCTAAAGTCATCTTTGTGGAACTTTGATATGTAAAATTTCGGCATTTTGGCCAGAAACCTCTTTCCGTATTTTCGTAAATTATTCAATAAGTTTATTCAAGATATTTATTTTACTTGGTACCATTGCATGCGCCTTGAAAAGTACTCCAAGAAAGCTTAAGGAAGCATTGGAGGATCATTATATTTTACTTGGCCAAATCTGGCAAAACAGTTTAATTGAATCGAAAATTTTTTTTTTTTTTTTTTTTTTTTTTTTTGTATGGAATGAAAGTTTTATTAAGTAGTTATGAATAAATAGTTAATAAAATCATTGTATAAATGGATCAAGTGTATACTAGGTAAAGTGACTTGCCATATTGTATCTTATGAGGTCTTATAAATCAGTACTATCCATTTTGGACAGCTTATCCAGTTCTCTGTTGATATTGCTAACAACTGTTTGGGGCTCAAAAGGGGTACCACGGTAGTGTACGAAGAAATGGTGGGTCCAGATTATTCGGATTATGGTGGCAAAAAGGTCGAAGATGTTGATCTTGAGGTCCAGGTTGTAAATGTAGTATCTTGATAATGTCAGGTTCTGCATGTCTTTGTATATGCGGTGAGTGTTGATTGTGGTTGGGTAGCTTAGGTGTTCTTTAAAGACGGACTCCCAGACGTCGTGTTTGTTTCCGCATTCCATGAGAAGGTGTCTGGCATCTTCTACTTCGTTACATTGTATGCATCTGTTGTTTTCTATATCTTTGATTTGACTTTGGTATAGGAAACTTCTGCAGGGGACTTTGTTGTATATGATCTTGAGCCATAAATTTCGAGGTGACTGGTGCATATGTGATCTGTAGAATGCTTTCCATTGCTTGGGGTTGATGTTTTTGTTGTGATCTTTTGGCAGTTGTATAGGCAGTTGTTTGAGGAGCAGTTGTCTGATTATTTTGTTCTTGCAGAGCCAAATGATGTTGCTATCGTGCTCAAAATGTTGGATTAGACTTGCTGCCTCTTCCTGGTTGTTGGGAGTTGAGTTGTTTGGATGAAGCAGGTTGCTGAAGAAATCTTGAAGGTGTAACTGGTTGTTGTTGTGGTCTCTTTTGAGCTTGTACAGTATCTGCGGTGATTTGCATTCTTGTCTTGTCTTGTATTCGAGAGCTGTGTAATTAAGATTTGGCTTGAAAAAATCCTGCACTAGGCTTCTCTTGGCTGTAGGGTTCCTGAGGTAGTCAGTAGTTTCCAAGTCTTCCCAGTCCTTGTATATAGTGGTCAGTGGTAAAGTTAAACAAGTGTTGATATTGATGGGTGTATTGGTAAAGTCTGGTCGGCAGTTTGCAAGAAGACTATTCATTGTTTCAATAATCAGTTTCATGGCCCCATCTTTTAGGTTGTTCTTGTAGCTTCTTGCTTCTTTAAATATCAGTATGGTATCAATGTAAGGCAGGTTCGTCTCCATTTGTAGCGTATGTGACATCAATTGGTATAGGTACTGCGGGATTGTTTTGTGCTGGTCGTGGTATAGTAGTGCTGTGATATACCTCATTTGCAGGGTTTGTTGTTGGGCGCCTACATGTAGCAAACCTAGTCCTCCTTGGTCCTTGGGTAGGTAGTACACATCTTTTTTGATTTGCAGTCTCTTCTCATCCACTATGTATTGATATATGATGGAGTTGAGCTTGTTGATGGTTGCTTTCGGTAGAGGTGTCAGCCTGAGGACATGCCACAGTTTGGACAGGATAATTGTGTTAGCGACATTAGCTTTACCGTACATTGATATTTTCCTGGGCTTGAGGAATTCTACTTGCGCTTTGATCTTGGCGGTTAAGTCTGCAATGAAACAATCCCGTTGTTGTATTGTATAGTATATTGGATACCCTAGGTATTTGATGTACTCTGGGCTACTGTAGTCGAACCATTTCATTCGCTGTTGAGTGTAAGTTTTCAGTCTTGTACCGAAATACCCTTCCATTCTGCCACCATGTAGGGGAAACGCCAATGACTTGTCATAGTTGATCTTTGAGTTTGATGCCTTACCATACGTCTTGATGCATTCCTCCATTGCCATGTATTCCGTTCTTGATTTGACAAAGATGAGAATATCGTCCGCATAGGCCATGATCTTTGTAGGTGGTGGGGTGTTGAGCTGAATTGTCCTCTGTGGTGCTGGCTTGGTTGGTTGTATTGAGTATCCAGATATGTCTTGACTGTTGATGATTGACAGTATGAAGGGCTCTATTGCAAAGTTGAACAAGATTGGTGAAATAGAGTCTCCTTGTCGCAATCCTCTCTTCTGTTTGACTGGTTTGGTTAGAAATCCGTTCATGTTGATGAAAATCTCGTTGCCAAAAAACAGGTTTTCTATACATCTAATGAACTCCATTGGGAATCCAAACTTCTGGAGTACCTGAGCCAGGTAGTGTGGGTGCACTCGGTCGTAGGCTTTGTTGTTATCCAACATGACTCCCACATATTCTTCAAATTCGTCCTTGTTATTTCCCTTTGCTGTCTTGGCATTGTCCATCATCACTCGTAGGGCCATTCCTTGGTCACCAATGTATCTATCTTGCATGAACCCGGTCTGTACTTTGTTTATGAGTCTGCTTGCCACTGTCGTGATTCGTGAGTTCATGATCCGCGTGAAGACTTTACAATCTGTATTGATCAGTGTAATAGGTCGCCAATTGCTGAGATCAGATAAGTCGCCTTTCTTGGGCAGTAATACTACGCAAGCCTGTTGCCACGACTTTGGGAATATACCGAGCTTGATTGCGTCGTTATATACTTGGGTGATAATTCTTTGGCATATCGGTTGACTTGCTATGACATGTAAGATCTCGTATGGAAGTCCATCCAAACCTGGACTACTAGACTTGGGGCTCCTACGGGATCCCTCGAATATCTCTGCAAACGGAATGTCATCAATGATCTGATCGCTTTCCTCCTGGGAAATAAATACAGTAATGTGGTTCAGTATGCCTTCCATGCTATTTATATCGATCCGTTCAGGGCTATACAATTTGGAATAGAAGGTATGGACGGCATCCAGTTTCGACTTGGTGTCAGTGCACTCTGTTACAGTAGTTGGGTGCTTCAGCATGGGCATTGTCTTCGTTTCTAGTCGCCTGTCAATGGTCTTCTTGATGTATGCTGGCGAGTTTTCATTCTGCTCCATCCAGCGCTTGCCTGCTCTCAATTTGCTAATGTTGTACTTTTCTTCTTGGATTTTGCTGATCTCCTGGTGTATAGGTGGTAGTAGTGCCTTCAAAGTTAGGGGTTCTTTTCCATAGAGTCGGAGTATTCTGTTCCTTTCACTGTTCAGTTGTTTCAATTTAGTCTCTCTCCATTGGTTGTGATGGCGGCAGAAATTTGTTGTAACTTTCTTGGCCATGTTCTTGATTAAATCCCATTTGACTTGTGCAGAAAGATCCGGGTCCAGCTTGTGTTGTACATAGTTGTTGATTTCCTTTGATAGCTTCTTGGTGAATCTCTTGTTTTTAGCCAGATGTGGGTTTGCTCTCCATATGCCTTTTCCATTGTTGCTCATTTCCACTGTCAGTGTAATCGTAATTAGAGCGTGGTCGGTGTATACATCGCTGAAGAATTCCACGTCCCCGTCGTGCATCTTTTTGTGAGTGTTGGTGCCAGCAAAGATGTAGTCGATTGTGGATAGGGTAACTCGTTCTCGCCGCTTTTGAATACAGGTATAGGTATACTTTTCACCTTTTGTGTTAATACAGTCATTCATATACCCCTTTACAAAGTTGATGAGATGTTTCGGTTTTGCTATGCGCCTAGTAGCGTGGTTTGATGAGCTGTCAAAGCTATAGTTAAAGTCGCCCGCCATTATCAGGTCAGGGATAATTTCAGGCATTGTTAGCAACATCTCTACTGTTCTCTTGTAGAATTGATTGCGTTGTGAGGTTTCTTCAGCAAATATACCTGAGCGAGCGTACAGATTCAAAATGTATACTGGTGGAATGGAGTTGTCGGCTATGGAGAGTTTTGCCAGGATCATTCTACCATCGTTAGATTCTTTGATTTTTTCCAGGTTAAGTGAGTTGTTGAAATTGATTATGGCACAATGTTGGGTCCATATTGCTTGGTGGTAGTTGAATTTGATCTTCATGTTGTCTGTTACTTCTTCAAAAGAGTGAGAAGGGATGTTGGTTTCTTGGCACAGTAGTATATTTAATTTCTTGTCTTTCAGCAGGCCAATAAAGGTGTCAGTAGTGTGTTGGTTGGTGTTCAAATGTAGGTTTCTACAGTTAAGAGATCCTACTTTGATGTTTAGGTGTTTAGTATTATTATTCATTTTTTTTTCTATATATATTATTATTATTTTTTTTTCTTTTTTTTTTTTTCTTTTTTTTTTTTTTCTTTTTTTTTTTCTGGCTCAAGTTCTAATCCAACTTATTTAGCGGTGGCTTTCCGCTACCAGAGGTATTGGAAGAACCGGCTGCTTCGTTGGTGCTTGATTCATTCTTTTTTGTATTCTTTTTTTTTGAAAATGGGACAGTTTCCTGTTGACCATTTGGGGATATAGCATCATCCAGATTTCTCTTGGATTTCGATGGAGTGAGCTTGTCAACGTCAGTGAGCTTCAAAGTTTGGTTACTTCTGGTGGCGAGGCGAGGAGTAGATTGTGTGACAGATGGGGTAACATTGAACGGCTTCTTGTTGGCTAGTTCACTTGAGGAGCGAGACATTTTGACACCTTTGTCTAGTGAAGTGGACTTTTCAGTGTCGTTTTCTTCATTTCCTTGGGACTCTTCGACCTCTTCGACCTCTCCCATTTCCACTTCGTGATTTAATATTTCAAATTGGTTTTGGGATGCTGGTTGTTGTGGCTGACCTTGTTTCACAAGATCAAGCAGGTTGACTTCTCTACTGCTGGAATTTCTTCGTGACACCAACTGGAATTCATTCTCATTGGATCCAGGGGTAGACTTGCTTGATTTGGTTTCATTGCTATTCTCCGTTGATTTGTTGTTCCATGGGGCCACAGGACATTTCGCAATCAAGTGGTTAGGACTCTTGCAACGGTGACAGAGTCTTCTTCTTCTCTTGGGGCAGTCAAGTCTAACGTGCTCGTCCGTGTGGCAGTCGGTGCAGATAGGCTTCATCTGGGACCATACCAAGTGCAGATGGGCGCCTGGGAAACCTTCCAATTCAACTTGAGGGGTTAGGGTGTTTGCATAAGTGGACTCCTTTAATTTATCCCGATTAAGAGTAGCAAATCCTCTTCCAGTGAACCAGTCAGAGTCTCCACTCTTTGAGATACCAATGTTCAAGATATCGCCATATCTTTCAAATGTCTTGATCAAGGCTGGTTTCAATTCATCCTCTTCCATGAGTGGGATCTCAGAGATACCAATGTTGATTACGTTTGCAGTGTGATTCAGAGTCTTGTTGACTTCAATGACTTTTCCATTGACCTTGAACTCCTTCAAGAGAGCGTCGCGACAGAGGTTTTCAGTTGAGAACCCAAGTTCAATGGCCTTCTTCCTGTTTTTGCCAATGATCCTAGGCTTGAGACCTAAGCATTTGGGAAACTGTTCTCGCAGTACCTTGAGGAGAGTCGTGTCCTTGAACTCCATGCCCAAGAACTGAGCACAGTCGATGACGATAGAATTGCGTTCTTTAGCTTCAATGAATGTTGAGTAGGTGTTCAGAGGTTTGAATGTGTTGTTATCCACATCCGGCACAACTTCAAAGTTGTGTCTCTTCTGTTCCTTGAGAGCATCGGTAAAGGATTGGTAAGTAAATAGTTGATTGCTTGGATTATGGCTAGAATCCATTGAGCCACCTTGTGTGGGTGGATCACTGTTATCACTCTGTTTTTTAGCGGAGGAAGCCATGATTGAATCGAAAATTATAAAGATTTGGCCAATCTGGAACGAAATATGGATCTGGGTTTGAATTAATTTAGGCTGGTGGGGCTGGCTGGCGAACTCAATGCCCTTTTCAACATGAAGGCAATACAGTAATAGATGCTTTTGAAGCGTATGGAAAGCGGATAGCAAGTTATAGCACTATAGCTTATCCTGATATTCTCCTTGCCTTCTATATTTAATAACGTCAGTCTATCAAAATACTTGTCAGATCAACTTCTTTCCTTTTGAGGCTTTGAAAGTGTCTAAGGACTATAAATTTATTACGTTATGATGAGTATTTCGACTCTTCGATTGGTTTCCTGACATACGCTTTGCTTTGGTGGAAACCAACCTACGTTCAGGTGGCTTGCGCTGCCGCAGGCCTTTGGCTAATACTGCTAAAATGTTGGCTGAAACTTGATTGTTGATATATAGTAATTTAATATGAAATCTCTAGTCATATACGAGCTATACCTAACAAACGCCTGGCAACTCGGTTTCGATATTAGGGTTGTAAAAGTATCTAGGGACTATAAATTTATTACATTATGATGAAAATGCGCAACAAAAACAAACTTCACTAGTCAAGCCAAACTATAGTATATTTCTAACTCGCAATCTTTTGTTATTCGTTTCACAAACATCGATTGTCTTCTGTTTAAAGGTTCTTGCTACTTGCTCTGCGTAAACTATAGTAGTCGATTGTCTTCATGAGTGACAGCAGACATTAATCTTGACACCAACCAGCCGCCAAAACCATTTAATCTCCGGATTACATTCTGTCCTAATTTGCTGATTTCTGAAGTTTTGGACACGATTCGACTTGTTTTGCCAGATTTGGCCAAGTAAAATATAATGATCCTCCAATGCTTCCTTAAGCTTTCTTGGAGTACTTTTCAAGGCGCATGCAATGGTACCAAGTAAAATAAATATCTTGAATAAACTTATTGAATAATTTACGAAAATACGGAAAGAGGTTTCTGGCCAAAATGCCGAAATTTTACATATCAAAGTTCCACAAAGATGACTTTAGAGGTTACGATTGATCGATAGAAACAATTTGATGTAATACATACCATAGTAAAAGTCTTCATTATCAAGGTCAAAAACGCGATCGTTTGATTTTTGATGCGATCAGCAAAGGCAATCGGTAGCGAGTGCTGCCGCTGCAAAGGTTAGTTCTCACTGAAGCGAAACGAAAGTAGAGAGCCATCCAAAGCATAAACACTCGTATGTAATAGATTTAATTTCCTCAAAATTTCCTCGATTAAATACGAAATTTAAGTAGATATTAGGATTGCCAGCCTGTTTCAAATTGCTTAGTTCAACCAGTGTAAGCTCGAGTAATATTCAGAGCAATTGTATAGTAGAGAAATCTGTATCATTCGTTGCTCTTTAATGTCTTGATATATTACTCCAAATTTCTAGTTTTAGGACCAATCAAATCAATACTGCTAAATAATGATACGATTTAGTACAGGCATATAGTTGCCGTTTCGATGCCTACAGGTATTCATTTGAAAATCTATGTGTATAATCGATGCGTGATGATCGCATTTACTTTTTCCAGAGGTCTACTCAGAAATCACTAGAAATTATTAATCATGGTAACTTTCGAATGTTTAGGGTTCGTATCCGAATCTGCATGAATTTTCGAGCAATTTTGACGAATGAAATCATCGACGAAAAAGATTCCAGTACTTTCCCCTCGAAACGATATAAAAAGAAGAGCATTACCTATACCAACCTTCATCTATTCATTCAAACAAAGCAAACATGTCTTTATCATTCTCAAACCGTTTATTCTCAGACGCACTTCGTGATATGCAACGAGCCATGGCTGCATTTGAGCAACCCTTGTTTGCAGTTCCCACTGCTAGATTGATGGGCCCGTCTTTCAATGCCCCCTCCCTGTTACGCTCTAATCATGGCGCTTTCTATCCTACAACAGATATGATTGAGACGCCTGATGCTTACGAGTTACATGCTGAAATACCCGGTTATGACAAAAAGGACATCAAGATTGAAATGCCTGATAGCAATACTTTGGTTATCAGCGGTAATGTATCTAAGGAGTACAAGTCTCAAGGCCCATCTGATAAAGGCACCACTACTGGTGTAGCTACTGGTGAATCTTCTTCTAGCAAGGAAAGCCAACAACTGGCTGCCACTGCAAAGGATCAAGAGAAGCAGGTTAGTAAACCCTCCAATGGACACAAGTGGTTGGTTCAAGAGCGAACATCTGGTTCATTTGTGAGAACTTTCACTTTGCCAATTGCTGTCAAGTCTGAAACTATTAAGACTTTCTATAACAATGGTGTCCTCAAGGTGGTTATTCCCAAGGCTGACAACAAGCAAAGCAATTATCAAATCAATATCGAGTAAATAGTTAACAGTATCAATTACATTACGATTATACCTTCTATACATACCAATCGTTTTTGAAGGTATACGTTTTCTTCATTTTTTACGCATATATTTCAAATTCTTTTTATTGCAAATAAAAGAAAAACGATAAAATGATGTTTGTTGGCTTTTGAGGTTTGCTTTACATACTGTACAATTTAGTAGACACGCTTCATCATATCAAGAAATTGGGTAGTCAACTACATTTGAACTGTCTTAATATTACATGGCTTAATAGCTGTGTAATCACGCGCATTGACACAATTCACCATGCTGCACATCATATATCATACTTTGTTGTACTCGAGTATATTTATGATAGAATCAATCTCGATAAAAAACTATCCCAAATGTACACGATTCTGCATAATTCTGCCGAGTAGCTAAACCTATGTTTCGAACATTGATTTACTGGATTCATCTGAGAGAGAGTATAAATTTTCAATTCGCATGGGAAATGCCCTTCTTTTCCCTATCTACAATACACCTTGCTCGTAGCATGGCGTCCTTTCTTTGTACATTGTATTGCTCTTAAAACACAATGTACATTAGTAGATCAACCCACAACAAGACTCTTGGAGTATTATAGCTCTTGGTAGCTTTAGACATTGTGAATATCGCAATGCTCTTGTATCTATATCATCAATCATTGATATAGATGAGTAAGTCCTTGCTGTCATAGATAGTAGGATGTGTATCCGGTGATACATGTATCACAGCTCCTGTGATTACGGCTGCTGGAGCAGTCTGAACCTATTATGTAATAGGTTAAGCTTCAGAAGAAAGCTTCTGATGACACTCATTTGTGTTAACAAGTGAGTCTAACAAAAACCCCATAGTGTAATAGGGTTTCTAAACCAAAGCCTGGCTATATCAAGTCTCTCAATGTACAAATGGATCTTATGAATCAAGAATAGCAAACAGTACGGCGCTGAACGAATGATTACTATAGGAAAAACAAGTATATCTTTGGTATATACGTCTGTCTCTCTGTCAAGAGCCTTGGAAACACCTTTGCATTTTCTCACGCGAACATCCCAAAGCCTCCTAGTAAACACGATCTATCTCACTATCAATAAATCATTTTCATTCTCTAAACCAAATGTCTGTTAAAAACTGTCTGTATGTCCCTTAAAATCTGCTATCAACGAAAATAAGTTGCTGCAGGTAAAATAATAGGATAGCCCATTGACATATGGATCATAAAAAGGCATAGCAAGACGCTAAACAATGGATTATGATCTGATAAGCATCATTGACAAATAGTAAACTATTTGATACCTAGGAAGCAGTAGAATGTACAATACGTTAAGCATCATAACAGCTCTGTTGATTTGATTTGCAAGGCCAAATCATCGCAAAAGGTCTATTGGGTTTCTGACAGATTTATAATTGAATGCATGATCTCTATGAAATATATCCCTTGACCCAAGATGAACAATTCTCACAGTATGGGTCCCTTTCTTAAGTATGCCACGACTTGGACAGCGTGAATACGTTATCAGCAAATCTTTTAAATCCATCTGTTTCTTTCAAGATGGTGTTGACAATGTAGAGCACTGCTCCTCATCATCAATAAATGTTCTTCGTCTCTTTTGCTAGAATTGGCCAACTTTCAGTAATTAAAGAGGAAGGAGATGGCGAATTTGCATTATGCGCTTGCATGCAATGAAAAACGTTTTTTCATTTGTTATATCAAGTAGGAAGAACCTTTGGATTAATTGAAATTTAAGCTAATTAAACAAATGTTGCGCCCAGACTCCCTTTCCATGATGTGTGTTGCTGCGTAAATTATCTCTTATCTTGCGCAAAATTGTTTGAGAAAAAAGAGCACTCGATCACGGTGCATGAATGGTGCACCATCATCGTGTGTAAATTTGTGTTGCACATTGAATATCCAAGAAATCTTGTTGTATACAAAGTTGAAGCATGTCGAATGATGAACATACTCTACACCCCTATCTTGATCCCCTACTTTTTCCTTGCAGAAAACAAGTCAGCTTACTTTCACACCGGATATCTATTCAAATTTATATATTTTTCTCATCTCGCAAAGATATGATTCTATCTACTACATTTAAAGATGCGATGATGATAATACCCCAATTTTGGGTATACATTTCTGTATCTTGGCACTAAATAACCCTACATGTACATCAAGATACAAAGTGAGGCGCTGAGCAAAAGAGGAATATTACAAATTCATTTTGAATTATTGGCTTTCTGGTGATACCTTATTGATTGCACGAAGAAAACGTCATTTTCCACCACAATTTACATTTCGATCACTAGACTAGACAAAACTAGTCTAAAAAAAGCCAATGACCGGTTTAATTTATACATCTTGCTTGTGTCTCATGAGCTACTGTATAAGCAAATTACGCACACACACAACGCATATCAGCAGGGTGGCGTTGTAGAACAAAACAACATCATTCGTTGCTAATATCATGTCACCGGGTGTATACTACCTGTTCAGCTGTCCGTTTAGTCTTTTCACTGGATAAACTTTTCTCTTTTGTGGCATCAACTAAAAACACAAATCAAATTATGGGATATAGACAATATCTTTTCTTCATTGTAACTCGCTTAATCATTGTTACATCAGACACGTTTTCTCGTTATTATAAAAAGAAAGAAAAGTCGGAGCTAAGGGTCCTTAAAGCCGAATTACGGTCCGTTTCTGATTGTTTGCTATGGAAGATGTTGTGTGTTGATGGCAGAGGCAAGAATGATCTATAACCATGGCATGTTTCGCCTATAGATTCATCTACAGTCATATATTAAATATTGAGGCATCATGGCGCCTAATTACTACAGCTTATATGCTGCATTTTTACTAATAAATTTCATCCAAGCCCGCCAATATAAGTGCAATATCTGTTTGTCTGTTCTTTTCTCCCTCGTCCCCCATTGTGTAACAGGTTTGCCACGTGCCGGAAGGAGATCGGCGCGAAACCAAAATATTCTTTGTGATACAAAGGCACGCAAAAACTATATAAACCCTTTGCAAATTTCGTCAACCAGGCTTTTTCCTTAATTCCAAATCAAATAATTCTTGAACATCTTTTATATATATACCAATATATAATATATACCAAATAACACACCCACTCTAAGCTTATATATAAAAGAATAATACCAATAATATGTCTGACGGTCGTTGTATTCATTGTGGTCAAAAGGGTCATTACTCTATGTAAGTGTAAACATTTCCAATGTTTATCCAATGTTTGTATTAACCTTAATGTTATAATTAGGATGTGCCCCAAGAAGCCTACTCCAAGCTAAATCAATATGATGAGAAATATTCTTAGAGAATCTGTACATCTACTGTCTTGAACCGGTTATAGAGGACAAGCAAATCTTATATTCTCTCTTTCTCTCTTTCTTTCTCTCTCTCTCTTCATAAACCAGACCACCACTACTGCAAACAACAACATTTATTCAAACAATCAACAACAATTCCACTCAAATCAACTCAACATATACACTAAAGCTGGCTCTCTATAAATTATTATACCTTTTTTTTTTCTGCATTACTACTACATTTTATGTCTTAATTACTCTCTCCTCTCCCTCCCTCCTTATTATTCATCTAGAAATAATAATTCCTCCTATATGTCATATGATAACAAATAATAAATCGAATTTTACACAACTTATGTTTGAATCAATCATTGCGGGGGGGGGGATCTAGCGAAGTTAAAGTACACCAAGGGGAATGTTCTGCGCAGAACAATCAATTCAATGTAATCGGAGAAACCTCCGTTCGATTCGTTTTGCTATTCATTGATGTCATTTGCATCTAAAATAATTCATCCACGTTGTGTAATGGACTTTGATAACGTGCTTTGGCTACAATGTTGTACAAAATGAAACATTGATCTCAACATTTTTTGTAGTATGAGAAATAGACATTGGCAAAAATGAGAGTACATTTCAATAGATTTGGCTGCACTAAACTGCGAGGCTGCAGATGCTGAATGGCCTCCTTTACCTTTGGTTGAAAGGAGAGAAATAGATGTAAGCCCTAAAGGCACAAACTGAACCTCGGGCATTACAAAACAAGTAATTTATCTAGAAAACCAATCGTTGGTTATCCTTTTGTTCCAATTTAATTGTATCCGAGTAAAAAAAAAAAATTTTTTTTTTCTTTATGATGAATCATAAATTTCTTAATTTGTTTTTGACATGGACGAAGAGCAGTAAGAGATCTATTAGCAATTACTGCCTCATTTAAGGATTGCGATGGTATTTAATGCAATCTGTATGCCATTAACATAATGATTGCCAATCTGCTTTATACCGAGAAACTTTTCTTTCATCTACATCTCATTCTGATGCTTTATTTCTTATTTACTGCGCCTGGAGTTATTAATTATAAAGTAATTGCGCTGTGACACATAACGAGTATTATTAGCATCTCATATATCCAGTTGCACACTATCTTTGTATTAAATCAAGATGGCTATAAATATTTCGTTAGGGCTACGCATTCAATTCACAGTTTGATGTACTGCAGTCAGCATTTATTAAAAACGTGGCTAGTTAAATGAGCCATTCAAATTGACAGGCAGAAGCTGGTTGCCATGTTTTATAATAGGATCTTGTTCAATTGGTTTAACAAGATTTAAATTTTAATCTTTAAGATAGGTTGTCATCCCAAAATGGTCTGAAAGTGCATCTTCTATTTACTGTATGGTGAGCTGTCATTGCAATGTGAGCTAGGATGTACACGCGCGAACGTGCATTCAAGGGAGGGATCGTCCGCAGGCTAATGACTAATTGATTTACATGATTGCATATATGCAATCTCCATAGAGCCAGGTGTGAAATGATTCTATCCATCCAATTATTTGCACGCTCACCTCCCCCCCCCCCAATTTCTCTGCTGCCCCTGGCAACCAGGTACAGAAGAAGTAATGAATCAATCTGAGCTTTAAAACAAAATTGCCCTTTGATTTGAGCAGTAAGAGAGATCATTAAGCTAATGTAATCAGTCATGCAAATATCTAATAGACCATATTGTGGCAATACGTAGAATTAAATGCTAGATTAGACTCATTAATATGACATCATTTATTTGACTAGTTTGTATAAAGAATGGGATTAGATTTTTGTGATCTATCTCAAAGCTTGCTCAGCAATCGCTTTTAGTAGTAATGTGAATAATTCAGAGTAAGAGTTTCCATGTAACTCCATCTAGATTGAAAAAGTAGGGTATTACACGCGCGTATCAGTTGACTACTACCTTAAGGGTATATGGGCGAAATATCATGCTGTGTTTGTGTGATTTTATATAATACTATTGTCGTTAAAATGATGCTTGCCCTAAATGCAACTTAAACTTGTACATGATAATGCAAAGATATAAGCAATAGTTAAACACTTAAGGACCAGTCGAACCAAAACGATACATCAAGCAAACGGTGCGGCATAGTTGTTATGACGATACACCTCCTTGGTTGCAAAAGAAGCTTAGCCTTATTACACAAAAAGTGTAAAATTGGAATGACATTGTGCAAGATGTGGCCATCTGAGGTTGTGGTTCCCCACAAGCACTGTTGCGCCAATAATATAATCTGCTGCTTATTTGCACTTGTAAATTGCATAATGTGTGAGTTGCTTGGCATGGCGTAGGTTGATGAAACAACACATTTGATAAATTTTGCTATTGAAATGCACTAGAAATATACGTTTTCTGTCTTGCATCAGCTTTTGTCACTATTTTATGTGCAAGGAATTCCTGGAAGCAATCTGTATAATGATTGAGAACAAAAAAATGTGGCAAGTGACACAGGAAGCACAAGCATTCGTATATACAACTTTGCCTTGCTTGTACGGCTAAAGATCAATGCGCACTGCAGACTGTGGGGTCATAGATTGATGATGATCTTTTTCTCTGTCTCTTTGAGATACTGTCCTTGGTACGTTAGTGAGTATAGTCTGGTAGTACTCGGATTAGCTTGTTATGGAATGTACAAACAATATCATCTGATTCTTCTCGATTATATGTACTTTATTGAACATACAAAATGGGAACTGATGTAAAAAAAAAAAAAAAAAAAAAAAAGAAAAGAAAAAAAGAAAAAAAAAAAAAAAGTCGATCATATAAAATCAAATGATGCAGGAGAAAAAGATGATGATAACATCACAAGGACAAAGCGAGCAGTATCCAAAGAAATTGAGCATAAAGGGTACTTGAGGATAATACATATATAGTGAAACTGGCATTGCGTTTGTCTGCTTTTTTTTTTTTTTTTTTTCACAGTGTGGCATATTTTAAGGGGAATGTTAAAGTTTAAAAGGGATAGTAGCCCTGTCGTCCATGATAGTAATAGCCATTTCCTGTTGGTTGGTATACCGTGGGTAAAGACGAGTAGATAATGTTATTGTTGTTGTTTGAGTAACACGATGGATTTGAAGTGGGCCAATAGCTCGATTGCTGATTTATAGCTGATGGATATACAACACTGGATGGAGATTTTTGATTTATCAAGACGTCCTCCTTCTTCACTATGCTTGCAGTATCGTAGGTGTCCACATGGTCGTCTATCTCCTCTTCTTCTTCGTCATCATCATCGTCTGTGGTGGCCGAGGTGGTCGCAGTAGCACTGTTCAAGATGGCAGCGACTCTACATTCAGGCTTATCATCCCTTATATCTTGTAAATGGCTACGACGAATGTGTCTTGTTAAATGTGATTTTTTGGTATAGCTAATGGAGAGCAGTTAATGTCGCCTCTTGAGCGAGAGAGTCAATTGATATCCTACCTCTTGGTACAATTGATTTCGTTGCAAATGTAAGATCGTGTTTGTGTATGAACGCGTCTACAGATTAACATGTGAATTAATTTTGGCTTGGCCACCACCACCCCCCCTCTTCTTGGATTTGATCATGGGGTGCTTTTTTTTTTACCATCAGTCAAATCGTCTTACCTATGCCTTGCTAGCGAACTGCTATCTCCAAAGCTTTTGTTACAGCTTGGAAATTGACAGATATGTGGCTTCTCGCCTGAATGAGTGCGCTGATGAACAGTGAGAGCAGATCGCTATAAAAAGCTAATTAGTCCTTTATTCAGACATAGAGTATTGTTGTGTTACTTGAATGAATCTCTTTCCGCAAAAGCTCAGTGGACATTGATATGGTCTACAAAGAAGCGATTCGTCAATCAAAGTGATCTACTAAACAGTATAAATATGACATACCGATCATTGGTATGAATGCGATAGTGTCTTGTCATATCAGACGGGCGGCCTACGTAGATTCATGTCAAAGGTGGAGCTGTAGATGATGCTGTTTTGCACTTGCTTACTGAATGACTTTCTGCATCCTGGCCATGTGCATGCATGCCGTTTCTTTTGATTTACATTTGTTTTTTCAAGCTTGATTGAATTGATAGTCGTTTTGCTGGTGATTATTTCTGTGTTTTTTACTAGTAATTTTGAGATATCCATATGAATGCGAGAAAGGTGGGGATATAAGGTTAATCAACAACGAGAGAAAAGAGAGAAAAAGAGAACAAGAGGCTCGTAAACAAGCAAACTGATATATATATAATCAAAGAAAAAGTTCACACTCTTGGTTTGTGCGTTGACTTGATTCTTGAGAACACACACACACACACACACACACACACACACACACACATGATGTTATCTTTGAAGAGCATCCATGTATACACAGTTGCTCTCCTCAATGTCTGTTTCTATATAGAACAAGCCTCAATATGCTAACCTGTCGATAGCATAATACTTGTACTTCACATGTTACATCCCAAGTTGTAAAGTGGTTCCGAAATACCGAGCACAGGGGATCAAAACATGTAATGTCGAATCCAACTTTTTGGGTTAATTGGATTCAATCCGATTCGAACGCAAGGCAGCTTTAAGCTATCTCAAATTAGTGCTGACCCGTCTATGTGCGCATCTAAAAGCTCCAGCCGGTACTTGCCACTGCTCTTCGTGCTATCCAATGTCATTTTGACGGACTGGATCCGTTGAGGTATATTTACAAATATGGGGTTTTTTGTTTGGAGTATTATCTAATAACGCCCACACTTGGGGTTTATTTTTATAACAACATGTTACATATTGTTAAGTGTTTTAGGTTCTTGCTAAACAGTGAAAAACACTCTCCATCATTGCATTTAGATTTGATACACATGGATCAAACACACACACACACACACACACACACACACACACACACACACACACACACACATTTACAATCCGGTCACCACAGATTGGGCGTGGTGTCTAATGCTGAAACTTTTTTCAGTTTGTCTTTTCTCTCCAACGAAGCACATTTCCTTCAAAACGTCCACTTTTCATCATACTACCATGGAGACCGGCATCTTGGAACTCCATCCTACTAAAAAGGTACACATTGCCTTGTTTCGAAATGTGACGAATGCCTCAGAATTAAGACAACGTTTAATCAATCAAGATAACACATTGGCTTGTTCATTAATCAATGCTAAATTGGTGAGATATAGCCATGCGCAGAAACACGTCTAAATATAAATTAACGATAAAACAGGTCATCAACAAATTGCATGTTCTTTTGGCTGCAAACAGAGCAGTATCTGATGAATCTATGGGAAAGCTCAAGACACACAATGTGCATTCAGAGATCTTGTACGATTTTGGCACCACAAACAATGTAAGTCATCATTCAGAATGATATGCTTATACTCATTCCCCATCTATCAGATTGCAAAAACATTCATTACATTTGGGATTGCAGATGACACAACAGATGTTGTTGCTGTGAAGATTGGTGAATCAGAGGCAGATGTAAATATTTATATTGCTGTGTGTGTGTGTGTATTTTCTCATTAATCACCACTACTAATAGGCTGAAATGCACATGAAAGAATGCGTCAAGGGCGATCTAGTCTCTCTGGATCATTTAAATAATATTACAGATCTTAAATTAATTGAAAACACGTATCAGATTGGAGATCAACAGCAAGACATCGATAGCATCATTTCATTAGTCGCTGATGGCATGGCATTACGAGGCCATTAAGCTTTTTGCTTGTATACATGTGAAGATCAAATAAAAATAGTATACAATGCTTTATTTACCCAGTTTAGAGTTTGCTGCTTGGATGATCCAGGTTTCCCTCATCAACAATAGCGAGGCCCATTTGAGCAACTGGCTTGAATCTGTCTGCATAGTTCTTGGCTTGAGCAGAGGAAGCTTGCTTGCGAGCAACACGAGCAGCGATGCCTTGCAAAATAACAGCCAGTCTAAAGAATGAGAAGGCAACTGCAAACATCCAGCGGTCAATGGGATAGGGTTGTCCCAATGTCTTGCAGTAATGTTGGATAAGCTCATTGGCTTCAGGAACAGGCAATGGTTCCTTGGAATTTTTGAAGCCCAACATGCCCACGGAGGTATCGTCACTGGCAGGAACATAGAAAGGCTGTAATAAGTTAGACAGATCAGACAATGGGTGTCCAATGGTAGATAGCTCCCAATCAAGCACACCAATCACTCGCGGCTCAGTAGGGTGGAAAATCATGTTGTCAATCTTGAAATCACCATGAACGATAGTAGCTTGGTCCTTCACTTGATTCTTTTTGAACCATGCAAACATTTCATCCAAACGAGGAAGAGGCCCAACTGCTTGTCCATACTCGTCTTGAACATTTGCTTGTGCTTGTGATACCTTGCCCAGGGACTTCATTTGGCGATCATAGAAGCCTAAATGACGACCATAGTTATCGAGACCAATGGCTTTGAAATTAACACGGTGCAATTTTGCCAATGTCTCAATTGCAGAGAACCAGCTAATGACACAAAGGTTACATGAGTTGCTCGCAAGTGCTTCGTGTCTTGTTCAAACTTACAGCTTTCTGCGCTCTTCAAAGGGGATTGAAAGCATACGACAATCCTCGTAAATGCGACCAGCCAAAAACTCCATAACGTAGAAAGGTGTTCCAATAACGTCGTTATCCTCACACAGGACATAGACTTTGGGCACAGGAACATCTGTCTTTGTCCCTAAAGCATGAATGATACGATATTCTCTTTCTACAGCATGGGCTGTGCTGGAGAGCAAAGCACCTGGTGGTTTCTTGCGAAGAACGTACTGTTGTTGGCTGAAACAAAATATCAATGCTTTGCTTGCCTTCCAAGTTTCTGTTCATCACTTACTTTCCGTCTTTCAAGAGATAGGTAGGATTGGATTGTCCAAATTGGAATTGACTAATGTGCAAAGGGGTTTTGAAACCTTCGACATGCTTCAAGAGATAGGCTTCGAGCTTTTCTTGATTCAATTCATGTCTGTGTGTATATGTGCGTATGTTGCTTGATTAGCGTCTGAAAAGAGACCTTTGTCTGGTCGATAGTTACCCTGAGCGAATACCAGAGGTAGATTGCCCCTTCTTTTCTTCGGCGGTCATTTTGGTGATATAGATTCAAGAGAACAAGAGGAAAGAAGAAAAGCCAAATTGTAATTTTCTCTGAACCATTAATAATGTGGGGCAAAATGAATTTACGCTTACTGATGAATCTCGCTCAGTCACATGATGGTGGTAGGAAACGGAGCTGCTCTTTGGCTATTAGCAATGTTCACTATACATGCTGCAATGGATTCTTTTTCGAACAATGCTATCGAAATGCTATTGAAATGCTATTAAAATGCCATTTAAGCTGGTAAATACATATTAGTTGCAGAAAATCTCTAGATAAAACAGTATGCCATTTTATGCGATCGTTTATCTACTCAAGACTTGGATTGATCTCACCCAACAGTGTGCATGCGCTATTCGAAACGCTTTTCATGCTTGTGTAATCTTTTTTGTCAGCTTTTAATTATGTGTGAATGAAGCTTTTTCATGACAGCAGCTATGATTTCATATATGTAAGCCAAAATAATTCAGCATCTCTCTGCTTTTGCAGGCTTTGCTATAGTAGATCCGCTGTATCAAATCTACAGCCCTTATCTTTTGATTTAATACTTTGGAGGGGGGCTTATGTTAGCATTTGCTTGATCATTTGAGCTCCCTAGTATGTTAGACATTCCACCTCAGGGCTATGAATCAAGTAATGCAAATTGCATTAGATCAATGTAGTCAATACAAGCGGTTTGAGCTTTTTTCCCATGTTGTAGTTTCCAATTGTTTATATGTCGCTTCATATATTATTCGTATTTGTATCAGCTGTAGTAAACGCATAAGCGATAGAGAGTAGAAGCTCCTTACTGTCCGTTTAAGAGTGCAAATCCTAAGTTATGCTTGTTTTTTGAGAAGTTTTCTAGCTGCAATCTTCTGCAAGCGATCTGTAGCTATGTATCCAATCGCCTACGATGTAGCGCGGCTATATCAATGAAACCAACTCATATACGGGTGTATAGCATGCTGCCATTACCCCCCCCCAATTACCCAAGAATACGCAAAATACAGCTAAATCTGGACATATTTGAGTCGTTTTTTCTCGCGTTCAAGGCCGTTTTAGATTGTCAGAATAGCACTGAACAGTTGCTCTCATCTGGCAGTTACTTTCTGACACCTTTGCCCAACTTTTTGGGGATCAAAAAAACATGGACAAAAATGGACCAAAAAGCATGAGGTACCCCTCATGATTTTCATCGAAAATCAAACGATCGCGTTTTCCACCTTGATAATGAAGACCTTTACTATGGTATATCTTGAATCAAAATGTTTCTATCGATCCAACGTAGCCCCAGAAATCATCTTTGTGGGACGTTGATATGGAAAATCTCGACTTTTTGGCCAAAAACATCTTTTCATATTTCCGTGAATTATTCAATAAGTTTATTCAAAGCATATATTTTACTTGGTGCCATTAGATGCACCTTGAAAAGTACTCCAGGAAAGCTTAAAGAAGCATTTGATGATCATTACATTTTACATAGTCGAATCTGCTAAAGTAGTTCAATCGAGTCGAGAACCATCAAAATTTGGCCAATCTAGAACAGACTACGAGTCTGGGGTTGAATTGATTTTGGCTGGTGGGGCTGGCAGGCAGACTTAATGCCCTTTTAATCATAAAGGCAATACAGTAATAGATGATTTTAAAGCGTATGGAGAGTAGATAAAAAAAATACATAACACTGTTGTTAGCTATGCTATTTTCCTTGCATTTTTTATTTAATAACGCCAGTCTATCAAATTACTTGATAGATCAACCTTCCTTTTTGGGGCTTTAAAAGTGTCTAGGGGACATTTATTATATTGTGATATTTAATCAAAGTGTTCCTCTCAATCCAAAGCAACTTCTGAAACACTGTTTGTGAAGCCTTTGTATGCAAAATTTCAATATCTTGGCCAAAAACCTCATTTCGCACCTTCGAAGATTGTTCAATATGCTTATTCAAAACACTTTCAACAATTAGTCCAATTGGGATTGAAAAGTGCTTTAAAAATGCATTAAAAAGTATAGGAAGGTCATCATAGTTTACCTAGTTGAATTTGTCAAAAAATGGAGCAAATCAGGCAAAAGAATGTTATGCGAAGATTGAATAAATACTGGCCAGCAAACGCAACAATACCTTCATCATGAAGACAATCAGCGTTCGTAAAGCAAGCAAAAGGGAGATTTAGATTAGAGAAAATAGCCATAGAGTAGCACTACTACTTTAGGTTCCTTTAAGAACACATTTCTATATATAGTGGTTACATCTCTTGTAAATTACCCATCCTAAGCAGATTTTAATGCAAATTCGACATCATTATGCCTACTTCAATGATTGCATCGAACCAAATCAATAGCTGCGTATGGCCGACAACTAATTCGAGTATAAGAGTCGAGTGCTCTTCAGTAATCGATAGCTCCATATATTGTATGTCAAACAACTGGGCAATGTGGTTTAGATGGCATGTCATTGGTGACTGTGCCATTTTTTGATTGCATGCTCGAAAAGTTCTTGCATTGAATAAAACCTTTCTTCTTTATCATCTCGAGTATAGCAATGGAATATACGGACAAGCACTCACTCAAATTGTTATTGAAAAGCAAGAGAGAGGATGAAGAACTTGTTTCAAAGGTGGAGTCTGTTCAATTAGTCAATCAGCACGAAATTTGCAACATTGTGGACAAGTGTACAGAAAATGTGGAGCATTTGCGTGATCTTTTTGTCAAGCATCTCAGCTCTGAAGAGATCAAGGAAAAGAACACATCATCATTTACTATCACTTCATTAGATAAAACCAATTGTACGATCGTTACCAGACAAAAAACAATTTCGTTGGGTGATATCGATCTTTTGCATCGCGTCTTCCCAAATCTAAATTCGATCAACCTATACATGTTCAATTTACGATATGATGAAGAGGAAAGCATCGCTGAAGCAAACGCGGATAATACTGTCTCGAGTATTGATATGACTTTCAACACATTTCCGGCCAATATGAGCAAGTTGGTCATGTATATTTTGAAAAGTTACGGCAAGCACCTTACGACACTCAAAATCAAAAAAGGCGGAAATATCAGCAGCAAGGACAAAAAGTGGGAGGATCTCTCGCAGGGAATAGTCAATGATGGCGAATTGCTCCTCAAACACAATTACCAGTTATCAAAGCTCAAATCTGTCGAAATATCGCACTTTTACCAAAGGTTCCCAACAGCAGCATTTGTTGAAGTCCTCTCCAAGTCTAATTGCGCATTACAGCATGCAGCGTTCATTGGTGTGGCCCAGTCTGATTCCATTGTCATGCATTTGAAGAAGATGGCCAAAGAGTCATTCAAGGACTTGGCACTGGATACTTATGATTTCCCCAAATTGCAGGATCTTAGCACATTCCCTTTGGAATCTCTTTTCCTTCGTTGGGCCGACAACACTGCAATCGACATCAATGCAGCTCTCAGCGCATTACCTCAATTAAGGAAATTGGATTTGGGTTACGATATGGACTACAATCAACTCAAAGAGAGCAAGACCCAATTAAAGCAGAACACACCTTTGCAAAGTCTCACTTTACACCATGTGATTATCGATAAGGATATCTTGGACACGGTTGCTGTTGATTTGCCTCCATTATCAAAACTGACACTCTCAAACTGTAAATTTGGATCATCTCGCGTTAGTGTGCAAGAAAAAATCACCTTGCTCAATTATCGATTGAGAGAATTAGTGTTAGACAACTGTGCACTGTATTTCAACAAAAAAGACAGCATTGAAAAAAGACACATTAACAAGTTGAACATCAACATTGATTCTGATCGCAAGTACACTGCCGAAATCGTTAGTAAAGTACGAGCATCCATGGCCAAGTATGAACATATCTCAAATGTGGAGAACCAGTTTTCCTATAGTTGTTTCAGTGAAACGGCTGTGAGACCTACAAACACTTTGACACTTACGCTGAAATCAATTGAATCTATCAAACTCGATACTATGGGTCTCAAGGCTGTGAAATTCCAATCAGACGGTGTTTCTCATTCTGAACCAGCATTAGCTGGCGTGGACAATGCTGACTATGGCGAGCTGATTGAGAACCTGATAGAGGAGAGCATTGCACAAGAAGAAGCTGTTGTTGAAAAACAAGTCGTTGAAGAGGTTGATGAAGAAATTGTCGAACAGCAAGTCATTGAAGAGATCGATGCAGATGCTGTTATGGAATCACTGGAGAATGAAGAATCTGCTGCTGTGAAGGAGAGCAAAGAAGAGGAGAACGAAAATGACAGCGAGTATCAGTTGTTAACAGAAAGCGAGATCAAGCGAATCAAGACATTGCAAGAGATGGACAAAGACTTTGCAGCAGCGACAGAGACGGACTCTTCCACTACAGATGAATCAGACATAGAGGAGGAGGGGGAGGAGGAAGGTCTAGCGCGACGTAGATCTATGCGAGTAAGACAGATCTCCGCGTCTATCACCATGAGAGAATTGAGGAAACGTAAGCGTGTAAGATACAATTCTTCTGATGAAACAAGCCAAGAATCAGATTCAGAATCAGAGGATGATGATAAGCCTGTCCGCAGTGCACGAAAGAGAAAGAGGGAGAGAGAGTTTATCAAATCCATCAAATCAACCCAGCCTGTCATCAAGGTTTATCCCTCAAAGCGCTTGCAAGGTTATTATAAATAGTCTGTTTATATAAATATATACACTTGAATAAATCATCTATATTATCGTAAATGCCAATGATGCTGGAACTTGTAGCACGTTGCTCACCAGCGATAATCACAACTGGAGTCGACACAGCCCAAGATGTACAACAGATCTAGAGGTGTATTCGGAAGGCAAGATGCAGGGGTGACATAAGTCGCATCGCTTAAATGGCCAAATCCTAGATATATAAAGGGTGATTTATGAGTATGTTGCCAATGATGATGTTGGCGATGATGATTTTATGTGTGACTTTACGGCTCAATGCTTAGTTTTAGCTTGTACTGTGCTTTTTTTTTTTTTTCTCGAGAATTCAAAATATTAATAATCCAACTTTTTCACTTTTTCTTATCCCCTTTCTCTTCCTCTCCGTTTCTTTTTTCTTTATCCAGTTAATTTGATAATACTATGGCAGAGACACTTCCAGAGACACCCACACCCACCACCATTGAGCAAATCGCCTTGCAAATCAAATCCATGGAGCAGCGAACTACGTCTGTTACATTGCCTCGCAATGCGTCTGTATTAGACTTGAAGCAAGAGGTACAAGTTGCTTTTGATGTAGACTCCAACAGACAACGCTTGATCTTTCAGGGTCGTGTCTTGAAGGATGATAAAAACCTAGCAGATTATGGTAAGCATCATTCACACTTGAAGTATGTAGTCGCTCTAAATGTTGGTCATTCGGCAGCAAATCTTGATAATGGAAAAGTGGTCCACCTTGTTATTCGACCTGTTGATGCCCCTCGCAACCCTTTGAACGGTAAGCGTACACACACACACACACACACACACATATATATATATATATATATATATACATACATGTATATATTCATTGTATCTCATGGGCCCATTTTTTCTTAAACTAGATGATCCCAATCCAGGAGCAAACACTCGCACAAACAGAGCAGCACCCAATGGAAGATCACGTACTTTCCCTTCTATTTCAAGCCGATTTCCCTTGATGGAAGGATATGCATTCATCACCCTTGACTCCACCATTGGTGATATTGGAGACAGTCAATCAGTAAGTAAGCTGGTGTGCTGGTATCCGATGTATTGTGTGTGTGCTTATCACTTTATCTCTAGTTGCTGACTTCAATGATGAATGCATACTCGTCTGGTAGATCGCCTGTTTCTGGTACAGCAACAAGCAATGTAAGTAGTTTCACTCCAGCATTTTAAGGAGATGATGTCTAAAAAGCTGTTTTTCTAGAACATATCCACGACAAACACAAATGGCGCAAGGGCTTCTCCTGGGGCTTTACCCAGAACACCCTTTTCATTTTCATTTTCCAATGGCAGAAGCAGCAATCAATCAGACTTTACGTCTCCCATTGGCACCAACCCATTGACTGATAGAATATCATCCAGCCTCCCTTTTCCAGTAAGTCGATCCATGTGCTTTGGTTTACATAAACATGTTAGTAACAGGCCTTTTTATTTTATTTTTTTTGTTTTTTTTCTTGTAGCCTAGCGTAGAAGTGAGATTGGCAAGAACATTGGGTTCCATGAGAAATGTTCGAAATATGCTGGAAGACTCTAATATAGCAAATGATGGTAAATTTTCATTCTCTTTTCCTTGTTATTTCTTTTTATACTTTAAGCTTTGACTTGGGGTAAGAAGAAGTTTATAATGAAAAGAGCTATACTGACATAATCTTGGATTAGGTGCTTATGCCATACATCCTGCTACAGCCACAAACCCAGCTACACCCAACTCGACGCCAGAGCAACTGCAGGAAATTCGCAATAGACTTAGAAATAGTGGAAACTCGCAATCGACTCAAATTGGCATGGTATTGAATGAGCTGGCTGATTTAATGACAGAGGCAGTGCCCAGAATGAGACAGGTTGCAGATGATTTGCGAGAGGAGAATCAGTCAGCAGAACAAGAGGTTAGGCTTTGTTGGGTGATGGCAGTGAATCGAATCTGATCTGTTGCATTGAATAGAGAATCACCAGTAGACGCGTTTTGAACATGTCTCGAATCGTTCAAGGCATGAGTTTGATCAACCACTTTTTGGGATCCGTATTGGCTAGCGCAGACATCGAAGCAAGTAGACGCTCAGCACAATCAAACACAAACCCTTCATCCACAGCATCTACACTCCCTTCAGCCAGATCTTCATCCACACCAGCAACAACAACAGCGGCATCTAACACTGCTCGATCCACTTCAACATCATCTCCATCATTAGTTAGATTGCCCTCCTATCTCTTTCCTCGAGGAATGACCGAAGCCATTCGAACCAACTCTCCAACCGCAGTGAGAACCGCAACACCGCCCTCCAGAACCATTTCATCTCCAAATCCTCCCCTCCGAAAGAAAGAGAAATCATCGCTCTCTACTTCATGCACTATGGGCGAACCTTCTACCGCAGAGACATCTACTAGCGCATCTACTAACACATCTACCAACACCCCTGCAGACGAACGAATGTCACAGAAACGTAAATTGGATGATAAAGACGATCAAGATCAAGATACACCCAAGAAACTAAAGAATCAAAAGGGAAAGGAAAAGGACAAGAAAGAGTGAATAAAATGATATGATCTACATTGTGCAACTGCCAGAAAAGAAGTTTATTAGAGTCAATTTATAGCGAAACCAATTGCATGAACAACCTTACAAATACCTATCCACACACATACACTCACACACACACTCGCACTCACACGCAAAGATGCAAACAACACTGATAATAATTGCTTGAAATATAAACATGAGGGTTATACCTCCCATTCGATCCATTTTTCAAACAATAAAGTTTTTTATTGTCTTCTTTTGCTTGATCTATCATCGTCATATCGTCTTTTGTTGCTGCTGCCGCTGCTACTATACCGATCGTCGTCATGGTAACGTCTTTTACGATCATCTCTATCTCGTTCTCTGTCTCTGTCCCTTTCTGAGTTGCGGAAGGCAGGTGCTATCTTGCTCTTTGTAGCTTTCTTTCTATCAAATTCTTCTTGCTTAGCCTTTGCTTCTCTATCTCGAGGATCAATGACAACATAATCATCCACTGTTTCCTTTCGCTGCATCAAATCTTTTCCTTTGAGATCTTTGTCAAAGATCAGCTGATGGGAGATCCACCCTTCGTCTGTCACGTCGCCCTCTTCAAGCATACTGGCATCAAAGCATGATTCGCAGTTGGGAATGTCGTGTAATTGACAAATCTTTTGCTCCTTTTTGGTTGTAGATGTATCTTCAGGCTTTGCACTTGAAATCTTTTGTCTGAATGCCATTAATTTGTTAAACACCTACGCACATATTAGACTGAATACTACAATGCAGAAGCAATATACATACATCACTGTCATCTTCTTTATTGGCCTTCTTCTTGTTCTTCTTCTGTTTAGAGGCATATTTTTCACGCTCAAGGGCAACCAGAGAAATCTTCTTTTCCTTCTTTGGCTCAGGCATTGGCTCGTCATTTGATACCTTGGATATATTGCGAATGTCCTGCTTTAACTTTTCAATAGTGCTGGCTGCCGTGTCAATGGGTGTCTTGGTCTCTGTAATGTCCTCCATCTTCTCGGTTTGCTTCGATGCCTCTTCCTGATTTTTCCGTTCTTCCATCTGTCGCAATTTTTCTTTCAACTTTTCCTGCATTGATGGTTTCTTCTCATCCTTTTTATCATCGGCTACGGGCTGACTGATCTCTTGTAACAAGTCTGCTGGTGTAGGCACTGCATTCTCCATGAAATCGTAAGTGCTCTTCATTTTAGGCTTCTTTGTTTCGTCTACAGGTGGTTCCAATTCAGCTGCCTCCTCTCCAAATGATAACAGATTCAACTGCCTATCAATGCTTGTTAGTCATCCATCATCCCACTAGAGCAAACGGTTGGGCATACTTTTTAGCGCCCTTCTTCTTCTTTTTCGCTTGCTCGGCTTCCAATTTCTTCTTTTCCAGCATTTTTGCCATCTTTTTCTCTTGAGCAGAGATTCTAGGGATGATATCGTCAAAAGGATTCAACACGACCTCTGCGCTCTTGATTTTTGGAGGATATAATGGCCTCTCATTTTCATCTACTTCCAACTCTGTCATCTTCATGACATTAAACAGTGTGTCACCAGCAACCCGACCAAATAATGTGTGCTTCTTTGTGAGCTCATCTGCTCGATCCAATGTAATAAAGAACTGTGATCCATTATCGTCTTGTCCAGTGTTTGCAAGGCCCACAAGACCTCGACGGTTAAATCGTAATCTCGAGTGAAATTCGTCAGGAAAGCCATCGTCATAAATAGACTCTCCACCTTGCCCTGTCCCTGTGGGATCACCACCTTGAACAAGAAAATCTGGAACAATACGATGGAATATGGTATTGTCGTAGTATCCTTCCAGGCATAGTTGAATGAAGTTACGTGTTGCTCGAGGAGCTTCTTTGCCCCATAATTCAATCTCGATATCACCCGATGTTGTATGCAGAATTACTTTAGCACTGTCATAACATGTATAATTAGTAGACAGTTTATGAGAGCATGTGGAGCATACAGTTACTTGGTATGTGGCTCGAGAGCGTAGATGTTAGACATGTTGACAATGATAATAAAAGGTCAATAAAATTTTATACATCTGGCAGGTTATGTAGACCACGCTCGACCAGTCACATGTAGTGGTGCTACCAAGGTTCATGCAATCCTGATCTACATTCGAGAGAATGCAATAGTATGATTTTCACAGGCACAAGCAAACGAGTGTCTTGCAAAGTTCATTAAAGTTACATTTTGTGTATCACCGTTATTGTAATATTATATGAATCAGAAAAGAGAGAATTTACGAAAAGCCTTTTTTTCTCTTTATCTTTCCTCTTTATTAATTGACCATTAAATACTACTGCCTAATCTCTCATTTCAACCATGCTCTGTGATCCATTACAAAAATCTACGCTCAATTGCCCTGACAAGTATTGCTCAGCTACAAACATGACGTTTGCAGTTTGTGAATACAACATTGCCAAAGATGCCAATAACCAAACTGCCTTCACCTACACTGGGTGTGCTGATACCAGTAATTTATCCTGCGATGCATTCAAGGCCTGCTCCCTTTTCAACATTTATGTTATGCAACATGGCATTAATCAGACAAGCGCTGCTGCAAATGGAACCAAATACGTATCTAGATGTACGGGAAGTATCACTACTACTACTACTACTAGCGGCAATACAACGACATCAAATGGCAATGGTATTTCCACTGCAAGCATTGGCAACATGCATCAAGCACTGTGTACCTCTATTCTATTGTTCATCTGCTTTTTGACAATCTCTATGTCTAAGAGACTACTCTGAATCTTAAACAATCCCATCACTTCATGGTTTTAGATGTAACAATTCATTAAAAAAAAACTTAAACGTCAAATTCTTTTATGTAAACTTCCAAACCTTGATGTCCATAATAGTTGGAATGTTTTATTTGTCTTTGTAGGATGAGATGCTATGGTATTTTCATTGAATCTCTATAGAATACAAGGGGCATAAAGAAAGTAATATATCTGAATTGTTGCTGAGTGATCTTTTTGTCTACAAATGTATGAAACTTTGCTGAGAATCGGCATGTAATGAAAAGATATTCTTTTCTTGCTCTACAATTATGGCAATCAATCGGTTAAATCAGCACAAAATGGCTTCATTCAAACGGCAACATACCTTGCTTCTATTTCTATTTTTTATTGAATGAGCGAAAAGCCATAATAGTACGGCGCGAAGTAGGGAGTATTGATTAAATATTGCTCCCCATCTATTAGCACCTTGATCTTGTCCATTTTTCAATTGAGAAAATTTCAAGGAAAGTTCAAGCATATAAATTCCCTAGATATTAACGCAAAAATCCCTCTTCAATTAGAAAAAGTGCAATTTGAAATAACTTTCTTTCATAAAATATAGCATACAATATTATTAATCAATTGCTTGAAAGCAATATAAAATATATGTATGCATAAAGGGATATAGAAAAGACATTCACAAAGCAATAAAGCTGAATGCAGTAAAAGAGGGTGGAAAAAGCAGATAAAATACTGTGAAAATCCTTCATTATTCGAAATTAAGATAAAGGAGCAATAAGATGTATATTCTACGTCTCTATTTATATCATTTGGTTTATGTCTCTTACCTGGAAGCAGTTTAGTAGTTGCCAGTGATTCCATTATCTTATATATATTATCGCTGCGATGTTTAGTTGTTGATCTGATGGATTAAGAACGGTATTTCAATAGATGGCTTGTGAATCATACGTAGAGAATAGCTCTTTATTGTTGAGCATGTATCTTTTTTACGTTTACTTATGTCATTACTTTAGTGTCTGTCATATCTTATTTTAGAGTATTTTGCCCTTGCTATCATCATGCTATTACTATTATCGTCTATGCGTATCTGTTGATGGTAGCATAACTTAATTGAGATGATGGCTGACAACTATTTTGGGTATTTTATGAAGAGAATCTACATAGCTCACTTCACAAAGAAATAAATAGAAAATAAGAAAGCATACAGTGGAGGAAGCAAAAAATAGTAAATATTTCAGACAGATCTCTTGACAGAGGCAGGCGACCGATTGTTCAATCGGTTGTAATATGCACTAGTTCGTCTTCATTCAGTAATTGAAAAGGCCACCACTGTCAGCAGCAGCCTTGCTAACATTGCAATACTTTCTGAACAACTCAAAAGACTCTATCTACTACTCTTCGTCTGCCTTGCACTTGTCTCAAGAAATATTAAATATCAGCAATATCAGTTGAAAGGCCCAGCATAATTAATGAATACCAACCTGATTTTGCTAAAAGTATATGTGGGCAGTTGGTACTGGGAGGACTTTCTACCTAGTGCACTGCTACTGTAGTACCTATTATTACATGATTTTCCCCCGACATAATAAATTCAATAAACATCTCTCACTTAAAGCTGTGTAATGGATACCAGATCAAATAATTGCACCTTACGTTATTTCGAACAAAGAAGAAGGATGTAAATTGATTCCATTTAATTACGCTTTAATTATTACAAGAGACAAAATAATATTAAATGGTAGATCAACAGAAAATCAACTAGTTATAACCCTTTGGTCCCTGAACCTTTCAGCCAATCAAATTGCTTGAAAACTCCGCTGACCTAAAAAAAATTTTGCGAGGGTTTCCCCCTGTTTTGATGTGAGGCAAAATTTTAAGCGCCGCTATAATAGCAATATAGCCGCTGCTATCATCAAACTTCCCCCAGATGCTAGAGCATGCCTTACTTACACCACCTAGCTTTAAGTTCTGGCATTGAAACCCTCAATCATCACTAAAGTAAGTAGTGATAACCAAGTGGAGGCAGCCTATCCACCTCCTAGCCTCGGATAAGATCTTGTTGAGCTTCAGGGATAGGCACATCCACACAACGTAAAAAAGGTATGCTTCAAAGAAACATAATAAGAATAAAAGAAAGAAGAAGAGAACATACTACTATAAGAATATAGTAGTACATAGGCAAAAAAGGGATACTCACACAAAGTGATTCAAAGAAAAGCATAAAAAATACAACATTCGAGATGTTCAGATCAGCTCATTGTTGTTGCAACAAAAATGCATACATGAGCAACACGCATGGTAATAGCCAGATGTAGAGCAACGCAAGCACGCACAACTGCAAAAGCAACAATGGTATTATAAGTTTGCAATAGAACATAATGACTAAGATGTTGTTTCATGTGAAGCCATAGAGGCAACACAATCAACAAAAGAAAAAGAAAGAAGCAACAAAGAAAACATCATGAATGCATTATCATGAGGAAGGAAGCAATAATACAAACGTTCAAAGAAGGTTTATATCATCGCGACCAGAAGAAAAAAGATACTTACCACTTATCACCACCATAAATAGACCACAGAAGAGGCAATCACCAGAGATAAACCACAGATAGGCTATAGAACAACCATACAATAAAGACAGTAGACCAGAAAAGACCAGATTACCAGCAGCAGCGCCCACGTCAAACAGACAAAAGAAATATCAAAGTTTAATAAATATATACGTTTAATATTAGCTCTACACTTTCCAGTGCACATAATCAAATAATATTTTCTATATTGCACTTTAGAGAGGTAATGTCAGGCTCTTCTAACCGCATACGACAGTGTTATCAGAAGCAAGGGTGCTATCTTCAGTCAAGACGCTTTCAAAGAAAATATTATTATGGTATGATGATACTAAACGCGTTTTGCAAACGGAGGAAAGGGAGAAAAAAAAATAGGAGGGCGGCGACTTATCCGACGTCACCGTCAGTAGATTTGACCTCAGCCTTCTGCCGAGGCAATTGCGGTTGCGGCACTTGAACATGGATTTGTGCAGTGGCCATTTTCGTATTTCAACTTGACTTGATTTTACATTTTCTAAACGTTTTTGTCAAATTCGACTATAGAAATTGTCGTTGTCAGGCTTTACTTTATAATGCATCTATGAAGAGTCAATTAAGGAGCATCGAATGATGTTGGTTGCATTGAGATCTCAGACTGAAAATAATGAGCAATCTTCAAAGTTACGAATATAGGTTTTCTGCAAAAATGTCAAGATTTAGCATATGAAAGTCTCATAAACGTAGTCTTCAATGTTGCATTTCAAATCTACAATCAATTTGATCTCATATGTGCCATAGAAAAAGTCTTCATTTTTGGGGTGAAATATGCGATCGTTTGATTTTCAAGAATTTTCCCTTGCTAGTACTCATGTTAAAATGATGATTTTCATGGATTTGCAGTGACCTAAAAAAATTTGATATAAAGCATCAGTAAGTAAAGCGCAACCAAGGGGAGCCGTTTGGTGTTACTCCAAGCGCATAAAACGCTTTGTGGCACGAGTTATTTGTGGTTGAAAATGGTTAGATTTGGACTGAATCTGACCTCTAAGTAAGGCGTTGTAGATTGTATTGACAAACGAGTAAGTAAACCTCGTTTCTACTTAACGTTCCAGATAGTCAGCATTGTGTGAAACTCAAGCCGTAAGTGGTGGATGCTTTTATTGTAATTTTGAGGCATAAATCTTTCTTTTTGAATGCGCTATTACAGTAATTTGAAGACTTGAGCGTCAATGATATTATGCAAACGTAAATCTAACAACTTGTTCGGATTAAACGAAACGCTAGTTAGTTTATCAAGGTACTTTTGATGGTCGTCCATGCAGTGAAATCAGGTTTAAATAGATTTCACAAAAAAAATAAAGCAAAGGTAAAATACAATAGAAATCAACTGTATTTTATTTTGTGTATAAAATGAACTGAAGATCCTGGAATTGAGTAAAAAAAGAAGAGTATTTATACATTTGCATCTGGCTTGTAGGATTAGTGATGATAGAGAGCAATAGGTGCTGCTATTGCGATATCTGGCAAATGTTGTTGATGTTTGATTTAAAGTGGTAATCAATGCAGGAGCACTGGCCATAAGGGTCGATTTGAGTAACCTTGATGGGCTTGGGTGAGCTATCGTCATAGCATGATTTAATGTAACCTTGATGGTTTAAAGTGTGATGTTTGTTATTGAAGCATGGAATTCTTTATCTGGGATATTGTGCAACTATGGCAGCAGGGCATAGTTGTCATATTTGAATATGCTTGTTATTGATTTAATTCTATTTGGATAAAGATACCATCACCTATTACGACCATCATGGGTGTGATTGAATACACTGTGATCAGGAGTGATTCATTCACACGATGTGCGATATAAGCGTGTATCTTTACTTTAGTATTTTTAAATGGGTTTTTGATGTACATTTGAGCGCTTTCATTAATAGATCCAAATAGCATGAATTTGAATGAGTGCTATTTGATGAACTTTGGTTTTCAATTAAGTTGCGTTTGGGTGGCTATTTCATTACAGTCCACAGCAGAGATGTCATGTCTAGCCATAAAACTAAACTTAAAGTCTCATAAAATGTAAGATTTTGAGCGAATTTATAAAGATACATCTGGTACTTTAAACCCTCACATTATGATACATATAATGTAAGGCTATTGAATTGATTTTTTTTTTGCGCAAACCCAATGAGTATTTGTTGAGATACGGCTAAAAAAGGGAATTATGCAAAATCATTGACTTTTGATCAAAATCTGCCTGCAATAGCAAGGAAAAAATCGTCATCCCATTTTTTGGTCAGGACAAGATTGTCAATATTTCATGATAGATTTATGCTAGAGCTTCCATAATTATTTAGCAACCAATGTAGCGAGCGAAAGCCTGTTTATATGTTTAGGAACCTCTCAACGTGGGCATTTTGTGGTCCGGATATAAAACTGTTAGCATAAGCATAGGGTTTGGAATAGCCGTTCTCTTTCTCGTAAAATGCGCAGCAGATCTTTAACCCTCGGCCAAACTACAACGAAGCAAAGCATAACTAAGCGGTTCTCAAAACAGCATTTTCCAACATCTGATTCATTGATCTATCATGCGTAATCACTTTTGTAATTAATAGGTTCTCATTTGAAGCTAGTTGCTCAATATTAGCTCAAATACTCAGCATAACCTCAAGCCGTTGTCGCAACAGAACAAAGCAAATATCACAAAGCGGTTTTGAATACAGCATTTCGAAATACCGGATTGATTGATTTAAAAACCAATGAATACAAATAGCAATCTGTTTCAAAGCATAATCAAAATTAAAAATATCGATTCAGAGATCATCTTATCTCTTGATTTCTAAATTGAGGCGTTCATAGTATTTTAAGCCAGAAATCTACTGAATACTTCAACCAAGATGAATTTTGCAGCTCATAATATTATAGAGTGCTAGATTGTTGTGTACTGGTTAGAGGAAGCTTGTGTATGGAATTATGCAAGCGACTTTGTATTACCCGTAATGTAATGCTTTTATTAAGAACGATCAGACATACTTTTCATTCACAAAGATTGGATTTTCCTGAATCAAACGACTGTCTGCTGTATTTGACATTGTGTTGACAATTATCACTGGGTATCCATTAACAGACAGCATAGCTGTTCTATCTATAGCATTCCTTTCGTAATCATCCTTTCTGTTCAGCGCAATACCAACATTAGCCATTATATTTCTTCGATCAACTCCTGCATCAGGAGAAACTATGATTCCAGAGCGCTCAAGTGTCAGCAGGAGTAGAGTTCGTAAGTCTTCTGCGTACTCTGGAATTCGGCGCACAAGTAAACGACAGGTCTGTGGTACTGAAAAGATTATAGCCAGAGCACAAATAGCAATGATCCACCAAGCGGGAGTCTCTACAGCTTCCAGCACATGAGATCTGTTTAGTGCAAAATCTGTATAGTCTCCGTTTTCCCATCGAACCCGCATGGATGCCATGCCGACTAGAATGTCAACTGTATCTTGATTGATGCGAGAAGGGTCCAATGCTTTCAACAGGGTACCAATCTTATCGTTGGACAGATCTGCTGCAGTAGTTGTCATGTCATTGCTGGGCGGATTGTCGAATTGTAAATTGGTAGCAGAGTAAGCAACCATGTGCTCCTTTTTGTCCAGCAGGTTACCCTCGACAGTAGTGGCCTGGAAAAGACTAAGATCCACCATAATACTTTCTCCCTCATCGTACATACCGCCAGTTTGGAAAGTGTAGACCGTGTTCACTACGTAATTCTCCAAGTATATACGGCCTGCTGCTTGGACTAATCTTGTTGTCACATTGAGTGAGTTTTTGGCATTGATTAAATCACATAAAACTGCGTTGTAAGGCAAATCAATAAAGTTATTGGTGAAATTTGCCCTGTCACCTTTCGAGCAATCTGAGGGTAGAATGGCTGTTCTATTGTAGCTGTAGAGCGTGATATGTGCCGTTTTCTTGATAGCCATTGTCATATGAGAGCTGTTATGATTAAAAATGCTGACGCCAAATGAGGAAGAAGCCGACGTGCCTTGAAAGAGCTTCATTTGACGATAAATGGTGTCATTCGAGTTTAATAGACTGGTTTGATATGCACCGTCGACTCTTTGAGATAGTACAATGGATAGTGTGTTATCATAGATAGGGTAGCAAGGAAAGTCATATCCTTTTGCGCCTTGTACTGAATTGCCATGGATAGCTGGTATATAATTGACTAAATTAGTAGGGTCTGACGCTCTACAGCTATACAAGGTATGTGAGGATGGATATTCGGAATCGCCTGGACGATTTCCAAATGCAGTGGCTGTTTGGTCTGCTAAACTTCCGTTGGCATAGATGCCATTAAAGTTTTCCAAGAAGCCCTTTTGCCGATTGTCCCATTCAAAACGTTTCGAGATTTTGGGTGTAAACCAATATCCTACGGAACTTTGTGTATTGTTCTGACGAAGGTTTTCCTTGATATATTCATTTGTCATATCTTGGAGAGAAGTTGCTGTAGGGTTGGACAAGTAGGGTACAAAATTGCTGAATACTGGTAAAGTGGTTGGCCAGTTGTACTTTTCTGTTGCTTCTGATCTTGTAAGTGGTGTATTGATAGGGCTGTAGTATATTGAACCTGTTGAAGTGAACTTTGTGAAGATGGTAGGGATGAATTGGAGAGCAATTGCAAAAAATGATAGGAATATAATGATGGCTTTTTGCTGTGCTGATTTGTCGAATCGATTGTAATTTGAGAGTATTCCCAGTGGATCTTGCTGGTACATTAGCTTGAAATCTAAATCTCGCCTCTTGAAGGCAATGTATGTCACTATTTGAGTAACTGCTTCAGCACCTAAAAATGCTAGTAACTGATATAGTAGAACGGCTAACACAGCTGGAATCATATTGAAAGGAAACGATGTCAAAGTAAAAGAAAGATACACTGCTTTGTATCTGGCACATTTTGGCAATATCTGAAAATGGTGCAGAAAACATACTATCACCTGTTGGTTGCACGACTCGAAAGAATTGTTGCTGCTCACTCGATGAGCCGAATGTAGCACTGGCATTGATCGTCACTCTTAAAATGATAACGAGATCATATAGCATTGCTGAATTTTGCATTTTTTTTTTATATATTGTCATGCAGAGCGACGACTATTAGAGATCCAAGACTTTTATTACTCATTTCGATATGATCAAGGCAGATTTTACTCCTGTCGAAGGTTTTAATCAGGTAGCGATGTGATACAGCTATTTGGCTGGGTTGCTCAGCCCCATTTCTTTAATTTCAGCATTTGTTCTATTTTTTATGCAATGACCTGACCCATATTCACAAAGTTTTTATGCTACATCAACGGTAATGCCTCCAGCATAACATCTGCTATAAGCCGTGGCATTTTGCAATGTATTTCTTTACCGTATCTACGAGATATGTATGATCAATACAATGATAGGCAGATTGGGCATGTTAATGGTTGAAAAGAAGCACACCAAATGAATATACATTACATCAATCCAAACTCGAAGAGCTTCTCGTATACAACGTACAGCAAAAAGCACAGTGTGATGCTGCTTGATATAATATTTAATTTTATATAGTAAAATATAGTTGTTCAAGTGATTAAAATGTACACTGCAGTCAAGAGTCAACAACATCCGCCATCGTTTTCTTTTCTGACCTCATGCGACCGATGATTGTATTTGTACATGGACGAAGGAGGCTCCAATGTAATGGTTCTTGTTGTCCCCACTGATAGATTATGGATGTCCCGCGATGAGTTCTTTTTCAGCAGCTTGTTGTTTGCTAGTTCCTTATACACATGGTCAAACATTGTTTCAAACGCAAAATCCACATTGGTTGCATCCAACGCACTCGTCTCGAAGAAGAGCATGTTGGCCTCCGTTGCATATCTTTCAGCATCCTCTGTACTTACAGCTCGCTTGCTATTTGCCAGATCTACTTTGTTTCCAATCAAGACAAGGGGTATGTTCTCATCAGTGTGTTCCTGAAGCTCCTTTAGCCACTGACTGATGTGGTCAAAAGATGATTTTCGAGTGACATCTAGACAATATGCATCCAACATTCAAATAGTGTCCCTCTGGAAGCGCATTCATTAAAATACATACCATATACGAGTAAGGCTCCCACTGCGCCTCTATAAAACGCACTGGTAATAGCTTTATATCGTTCCTGACCGCTTGTATCCCAAATCTGGGCTTTGATGAAACAATTATCCTATGAACACAAGCGTGGCTGATTATTTCCATGGCCGAAAATGCTGCATAAAATAATATACTTGCAATTGTTATACTCTTTGTAGCAAATTCAACACCTATTGATGCATGAGAGATTAATAATCATCCATGTCTTCATATCAGATTCTTCCGCTGTACCAATTGTGCTCCTTGAATCCTCCAAAAATTCGTCTGACTGTGTGGTAGATTTGTCAGCAGGACGTTTCGACGGGAAACAGGGATGTGCGCAAGTATAGTACATACCGTATACCTTAGTAGTAGATTTGATTTGCCAACACTGCTGTCTCCAATGATGACTATTTTAAACAAGTAGTCGTATGCTTCTTCTGATAAAAGCATTCTGAAAAACAAAATGGAAGAAAAATAAGGAAAAAGGAGAGAAAACTGAAAACAGTGAGGCGTTGAATGTTCTAAATATTGTGCTTGCTATTTTTGGAATGCAAACTGATATTATTTACAAAACGGTGGACGATGCGGTGGCCTGGACAATGCGTTACTTGTGTGCAATATTGAACGCCATGGTAGACAGCTTTGCCCACGACGAGGAACACATCAAGTAGCCCATTGTGTAACTGTATGCGCCCAGAGGCAAGATCGGGGACGTCTACAACTCACAGCTATTTTGACGAACGTCCGATCGCCATAATTCTAGAGGTTTAGCGAAACAGCCATATAAACGACGGTACATTTATCTCGCTCTTGTTTACGCGTTATTGCCTATTTTTCCTTATGCAATACTTGCGGTCAAAGACATTTGAGGTGAAGAAGCGTTTTTAAATGAGCAGCTGTCGTTTATAGCAGATACTAAGCGTGTTATAAACGTGGTCATTGTATTTTTAAGGTGATCGAGTAGTAGATTAGGCATTTTACCTATTTTAAACACACTATCAATAACATCGAGATCGCTCTGGAAAAAACATTGGCAGCATAGCTGAGATATGTGTTGGTCAGGTAAATAGCTCATTGCCATGGCCATGAAGACGTCAAGAAGTCGTATCAAATTCAAAACGGGAGCTGTTACCAGGACGTCGATCTTTCTTCAATTGTCATTTCGTCAAACCACACACATAAACATAAAACGAGCCTCGTCGTTGAACTCGGTCTTCAAGATGTTTATATACTTTTTGCCAATAAGATTGGACGGACGTTTATACAAATCGAAGAATTATATCTAGATACAACTAAAGGGAGAGACTAACTACTACAGCTAATCTGCATTGATGCTCTCTGGACAGAATAGGTAAACAATAATAATCTAGAAAATGTTGTGGAGATATTGGCGAATATGTGGTGCCAGGTATAAAATTGTGGGTATATTGACACTAAGAACATACATTCAGATGACTACAACCTCTGCTGGTACAGTCTTTGCTGTGACTCAAAATGGCACCTGCTCTTTGATTACATTTGAGGATTTCCAAAGTAGCTTGGATACCCAGAGCGAGCATACCTCCAGATGGAACATCTGCAGCAGAAGCATCAAAACTCTGTCTATTAGTAAGAAGAAAAATCACATTGATACGCTTTTGTGTTTATTAATATCATATTGTCCCATTCGCCACCACTCATCCCCTCTCTATCTTACAGAACTGCACTGTAAAACTCTATTTTTATACACACTGTTCCTCTATTATCCTACAAAAAGACTACGCGCAATTCATTTGAGTGTTTATAAATATTATAGCTATATGCTTGTGGTATGTCAGGTGTTATGAAGACCAACTAATGGAATTCATTAGCAAACATCCTGTAGCTCTTGATCTTAGCTTTCAGTGATGCTACATGTCTACATCAATGAGTACAATTCTTACACTGGCCAACATCATATCTAGATTACCTCCTCCTACTCGAAAGTATGCAAATCACAGCCAAATTGGATGCATTCAAATCGCAATTTCTCGCTCTAGAAGCTATTTTAGACTGCCAGAATAGTACCAAACAATTGCTTTCACCTAGCACTAACTTCCAGATACCTTTGCTCAACTTTTTTGGGATCATCGAAAATCGACTCCAAACCATGAGTGACCCCTCATGATTTTCGACGAAAATCAGACGATCGCGTTTTTGGCCTCCAAAATGAAGACTTTTACTATGGTATGTATTAACTCACAATGTTTCTATGGACCCAAAGCAACCCTCAAAACTTTGTTTATGAGGCTTTTATATGCAGAATCTCGACATTTTGGTTATAATCTACTTTTCATATTTTAAAAGATTGCTCGATAAGTTCCTTTACAGCACCTATTTTAATTAGCACCATTGGATGCGCCTTGAAAAGTACTCCAAGAAAGCTTAAGGGTATACGGGGCAACCATCACAATCTATATAGTCGAATCTCGTAAAGTAGTTCAATCAGGTCGAAAAAAGATCAATCTTGGCCAATCTTGAGGAGAAACATTGCTCTGAAGTTAAATTAATTTTAGCGCTTCTGTCTGACCAAAATGTCTTTCTGAGGATGACAATGATGATGGGGATGCTGATTAAATGGGGAGCATAAACTTGGAAGGAATATTGCTTAGCCTGCACAGTTTTCTTTGCTTTTGTTGAGTATTTTCATATCTGACAAGGCCAGTCAGCCTAGCTCACCACCAAAATATGTAAGAGGTGAATATGAGTAGTATTGGGACCGTCGCTTGCAATTGCCTACTTCAACAGTTGACAACATGGAGGTTGACAATGAGCAGACAAGAAAAATAAAAGGCCAAGAAACGGCTCAATGTGAACTAGAGCAAGAAGTGGTTGAGCCTCTCATTTACTATTAATTGATTGTTTAAAATCTGCTTGATACAGCAAATTTTAGTAATGTCAAAAATACGTTCACTATCTAGCGTAGCGAGATTGAAAGGCTAGTGTACAATATAGCCATAATTTTATATCTGACACCATAAATCTGTCAATGTCTTCACAACCTTATCTAGCTTAGATATCATATTATAATAGATGTTCAGTCCCTAGACACTCTTACAGCCCTGATACTGTATGAAAACTGAGCTTCAAGGCATCTGTCAGGCCTGGCTCATATATGATTAATGATTTTACAATCAATCAACAAAAACTACTTTTATTCTTGTCCTCTTTCCTCTGCTCAATGCTGTCAACATTTTCTTTGAACGACGACCTAAAGCCTCAGAGATTTCCCTTTTACTGCAAACATTTTATGCAGCCCATGAATCGTCAATGTCCAGACTAACGTTATTAAATATAGAATGCAAGAAACAGCATGATAAACGATAGTACTATGTAATTTGTTACCTACTTTCCATACGCTTCAAAAGCATCTATTACTGTATTGCCTTATGAAAAGGGCATTGAATTTGCCAGCCATCCTCACAAGCCAAAATTAATTCAAATCCAGTCCCGTAATTTGTTTTAGATTGGACAAATCCTGGTAGTTTTCAATTCAATTGAACTATTTTACCAGATTCGACTAAGTAAAATGTAATGATCATCCAATGCTTCTTTAAGCTTTACTGGAGTGCTTTTCAAGGCGCATCCAATGGTACCAAGTAAGGTAAATGTTTTGAATAAATATATTGAGAAAATTATGAAAATATGAAATGAGGTTTCTGGTCAAAAAGTCGAGATTTTACATATCAACGTATTCTGATCAGATACGCAAGGGCAATTGGTAGCGCGAGCTGCCGTTGCGCAGTTTGGTTCTCACCGAAGCGAGGCGAAGGTAGAGAGCCATCCGAAGCATAAACACTCGTATTTTTTAAAAAGCAATTTGTACGTTTAATTGTGCGAAACTCTTTCCCTGAACTGTGAGATAGTGTTTTCTAAAAAAAAAAAAAAAAAAAAAAAAAAAAAAAAAAAAAAAAAAAAAATACGGTACTGTTTTTGACGTGTGTTCTTTATTACTGTATTAGGCACATCCAGGGCCATCGTGGGTTCAGTTGTGTAACTTGTTACCAGGTAATCATATGTATTGTCGTAAGGCTTCTTCCGATGGTTTTATACTTTGACTTCTGAATGGTTTCACAAATCCAGACACATTGATTACGGGTAGAAAATATCTTGGCCGAATGGAATTATGGCTTTATGACGTTTTAGGTAACATACTTCATTACAACCTAGCTTTGTTTAGCAAATGTTGAGCCTAGAATGTATTGGATGAAGGCCATTCCACATTCCACAGCACCGCCCCGTTATGGAGTATATATGGATGTTGAGACTGTGTTGAGGAGATGGTATGCCTGAGTGCATAGATTTGCCCGCGCAAAGGGATGTGTCATCATAGCACACTTTCGTTGTTTGCTTGTCATCATAACTCGTCGGCGGATTAGTTTTTGCGAACTAGAGCAAACCCTCCTTACATAACAGCTGAATTATTTTGCTGCTAATCAAAAAGGTTTGATAAAATGGTAGAAGAGCTTTATTACAATCATTGATATGTTACACTGTAAAAGCAATTTACGATCGATCGACCGAGCCACGCGCGCTGTGATCTGTGTAAACGAGATGTTTTTCGCTATCTCATGTCCATGTCTGTCGCAAAGCGTTCTTCTTCCTCTTCGTCTACTTCCTCTATTCGAGCACTGGTGCTGTATTTTGAAAACGATGATTTCGTTACCAAAGCCGGCGCTGGTAGAGATGGTGTTGCTGTACTATTATCAGAATTGCTGTTGTTGTTGTTGACCTGAATGATGGGAAATTGAATAGCTCTCGCCTGGGGCCGTGGGCCATCTGGAGGACTTTCTATCATGTAGTTGTGAGTTTGTACAGTCAGAGAGCCTTTTCGCAACAACTTGGAGTAATCTACAGGTTGATGGTTAGTGCCTACGAATCACACAGAGCAAAATGGTATACATACGTAGGCCACATGCATTGCAGAGGGTCCTAGCACCATCAGGACCGCGTCTCCATTCAGGCGTATCAGTGGTATTACAAGAGTGGCACCGATGGCCCACCATGCTGGTTCTCTACATCGAGTTGTTAACAAACAATTGACATGAGTATGCAATTAATTACACTTCGTCGTCGGTATTTAGGTCTGGCATTCTTTTGAAGATTTCGAGCTTGTCGAATCAACTTGTAATCTTCCATTGCTGATTCATTGCCCTGTACACATGTTTAGAACAATGATAAGGCAATGGATAACATAGTCAACTTACACTTGGCGGTGCTGAATCTTCATCATGTTTATAGTTCATCTGTTTTGCATTGCTATTATCATTATTGCTGATGCTATTGTTGTTTACAGCCGGTGAATCAATTGATAAGCTGCTTGCATTCAGATCATCATCTTCTAAGCGATCTTTTAGGAAATTTAGAGATTCAAGCATTTCATCAGCTGTGAAAAAAACTTGATCTATAATTTGATTTCGCTCTGATTCTCTCAATGGATCGGTTCGGTATTTTCCTATTCTTTGATAGATGGAATTGCATTGTTCAATCAGCTATTCAAAGATACATGAGCAACAGCACGACACAAAGGCAAATCAGTATAATTACTTGTCGCATCAACTTGCTGTTGCTGTTTGATGACGTCGAGTATTTTGCAGATTGAATTGGAGATGGAGGCGTTGGTTGTATTGGAGTTACCGAGTGAATTGGAGGTGCTGGTTGGATTGGAGGTAGATGGCTAGATTGTGTCGGTGGAGGAGGCTGGCTCTGCGATGAAGGCTGTGATCGTGGCTGAGGTAGCGAGGCAGAGGAAAAAGATGAAGATGACGGTGCTGACGCTGATATAGAATGATTTTGTTGATATGACAATGGTAATGAAATTGAAGGCGAAGATCTCAATTGAGGAGTTACAGATCTTGGAGTATTAAATAGAGAAGGGGTCGATGTTGTATTATTGAAAGAAGGGGAAGATGTTGTATTGCGTTGATCTGCATGATCTAATGATGGGTAGTCCAAAACTGGAGGCGGTTCGTGTGGTTGCTGCTGTTCTCCAATAGCACCGTAGGCTTTTAAATATTGATGTTGTAGTTGATACTGTAGCTGATAAGAATGTCTAGTATTCTTTGTAGAATTATTTACATTGATGGGAGATAGCGAATTACTAGGATAATGTCAAATCCTCAAGCTCGACGTAATGATCTTTTTTTATTTACCTATGCTCAGAGGGTGTTGAACTGGTGGAAACTGAAGAAACAGAATCAGTTCTTTCCGGTGTCGTATGAATACATATTTTTGAAATGTCCATTTTCTTCTTGACTTTTTTGAATATCCTGCTAGAGATAGCTGCACATGTAGATTTCAAACAAGAATTAAGCTAAAAAACAAAAAAAAAAACAGAAAAAAAAAGAGAGAAAAGGAAAAATATAGAAGATGAGAGGTTCTTTTTATTCCTTTTAGATGAAACCGCTTTTCATCTGGTTGTCCAACATTTTGCACCAAAAAATCACTGTATGTGAAATTTTCTTTCGAGTCACAAGGAGGTAGAAATAAAAGTCTGTTGCAAGGTTTCATTTGATTTGATTTAATCTTCAATTTTTCTAATATCGAGATTATCTACATTCCTAGTTAGTAGCTGCTGCTGCAATAATAAAAAGAGGCTCTGTCTATATTTATATCAAATGTTTCAAAGGAAATGGCCCGGAAATATATAAACGTAATACACGGACTAAGCCTGGAATAGGGATATCGCGATCTCATATTTACACAAAATGAATGAATTGCTGCAGCATTCATGTTTGTTAGTAACATTGGGTATATTGTAGAATCATCTGAAACCAGCTTCTCAGTCTGTATGCATCGAGACATTGCAATCCCTATTATTTAAGCTGTCCTAGTGAGAAGAGGTACCCAAATATGCACATATCCACTCAGTGTACTCAATGTGATTGGTTTTATTCCATGCGGATCTTGTTCTTCCATATCTCATGGCCATTTCCGATCTGATTTAAGCGTATACACTATAGATCTGATCAGATTTGGAGATTCTCTATTCAGTTTTTTTTTTTTTTTTTTTTTTTTTTTTTTTTTTTTTTTTACTATAAAGAATTTTCTAGAACGGAAAAAAAAGAAAGTAGGAAGTCTCTGATATAGATCCAAATGACAGAGTGCCAAACAAGTTTGTCATCTATAACATGTGCCTGGTTTTGTCTGCATCCCTTTGTTTTCTCTGAAATTCAGCATTTTGATATTTTTTTTTTCGGTGCCACAACACTCATTTTTAAATATGGAGTGGTACTGAGATTGGAGTGTTTATCTCGATTGGTTTCTATAAGGAAAACTTTTTTCTGGAGTTAAAATGGATGCAGCCTAGTATCAGATTTGACAACGTTTAGCATCTTGTTTTATTTAAGCGATGTTTTCTTGTGCTAATTTGAATACGCCAACGAGAGCACTCAATTGAATCTGTTCATTTGCGCCTTCCCCTAATCTGTATTCTATATCAGCTAGATTCTTCAAGATGAATATACGAGATGTTGCTGGAAACTCAATCAATCTGGCATAGTTGTACACCTCGCCCACAATATCTTGTAAAGCTAAGCCTGATTCTCTCTTTAGCTTTTCGATATCTAGATTAAGAAAAACCATCATTAGATCACAATGACAAATCGCATCCCAATGTGTCTGCTTTACTTGAATATGCGGTTGTGAACTCCTCTGCCATCATCCATTTGGTGATTCGCTCTATATCTTGAGGTTGGGGGTGACCTGTACAGTTGTAGATGGCAGCCTCGTCAATACGGTCGTATGCAGCATGACAGGCTTGCAAAATGTTCAATGCTCGACGCATATCGCCCTTACTGAGTCGCAGCAATGCCTTTTTACCGTCCTCTGTTAAAGTGACATGCTCGGCATCGATGATTGTTTGCAGTCTAGAATCGACTTGTTCCATGGATAAAGGTGCAAACCGAAATCGTGTGCAACGAGATTGAATAGCTGGAATGATCTTACTGACATAATTACAGATGATGCAGAATCGAACGTTTTTGGTATATTTTTCAATGACACGACGTAAAGCAGATTGCGCTTGATTCGTCATGGCATCGGCTTCATCCAAAATGATTAATTTGAACCCGGAACTGTAGATGTTTCGTGTACTAGCAAAGTTCTTGATTTGCTCTCGCACAACGTCAATACCACGGTCGTCTGAGGCGTTCAATTCCAGAATCATGGCCTTGAATCGCTCGCCATACAGCTTCCTGGCACAAGCAAGAATGGTGGTGGTTTTACCTGTACCAGGTGGTCCATAAAACAGCAAATGAGGGAGTCTCTTTCTATCAATAAATGTCTCAACTAGTACGCATATTAATAACAGATGAATTAAAATACAATGGTAATCTTACTTGTAGAGGTAATGTCTTCGTGAGATACAAGGTCGTCCAATGTTTGAGGTCTGTACTTTTCCACCCATGGCAAGTTATCCAGTTCATCCGTGACAGCCAGTACCTTCTCCTTTCCTTTGCCCTTGCCCTTGAAGGCAGGTGTGTCGATGTCCATCTGGCTCATTTTTATGGTTTGATAATGTGGGCTGAAAAAGAGTTCATGTAATCGCGCTTTGATGCGCGTGTCTGAAAATTTTGGTGCTTGATCGTCACCCAGTCAGTGACGTGATTGTAGGTGTTTTAGCTCTGTACGCAACTAAATCATGGATCAAGCATCATGTATCTAGCATTTAACATTCTATTCAAGTTGTAGCTGAAGGTGATTTATTTTTCAATTATGCAATCCAAATACTTTTGCTGAATCTTTCTCTGTATGCACCATTCGAAATGTAGTTTATTGTGCATTTGCTCAATGGCATCTTTCCAGCCAATCACATTTGTCATTGACAACTCACTACTCAATAACCTGTTCAGTGAAATGGGCCATCTGAATTACTGTTGCTAATGAACTTGAAAGCATTGATGATAATCAAACAAGATCGTGATCGATAGGATCCATCAAAAGTATGTAAATCATAACATGGATGCGTGCCTTTTCCAGACAATGGCGCTCTGTTAATCTCTTGATAACCAATATCTCTATTGCTTACGCGCCTTTCGACACTTCGGGTGGTTTCTTGACCTACGCTTTGCTTCGGTGGAAACCAACCTTTGTTCAAACGGATCGCGCTGCCGCGGGCCTTTGGCTAATATATCAAAATTGGTATAGTTAAAATGTTAGAAGAACCCTGATAGCTGATTGATGTAAAACCACTAATCATATGAGAGTTTATGCTTTGGATAATTCTTTACCTTCGCTTCGCTTCGGTGAGAACCAAACTGCGCAACGGCAGCTCGCGCTACCAATTGCCCTTGCGTATCTGATCAGAATACTGCTACTACTTTCATTTTGACCCTCTACTTACTCATGAAACCCCTTTATTTTAGCTGTGGATCTTATTCTTATGTGATGCTCTACATCCATATACACGCAACTACTTCCTATAAGGGCAAGTATCATACAGACATTATCCCTTTTTAGTCAAGAGTGTGCCTAATACAGCAAATTCTGAGTGCTTTAGAGCTGCGTTTTCTCGCGTCCAAGGCCGTTTTAGATTGTCAGAATAGCATCAAACAATTGCTCTCATCTGGCAGTTACTTTCTGACACTTTTGCTCGACTTTTTGGGGATCAAAAAAACATGAACAAAAATCGACCAAAAAGCATGAGGTACCCCTCATGGTTTTCATCAAAAATCAAACGATCGCGTTTTTCACCTTGATAACGAAGACTTTTACTATGGTATATCTTGAATCAAAATGTTTCTATCAATCCAAAGCAACCTCTGAAATCATCTTTGTGGGACTTTGATATGTAAAATTTCGACATTTTGGCCAGAAACCTCTTTTCATATTTTTACAAATCATTCAATAAGTGTATTAGAAACATCTGTATAACTTGGTACCATTGGAAGCGCCTTGAAAAGTACTCCAGGAAAGTTTAAGGAAGCATGGGGTGATTATCATACTTCACTTAGTCGAATCTGCAAAAATAGCTCGATCGAGTCCAGAATCATCAAAATTTGTCCAATCCGGAACAGACTATGATTCTGGGTTTGAATTAATTTTGGCTGGTGGGGCCAGCTGGAAAACTCATGCCCTTTTCATAAGGCAATACAGTAGTAAATGCCATTGAAGCGTATAGAAAGTAGGTGGCAGGTCATAGCACTATCGTTTATGATGCTATTCTATTGCCTTCTATATCGTTCATAATGATATTTTATTGCATTCTATATTTAATAGAGCCAGTCTATCAAAATACTTTCTAAATCAACTTTCCTTTTTGAGGCTTTGAAAGTGTCTATGGACTGAACATTTTTTATTATAATATGATATGCAATTATCAGATCCTCAAGAAATGCTTGATGAATCAATGCTTTAAAGATTATGATCTATCAAATACCCAAGATACTTGAGCTGCAAGCTAAAATCATATTTAACATGGCATCCTTGCAATAGCATCTATGTGGCAGCACTCCATGTCTTTGGCCTGTTTTTTTCCCCAATAAGAGCACTATATTTTGAGGTTATAACCCAAAGCTTGGCTTTTGAGAATTGCGTTGGTCTATTGTTCACATCATTCTGGGGATTTGACATTGCTGGCTAATTTAAAAGCAGTTACACGATACCAATGCCGACAATGAATAAGTACAAATGTTGGGTAATTGAGTAATTTGGGATATTAATGGCTACTAATGCCATGCATAGAGACAAGAGTACTTGCTGTCAGCGTATGGATGGCGTATACGTATTTAGCCGAGACATTTTAGCTTATTGTCAAATATACACCCTGAAGAGAGACGAAAAGTATATCTACCCCATCATTTAATCTCCAGTCAAATTGAGATGCTATAAATAAGCTTCGAATATGTCAAAATTCTTCATTTTACATTATAAATCAACTTCTAAATGAACAATAACAAAGCCATCTTTTCACCTATCAAGCTTGGCAAACACCATCTTCATCATCGTGTCGTCATGGCGCCCCTCACTCGCTTCAGAGCGACATTGGATGCTGTGCCTACTGATTCTATGGTTGAACAATACAAACAAAGAGCTACTGAAGGAGGCCTTATGATTACTGAAGCTACATTCATCACCCGCCTTGCTGGTGGGTTCATACGAGCTCCTGCAATCTACACTCAAGAGCAAATCAACGCATGGAAGAAAGTGACAGCAGCAGTCCACGAAAAGAAAGCAACCATATTCCTTCAGCTGTGGCATGTTGGCCGTGCGGGCGCTAACCGTTTGAATCCAAATAATGAGCAAGTTGTATCTGCATCTGACATAGCAATCCGTGGCAATCACATCTTGATGGCCGGTGCTTATGATAAACCGCATGCGCTTACCCTGGATGGAATCCAAGCCATTATTCAAGACTACCGTCAGGCCGCTTTGAATGCTATGGAAGCTGGCTTTGATGGTGTGGAGATTCACTCTGGTAATGGCTATCTTCTTGATCAATTCATCAATACAAATAGTAACAAACGCACTGATATCTACGGTGGCTCTATTGCTAATCGAACTCGGTTCGCGCTTGAGGTGTTGGAAGCAGTGGTTGGTGCAGTTGGCCCTGAACGTGCTTCAATTCGTCTTTCCCCATCCACTCAATTTCAAGATATGGGTGATGAGACCCCAGTAGAGACTTGGAGCTATCTTACTAGTGAAATCCAAAAGAGGTTTCCCACATTGGCCTATCTCCATTTTATTGAGCCTCGTGCAAATATGTTTGACAGCTCTGTGAATCTGGTGGATTCCCTCAGTCATTATCGCAATCTATTCAAGGGCCCTTTTATTTCCGCAAGTGGTTACTCGACAGCTCCAGAACATGCCATCGACATTGCTGAAAAAACTGGCGATTTGGTCGCTTTTGAGCGTGCTTTTGTCGCTAATCCGGATCTTGTAGAAAGACTTCGTAATGGCTGGGAGCTGAACAAATACGATAGAAGTACATTTTACACTCATGATGATGTAGGGTACCTTGATTATCCTTACTACAAATAATCAGTTAATAATCAGTAGCTCTTTTGAAGTCTTAATAAAAAAAATGGTGTTTATCTATATCGTAGCGGTAAGCCAGACTAACTAGTATTATGAGTATAAAGCTTCTCAATTCTCCTAATAAGAATGGCATAGACATTACCCAGCAGCAGGAGCGGCTGATATTTAAGCACAGATATTTACACTGATCAAGATTGGTCAGTTTGTAATAGTTTTCGACTTCTTTAATCTATTTTGCTATAACCGACTATATAAATTGTGATGGTTGCCCCGTATACCCTTAAGCTTTCTTGGAGTACTTTTCAAGGCGCATCCAATGGTGCTAATTAAAATAGGTGCTGTAAAGGAACTTACCGAGCAATCTTTTAAAATATGAAAAGTAGATTATAACCAAAATGTCGAGATTCTGCATATAAAAGCCTCATAAACAAAGTTTTGAGGGTTGTTTCGGGTCCATAGAAACATTGTGAGTTAATACATACCATAGTAAAAGTCTTCATTTTGGAGGCCAAAAACGCGATCGTCTGATTTTCGTCGAAAATCATGAGGGGTCACTCATGGTTTGGAGTCGATTTTCGATGATCCCAAAAAAGTTGAGCAAAGGTATCTGGAAGTTAGTGCTAGGTGAAAGCAATTGTTTGGTACTATTCTGGCAGTCTAAAATAGCTTCTAGAGCGAGAAATTGCGATTTGAATGCATCCAATTTGGCTGCGATTGGCATACTTTTGAATGATAAGAGATAGTGTAAATAGGCTATTTACCCAAATATGAAATGATTCCATTAATACAAACGAGAGGCATTGTAAAAGAGACAAATTTGCTGCTGTGAGACGCTCTCATTTGATATTAGAGAGAATAAACTGTCCCTTCGTAGGCCATATAGTCAAGCTCATATCATTTTGACGAGATGATCAAAGGCGGTCGGGAACACGAGTAGATGCCGCTTAGATTAATACTCACCAAAGCAAAGAGAAGGTAGAGAGCCACTCAAACAATGTTGGCATTTGTTAAAATAAGAAATATTCCTTGCAATCAACCGCATCCATAATATCATGAGTAAATATAAAGGCTTAATTTGCTTGCTGAAACGGAGGCTCAACTGCCATACATGCTATAGGGCATGTTTTATATTCATTTGACTTGTTGTAATGCAATTGCGATCTGTTCATATTACCCGGGGTTTTTTCGGTATTCTATGTCTGCTCTTTTACCGCGATACTGTTCTTTTGGGTTCTGTAGAGCAGCTTTTTGATTAGCAAGCTTTGATCTCACAGATCCGACAAAGCGCTTTTGCATCCATTACACTAGCTGATGATCAATGCTTTCTCCAATGTCAGCAACATGAATTGTTTAACAGCTGTTAGACGGTAAACTAGATATTTGACATGTAAATTCAACGTGAAGCATCACATGAAGGCAATGACTCACAGAAAATGATGAAATCAAGCACCTATGACTTTTATTTGTAATACCAATCACCAGCTAACCCCCCTTTTTTTTAAGCAAACATGCTGGTCATAGTAAGCATCAAGAATAGGTTTATGTACAGCCTTTCAACATGGCTTCATCTGCTGCTGTTCTGCTCTGATCTCAGCTGAATCATCGAGAATTTTAAGGTGCTCTACCAGCCTTTTTTTTTATGATGCTTTTTTATTTCCTAAATAAGCAACTAGCGTGTGATAATTGCATTGCAAAACAGATGAAAAAAGGGCTTGTAATGCCAAAAAAAAAAAAAAAACTGGCTGGGTGTTTGATTATATTTTTCTCTCTTTTTTCCTTTTTTTTTTTTTTTTTTATTACTCTTTTTTTCCTGCATCAAACAAAAATGAAAGTGTATAGGTCAGAAACAGGAATACAGATTAAATGTACCAATACCAGTGATATCCAGTCGTAAGAGCCGAAAGCAAGAAAGAACAGAGCAGAATGTCAGATAATTAACAGATAGTTTATTTGCAGTTTATCTGAACTGAAGGAGACCATAGAAAATGCTTGTGGAGTGCCTATCGAAAATCAAGTGTTGATGACAAGCTTAGGCATCCAAGTGAGGGATACCAACCTAAGCCATGTCGTTAAATCTCAAGGCAGCGTACGTATATCAATAGTTGCAATGATGAATCAAGGTTAAAATTAGGATTTGATAGGATGAATCAATTGTGTTATGCTACGATACCAGATGCTACAATACTGAAGCAGAGGAGAATATACAGGCTGTGTTGGAAGAAGAAATACCAGTGTTGGAGCGCCAGATACTTCCAATTGACGGTACGTAGAGCAGATAACAGCCTTATCGTAAGAGAGACTCAGGTTGATGAATGCATAGGCACCTCATTGACCAAGCAGTTCAAAAAGTCCATTAAAACGCTACCAACAAATGACGCTTGCAAGGAATCCTTGAAACTATTCAACGCCATTGATCATTACAGCAGGGTAGATTGGTGGTGGGCTGGTTGGATATGATAGACTGATACTGATCATACTCTCTAGTCATTGATAGATACTGCAACTACGCATTTCGAGCTGTCTGGCAGAATACTGAATGAGCATGAAATACAGCAAAGCGCTCTTAATGTGGCAATGAAGAACCTGGAAACGCACTCAAGTCCCACCAAAACCAGGCTCTTTCTCTATCTTCGCCGAGCAGAGCAAGTCTTGAACAAACAACGACCTACTCTTGCCAATGTGGATCGAGACTTGCTGATATTAAGCAAAATTAAAATACATGATTCCGTTAGAAATGTCTTGATCCCCGACGACCACTCCAAGCAATACTTGATTGACTTTGTGGACAAGCAGAATATCATGCAAACCAAATCAGCCACTGCACAACTATGCGATCGTCTATCAGAAGGCACTGCTGAGATGAGGAGCTTTTTTGACCAGATCAACACGGATACCAGCTATTTGAAAGAGAGAGTGCAAGATAGCATCAACATGTACACTCTGCGTGAAATATTTGCAGACATCAAGGTTTATATGAAAAGCCTCAAAGAGAAACGAAGCAAAATGAAGCGAGATTTACAGCGCGCCTATGAAAAGCTCTCGCTGATCAGCGATACACCCATATCCGCACAGTTCAGCTCGTTAGCATTGGATGAGTCTCGACTTGGCGACTCGACCGCACTCTCAAACGACGGATCCAGCATGCCCCCTACAGCATCATTCGCCGCACCCGCTAGGAAAAGCACCAAAACCCCATCCTCGACAAAAGTGTTTGATTCGTTTCTACATTTCGCAGCCATCAACATCAAGGAATCACTACCTGAAATGGCTCAATACGAACTAGCTGTGCGACAACGGACAGAGCAATTGTTGACCTCTAAAAAGAAGGCAATCGCGGTTTTCATCAGCTGCATGAAAATCATATCCAACTTTCAGATGATGCTTCATGAGGCGAATATCGATCTCGACAGCCACAATAAACACATGGATGACTTTCGCAAAAGGCACAAGGGCAATGATTTGCAGATACTACCACAAATTGTGTTTGCATACGTAAGTAGACAGCGGATGGCAGCCAAAGGGCAGAATACTGATGTGCAATTTAGGGTGCCATTATGATTGAAATACTTCGCAGAAGAGAATACACAAATGTAAGTGTGGATGCCATGCCGTTGATCAGATAGCTTATTTTACCATTTCCGTGTAGCTCCTTGTCACCAATTCTACATTGATAGGCGATGTTCTTGGTCAATATCGAGCCTCTGAAGAAAGCCGTAGAGAGTACTTTAGACAGAGAGTGATCAAAGACATACCATTCAAGCTTGCAAGTAAGCTAAAGTTGGATTTGCAATTACATTTGCGGTGGCTAATAATATTGCATAGTGTCTGAAATCGACAGAGCATCCCCACAGTCAGAAATTTCAGTCAACGGCAATGACAGCAATACCCAGCTTGACATTGGTATAGAAGATATCACTCAGTTCATTTCCGTTGTTCAGCATCTCTACGTGGATACGCCGCTTATTGCTAGCGGTTCTCGGACACTGGATAGTCCTAGTGGCAGCAGCAGTGATCAGAGTGACTCGAGTGGATCGCCTAGAAAGACGGAACAGAACAAACCCCTCTTTATCGTTCTAAGCACCATGAAACAAGAGTTGGATAATATGAAACTGCAGTGGATGGCTTCCGTTCGGGATCACTTGTTTGATGGCAATGACTTTATTCGCCTAGAGGAAATGCAAGGTTCCGTGTCAGCAATGAAGCGTGAGGAGATCAAGCAATCCATGCTGGACATCGACACAGTGGATATCAGATCCTCGAAAGTGACATCGCCGACTTCATCCATATATCAACTGATTGGGAACGACAAGAATTTATTGGAGGAAAATGAGAAGCTGAAACGAGAGATTGAACAGCTGAAGCGAGAAAGAGAATCAATTCAAATTGAACGGAACAGGAGCAACGAGGAATTGACAGCTGCAAGAGCTGAGCTGGATGTCGCTAAAGAGGAGATGGATCGCTTAGAACAAGATGGCTTGGATCAGACTGAGGAGATTGCTCAATTGAAGGATGTGATCAAGACTGTAAGCAGTTACTTCAAGTGAAATTGCGTTTGTGGCACTAACAACTATTTGCAGCTTGAGAGCGAAAAGGAAGATCTCGAGTCAGCTAAGCGAAGCGTAAGTATGCTCCATGTCCTGTGAAAATGTCTTTTAATGTTGCCTGTTAGTTTTTGAATGAAATCAAGAACAAGGACAAGTCTGCAGACTTTAGAATTGCAAGCGCAGAGGAAGATTTCAATGCCAAGGTAATTTGACGGTGCTTTATAAAGGGGATTCATGCTGACGCGCTTCTGCGTTCATAGTTGGCTGATTTGCAGTACACACTAGAAGAAGAGAAGCGAATGAAAAAGAATCTTGAAATTGAGCATGCCTCAGAACTCAACTCTATTTCCATTGACCACCAAAAGAAGATTGACCAATTGAATGCTCTGCTTGAAGAAGAGAAGCGCTTAAAGAGAAGCCTCGAGGAGGATATCAGCTCCTTGCTATCACACCACAAGGAACAGGTCGATCAACTCAATGCCCACATTGAACAAGAAAAGCAAAATGCAATTGATGGCAAGCATCAACAGCTAGAGTTGCAACGTCGTTTCGACCAACTCTGTGAAAATATGGATTCCGTCAAGGAAAAGCTGGAAACAGAACGCGCTTTACATGAGGAGCAGTTGAGCAACCTGCACGCAGATATGGAAGCCAAGGACCGCGCTACCCAACAGATCAAGGAGCTGCAAGAGCAAACCCGATCCATGGTGAAGCAGTGTCAAGATGACTGGTATGCCAAGAACGAAGAGCTCAAAATCATCAAGGAAGAGCAGCAGGCGATCGATGATGCAGTGAGAAAGCTCCTCAAGCGATTCAGACCAAACGATCAAGATCTACAGCTGATGAGTCTAGATGGTTATGTGGATTTGTTCAGAGAGAACTTGGAGGGCTTCGAAAAGGAGTATAGCCTCAATAAAGACAACTTGGACGCAGCTACGCAAGAGCTAGCAGACGTGACAGAAGGCTATTCCAATCTCATTGATAAGCACAACGAATGGCGGTCGATTGCCAGTCGAATGGCAGACAAACTTGAAGAGTTTAGAAAGAATGTCATTTTTGAAATTGTCACACAACTGCAAATGCCCATGGATAAGGATGAATTGATTGCTCTCACCACAATGGTTACTCCAAGCGACGATGATGCTGCAATCTGGAATGAAGTACTGAAACTCTCCTCTGGTGTCAATACTCAAAAGTTTGTGTTTAGCGTGGTCAAGTATGTCCGCGATACGTACAATCAGGCTAAACAGTTCAAGAAGGAGTACCGTGTTATCAAAGGTAACCACACGCATTCTTGACTGATTTTGTATGGAGTTTCTCTGACACTACGATCCACAGATAAATACGATTCCTTGATCCGAGAGCACACTGAGAGAATTGCATTTAAAAAGTAAGTCGAGTAAAGAGCTATAGGCCTTTTGATGCGGCGAGAGCTCACCCTTTCTATATAGCTTCAAAGTAGGAGACTTGACATTGTTACTGCCCACAAGAAACTCGACAGGTAAGCCCTGGGCAGCCTTCAACATCAATGCTCCTCATTACTTTTTGAAGAGCACTGATAATATTGCGGCTCAAATGCAAAGCAGAGAATGGATTGTGGCTAGAATTGTCTCAATAACTGAATACGTGGCAGATGAGACAGTTCCTGGATCAAACCCGTATGGACTTGCTAATGGTGTTACCTATCGTTTGATCGAAGTCGAGAACTGGCGCAACAATAAGCAGCATCCCAGCAAAAGGAGACATGTGTCGTCCAATGACTCTGGCTTAGCATCTATTACAGTTCCTCGTGATATCGCCAGTAACAATAGAGCATCAGTGAATGCTGCTAGTTCAGTTCATAGCTACAGTACCAAATAAATCACCTCAGCGTGCTGCTTTCTATATTGACCTTTACTGTTTCATTATGATTGAATTTTTTTTTTCTTAGTTTACATGTAGCAGGAGAACATGGCAAAGAATTGTGTGTTTTTGTCAGGCCAGTAAGAATGTGAATGATCGCTAATCTTGATCTCTTTAGATGTACTTCCAATAGACTGCACTATTTCAGCAGTGTCTCAAGAGATCCGCTTAGCAAAGGTAGTAATTCTGCTCTGCGAATGTTACAACGTGAGTTCAATAGAGAGACAGTATCTATCGCCAGACATGCAGCCATCTTGTAACCTACTTGTGATTGGATGAATGCCAATCTACATTTAAAGGAGTCAAAAAATTTTAATCATTCACCTTTCATTGTCAAAGCAAACATGCTACCATCACTAGGACTCTTCAAGTCAATTCCATGTCCACTATACCCAAACTGCTCTCGAAATCCTTGCTTTTACTCTCATCAAAATCAAAGAGCAGATGATGGTCGTCCATCAGAGCAGATCAAACGACAAAAACTGGCACCAGAACCAACAAAAAAAGCGCCATCTCCTGCTTCATCTTTAAACAGTAACATTAAAGTAGCTCCTATTGTCACTAAAGGTAGGCTTATTGTGTCTACCATAGAAAGAGCCGTTCTGACAGGAATGTGTCCTAGTGTCAAAGGCAGTTCCTAAAGCAGGATCCGTCACATCCATTGTAAAGAAGAGTGAATCAGCTTCATCCATGGTGAATCGACCTTCAAAGCCCTTGCCTCCAAGTACGAAATCAGTGGCGCCTATAAGTGCACTTGAGGCTAGGAAACGGACAGCACATACAGCCACAGTAAGTCTTTTGATACGCAATCCTCGAGAATACTGATCTGATTTGCCGTCGGGCCAGTTCAAAGCAAAACCAACAGGACCACCCACTGTGATCCCTACTATTAAGTCAAGCATTCCACTCAAAGTGAGACAGGTACTACACAGGCACATAAAAGCATTGCATTGCTCGTAAGACTCAAAGTTTGTCTAGCTGATTGCAACAAAACTATACGAAGCATTTGCTAGAATATACGCTCCCATCTTGACGGAACGCCCAACAATAGCAACGGAGCATGCAACATGTCAGGAAGAAAAGATACTGTCGAGCACATCCAATCTAGCAGGATACAAGCAATCAGCAGCCAATGTACTGATGAACCTGAAAAAGCGGCCTCTCAGCACAGACATTTCAGACGTGGGCGTGGATGGCGATTGGGTGGATCCCAAAGAAGCGGCTGCATCCAAGATGGCTTGGATCGAGAGAATCAATGAATGCGTGGTTGATATGGACATGCTGAAGGACTTGAAATACCCGCTGCCTGATTTATTGGAAGAGACGAATGCAGCGGCAGTCGATGCAGTAGGCACCATCCATGAATGCGACCGCTGTCGACAAGACTACCTGATCAAAGCTGTTTTGGACAAGGATGACATGGATGCTTGTGTCTATCACCCCAACAGAATACGAATGATGAAGGTAGATGGCTTGAAGGAAAAGGTCTATGCGTGCTGTGAAGATCCCTTGGGCAGTATAGGATGCACACGAGGCCCACATGTATACAAAGACGAAGATACAGCTGTATTGCATCAAAAGATTCCTTATATCAGGGCACCGCCTCCCACCAGCGCCAACAAGAAGCAGAGACTTGTTGCATTGGATTGTGAGATGGGATACACAACTGCAGGCATGGAGCTGATTCGACTCACTGCTGTGGATGAGGACATGAAGGTCTTGGTGGATGAACTGGTGCTACCATACAATATGATTGTCGATCTGAACTCCCATTACAGTGGTATCACAACATTGAAGGGCGTCAAATTTGATTTGGATGGGCTTAGAAAGGAGCTCTTTAAGCATATAGATCAAGATACCATCCTTGTGGGTCATGGCCTGGAGAACGACTTGAACGCACTGCGCATTGTGCACACCAATGTCATTGATACTGTAGCAGTAAGTAATGGCTCTTTATCTGGAGCAATCTGATATACTAATACAACATGCAAGCTCTTTCCGCACAAAAACGGCTTGCCCTACAGAAACAGTTTACGAGGATTAACGGCGGCCCATTTAAAGAAATTCATTCAAACGGGAACTGAAGGGCACGATTCTTTGGAGGATGCCAGTGTCTGTATCGAACTATTAGAACACTACATCAAGAAGGTGTTGGATAAAAGAATCAAGAAATAAAACTGCCACGGCTTCATACTAGATTTCATGCAAGCCTATTTTCTGCTTTTGTGTCAATTATCAGATAAACCCCTCTTTTCATGATCGTGTTGCTTTCAATGACTCCATGTAGCCATATTGAGCGAGATTTTAAATCTATTAGCTACCAACCAAAGCATGTAAAATGATCTAATTTGGCCCTAATGCTAAATTTTAGCTTCAAAGTGTTGTTAATAGAGTACGATGGGTATAGAATCCGTTGACAAACCAACGAGATCGTTTTTCCTTAATGGCGTTAGTGCCGATACCGCTGTCAAGTTATGAGTGCTTTATAGTGTTCATCTCGGCAATATATTCATGATTGACGGGCACCTTCTATCTCTTCTAAATTTAGCATGAACAGCGATGGCACTGGTGAGGGCACTTCAATCCATGCTGACTGTATGCTATCGTTCACTGGGGATAGTAGAGATGCGCGCTGACTGCTGCAGAATGTCGACGCATGCACATCAAGACAATCAAAGGCAAGATGGCACATGTGGTGTTTTGTACATCCCAGAGTCACATTGCAAGTACAAACACTCAAACTAGCTGAATGCCTTATGCCCCCAAGGAGATTATAATAGAGGATGACAATGTCGAAATCTCTTTCCGGTTGGTTTTCTTACTTGCCTGTCATCCCATATCTAAATATACTCTAAATGGATTCCGCTTCAACTAGCTTTACTAATAGCAATGATTACCATAGGCCATACACAAACATTGTCAGTAGCGGCAATGTTATCATACCAGCGGCTCGCTACATTTTTGGAGCAGGCAACTACATGACCATTGATCCTGAACTCTACTATCCTAGTGCATGTCTGTTCTGTGGATTGCCCAATGGTAGCAAAAGAATCACGGCATCCACAGCGTCCCTTCTTGCTACGAGCACAAGCCAAGAAATCATTGTTGCCACAGCTGCACCTACCATGCCATTCTATAGCAGTGCAGCGACGAATAGAAAGCCGCATGAGCTGGAGGAGATCATTGTGCAGCATCGACACGGCACATCAAAAAACTTGGCTTCCATCATGTCAAGTCTGTTTCAACGGTGCAGACGCTATTTGATTCAGAAACGGCTACATTTGCCTGTGGTTACCCAAGGACGAAAACGGTTTTTAATACCATCTTCGTTTTATTGAGAACACTTGTAATCATTACGTGTCATTTGTCTCGAGAAGAGGTCATTTAGCCGAGTAGTTTACTGGTTTGCTGTGTAATAAACAGGATAGCATTGACAAATATGATATGATTTGTGCTCAAAGGAGTCAGCGGTTCGTTGAAACGGTGTATTGACAATGGTGCTCTGTCAATGTGTCTCTCCCTCTCGCAGCAACATCGGCACCTTTAGCGGTAAACATTAAACTAAATTGGGACACCATAATATACAAATACTTCTGAATGCATATACTCTATGATTGTGTTATAGTGCGCATGTGCACAGAACACATAACTGGGGTTGAGGTTAGGTAAACAATCCCTTAATTCCCGCACAAAGCAACATGACATGGTCGAATCATGTCTATAAATACAGGTTGAAAATCTCCTTGATCATCCCGTTTTCTCTTCTCTCTTCTAAAAGTAACACTGCGCTATGATTTCAATCTCTCGTACTTGGCGTCGTATCTCTACTCAACTCAAATCCAATCTTAGCAGGAAAAGATCAACACGCTCTACCAGCAGTTATGGCAGCAAGAGTGGAAAATCAGTCCGATTCTACACAGTCGACACCATCTACTATACACATTCAGCGATAGACTATGATCGCACACCTTCTGATGAAGACCTCTCCTCTATGGAGTCTGATGAAAGCTAGGCTCCCTCCTCTCAAATGTATTATTATTCCCAAAATGGACAATTTCATGCACTGATGCACATTAAATTATTCTCACATCCTGTAATTATATATATTCAAAATAAACCATTCCTCTTCAGCAAGCGTCAATACGTGTATTTGCCAAGCATGCCACTCTTTGGATACAGAGAAATGGTGCTGTATATAGCTCGGAAGTCAAGCAATGAAGGCTTCGCTGCTGTGGGTTGCCAGGACAATGGCTGTGGCCCACGTTTTCAGATCCACCACGCAAATAGTCACTGCACCCCCAATGTTTTTTCCTTTTTCTATCACGCATTTATACATCATTCATGCTACTTTTTGATACATTTCTCTCTTTCCGTTTATATTAATAAATTCTCTGATCAAATGGGTGTGGTTCGTCCAATAACCATAAGAAACAAGGTGGATTTCCCTGTTTACGGGCTAGATTTCACAGCAGATGACATTCTTATTGCTGGAGGAGGTGGTGGAGCAAATCGCTCTGGCGTCAAGAATAATTTGGTACGTTGCCAAAGCCTGCATTCTGTTCATATTGCGTATTCACTGTCTACTCGAGTAGGTTTCTTTCAAGGTTGATCAAGCAAACCGTAAATTGGAGCAGATGGACGCAATGCTATTATCCGACAAGGAAGATTGCCCAATGTCCATTGCCTGTCATCCCAAAGTAGGTCTCTGTTGATTATGTATGCGTGTAAGTATTTACTTGTATTTTTTTTTTTTTGCCTAGCTGCCTTTGTTGGTAGCTGGAATCAACAGTTCGGAAGATGAGATCAAACTGGGGCACAACTTGAATTGCCGTGTATTTGATACAGAATATGGGTAAGAATTGAGCATCCATCATGTTAAATGGCAACAGGCTCAGCAGTTACTATAGCAAACTCCAGTTAAAATCGGCATTATCCACAAGCACATGCAAATCCATTGATGAATATCAAAGAGTCACTCGTTTTAGCAGATCAGGAGACTACTTGGTAACAGGATTCAGTGATGGAAAGATCTCGGTACTGAGAACCCAAGATTGGACATTGTGCTTCCCATCATTGCGATTCAAGAATGTGCAAGACATCGACATTGACATTCGAGAAGAGCATGTAGCAGTAGCAACATCAAGTGCCCTGATCATCTTATCCATCCAGGATGGCACTGTAGTTCAGGTGATTGATAGCCCCAAATTAAACAGGAATACTGTATGTGAAATTCGTGCTTGTCGGTAAGTTGTTATGCAAGACCAGCTACAATAGGCTGACTGATTCAATCCATGGTAATAGATATGGGGTCACCCTTAAAGGAGAAGAGACGCTGTATGCTATTGTAAATCCAACTTCAAGAGGTCGTGGATTTGTCTGTGCTTGGAAATTGAGAAAAAGGGGACATCAGTATCCAGTTCACAAAGCAAGAACAGCGGGTATTAGCCGGAAAACGATAACAAGTTTTAGTATAAAGTAGGCACACTCTCTTCTCTGATGTGAGTAAGTACTAATCAGCAGCTTTCTTGCAACAGCCCCACAGGTGATATTCTTGCCTACACATCAACTGATTTGAGCATTGGATTCATTGATGCTCAGGGATTGAAAGTAAGATGTCTAATTAAAACTCCCTTTTTCATGCAAAAACACTCATTTTCAATCAAGCCGTTATTAAAAGTAGAAAAGGCACATGGATTTGCCATCACAAGTTTAGCCTTCAATTCGTCGGGCAATCTCCTGGCAAGTGCAGGAGCAGACAACTGCTGCAAGGTCATGATAATTCCCAAGCAAGCTATCCAAGATAACCGAGGTAAAATCATTGGGCAAATTTCTCACAACACACTGATCAATGGCTAATGCATTTTCTTTTCGCAAACAGAATACTTTTTAACCAAACCTCTCTTGATTGTTCTGGACATGGTCTTATTCGCACTATGGATGCACGTTTTGGTTGAAATGGTAGATGGAGGCACGCTCTCCAGCTATTGAATAGCCGCCTGCAATTGATTGGTAATGTTGCCAAGTTACCATGGTAATGTTTTGATAAACTTTCGAGAAAGATGTGATGCGCACACAACAATGCTCTCACATAAATTTCCATTTAAAATTCCCTCCTTATTTCGCTGGTCTTCTTTTCCCTTTTTTCTTCTCTCTTTTTCCCTCCCTTTTTCTTTTTCTTTTTTTTATTTTTTATTGCTAGTTGATAAAAATCATATTTTGCTTTTTCTTTCTCGATTAAAAATTACATCAGAAGATTAGTCCCCGAGCAATGGCACACGGACCTATGAGTGGTATGAAAATCACCGGTAAAGTGGACTCAGGTTGTGGGGAAAATGTGCAGCGTTGTTGATGTAATCTACAGGTGGTGACAATGACCCAACCAAAGTACATGAAGAGCAGGCAAAGGACGGTCTAACAGGCCAGGATATTACATTTAGATACACAACGTACAAGGTGGCAGGTAATGGCTCTTTTGGCGTTGTTTATCAAGCCAAAGTGGTAGAAACAGGCGAGAGTGTTGCCATCAAGAAGGTCTTTCAAGATAGACGATTCAAGGTGTGTTTATGGGCTTACTAGAGGGAGAGTGTGTGCGAGAGAGAGAGAGAGAGAGAGAGAAAGCAGGACTAACATGCTTAAATCAGAATCGGGAGTTGCAAATCATGCGTTGTGTATGGCATCCAAACGTTGTTGCGTTAAAGGCATTCTTTTACAGCCATGATCAGGTGAAAAAGGATGATCTCTACCTAAACTTGGTATTGGAATACATTCCAGAAACCTTATATCGCACTTCACGTAACTATGCAAAAGCTAGACAACCCGTGCCCATGCTCTATGTTAAACTCTACACGTATCAGCTCATGCGTGCTCTTGCCTTTATCCACTCGCTTGGTATCTGTCATCGTGATATCAAACCTCAGAATCTACTCATTGATCCAAACACTGGCGTGCTTAAATTATGTGATTTCGGAAGGTAAGTGAGATGAGTTGAGTATGATACAAGAGCGAGAAGTTTAATTGTGTCGGTACAGTGCAAAGGCACTTCATGCTGGCGAGCCCAACGTCTCCTATATCTGTTCTCGTTATTATAGAGCACCCGAACTTATATTTGGAGCAACAAATTACACATGTAGCATCGATGTCTGGTCTGCAGGTTGTGTCATGGCAGAGTTAATGCTGTGTCAACCCTTATTTCCTGGAGAGAGTGCAATTGACCAGCTGGTTGAAATCATCAAAGTGTTGGGCACACCTACTAAAGAGCAGCTACTAGCCATGAATCCCTCTTACACTGAACATCGATTCCCTCAAATCAAGCCACATCCATTCTCCAAAGTCTTCCGTTCTCGCACACCCGAGGATGCCATTGCTTTCATTACCAAAACTCTACAATATGAACCTCTTCGCCGCTTAACCGCTTTCCAATCATTGGCCGACCCCTTCTTCGATGAGCTTCGTAATCCAAATGTCAGCATGATCAATGGAAAGCCAATGCCACCTTTATTTAATTTCACACGTCATGGTAAGCGATGTTGATGATGCTGGTTATATCATGATGCCTAAACCTGCTCGCCTATATGTAGAACTATCGATACAGCCAGATTTGATCTCCAAGCTTGTGCCTCCTCATTATGAAGCTGCATTGGCAGCAAACGGAGTTGATGTGCACAACTTTGTTCCCATGACAAGCGAGGAAATGAAAAGCGACAATGAGTCTCGTTAAGTGATCCCCCATTTTTTTTAATACATAATAAACCTCTACGCTTTCTACACTGACACGTAGAGCGAGCTCCCATTGTCGATTAAAGATCAGAACCGCTGTAAAGATACATGTAATGTTTCGGGTTGAAAGAGACTGGCTTTCAATAGGAACACACACCTCCATAGCCCAAATACATTCAATTCAAATGATAATTAGTCATTTTCATTGCTTCTTCTCTCTCTACTGCTAATAACCATAAAGATGTCCAAGTTAGATGATAGCATGCGTATGCATATAAGCGATATCTCTGACCTAGAAAAAGTAAGATTCCATGAGATGCTTGTCTGGTAGAAATATTAAATAATCTAACATGACAGCATAATAGGAGGTTCTCTCTCGTCAATTGCAGCATTCGCCCTTCCGCCGATCTCATCAAGCAAGAGATCGTCATATCACAACACTAGACATCTTTGATTTCGACTCGACACTATTCTTGTCTCCTCTGTTAAGCCCCAACATATGGCACAGTTCGTTTATAAACGCAATCACTACCGAGAATCTGCTGGGTCCTGGGTGGTGGCGTGATATCCGCAGCCTTCAATTGCATCTAGATAGAGACGAATCAAGCACGCCATGGTGTAGTTTTTGGAACGAAGATATAGTAACACAAGTGAGAGCATCCATGGCTGATCCCTCTCATTTGACAGTACTCTTGACCGGTCGTCGATACCATCCATTTCATGCTCTTATGGACAACATGTTAGCCTCCAAAGGGCTTGCCTTTGATATTGTAGGTCTTCGCCCTGATCCCGAGTCTGACGCGCCTGATCATCCAACTGGCCTCAGGTTCAATCATGAACCCAACGTGTTTGAAACAACTATGCATTTCAAGACCTCCTTTATTGTCAATATTCTACACAACTATCCTTCGCTCACTGATATTGTCATGTGGGATGACCGACGATCACATATCCGTATCTTCAAGGAGTATCTCAATAAGTTGAAGGAGCTAGGATTCGTTAAACGTGGTGAGATGATGTCTGTGGTGCCAGCAAGACCTAAATACAATCCAGAATGGGAACACAAGACAGTGAAATCAATGCTTGAGACCCACAATGATGCGGTATTGGCACTACATCGTGCTGGCAAGCCATTCACGGAGCCCAGCGTCGTGATTGAAAACCATGGGCAAATGATCAGCTCAGCAAACACATATTCCCTCAAAAAGATAGACTGGCTCATTGTCCTCAACCTACCACCATCTGTTACTACTTGTTTACGATCTGTGTTTGAACCATTGTACCATCAAGATGTGCTGTCTTCAGCAGCTGGATCCCTATCTGGAGCGCCGACATGGCAAAGCGCCAATGCCGAAGAACCAGTCTTTTTTGGTGATCAGGTATTGCTTGCAGTGAACACAAAAGAGATCGCAACTCGGTTGGAGCAAGAGCACGGTATCGTAGTAGGCAGAGAGCTCAACTTCAAAGTGGTAGCGAGATCTGTTGGTACAAGAGATCATGGTATGTATTTGCAAGTACAAATTAAAGATGCTCGCTTTACATTGCCTCTCTGGTACAAGCCATCCAGTTTCAATTATTTGCTAGTCCAGAATGTAGACTGGATACCCTTATTAGACAGTGTTCAACTGGACGAACCCTCACTAAAAGGTGTTGTGGATTACCATCACTTATTGACAGTAGAAAGACTAGAAGATCTGTGTCCAAATTAAAATATAATCAAGGTGTGGCTTGTAGTATAATTTTTTATAAATGTTGACATTGCATAATAATTGTGAGCTTCTTTATTCCAATACAATATAATGTCTCAACACTCTGATGATGACGATGGCTTCGTTGGTGACTTGTTTGGCGTAAATACGATGATACAAAGACACTTTTGTACTTGAGATAACTGAATATGTGCTGCTGTAGGCCGAATCAGAGGAAGAAACACCTCAAGTTGAACCCACATTTGAATATTACACAAGAGAGAATGTAAAAGGTATATTTAAACAGTGCTGGGTCAAAGCTTGGCCTAATACTGATCTGTTGCGTAGATGACAGCCCTAAGGAATTGAAAATCAAACTAGTGGGATCACATCCTCTGTGGGCGCATCATTTGTGGAATGCATCCAAAGTATTTGCTTCGCTTTTCGACACACATCCTCGCCTTGTGCAAGGCAAAACCATCTTAGAACTAGGTGCTGGTGGTGCACTCCCAAGTCTCGTTGCAGCACTTAATGGAGCAGCTAAAGTTGTTGTCACCGATTACCCAGATACCGAGTTGATTGACAATATCCAGTACAATGTGGATCACAACACACCTAATTTACCTGTCATTGTGGAGGGCTATGTGTGGGGCACATCTACCGACAGTTTGCGCTCTCATCTACCACCAGCTGCAAAACAAACATACGACGTTTTGATATTGAGCGATCTAGTATTCAACCACTCTCAGCATCATGCCATGCTCAAGACATGTCGTGAACTGTTGACACCAAAGACGGGCCGTGTGTATGTCTTTTATACTCATCATAGACCTCATTTAGCTCACCGTGATTTACAATTCTTTGAAATTGCTCAACGTCCAGTGCGTGAAGATGTGGATGAAGAGGACAGAGAATCGCTAGGCTATGGCTTCAAAGTGGATCATTTCATGACGCAGAAAATGGGTGTCATGTTTGAGGAGGATCCTGGAGATGAAGAAGTTCGTGCTACTGTTCATGGATGGCAAATGTGGCTGGAATAATGTGAATTAGAGTTATCCTTCTTTGACTGCATGAATAATAGAATAAAAGCCAATGAACTTTGAGTCAGTTTAGTAAAAGCTTGCTTTAATTACTCTATAAAAATGGGTCGCTGTATGTATTTGCTATACGCAGAGAATAGGATATATGTAAAAAGCAAATCTTTATTAACACTTTAAAAGGGCTTTTTAAGATCCATCTGACAGCAACAGCAGCATTATTAGACACTTGCAGATCAATTGAATATATATCATAAAGTATTACTATATTTAATATCCCATGACAATGATTATGGCAGCATTAGCTATCATAATTTAAGATTGCATATTCCTCGTTATCATATTGCGTTAATACAGTTCATGCTAAGCTAAACCATTTCATTCCAATCGCTAATTCAACCTTTCAGCCAATCAAATTGCTTGAAAACTCCGCTGACCTAAAAAAAAAATTTGCGAGGGTTTCCCCCTGTTTTGATGTGAGGCAAAATTTTAAGCGCCGCTAGGTATACCAAATCTAGCAGTGTGCGCTATCATCAAACTTCCCCCAGATGCTAGAGCATGCCTTACTTACACCACCTAGCTTTAAGTTCTGGCATTGAGACCCTCAATCATCACTAAAGTAAGTAGTGATAACCAAGTGGAGGCAGCCTATCCACCTCCTAGCCTCGGATAAAGTCTTGTTGAGCTTCAGGGATAGGCACATCCACACAACGTAAAAAAAGGTATGCTTCAAAGAAACATAATAAGAATAAAAGAAAGAAGAAGAGAACATACTACTATAAGAATATAGTAGTACGTAGGCAAAAAAGGGATGCTCACACAAAATGAGTCAAAGAAAAGTATAACAAACACAACATCAGAGACGTTCAAAACAGCTCGTTGCTGTTGCAAGAAAAATGCATACATGAGCAACGCGCATGGTAGTAATAGTCGGATGTAAAGCAAAATGATACAAATACGCACAACTGCAAAAGCAACAGTGGTATTATAAGTTCGCGATACAACATAATGACTAATGTTGTTTCATGTAAAGCTACAGAGGAAACACCACCAACAAAAGAAAAAGAAGAAGAAAAAAGCACAACAAGGCAAACATCATGAATGCATTATCACGAGAAAGGAAGCAATAATATAAGCGTTCAAAGAAGTTTCATATCATTGCAACCAGAAAAAAGAAGATACTTACCACTTACTATAGCCACAGATAGACCAGAAGAGTATAGGCAATCACCGGAGATAGACCATAGAACAAGCATACAGCAAATACAGTAGACCGGAAGAGACCATTTTAGCAGCAGCAACACTAGCACCATAGACAAACTAAAGAACAAGCACCATCAGCAGAGACCAGGCAAAGACCAAAGAAGCTATTTACCACTTATCTCTATCACAGATAGACCAGAGGATGTGCAATCACTGAATATAGACCAGAGAACGAGCATGCACCAAAGACAGTAGACCAGGAGAGACCATATTAGCAGCAGCAGCAGCAACACCAATACCATAGACAAACCGAGAAACGAACGCCACCAGCAGAGACCAGACAAAAGCCAAAGAAGCAATCAACAGACATGATAAACCAAAGAAGCAGGCAGCAGAGAAGACAGAGAAGGAATGGCAGCAGCGCTCACTCAAACAAGCAAGAAATTATTAAAACCTAATAAACAAACTGAATTAGTGTTAATTCTATGCCTTCCAGTGATCGTTATCGAATGGTATGTAACATATTCCACCTCAAAGAAGCAGTATCAAGTACTCTTAACAGTACAAGATAGAGTTATCGGAAGCTAGAGTGTTATTATCAATCAAACGGTCTCCAAATCCGCCATGGTTTGATACTAAAACGCGTTTTGCAAAAAGGAGAAAAAACGAGGGGTATGAAAGAATGAGAGAGCGCCCTATCCGACGTCACGGCCAGTCGATCTAGTCTCAGTCTTGTACCGTAGCAGCAGTAATTGCGGCAATTTAATTTGAAATTGTGCAGTGGTATTTTCGTGTTCAAACTTGACTTGATCTCACATCCTTTAAACGTTTTTGCTAAATTTGACTATGAAAACTGTCGTCGTTACACCCATCTTTCTAATACATCTCTAGAGTACTAAAGAAGCCGCATTAAATGATGCCAACTACTTTTAGCTTTCAGACCAAAAATAATGAGCAATTTTTAAGAATATGAAAATTGATTTTCTGTGAATATGTCAAAATTTAGCATATGAAAGTCTTATAGAAAGAGTATCCAATGTTGCATTTCATCTTTACGGTCAATTTGATCTAATATGTATCATAGGAAAAGTCTTCACTTTTGACGTGAAAACCGCGATCGTTTGATTTTCAAGAATTTTCCCTTGCTAATACTCATAGAAAAAACGGTGATTATCATGAATTTGCAATGACCCAAAAAAATTGAGATAAAGCATCGGTAAGTAAAGCGTGGACAAGAGGAGTCGTTTGGTGCTATTCCAAGCGCTCAAAACGCTTTGTGGCATGAATTATTCGTGCTTGAAAGCGACTAAATTTGCACAGAATTCGACCTAAAACGACGGCGTAGTAGGTTGCGTTACCAGAAGGGTAAGTAAATTACACTTCTGTCTGATGACCCAGATGCTCTGTATTGTACATTATGAAATCTCTAGTATAGACCCAAGGCGTGGAAAAACTGTCCACCCTTTGTGGTGAGGTGAACATTATGGCTTAAAACCTTTGCCAAACAACCACAATGTTGCATACAAGCATCATGCATTTTAGGCTGCATTCACTTTCTCCTCAAGCCATGTTTACAGTATAGCAACATAGAAAATATTTATCGTATCACATCACATCTATGCTTACAAATCCAGTCCATTGTTTGAGCACGGGTGCCTTAGGAGCTCAATAGATTCAATCTCCATAATGTCAAGATATCGAGATCCACCTACACTATATGAAACATATCGACTTAGGTGGCCTCTCAACAAGCTATACCAATTGTGGAATACATCCACTATGATCTGCATTCCGACAGTTCATCCAGTTACCAGATTTAGATATAAACTGTATGTGCACTGAATTAGATGTACGATATCAATTTATACTATAAGAAGATATGGACTTCAGATACGCTAGTACTATAAGATTCATACTATATAAGATATAGGCTATAGATGGCACCACGGACATGGATGGCACTATAGACTTATACTTGTATTCCGACATTGACTACGGATGTTTACCATATCTGGATAGGCACCAAGATTAATGCAATATGAGCTTGTTGCTTCAGATGTGCACTTCATGATCCACGCTATAAGACACATGCTTATATCCGTGATACTAGCTACAGATACTTTATGTACTACAGACTTGTACTATATATGAGACATGCTATAGACATGCATACGATATGCTATAGACATGCCATATATCCAGGTACATGCTAAAGATGTATGCTTAGCGATATACACTCAGATATGTACTATTAATATAGACTAAGTAGACTGTACCTATCGGATACATGCTACTAGATCGATATTAATTATCCTTATGGAAAGGATAGATCAGGGTACTTCGGATGAGAGTCTAATTATTCATCCAGACAGAGCTAAATCATGATTAGCTTGCTGGAGTTGTCTTTTAGCATGATTAGACATTAGTTGATCTGAGTTGACTTATTTGTCAATCTAATTAATAGAACTTTTATCCATTGTTATAGTATATAAGAAGGATCATCTACCTGGCCAGTAGAGAGACTTCAGTTTACTTTACACCTGTCAGTTTGATAATAAAACATACCTTTATCAAGTTGACATTACTGTTTTTTTATTCTTTTTTTTCCCTGAATTTTAGTCTATCAAGCCTCAAATTCCACATTTTTTTCAACTCAAAGGTTATCACTTTTACACTTTATCTTATACTCTACATTTTATTATTCTACCTTAAAAACTATTTTTATCATGTCTCACAACCAATACAACGCTACTGAAAACACTCAAGAGGATATTGCTCAAGACTCTATCCGTGTTTCTTCTCCTTATGACTCATCTATGCAAGTGGATGAGCACGCTCAACTTTCTGCAGTTGATCATCTTCTCAAGAAGATTGACACTGCTCAGGCTCGCTTGGATCAGATCCATCGTAACGCTGGTGATACTTACACTGAGGAAGAACGCTTGGCGGCTGATGAAGCATCTGCGTCTATCGAATGGCTCAGCAAGCAAGTCAGTGCGATTACTAAGAGGGCTGATTCCAAAGCAAGACCTGTCAATCTCAATGAGATCCCCCGTTTCCAGGTGGTAGGACAAGCTAAGCATTGGCCTGACCATCCTCGATTCACCACAGTCGATCATTTCTTCAGTGCTTTTGAGAACGTCATCAGAGCATCCGGTAATGAAGTAAATTTGGTTTGGAAACGCTACGTGCCTGTTTCACTGCCATTTGACTTTGAATCATGGACCAAGAATGATCTTCTGGCATGTAATGATTGGGATCAAGCCAAGGCATTGTTCCGCAAACATTTTGGTGCTCCCATCAACTCTGAGGAATCCATGGCCAAACTCTTCAGCATGCGCATGAAGAACAATGATACTCTACAGGACTATACGAATAAGTTCATGAAGTACGTCAAGGATTGTGGCTTCCCTCCTAACAGCAACATGTTAGCCAAGTTCTATCAGTTCACGCTGTTACGCAAGAATCAGCAAATGATGGTCAACCAAATGTCCGTCAAGCATGGTTTCAACCACAAATGGACTATCAACGAGATCTATGAGTGTGTGTTGCCTTTGTTCCTTGTTGACGAGCAAAATCGTGGTGATGATGATGTTGAGGTCGACATCAGAGGTAAGCGTAAGGGTGGTTCTGGTGGTTCTGGTTCAAGAACAAAGATGGCAAGGGTATCTGCCACTGGGTATTTCTGTGCGAAGCATGGCGGAAGCAATGCCAACCACAACACCATTGACTGTAAGTCAAGATTGAAGCACTTTGGCTCTGACAACAAGCCTAACCGGGCTACTACTGCTGCTCCGTAT